TGACCACAGATGACTGTCCCAAAATGTATGAAGAAGCACAAGAGATGGTGGATATCCCCTACATGAGTGCTGTTGGCTCCTTATTGTACTTGGCTACAATGTCCCGGCCTGATATAGCCTTTGCTGCGAGTGCATTGGCTAGGTTCAACTCGAACCCAGGCATGATCCACTGGAAGGCTGTAAAGCATTTGCTACGCTATGTGAAGGGCACAATGGATATGAAGTTGGTATATGGACCTGATCCCGCCATAGGAGATGAGATCTTCGTCACGTACAGTGATGCAGACTACGGCGGTGATAAAGGGACAGGGCGATCTACAAGTGGTTACTTGGTTAAGATTGGGCTAGGAGCGGTCTGCTGGAGCAGTAAAGCGCAACAGATGGTTGTTCTATCGACCACTGAAGCTGAGTATGTTGCTGGGGTTGCTGCTGGTAAAGAGATATGCTGGATGAAGAACCTCCTCTCAGAAATTGGTTACAAACCAACTTCACCATCCACGCTGTACATGGACAACCAGTCAGCAATTAGAGTGGCAAAGAATCCTGAACACCATGGCAGAATGAAGCAACTTGACTTGAGCTTCTTTTGGTTACGCGATCAGGTTGATTGCAAGCGCATCCAACCAGTCTATCTTCAAACGGAGGAAATGCCGGCAGACCTGCTCACCAAAGCACTGGCCAAACCACAAGTGGAAAAGTTGAGGGAGATGATGGGATTGGTGGGATAGGAGGACGTATTGGGCCAGGGGGTTGTTTGTGGGTGCCCCAATACGTGGGTCCACCAAGTGTTGCATCAGGGGGTTGTGTTGAAGTGATGTGCACACTTGTTGTACAAATGTATAACAAAGTTGCGCTGTGCGGTCGCACGCTAAGCGCCCGGTTCCCACGCATTGGGGACCACCCATAGACACTGCCAACACCCATTGGGACGACCCAGGTCATCATGGGATGACTGGTGTTGACAGAATTGCTAAAAGTGCGCAAGCACTCTTTAGCAATCTGTACATACTTTATAAGCGCACGACTCCCACGGTCAATGCAACGTTCCCACGTTCAGCGCCCCATTAGTAGGTCTGTTGACCTCTATTGTGACCGCCGGAACAGGCACCGGAACGCCTCGGTCTCAGCAGGGAAGCAAAAGGAGCGAAAATGAAACATGGAGCCATCATTAGAATGATGTCTGGCATGTTCCCAAGCTGCTCCGGAGCTAATCAAATTCGGACGCGATTTAGTGGACACCTATATTCACGCCTCGCACAGAACAGTACCCGTGGGAACCTGGGATGGTCATTTTCCTTACATGTCTAGAGTAATAGACACAAAGAGTCAATAGAGCGCAAATCATTACATATTATTGATTGATTGCATCAACACATCATTAGTGATTGTTACCAAGGCAATTAGAGTGCATTAGGACGCTTCTACAAGCTTCTGATCAAACTATAATAGCCTATAGTTCAACACAAACCTGGTAGTGGTTGATGAAGACAAGGAGGGGAGGCCTTACTACAAGAGGGCCTTCAATACTCAGGTAAGTGATCATACTACTCAGTTGCTTGTACTTGTCTGATTTGCTTGTACCTAGGCTTGTGAGCAACTCAATGCATGGTTGGGTGGGTTTCAGACAGTCCTCAACCGGATATCTGTCAGAAACTTTGACTTCACCATGCATGTATTGCTGTTCCTGCATACCCAACGAGTCATTGCCAGGCAGCAGGAATAGAAGAGGTGGTTGAGGATGAGGAAAGTGATGATGAGGATATCATTGAGTATTAGATAAATGGACTTCACCTGTAGTCCATCTGGCATTCACCTGATATCTACTTGATACTTACATGACTTCCACATGGATACCATATAAACACCACTTGGAATTGATGATACACTGCTGTATGAGTGTGAGGTCACTGAAACAGTAGCAATCACCTACTTACCACCTGGGAATCACTTTGGTACTCAAGTGGTATCCAGGCGGAGACCACATGGTTTTCACATCTAATTCAGATGAATGCCAGCTGATACTCAACCGAATACCACTTGGACATCAGATAAACACCACTTTGGACTTGTACTGTTTCACCAAGATGTTCACCTGGTTATCTTCTGGCACTCACCTGATATCCACTCACATGTATACCACTTGGGAGCCACATGGACACCATATGACTGTCATCCATGACTACTTACATGGATGTGGATGTGTTTATGTTTACTGAGACATCCACCTTATTACCGCCTGAATACCACCTGGTAATAAGGTGGTATCCAAGTGATCACCACCTATCTAACATCTGAATATCACCTGGAAACCACCCATCTGGGGATCAACTGGTATTCATGTGGCATTCATCTGAATATCGTCTGGGTGCCACATTTAGACCAGATGAACACCAGTTGGTAGTCACATGAATATCAGGTTGTGCTTGAATTTTGTCAAAACTCAGTCATATCACACAAACACCATCTGGATACCAAGTGGTAGCCAGATGGTCAATGTATGGTTCTTACACAGTCCACATGAATGCCATGTGGATATCAGATGAACACCATCCAACTGCCACCTAAGACTTGTGTAATGTTGTAAATTGACAATCCACATGGACACCACCTGGTGATCACCTGAACACCACCTGAACTTGTATCTTAGTTACTTTGAACAATATACTCATGTAGTCACTCTTTCACCACCTAGATACCACCTGGTGTTCACATGGACAACATTCAGTATCTGAAGTGGTATCCAGGTGGTCACCAGGTGGTAAAAGAGTGGACAAAAATGAATTGAAGTGAACTTGCATGGAAAAAGTGGTGATCAGGTGGCATCCATGTGGTAAAAAACTGGTCAGAAATGGGCTGGCTGGGTCCACCTGGGGACCACCTGGGGTTCATCTGAAGATGTGGTGGACCACCAGATATACGATGATCCTACAGAGGAGGAGGTCTATGATTATGGCCTTTATCTAAAAACAAGTCATTGGCAGACTGTCCTGGAATGCCACAACCACAGCATAATTGGGCTGCTGATTTTGGAAATCAACTTATTGTGGAGCAGTGAAACTATGATCCAGTAGAACAGCACCAGTTAGCAGATGAGCACATTGCAAATCTCAACCTAGGTCAACACTATGCCTTTAATGAGATTTGCCATGCTGTTGAAACAAAGTCTGGACAGACATTTTTCCTTCATGGCCCTGGTGGAACTGGGAAGACCTATCTCTATAACACTCTGTGTCATTTCCTGCGTGGCCAAGGCAAGATTGTACTGTGTGTTGCATCATCTGACATTGCATCACTTCTACTGCCAGGGGGGCGTACAGCACATACTACCTTCAAAATTCCAATTCAAATCCATGAAGCATCACACTGTGGCATCTAGCGTAATGACAATCTGGCCGAACTTCTGCAGGCCACAGATTTGGTTATTTGGGATGAGACACCTATGCAACATCACCACATCCATGAAGCTGTGGACAGGGCTTTCCAAGATGTGTGAAACTCTGAGCAGCCCTTTGGTGGCCTTACTGTTGTCTTTGGTGGACTTTAAACAGATCCTACCAGTCATTATCAAAGGGGGCAGAGCTGATATTGTTGGAGCATGCATGCAAAGGACAAGATTGTGGGCCCATATCAAAGTTTTGAAGTTAACACAAAACATGCACTTAAATACAGCTCTTCCTCATGAGCAAGACTTTGCACAGTGGCAATTGGATGTTGGACATGGACAGCATACAAATCCAGATAGTACCATCCAACTTCCTGAGTCTTTCAAATGTCCACAGAATACTGAAGACTCTCTGATTGCTACCATTTATCCTGGAATCAACTCCCAGCCCCCTCCCAATGATCAATATTTTGCTGAGCACACCATTCTTGCCAGTCACAATGATGATGTCGACACAATAAATGCAAAGATTCTCCCAAGGCTTCATGGAAGAGAACACATTTTTCACAGCGGTAGATGCAGTTATACAGTTTGCAGATGAAGGGCAACCTGGATATCTCATGTATCCAGTTGAGTATCTCAACTCAATCGACTGCTCTGGCCTGCCACTTCACAAACTTGCACTTAAAGTGGGGTGCCCTATCATGATCTTGCACAATCTTGATCCAGAACATGGTGTTTGCAATGGATCTCACGGCATTCTGACCCGATGTCAAAATTGTGTTCTGAAAGTGTGGTTAATCACTGGAGATCATTGTGGCGAAACAATTTTTATTCCTCGGATCAGCATTATTCCCTCTGACACTCAAGTGCCTTTTCAATTCTCTTGACGCCAGTTTCCAGTCCGACTCTGTTTTGTTATGTCAATCAACAAATTACAAGGACAGTCTGTTGCTCATGTGGGTCTTGACTTCTGTACTCCAGTCTTTACACATGGGCAACTATATGTTGCTACTAGTATCCCGGGCTACATTTGTTCACAGAATCAAAGCTATCTGGGATCAGAGATCAGAGGAACCTAAAACAAAGAATATAGTCTATCCTGAAGTAATTATTGACTAACACCTCTGTACATAGATAGCACTTCCATGTAACTCCTGTATGTATTCTGTACTCATATTCCACATAATATGCATTCGTGACTTCGTCACGGGCCTGAAACTTGTGTGAAAGATGACAACAACTCACACAATCACCCCCACTCCCAAATTCCACTCAACTGACTTTCACCACTGATTCTCAAATTCTCAGAAAGTATGATGGAGCTTTCACTGTTCACTCAGTTAGGTTGGAGATGCTGTCCAAGATGAAAGATGTAAGATGTGTTGTGTATTGCATGGTAGAGGGGTGAGAGGGTGCCACCCACCCACTTCCTCCATCCAAATCACAATCCATTGCCATCCCATCTCATCATCAGACCCCTTTCCACTTTCCACTTTACAGTAGTACAATAGGTAACGTAGTACAGTTTACAGTCATATATTCCCCTCCCCTACCCTCCACCACGCCCATCTCACCCTCACACTACTACCATCCTTCACACTGCTCCTCTCCACCCCTACCCCGTAGACCGTGAGGATTGGGCCGTCGCACCCATGCGCGCCAGGTGGTGCCCGGCGAGGACGGCGGCGGCGAGGCGCGCGGGGTCGTAGTGCGCGGCGGCGCGCGTCCAGAGGGGGCCTAAATGCAACGAATGCGAGGAACGCAAACAACCGAAGGGGGGATGTGAGTGAGTGGGAGGTGAGGTAAGGGAGGAAGGAGGGACGCACGGTACTGCGCAAAGGATGCCATATCCCTCGGCTGGCTCTACAACCAAACGGGCATCAAATACCGAATAGTGCAAGTGAAGTGGAGGAGCGTACCCTTGACGCGAGATACGGTTGAGGATGCGCATGGGGGTCGGCGGATTCGCGGACTTGAAAGTATACATCGCCTATAAAACGGTAGTCAGTCGGTGTCGAGGATAGAAGGAAGGAAGGAGTACCAGGCTTTGCGGGGACAGCGGTTGGGGAATGGGTGAGGAGTGCGAGCAGGGTTTGGAGGATGGCGTGTGCGAGGATGGTGGCCAGGCGGGTCTAGGAGGAAAGTCAATAGGAGTACGGTATGGGATGGGGGGCACGGACTGCGGCAAAGAGCAAGTAGTATACGAGGACGGTGGGGAAGAGGAAGGCGAGGAGGGTGAAGATGATAGTGCCGAAGAGGAGCTGGTCGATGTCGTAGTGCCAGGAGTCTGTGCGGTGGCGGAGGACGTTGTAGTGGTTGCCGCGGAAGAGGTTCCAGAGACTGGCAGCGGTGGCGAGCATGTGTGCGTATATGGCGCGGGCGAGGGCGTAGGATGTGTAGAGGTGGGCAGTGGCGAGGGCGAGGATGTCTGCGAGGAAGGCGAGGGCGAGGGACATGCGTGCGGATGCGAGGATGCCGGTGAAGTAGACGAGCGCGGGAGTGTATGGCGTTGCTCGTTGGAGGAGGAGCGTGTAGGAGGCGAGGATGGACATGAATATATCGACATAGAACTGGCTGAGCTCCGTGTTCAGCTTGAGACCGGCGGGCCAGCTGTTCAGCCACACCAGCACCCACTCCACTCCCTCAACCGCACATTCCTGCCCCACAAATTCAGCACCCACTCACTCACTCACACAGACACACGGACCTTGAGCAGGACATCCAGCGCCTGTGCCAGCGATTTGTGGTGGTCGCAGAGATACGATCCAAAGACGACCCCGGCTGCGACGTCGACGAGCATGCCGACGTCGGTGGTCTTGTCGGACCCCAAACAATTTGCATCCATCCACGTGACCGTCCCTCCCCACTCCCCATCCCACACATCCTCTACTCAGCGCGCACCAGGCGGGCCTCGCCTGCGACCACTACGTGGGGCGACTATCGCAAGAATGGAGCGCGCCAGGCGACAGGAATGGCCGACGGAGAACCTGGATGCCTGTCCATACGTATGAGAAACGGAAACTGTGCCAAGTGCGACATCCCAAAATCCCCAAAACTTTTAAACCGGCCGCTATATATAGCCCCTCATTTTTTCGTTAGCGCCACGCCTTCCCTTCCTCCTCCCTTTCTCTTCTTCCTCTACGCGTCTACGTCGTCTAAGTAGACCACAAAGACAATGGGTGCATCCACAACGATGTCCTCGTCCACGACGACGGAAACGAAGCAGGCACACGACGAGACCCCCGCAGACATCGACATCCCCGACAACTACGTCGCCTACACCCTCGCCCACCAAAAGTCCCTCCCCCCCTTCCAGTGGCGCAACTGGCGTACGGAAATATCCTGGATCTCCTTCTCCCTCCTCACCCTCACCCCCCTCATCGGCATCGTCGGTGCCTACTACACGCCCCTCCAGCGCAACACCCTCCTCTTCGCTGTCTTCTACTACTACGTCACCGGCCTCGGCATCACCGCAGGCTACCACCGTCTCTGGGCACACCGCTCCTACAACGCCTCCGTGCCCCTCCAGTACGCCTTGGCGCTCGCCGGCGCAGGCGCGTGCGAGGGCTCCATCAAGTGGTGGTCCCGCGGCCACCGTGCCCACCACCGCTACACAGACACCGAGCTCGACCCGTACAACGCACACAAGGGCTTCTACTACTCCCACATCGGCTGGATGCTCGTCAAGCCCCGCCGCAAGCCCGGCGTCGCAGACGTCTCCGACCTCAGCAAGAGCCCCGTCGTCCGCTGGCAGCACAAGCACTACGTCAAGCTCCTCCTCCTCATGGGCTTTGTCGTCCCCACCCTCATCCCCTGGCTCTGCTGGGGCGACGCCCGCGGCGGCTACATCTACGCCGCCGTCCTCCGCCTCGTCTTTGTCCACCATGTAAGTCTCATCCCTCATCATCCCCCTAAAAGGTGCTCACAACCCCCCAGTCCACATTCTGCGTAAACTCCCTCGCACACTGGCTCGGCTCCACGCCCTTTGACGACAAGCACACCCCGCGCGACCACCTCCTCACCGCGCTCGTCACCATCGGCGAGGGCTACCACAACTTCCACCACCAGTTCCCCATGGACTACCGCAACGCCATCCGCTTCTACCAGTACGACCCCACCAAGTGGTTCATCTACACCTGCAAGCTCCTCGGCCTCGCCCGCCAGCTCAAGACCTTCCCCGACAACGAGGTCCGCAAGGGCGTGCTCACCATGCAGCTCAAGAAGCTCCGCGAGACCCAGGACAAGCTTGCCTGGCCCAGCGACTCCAACGACCTCCCCGTCGTCAACTGGGACTCTTGTAAGCATCACCCTCCATCTCCCATTTCCCCCTCTCTCTAACGTGGAATCTGCGTGCAGTCCAGGAACAGGCGCAGAAGCGCCCCCTCATCCTCGTCTCCGGCTTTATCCACGACGTCTCCGACTTTCTCGAGGAGCACCCCGGCGGCCGCCACCTCCTCGTCAAGATGATCGGCAAAGACGCCACCACCGCCTTCTTCGGCGGCGTCTACGACCACTCCAACGCTGCGCATAACGTGCGTCTCTCTCTCTCTCTCTTTATTCAATTCAAATGCTCATCGTTTCTTCATTCCCTCAGTTACTCGCGATGAAGCGCGTCGGCGTCCTGCACGGCGGGCACCCGCACGGGCTCGACGAGAAGCTCATTCCGCCGTCCCAGCGCCTCAAGATCGCGCGCTACAACGAGCTCAGCTCGCCGTACGCGAGCAGCGCCTGGAGCGACGGCGAGGGCATGCTCGGCTAATTCCTCACACGCGGAAATCCTGCCTACTTTGGGCGTGTTTTGGCAGTTCTTGCAGAGGTGGTCGGAGTGTTTTTGGAATTCCGGAGTTCTAGAGTTAGTTTTTTGGAGTCACGTTGTCGTTGCTTTCGCTGTACTTTACTTTACTTCCCCCTCCCTTCCGCTTACTTACTTAGATGATCCCCATCCCCTTTACGTACGTACTCACACACGCATACAACAAAGTAACGAACGAAGAACGAACGAACAGTTGCATATCATTAAATGAATTACACGTTAACTGACTGTTGAGTTGAGGGTGGGGAGTTGCGTAGCGGGGCCGAGGTGGAGATCTAGAGGGCGGAGAGGTGAGAGGGCGCGGTGAGGTTGAGGACTCCTCCGAGTCCGTCTGCAATGCAACTCACCCAAACTCACTGCCAACCCACCAACCACCAAAGCAAGAGGGGTAGGGTTTATGATTCAAAATCAAGTACTCAAGCACCCAAGTACCGAGCATTGCCATTGATTATTGAGTATTGAGTGAGTATCGAGTACCGAGTACCGAAATAATAAACACTGAATACCGCATGCACAGCGCACCCGGCGATCCTCCCTCTCCTTCTATGATAGCAATCGAGATCCACGCACACAGCACACTGCTAGCCTTAGCCTTAGCCTGTAACACACAAACGCAAACGCAAACGCAACTCAGGCAAGTGCAAATGCAAGTGCAAGTGCAAAGCAGCGGCCCCAGCTTCCACCCCGGCCCACCTGGCCACTGAGTACTGACAACCGGCGCCGCCCCAATAGACGTGCTCCCAATAGACGTGCCCCCAGCGCCCCAGCGCCCCGACATCAACGTTCAACCCCAGCCCACCACTTCCCCAGTTCACATGACGGCCACCCCGGGCCACCGCGTACCGTAACACAGTACACCCGTGAACAGGAGACCCGCCATCCAATGGCCCAAGCTCAAGGCCGTGGCGCAATACGGCGCACCCACTGTACAGTGCACGATGCCCGACGTCCAACGCCTGCCCCAGCCCGGCCCGGCCGAACGCGCGAACACCGTCCACGAACGCCCGTCCTCGCCGATGCAAACGGGACGAAGAAGGGCTCCGGGCCATCGGGATGCAGAGGACATTCCATCCTTACTCACTGCTCGTCCACGGCAGTAATGCAGTAATGGAGAAAGACGGGCGTGCTGCTATCATCAAATCGGGGGGATACTCTCTCTAGCCAGCAGCATCTCGCAGGCGCTGAGGCCTATGAGCACTGGATCCACCTGGACCTTCCGCCGTGCAACATCCCTATACCTGGGCTCGAGTCAATGATCGCGTTCCTTGCGCGGGGAGGGGAGCTTCCTACAGCGCCAGTGGCAGAGTAAACACCAGAGGATGCGATAGGCACGACGGAGGCCGCTTACTCCACCTTCGCATCCCATCGCCGGACCTGGGTGATCCATATATATTATGTATCTTGATAAACTGTCGGGTTACGGTAGGAGGAATACTAGCTCGTCGGTCCTGCTTCGACTTTTGCTTCGAGGACTTGTTCAGATACATTGCGAAACCGGCGTGGGTGAGAGGGATGCTGCGAAGGGCGGTCCAGTTGGTTCCTTGCCGACGAATCTGAGCCATGAGTCTGAATGATTTCCTCCCAATGGCCAAACCTATCCCAACGCTCAGCTTGGTCGAAACCCCGGGACCTCAGTGAGGCGAAATGCGTGCCGCGCGGCGTGAGCAGCGAGGTGCTTGAGAGTTCGGCATTACTGGTACAGCGCCGCCGTGCTGCTCACTGCCGTACGAACGGAGCTCCGAGAAGCGCGGCGACAGACGTGATCTGGGGTTCAAACGTTCACAAGTCGATGAACACGAGCAGGCGACGACGGCTCGCCGCCATGATGGTCGTAAACGATAAAGCGCTAAACTGTCGAGATCATGCAAAGCCTGGTCGACAGCTCTGCATTGATGTGCGTCGATGTCGACGTACCAACCCAGATCAGCCCTCGCGGTCGGAGGAGCTGTTGGCATCAAATGTTATAATTAATCTTTGGCCCTAACAGTGGCCTCCGAAGCCTCAACGTCAATACCGAGTTGAACGGCGTCCCCTTTCATCACCATCAGTCAAATCCAGGTGTTCGACATTCAATCAGTATTCAAGTACGTGCCATACATTTCCTAGTCAGTCAATAGTCAATTGTAGTAGTCGACTGGTTATCGGCTGAGGGTGTGGATGTGCGTGATGGCGGAGCGCTGATCTTTGGATTCCTGCCCAGGCGTTTGTTCCACAGGCCCGGAGACTGCGCCGGCGCCGTCAAAAATTGTCAGCCCGAGCTCGAGTACTCAACGTTGCAACGTACGGGGAGTAGCCTAACAACATCCACCGGCATCGACTAATTATTCAGCCTCGAGAATGCGTGTAGACCTTGCTTAAAATCATCCTGGCAGGCTAACGACACACATCAAAGGCGGCTCGATATCGCGGGCAACGTGGGTGATGGAAGCGTTAGCTCCAGTTCGTTGGTATCAATGGCTGAACTTTGAAATGAGAAGATCTTATGATGGCACAGTCCGAAATACTTCATTAGGTGGACAATCGTTGTCTATGATTGCAGGCGCTTCTGACCTTGACAACGGAAATGGAAGTTTACGCCGCATGTTTTCGGCGAGTACCTCGAATCGGAACAACTGAGCCGAGCTGCTGCTCGATAGATGTCTTCATGCGGTCCCCAGGACCATCTTTATGAAAATCCTCCGTTTTCCAGATTCCATCAACGGATGGGACCACCCAAAGTCCGGAAGCATTTGAATTCCCCTCCCGAAACACGATGGGTATCATGCATGATTGTCTTCGCGCGTGCACATGCTCGATCTGATTCCCGAGGGCCAGAAAGGACACGATCGTCCAAGGCTTTGTTCCTATATGTACCCCGCGCGTCTGCAGCACTCTCCGCACTCTCGCCCTTCTCTTCATGTTTAGCTTGCCGTGACAGCCAGGAGGACACATCGGTCCAACGAATATATGGTTTGTGACCCAATCTGCCACCCACTCAACCCTGCTGACATATTCACGCCACATAGGATGTTGTCTCAGCCTCTGTCGCAGCCAGTGGAACCGTCCTTGTGCGAGGGTCTTCTACTTGTACCAGGTCTGCATAACTGACTCGATAACCTGGCCTCAGGTTTATGACTTTCTTTGTACCTTTGATCAAGAGGTGAGCGACATGTATCCCCCTTATCTCCTCAGCCAGCTCATCGTTTGGCCCACCGCTACCAGGTTGCCTACGTCTGGTCCTCACCATGGACATTCGGGAGCTCCTTATTCTTTCTGAATCGATATCTCCCATTTGTCGATACTTTCGTGTCTCTTCGTCGTGCGTCCCCTTCCTTCATCCCCAATTGCGTTGGCCGTCAATCTTATTTCTCTGCCTGCTCTCGCAGTTTTGACAAGCCACAGCCAGACACCCGAAGTAGGTGCAGCCCCGAATCAGTCTTTACCACAAACTCATATCCCCCTTCCAGCAATGTACAACACAATTCAGAATCGTTCTATGTGCGCAATACCCCACTGCTCCGTTCCCCTTCGAGTCTAACGAAAGTATTGTCCATGGCACCAGGGTTCATCTTCTTTGGCATCTTCATATCTGAAAGTTCGTCCCTTTCGCGCACAGTCACCGCAGCGGCGCCTTAACCCCGTCTAGTAATCCTCATGCTCCGAACCTATGCTATCTGGAACCGCAGACGATCTATCCAAATAACTCTATATATCCTCTGTCTGGTTCGTCACCCTTCGCCTGTTGTCAGTACCAATAGTCGTCTGATACTAGATACGCTTCCACAAAAGCTTGTCTTCGTCCCTGGTCTGGTAGTGACCCAACTAGAATCGGCTTCTCTCATTTGTGAGTTGTTCCTTGAGCTCCGGCCTGAGCTATCCATGAAACGGGCTTTCGTTTCTAGATGGTCCATCTGAGGGTGGATGCAACCTCGAACACGCCAGTGTCATCATATTTGTAGCATATGTTCTCCTCGTCATCTCAGAAACCAGTACGCCCCTCCCCTCGCACTTCACCTCTGACGCTCTCCTCCTGACTCCTCTCCCCCATCCAAAGTAATCGTAACACTTACATTAATCAAGGCATTTCAACATTGTAAGCACCCCCTTGGTTCTCGCCTCGACGATGTGTTGATGGCTCATCTTCGGAACGAAAGTACGCCATACCCGTTCTTCATGGGTTGTACAATTATATCGCGATGGTAAGTGTCTGTCCTCCTGACACGCTGAGTAACCCGCTGAGGCATGAATTTCTAGGATTCCTATTCTACCTTTACCTTCTTGGTACTCCCTTTATCCACCATTTGGATCCTCAGACGTATTAAACATCACTATCCTATAGGTTTCGCCGTGGCGAACGTCATTGTACCTGTAGCAGGACCAGTAAGTCCTTCGGCTCTTACTCTATCAATCCCGCCTAACCACACCATCATCACGCAGCCTGAACTAGCGAATTGGCTCGCAACGTTCGTGCAACACTCATTCTGCCCCCTCCCGTTTCGCTCTACTTACCACTCCCCCCCGCCCGCAGCCCTCAACGCATTGCTCACTCCGTCCTCTGCAACCGCGTCCTATTCCTGATATTCAGGCAACGCACCCTCCATGCCCACCGCCGCCTCCCCTCGCATTCTGACCATTCGTCCTTCTTCACGCCGACACAGACGCCCAGGCGAAGCGACACGGGGGACAAGATATCGCAGTTCTTCTCCTCGTTCTTCACCACGCCCGAGGAGACGGGATATATGTTTCCGAGTGTTGATGCAATGACGCAGCAGGGTTCGGCGTCTGATGGGGGAGGCGAGGATGCAGGGCGTCGCACTGGTAGAGCGGCTCAAGAAGAAGAAGGGTTTGAGCTGAGGGAGTTGACGAGTAGCTGACTACCCCGATTCGCCATTCCGAATCACATCTAGTGTCTCTTCAGGTGGGTAACTGCAAAGCGCGTGTCCCACCATGGGCGCAAAGCCACAAGGTGCCACATCATCCCAAACGTCAGCCATACACTCCAGGATCACCAATTAGGCACGTTGCCGCAGTGAGAGGGACGTAGTGGACCTCGATAGTGATCTAGCCAGTTCATTCACTAGCTTAGCAGTAGCACCGTCGCTTTTTCAGCTGTTCGGAATCAGTCTGACTATATGCATCCATAATTCCGGAAGACGTCACGATTGACTACTGTCTAATGAGGTCTGCCTTCCGGTATGGCAACTTGTGGGTGTCTATACAATCAGCTCAACCCAGTTGCTACATTTCAATGCTCTTAGCGAAAACATTTCGGACTATTCATGTCAGTCAGTCTTCAAGCTTCCGGTCCAATGCACCTATTCCTCATGCAAATAATCATAAACCAAAATTACAGTAGAGTATTACAATTAATTAACCACTTAATAACGTGGTCGGTATTTCTCTTTTAACTGTGTCATGATCCTCTCGTTCCATCCATATGTAAGTGCGTTCGCTAATCCAACAAACTGAGTAGAGGCTTGCATCACTTGCGTTACCCGCGATGAACCACCTGATGCCTCGATGATGCGATTCGCTAAGCCCGGAATCCACAGAATGATGTAGAGCAAGGGGTATGCGTTGAGCAGCAGAACGCGCTGGATGGCACGCTCTCGAGGGTTTACTGAAGACGCTGGTTTGTTGGGTTTTTCTGCACGACGGTGTGCGAATACGTGCTTCAGTGACCCACCACTGGGTTTTGCCTGCGACTGTGAAGGGCCAGTAGGGATCGGCGAGGAGGGCTCCGCGTCGTAGGGATTGTCGGTGAGTGGGCCACGCATTTTTGGCAGGTCATCATCCGCAAAGGGAGAGGCAGGATATTCGGGATGCGAAGATGAGGCTACATCATGTTTAGACTCCGTACCATCAGCATGAGGTTGTGGAGTGAATGTAACCGGTGTCAATGGGATCGACTGAGTGAAATGATTGGAAGAGGTCGGAACGTTCGAAACGATAGGAACCGCGAGTCTGCGGAAATGTCGGCGAAGAAAGATATGCTACAATACACATCAGAGATCGCGCAAGTCAACCATTGGTGTGAAACGTACCAGGTATGTGTACAGAATGAGCTCGAGAAGCATGAAGAGATATCTCCAGCCATGTGTGAGAACATAGCGAAGGTGAACTGGGTTATCGACGAGCCAGCACCAATTCCCAGAAACCGGAGCATACCAATGTTTCCCCAAAGCAAGGAAACCTTCATGGTAAGCAATCAGCAGCTGATCTTGGGTGACATCGATATATGAATAGAATTGACTTACTGGTTGTGAACGGCAGCAACCATATGGCGCCAGTCACTCCCATTATCATTGGCCATTCCCATTCGCCTGAGACAAGACGCGAGTGGGACGTCTTGGTGATGGTGTACACGGTGACCACCGCGATCGCCAATATCGCACAGTCAGCGGCCTGCCGTACTTTTAGGTTAGTTGAAGAAGGGATAGAACACATCAACGAACCTGCACACTGATTTGACCGATGAAGCCGTTCAAGACGCACGCCGGGCCAGAACTCAACTCTCTCTTCTTGATGAGAATCTGCGAACCCGATGCAGAGTTGTTGACCGAGTTGATGAAATCTATACGCATGGGATGCTGAGAGAACGGAACTATATCGGCTGACGGCAGACTTACCAGCGACGGCAAGATTAAGGATCAAGACGTGACGAAAATGGCGGCGTAGAGGCAGCGCAAGGTAACACAAGATGATGAATCCCGAGCCCAAGGCAGACAGGATGCCCCCAGTGAAGTTGAGGATAGACATCGCCAATGTGAACCCCTCGATGGCCATGGTTGCTTGCAGTAGCGAGTTGGATGAGAAACCTCATGCAGCATGGATTCGTTGCTTTTGAATGCACATGAAAGCTATGCTGATGCCAGTCGTCGGTTGCGATATTGTTGACATTTGCGAAAAATGCAGCCCAGGAACTCGTCGAGCGTTCGGGGGATGCCCTAGCTACGCCGCCTCCATCCATAAGGTCGATACCAAAACATATTCACGGTTTCAAGATGACTATGACTAGTATCACAAGGAATTAGTGTGCGGCATTTTCCATGTTGAAACCTGTAAGTTTTCGACAAGTATTTGGAATTGAAAGACGGAGAACATACCTCGACGGACATGTTACAGCATTCCAGCCCGAGAAGAAGAGAGACTGTCAAGATCAAACAAATCCGTGGGCGTCTAATCAGCCTCCGTCTTCTGACCTCTACATGCTCACGACATGGCTCTTTCCCTGCGAAGACGAAGCCTGACTCGTCTCCTTTTCCTCTTCACCGTCATCTTCTTCCTGCGTCTTTTCTTCTTCTCATCCTCTTCCTCAAGCACCGTTTCACCGAGTCTGAGAATCCAAAATGCGCACGAAATCAAGGAACACAATTTCTTCGAACGCGCGACGCGGCCGGATAAGAGTCTCAATGTTCAGAAGTATAAGTTTCTGCAGTCGAGGATGGGACGTGATGACAGGGAGGACTTGTTCTCTGATCTGGTGAGGAACGGCGCACGGGATTATTGGGAGCGTTTCCAGCTTCCTTAGTGAGTCTACCATATCAAAGGGTTCCTCGCGTCGAACACTAACTCTGGTGGCGTGTAGCATCACAGGCAGAGAGACAGCGCATACAGATGCTCAGACCGTTGTTTCGGCCATAGACCAACTCCTTTCGTTGAATGGCTGGGTGGCCGGTCTCTGTCCTACACTCGCACGTCCGTTCGGACAGAACCAACATCACAGTGCCTACGACGACCTTGTCAAAGAGAACCATCTTTACTACGTCGCTATAGTCATCCACTCCGCCGACCACTTCCTGGTCGATCAACTATCCGTCATCGTCCAGATGGTTAAACGCTTAGGGACACAAAATGTTTTCGTTTCGATGCTCGACTACGACTCGACGGATTCTACGGAGACGCTGACAGACTTGTGTGAAGCGGTGTTGACGTTACTTGGAGTCCCGTATCGAATTAGACGCGTCCCTTCCATGACGGCGGATCCTGTGGCTGCATATTATCCATCAGAGGAGGCGCACATGAAGAATCTGGCTTTAGAACCTTTGTTCGAATTGTACCACCGAAGGAGCCTGAAGTTTGATCGAGTCATTTGGCTGAAGGGTTTTACGTGCCCCAACGACATACTGGAAACAATCAAAGTCAGTTTCATCAATGACGCTGCTATGGTCTGTGGTATGGACTGGGCAGAGCACAATGGATTCTTCATTTTCTCAGACCGGTACGCACTCGTCCATATGTGCTCCATATAATCGTCTTGTCTAACACCATGTAGATGGCGAACTCGTGACATAGATGGCGACCAGTTTCGTCAGTCAAAGTCGTCGTCTTCGAAGGAAGATACAGTACCGCCTCGCGACAAAGTCGGGGCCTCTCGTTACGCCCAATACCTCCCTTTCCAAGTATTTTGCTGCGAATCGGGAACGCACGTCGTCGACCCGGAGCAATCTTACTATAAAGGCATCACGTATCGTTCTGGCTGGGAAACAGGGGACGTGCACAACGTTACGAACGGAGGCTCACTCCCCTCGCGTGATCCAGATAGCCCTTGCTTGGACAGCAGTCAAGCGTGGTTCTGCAGAGATTTATGGGTCCATACGGCTGGAGAGGGAATGAACGAGATGGATCACGGTATCGCTGATTCCGAACGACTGAAAAAGCGACAGGAGAAAGTTGCTGCTGCTCAGGCTGAAGAGAAGAAGAATGAACCCGCAGCTGACGATGCAAAGAAAGTCCCAGGACCTGCAGCAGGACCTGAAGGCGTCGACGAAAGCGTGCGCACCCCCCAAAGCGACGAAGATGCCAACGCCGGCTCGGACTTTGACGCCATGCCTGATTCAGAGGACGTTCCTATGAACGACGTGACACCCCTCAAGTTGACTATCCCCAATGGGGCCTATCGCCCCGCGAGGATACTGGTGAATCCCCGATGCGTGACGACGTACGCAGGCGTCAGTCATACGCAGTTGGCCTTGGATCTATTCGGCCCACAGAGAGAAGAGGAGGAGAAGACTGCTGAGGCTGGAGATTATGTGCTAGAAGACTGGGAAGGGGCACCAGAGAGCTTTGTTTGCCAAGAACAGAGGTCTGTAACTATTTTTCTCGTACTCCTAGGGGTGGGTTGCTCAACGCTCCACCCTCTCTATAGGCAAACCGGTGGCAGAAAGGCTACGAAGACTCAAAGGAGGCTAGGGTTCTCTATTCACGATGAATTGCATCGGAGTTATGGCTCGTGAAGGACTGCTAGATTTTGGACATTGCTTTCTGTTTTGTGTATTATGTTATAGGTGTATGATTATTATGGGCGCTCGCGGTCCGCTGTCGTCACAAGCTCATCTCCATTGAATCATACTTGGCGGTGCACTGACGCATGGGTAGGAGAAATGGACTGCATATATTTCCAGTGATGCACCGGTGTATTTTGGCCTGGAAGGCGTCAGTAGGTGGTGCGATGTTCCTAGTGGAGTCTGCATGCGTCAACCCGGAAGTAAAGGGATCGGGCGTTACCGTTCCTTTTAACTCCGATTAAATTCTACGAACCTTATTTCAGCCACCCACAACATTCCTCGCCATCGTCACGCCGAACTTTCCACAACCGTCTTCGCATTATTCAGACATGGTGAGTTACGCCGCCCTTCCGTCGTCTGAATCCATTCTCAGTGGCTCACCTGAATCGACTTTAGGATTCCACCTCAAAAGCCCCCGTTAAGCTCGCCAAAGTCATCAAGGTCAATTGATTCACCATTCAATCAAGGAGAGCTTGAACTGACCCTTATCTGGATTTACGCATTTCTGTGTTGTATAGGTCCTCGGAAGGACTGGCTCTCGTGGAGGTGTGACGCAAGTCCGTGTCGAGTTCATGGACGATACCTCGCGAACTATCATCCGTAACGTCAAGGGCCCTGTGCGGGAGGAGGACATCCTCGCCCTTTTGGAGAGTGAACGTGAAGCTCGGTATGTCTACATCAGCTATCTTCATTGAGACTTTAAATCTGATGATACTTCCGCGTGAAGTCGTCTGCGATAGATTATTGTATTGCCGCCCTTCCATCTGTGTCACTTTTGCTCGTCCCATCACATCTACTGCATTCCAAAATTTGTATGCCATCCCATAACATCTGGGCTCTCCTACGAATCGATATTCGGTGGCTCTGCTATTAGCCATAACAACTCTGCCTGATGGGAACGCGAAACTGAACAGCCAATATCCTACATTTCGCCTTATCCAGCTTAGAATTTGATAACAGATGAGAGAACGTGAAACATGAACGTTGTGTAGGATAAATTGATCCCATCGGTCGACCGCCTCTGACGCTCAACGACCTTGCCCAGGAGATCCCCAGGCAACGCCAATCACCGCTAACGACTTCGAGTTCAGAAAGTTCTATTGATTCACATACATTTCATGATACATTCATTCTTTGATAACATACACAATAAAAACAGGTTCGTCCCCTCAGGCCTCAGCTCTCTCTCCGGCTGACCCAATAGGAGCCATGCGGCCACTCGTATTCAGCAATGCTTGTCTTATGCATCTCAATACTATATCCCTCAAGGGGATTCGTCGGAACGTTATAGCGACCTTGGTCGTTGATGGAACAAGGTGTGACGAAGTGTTCGTGGAGGTGGTCGACGAATTCCAGCACATTGCGTTCCATGGTCCCGGAAACCGCGATATAATCAATCAAGCTGCATGGCGTTTCCTCAGTTAGCGAACTAGACGTATGGGCATGTTCGAATGAAGGAATACCTTAAATGAATCACGTATTCGCAGAGCCCGACACCACCTGCGTGAGGGCAGACGGGGATACCGAACCTAGCCATGGACCCTCAGCATCCCGCACTCAGATGATAATTCGCGTCGTTGGCACTCACTTGGACGCCATGAGCAAGACACTCAGAACCTCGCTGACGCCAGCTAAACGGCAAGAATCGATCTGGGCGACGTCGATAGCTTCGGCTTGGAGGAGCTGCTTGAACACCATCCGATTATGCGCGTGCTCGCCGGTAGCAACGCCGATCCCGTGTGGCTTCAAGGCCTTTCGAATTGCCGCGTGGCCCAATATGTCATCGGGCGCGGTGGGTTCTTCGATAAACCTGCAACCAACACGTTATCCAACTGTTCTCATTTGGATAGGGATTCGCTTACCAAGGCTTAATCTCCTCAAGTCCTTTGACATAGTCAATCGCCTGATTAACATCCCAAACCTGATTCGCGTCGATCATCAATACAGCACCGGTCGGTCCAGCATTCTTTCCTCTCAACTCAGGACCGTTGGGGTCTCTGGGTTCCGCGCCTGCAGGAAGATACTGCGGGTCGTCGATAATAGACCGTATGATCTTGCCTCGCCGGAGATCATTAGCTTGATCTGCGCCGACCTTCATTTTGAAGTGGTTGAAACCCGCTTGGACAGCTTCCTTGGTGAGCCTTGCGACTTTCTCGTCCGTGTAGCCCAACCACCCTGCAGAAGTCACATATGCAGGGTAGCTAATGAACCCAATTCAACATCGTCCAACGGCAAGGGGATGGTAGAAGGGAAACGTACCCGAGCTCTCTGACTTTGGCTTCGCGTTCCGCTTTGGTGGCTGCTTTCTCCTTGAGCATGGCCAACGCTTCCTCTTTCGTGATCGCGTCCGAGATATACCGGAACGCAGTAGCGCTTACGAGTTCCTCCTGTAATACGCAGCGGTCAATGCTTGTCGCGAAGCGACATGATCGACGTGGACACGAACGGGTGTGAAGTCTACGACGAGTTTCCATAGAGGTTTCTGCCTCGACCGAGCATACATATCCCATAGCGCGTTGTTAACAGCTCCGGAAGCGATATGGATCACTCCTTTCTCTGGTCCAATCCTGGATATGACGACAGAATTTAGAACCTAGATAGAAGTGAAGGTGAAGCCCCATCCGTGACAAAACTGACCATCGAAGTTGTGGATCCGACATCATGAAGTCCCACGTCTTTCCCATATCCTTGAACAGCTCTTCCGTCTCTTTCCCAACCAGCCTATTTGCTACCGCTTCGATAGCCATGATAACCTAGGCAATGTTGTTAGCCAGTGAATCCGGTATCGGATAGGTACTTACAATATCGTTCCCCCGACCGATGGTAAAGGTCATTCCATGACCTACAAGGTCAGATTCCGTTTTGAGTGTGATGTACGCGGAGGAGTAGTCGCATTCCGTGTTCCTTGGGTGCAGGTTAGGGCAACGATCCTGAACTGTATTGAGGTAAGGGGATTAACGAACATTGCATCGGTCCCATCTCCGCTCAGCGAGGTTGGGAATCGCACATCTGTGTGCCTGGGTCAGTTCATGATGCGGCTATGAAGGAAAGGTGGAAACCATGGGTCTCGTATCCAGTGATTTTGACCATGACTTCCTGTTTTCTTGAGCCAGGTGGCGATAAAACACAAATTGTATACGGAGAAATCGCATCTCTGTGACCTTATAACGGCTCAGCGTAGGTCGTATGCATGTGGCCTAGGGAGTTGTTGCAATTATCCGCACGGGCCGGGTCGACATAGCGGACCGTCACAACCGCTGGACTCTCCCCGCTGTCCATGGTTTGTTTCTCGACAGCTATGAGCATCGCCGCGCCCTCTGTTGTGAGAGCGAATAGGTGGAGCAATGGCAACGTCCTTGAATGGACTTGCTGGCTATTCACGAAAGCTGGTGCTCAGAACAAGGTGGTGCGTTGGAACTGTATCCCGACAGTCTCTACCACACCCTTCCTCGAGGAGCACCTCTCTTCTCGAGCCTTCCAGGCAAGTGTATTGGTATATAACTCGCCTCTGGAGACAAGACGCCCTTCCTTTCCCGGTCCTTCGACGTGCTAGCTTAACGAAAATGGTGGCGTATATAACTGCTATCAGGCAGGCCAACTGGATTTCTCCTAAAGCACGCGAGGTGGACACGCGAATCCTTGGGACTCTGCACACAACAATAGCTCAGTGCACCGAGGTAACTGGCCCATCGTTGCGGCATAGACTCGCGGGTCGACACTCTGTTGCTGCTGCACCGATCACAAGTTTGCGTGGATTCCAGTGCCTCTGAGGTAACTTGACCACCACAATGGCAACGACTTGGCGCATAGCGACAAGCATTTGGATCCCCAGGTGCTACTCATCGATGCGGGGCGCGAATGAACTGTTACGCGTCCGACATCACTCGCATCATGCCCGATAGAAATGGGGTAAAGCCACGCCAGAAGCCCGGGCGATCTATGAGCTACTAGTACTCGGAATGCAGAAGGTGCTTCATCTCTGCCACTCTGCGCACGTTTCTATTCAGCACTAACGCATATAAAGGAGTCCATGAAGCTCTTGGGGCCAGGCCTCCACCTGGAAGATACACACCTCTTCTGTCGTCGCGCCCTCATCAAGGGCTTTCAGGCTCTTGGCATATTCCAGAGCCCAAGTTCCCCTGGCTCGAGTTCATGGAACTCAGCTGAAGCCATTCTAGCTTCTGGCATCAGTTCAGGTTCAGCGTCCTTCTCTCATGGCGTTGGGAAATCATTGGGGATGGCACGGTGTGCCTAGAGCAAGCAAGCAAGCTAATGATTCAACCATGCAAGCTGAAGAGACGAAAGGCCACGAGAGCTTCTATTCATTCCTAGACTTCGATTGCCCCTTGAACAGAATATAGCTGTGGTGGGTAGTATTCGTTGTCAAATTACCGGCGCAGTTTTCTGAACCCCGCAACATTGTAGACGGTGGAACCCAGGTGTCACTTCTGACCTCATCTCTTTGCGACACATTAAAGGGTATGAAAGAGTCGGGTTTGTGAGGATTGAAGATCACGGAAACTGGCTACGAAAACCCGACCACCGTGCTAAGCGAGCTGCAACGTTGCTTGGGTTGAAGGCGTGTGCTCTGGGGAACTCTGAAAGGGGAAGACTACCATACTTGCAAGTTAAAATGTCGACGAAACCCAATGGATAGGTTTGTGTTGACTACCAAGGGCCCGCCCATACCGGTAGGCTTTATTTTACTCAACCAGACCATCTTACCGCTTTCGAAAGCGGATGTGGATGCTCCGGGTCTCCGCGCACTGAATCTCCCGTGTTTCCATTTGCTATCCATCATCCATCCTTTCTGTTCGCTAATCACTCGTCAATCAGTGCGTTGGTGTCATGTCAGCCTACAATTACGCCCATCTACTAATTCAGGTCCACAATATAAAGCCATATCATTGAGTCAACGAGTCTAGAACGTTTTGACTGATTGGTTATCCTCATACTGATTGATGAAAGTAATACATAGATAGATCGTTGCGGCGTTAACGCTCTCTCAGACCATGTCGAAAGGATCATTTTAAAAGAAGCTCCAAGTAAGTATGTAACATACTTCTTCAATTAATATTTATTCGCTACCTATGGTCCCAGGCTCTATGGAATGAACGATGCCCCCGCTGCCATCATGCCCCAAGTGAAATTTGTTCCTTAACGAGAACACACCCACTCAGATGCAGTGTTGAACGTTCCTTACCACGCGTTCACCACTTCCAGGTTCCTAACTGGTTATCGCGAGGATACGCATAAACTTATAAACGACGGCGAGCGGATCGTACATATGGGTGCGTATCATCGCAAGTTCTATGGGTAATCATCGTTCCTCATCGTCACTCGCGTTGTTTATACCCAAGGTTCAGGTTGTTTTTAACCTGGCGTTCCTCGGACCTCGTTCAATGCGATCTCCCGCGCAGGTTCAAGGCCAGTAAGGCTAATCCGAGGTACCTGTATTTTTCTCATCCATTCATCACGGCCGGACTCACCGGCGGTCCACTTCACGTCGGGAGGTCAAATCATGAATAGGTTGGGTTTATATTCCAGCCAATCAGGGATCGATGCCACTACTTACCACCATGATCACTCTCTCAATCGATGATCGGTGCCGAGTTGTCAACATATGGGAGTCTCGAACACAAGGCTTTGAGCAATGCGGTTTCAATTTGGTCCTGGGAACGCCAGCCGTCGAATAGAAGACAGACATAAATTCAATAGCCAGGGCCCAGGGCGCGAAGTTTGACGAAGAAGAAGAAGTGATGTTGATTGACACCCACGTACGGCAAATGACAGGCGAGTCTGGAAGTGAACTCGGCCGGAATGCAGCAAAGGGCAAGCGGAAACAAGCGGTCAACGGAATGTGGCTTGGATGGCCAGGGGGGAACAGCCGTCAGGAGAGAAGCAGAGTGATTGGTGATACGTCTGCATGATTCACGGCAAGGAGCGACCAAGGGGGATGGATGGGAACTCGGAGGATGATCGGTGAGACGGGATGGGGAGAACTGTGGTGCTATATAGTCTATCTGCATGACCCTCTCTTACTCGCAAGCCGCTCGCCTTTCGAACAGCCCATCCTAAAGGACGCATTTCAAGATGAAGACTTTCTCTCTCTCGTTACTACTGCCAGCCCTCCACCTCGCCTCAGGCGTATTCGCTGCTTTTGATTTATGTGTGTGCTATTCGCGTCCATTCGTCGGCATACGGCAACACTTATTATTGCCAATCCACAGCCCAAATTGTGACGAACACAAACTGTGTTGGGGCGACCCTGCTTACCAACACGACGTTCGTCGTCGCAAATAACAAAACAGTGTTTCTATCGACTGTGCAATGTTCCTCCTTCTCCGCCGCTGGAAGTGGTGGGGGCTCATTGGCTTTCAAGTCCACCTCGAAGGACCTGATTATCGGCGGCGGCGGCATCATAATTCAAGCAAGTATATGGAACATATGGCCTTTGTGCATTTTGTTCAATACCTGTAACCCCCCCAAACCACCTAAACCTACTACCTCGAAGACAACGGCAAAACCTACTTCTACATGTATGTGTTCCGGGATCCATTACCTCTCTTTTCATACTCACTTCAATCCAATTACGCAGTCCATTCAGAGTCGGTCTCGTCGGCAACGCCATCGTCCACCCCTGCCGAGCCGACGCCGACGCCATCACCGCCGCCCTCCGGTCCCATACATGTGTGTGGCGCTCCTTGTGAGTTCCATTCTCTCAACAATTTGACTGTTATTGATCGTCATTTTTGTCATTTTTCTTTCGTTATTCTGATTTTGATTGTTCGACTGATGTACTCCTCAGGCGCAACCTCATGTGACAACAACGCGGGTGTTCTCCCGCCCGTAGATGAAGATTGCGAAACAATTGATGATGCAATCAAAGTACGTCCCGCCCCAATGTAGCCTTAGCATCGTCGTGACCAATTGGACACAGATATTCGCTGGCGAGTCTCCGCAGTCATTTGTAGTCGCCCCTCAACACGTCGAGACTCTCACCTCTGGGACTTGCGCCTATTTCTTTATCAACTTTAATCCCGTTCCGGCCTCTGCAGGAGATGGTACAGCTACGGGGGGCAACGAAGGTGATATAGAAGCTTGTTGGAGCGACTTGGTATGCTTTCGAATGTTCAGTTCTGGACTCATCATCTCACAAGACTGTTTTAGTCCACCGATTCCCTCGCGGTCCGCACATCATGCTTCCCACCCGCACAGCCATTCACTTCCGGAGGCCTTTGTACATCTAGTGATAAATCGTGGGCTGTCGGGTAAGTCGATTAGATTATATCATGCGTACGAGGTTGCTAACTCTCGGTTCATTTGTAGGGCTGCGCACTCCTAAACGCAACCCGAAGGTTGGGGAGTCAAAGTCCTCCAAAATCGTGGAGAGCGGCCTTCTCGCCCACAATCCATGCCCTATGCTTTTGTTCCGTTGCCGTCACTTTGCTCTTTTGATGTTGAACTTTGGACTATTTGGCTACACTCGTCTTAGACTCTATGAACCTTGGTCATCGTCCATACTTATTGTTGAACTCGAGCTATTCAAGTCCTCCTCCGCGGCTCCTATACCCCTTCTGGTTCCGTAGTGTTCAGATTCCATATCATGGCCTGTGTATACCCCCGCTCAGCCCCGAGTCGATGATATAATGTGTATCGTGACCAAAGCTTTGTGTTCTCTTTCCAATACAACAAGCTTCGTTTTACCGAGTTACTGACTGATGCACGCACCTCTTCAAGACATGGATTCCTGTATAGTTGAGCGAAGTTGGGCTTTCTGTTGATTTTGGACGAACCGACTTGGGCGCCTGTTTCACGAAACCTTCTTCCAGAATTCAACAACTCACCGATCCTCCTTGATTGCCCTCCTTCGTTTTTACCTGTAACATGGATCTGGCTTTTGTGGAGGTTTGTAACTTCTATTTCATCTATCGTCTACTTATAAGATGCACAGCAACCTCAGAGCGCACTGCTTCGTCTAAATCTGAAATTGGAATCCGAAACGCAACTCAGAAACACTCGCCAGAGCTGAGCCTGGAGAGCATAGCAACCCAATCCTGGGTCTGATTCAACTCAACGGAAGGGCATATGGATTGGGCTCCACCTCCAGGCCAAGCACCCCTCTTTACCCCTTCAGGTCGCCCGACGGTGTTGCATCTCGGGTCGCGCACGCATGACCTAGGGATTCGCAAAGCGAAACGTCTCAGAATCGTATCGACCCAAGTCGCAGGCCCCATTCGCCCCATTCGATAATCCCCCATGCATCACAGTATCACTGAACGCAGCCCGACACACCATATTCTCGAAACGGGACCGTGTAACACGCCTTTCGGTCGTTTCGGTAGTATTGAAGCATTCGCGTGGTGTATCAAGTGGTGGTGTGTGTATTACGCTCGCTTAAGTACTACACACTGAGTACAGCGCACAGGTTGCACACCCGCGCCCCATCATCTCTCGTCGCGACGCACACACTCTATCAGTAACGAGTTGCTATAACGCATCTACCCCACTCCCATTTCTCCCCTCGACTTGACTTTCTACAGGCGCGGGTAGCCTATCGCGAGGAAGAGGTGCTGGTATAGGAATCAAAGATGTCAGTTGATTGTGAGTCGGAATATCGAGGGATTGAGGAGGGAGTAGAACGAGATCAAGACGATAAAGAGACGGAGAATGATGGAGCGCTGAGAAGGTTGATTCGCGCGAGGTCGAGGAAGTCTCTGAGGGCTATCGACATCGGCCTCGAAGTCGAAGATTTGAGCTCGCCCCCACCACTCAACTCGGACGAGGCACCACCGAAGGAGAGGACTCCGAATAAGACGAAGAAGCTGCCTCTCCCCCTCCCACTACCACCGGCGCCTTTACCTATGCCACCAACACGTCCCCTCTCACGTCCCCGTCCCCTTCCTCCACCTAACCCGTCCAATATGAAGCCAACGAACAGTCGTACCCCCCTGCCACTGCCATTACCCCCGACGCCGCCAATCAACTCCACGGGATTGATTAAGAAGAGCAGCTTGAAAAAGCGCACCATATCCAAAATCCCGCCCCTCCCACTACCCCCTACCTTTTCGCCTCTCTTGACTAGTTCATTTGGGACAAATGGGAATGCAAACGGCAGGGTCACACGGGTTCCCAGCCTGCGGGCGAATTTGAAGTCAAGTAGATCAGGAAGTAAAGGGAGTGGGAGTGGAGGGGCGAGGGATACCAATGACAACGCCAATGAGAGGGTGGTGAGTTCACTTCTGACTCTCCCTTTCTCTTCAGTTTGAGTACCGAGTACTGAATTGAAGTTGCATAGCATAGCGTTGGTATAGAGCTCAACATAACACGGAAGTCTTCGATACTGAGGCGGTACGGCTCTATACGCCGCTCGCGCGCCCGCCTCACGACCGATTCAAACACCAATGCTCGGTGGAAGGAAGAAGAAATCGACGATCTCGATTTCGAAGGCGAAGTAAACGAAATCATTGATGCCTATACCTACGCTCTGATATCCGCTCCTGCTATCACAAACGCCAGCTTCGGCTTTGGCCTCGGATCTGAGATCCCTGACTTTAGGTCCGCCTCCAGCCACGACGGATCCAGATATTCCAAGTACTCCAGATACTCCAAATACTCGAAGGGAGATGTTGTGACGCCGTTTGTAGGGTTCGAGTTCGTGACGCCGCCGTGGTACGTTATGGCAAAGGGTTTGGCTACTGGGACGAGCGGCGCCGGTGGGATGCGGATGCGGTTGAGCGGAGATTACGAGTACGACGAGAAAGACTATGGTCCAACGCCTGGGGGATACCTCTCTGTCTCTCGGAATGGTTTTGATTTTGGGTTCGATGGGGAAAGGGAGGAGAGGGAGGAGATGGGGGGAGATGGCTCGTTCAAGGCATTCACAAGGGGCGTCAGTGGAATCCCGCGGACGGCGCATGCTTTGTCACTGCACGAGTACGAAATCGAGACGCTGTCGAGGAACGGTAGTATCGGCAGCGTGAGTAGGAGAGGGTGGACTACTGCAGATGAAGAACGAAAACGCGAATTGAAACGTGGCGGCGGCGGCGGCGGGAGCGGTGGTAGTGGGGAGAGTCACGGAAGACCAATGCTAAGGCCACTGAGTATTCCGTCCCCCTCGTCGTCTGGGACCGCGAGCTCCAAATCTGCGCATACGAGATCGGGGATGGCGACATCGCTGTCCATGAAGAATACGAGTTCTGGTTTCCGCGTGAAGACAGATGCGAAGACGAGGAAGTCTATCTACCCTCTCTCAGCGCATCCGTCCACTCGAGCAACACGGGCGGTCACCCGACAGTATACTGAGTATACTTATACTGTGGGGTTGGGAGTGGTGGCGGGGTTGGAGCTTCTAGATGAGGGGGGCGATGGCGCTGGCGCTGGCCGTGTTGGTGTAGGAGAGGCAGGAGGGGGAGGGTTGTTGTCAGCGACAGTGCAAATCCGGTCGGCGACGTTACATTCGGCAACTTTTTCGTTCACAGCCAAGAACCCTCATTCACATCCGAAGAGCGGCCTGAGCACCGGCAGCCCACTAGCAAGCCCATATTGGAGGTCTCCGGTGCTAAGGGTGAACAAGAATCGATTTGCAGCTGATTTCTCAAGCAGTGTCGGGGATGTTGAACGGTGGTTTGGAGGGTTCGGAGGGAGGTTTGGGGGAAGTGATGACATTGACGACGAGGAGGAAGTAATCGTTCTGAGGTCTGCGGATGTGGAGGAATTAAGGAGCGTCAGTGTCACGGTTAGTCCGATTGAGGTTGACGAGTCGAGGGGTTTTGTATTGGGAAGGCAGGATGAGGAGGTGGAGGTGGAAGGGATGCGACCGTTTTGGCCTTCCGAAGGACAACAACCGAGTTCACCCCCTCCACGTCTTGACGTTCAGCCATTCCACGAGCCCCTGGATATCGATGTATCATGGATCCACGAGGAGAAAGAACAAGTCGAGGCGGGCGACGGGCAGGCTAGATCTAAGAGGAAGGCAGCTCCACCTCCATCGACGCCTTTGTTGAAGGACGAATGGGAGCGGCATATGCAGCGTGACGACGAAGCTCATATGGCTAGTAAGGCTGCTGAGTGGGAGCCGACACCGCCACTGTCAAGCGCCCCGAGTTTACTGCCTCCTCCTGTGCCACCGAAGCTGGATGACCACTTACAAGGTCAAGGGACCATGGGCGCTGGCGAATGGACGACCAGATTCGTGGAGATGATCACACCGCCGAACTCGAATGATTCGCCTCCCCCTTTCCAGAACGTAGGTAACGCCGAGCGGATGCCGTCCAATGGCGGAGTGGGGGTCAGCAGCCATGGAGGGGACGGATGGGAGAGTGTGAGAGGCCGACTAGAGGAAAGCGTGAAGGGATCTGGAAGGAACGAAGGTGTGGTAACGGAGAAGGATGTAACGGATGTTAGGGCGCTGTTAGCTGGCGCGAGAGGTTTCTCGATTGGGTCTCCATACGCATCTACATCGATGTCAGCAAAATTCTCTTCGCCCACGCACAATAGAAGTCAGTCCGAATCTGCGCTTGTTTGGAGTGCGGCACCACCCACCACGGGGAGTTTCCACGGCTACTCGGCGACACGGACGAAAGCAAAAGTGCTAGCGATAGGCGAGAAGGGGAAAGGGATTGGCAAGTTGCTTGGGAAGAAGATTGGGCTGACGGGGTGGAAAAGGGAGGAGGAAGGAGAAATGGTGATTAGTTCGCCGATGATGCTGTCCGAGAAGGACTATGTGCGAATGTGGGAGGAGAACAAGCGGGGTGCTACGAACGACATAGTCTCAGACAAGCATCACGGTAAGAAAAACAAGAAGGAGAAGAAAAAGAAGCCGAGGGTTGTCATCGACACATCTTGGGATTTTCTGGACGGAGGGGAGTCAACGCCGCTAAGCGTCTCAGCATATTCGACTAGGGGAGGCGGTATGTTGGTTTTATCGCCGCTGCACCCGCATTTAGAGGAGGCGACTCGGTATGTGGTTGGGATCGGCTCGCCGAGGTTGGGAATGTCGATGAAGGTGCATACGAATGCAGACGTAAACGATTCGCATCTGAAGGCGCTGCATTCGAGGGACGACGAAGGAACGCGGAAGAGGGGGAGGAATGTCCCATTTCCAATCGGTGGGAGACCCTTGAAGAAGCGGTCGACTTCAGGATCGTCTGGGAATATGAGTTTGCTCGACAGCAATGGGATCCCGCGGCGGGATAGCGATGCTTCGACTTCGTCGAAGCGCTCCGGAAGAACTGCCGCCCCCCCTCCGTTGAAGGGTCCGCCGCCTAGCGGTCCACTGCCTGGTGTTCCGACGCCTCCCCCACCTCTTTTATCTCCTCCATCTTCTTCGGGGACATCGGAATCATCGGGAGAATGCGTCCAATTTCATACCACGGAGCCGCTCCGAGTCAAAGTGCCCAGGAGGATCATGGTAGGGACTGCATTATGAATGTTTACGAATACGATTGACATTGAAGATATGGTATTCTCACTTCTATTTATTATCTATGTATCGCATCGCAATTGTAACTGAAATTAAACGTCTTTATCATTACCGCTTAATCCGTAAAAATGTGATTAGTTCCCTGTATCGCTGCTTAGACCTGGACAGTGTCTCGCGCAAGAAAATGAGAATGGCCGCCCAGCTGAGGGGGGCTACACTCCCAACGCAGCCAAACATTCCTACATGCCCCAACACACCAGTGGCTCACCAGGATGCACCAGCCCTCAGGAACCCTGAAAATGCAGAGACTCACGCCAATGCTACCGCAAACCAGAACGTTGGGGAAAGTGGCAAAGAAACATCGACAGACTGATGCTAGCTTGAACCCCACTCTAGGGAGGAGGAAGCTATGGAGGACGACATTCCAGATATTCCAACAAAATCAACCCATCCCACTAGGAAGGCTGCTGGGGAGTCATGGTGGGAAAGTTGCCCAAGCAATGAACACAGCCCAATTATGCACGGCAGCCAGCTCCAAACTTACCGGCTCCTCTGAGGCAGCTGGCTTTGGGCAAATAGCACTGACCTCCCCCCTGCCCCCTGTGGTGAGCATCCCCCAACTGCAGCTATGGCCTGGCTGCTCTGGCTGCACTGGTGGCCTCCTCTACCACTGAAAACACAACCATGCCAAGATTGACCTCTGAAGAGCCAGCCTAGGCCCTAATGCCGACACAGAGCTGAGGTTGAGTCCTTGAATTTGATTTGTCAGATGCTGAAGATGCAGAATCCAATGAAGCTTGTAGATGTGCTACGGCTCCCAATTAGATTCTCAATATATATATGTCTATGATTCAAGCCTGAGTCCATGCATGACGAAGTCATAGGTCTGAAGCTTTTACGGAATTATTACACATCTCCGAATCTACTGGTATGAACAACGCACTCCCGCTGGATGGCACAAATCTACGTTCAACATTCTCGTTCAGCGGTCAAGCGGCGGCCTGTTTTGCTCTTTTCTGCTTCTTAGCAGGCCGTGAGTCGACGGCACCACCAGCAGACTTGCCCAACTTCTTGTTCATAACCTTTTGGAGCGCTCGCTTAGTCTCGCCGTCTGGGAAGCTCGATAAGTCAAAATAACTGGGAGCAAATTCCAGAAGCCTGAATATATGTTTTAGAGATGGGAAGTAACACGGCGGGTGAGGAACATACCACTCCGGTCTGACTTCGGAAACGGTGCGAATGTACGGTCGCGTGGTAAGAACGAATTCATTGAATAGAACCCATTCGGGTTGCGTGTCCAACCCGCAAGAAGGGTGCAATGCGACAACTTGGTTGTCCTTCACCGTCAGGTAGCTCCCCTTCTCACCCTCCCGATGAGCCACTTGCATAAAGAACCCACAGACAAGTGCTTGTCGAATAGATTGGTACAGCTTCTTCTCGTCGCTTATTGACATCAGCTCCAGCTCGAACCTCTCCATGTTTCGCTGCAGTTGAGCACGGACATTCTCCGCTTGAGCAAGCGCTCGCCCGGAAACGTAGTTCGACCAAGTCCAATTCTTGTCGAATTTATCTGCGGTGCGAATAGATGAATATATATGTAGGAATGCGGCAAACGACAGGGTACACGTACTTTGCATGTATTGATTGTACACGTTGAGGAGTGTCAGATGGTCACCATCCGGGACGGTGAAGAGGGCTTTGGCAGCATCGGCCTGACTTCTCTGGTTTGCCGGGCGAACCCAAATGTTCGGCACTGGTATAGAATGAACATGATGAAGGCTGGGGATAACAAACTAAGCGCACCCGAAAGCATGGCAGTAATCGTGAGGATTTCGTTGCTGCATTTGAACTCGGGGCTCACGATGAGCAGTTCTGCTAACTGGCTCAGGTCAGCGCTCGGCCAATAAGAGATTGACAGAGACATACCTGAGGATCAAGAGGGAACTCTGCCATCATAGAACCCAACGGTGTCAGGTTTCCATCGTCGTCGAGCGCTTTCAAGAAGTTCAATAACTCCAACGCTCGCATCAATGTCTCAGGAGCAGGTGCATCAACGTAGTCAAATCGAACCAGATCCTGTAGGATGATGTCAGAGAATGAAACATACCAAACATGCAATTCCTTTCACCTTGATACCAAGCTTAACAAGCTCGAGCACCGTGTTGCTGAGATTACTCCGTAAGATCTCAGGGTATGTTTGCTCTTCGAGCTGCGACATGAAATCTTTCTCCGTATATAGCCTGAAGCACTTGCCAGGCCGTGTGCGACCTGCTCGTCCGGCGCGTTGCTGAGCTGAGGCTTTGGATATAGGGCTGACCAGTAAACTCTCGACTCGTATTCGGGGGTTGTACACTTTCTGCTTCGAGAAACCAGGATCGACGACGTAAACAATGCCATCGATTGTAAGCGACGTCTCAGCGATATTTGTCGACACAACTACTTTTCGACCAGGCGGATAGTCGGGCCCACGAGCAGCTGGGGCGGGGTCAAAGATACGCTGTTGTTGCATGGGTGGTAGCGACGAATAAAGTGGTATACAGACGATTGGGCCAACGGAGGAAGGATCTTGGTTAATGAGATCGTCTGCCTCGAGCTTGATTTTCCTGCACGCGTCTTCTATCTCCTCTTCACCTGTGAGGAACAGAAGGATGTCCCCGGGATCCTCGGCTCGGTGTATCATAAGTACAGTTCGGATTGCGGCTTCTACGTAGTCTGGCTCGGGGTCTTGGGTGTAGAATATCTCCACCGGATGTGTACGACCAGGGACCTTAAACAGGGGCGCCTTCGTGTCCGAGCGCAGACTGAAGTATTTCTGGAACTTGACAGCGTCGAGCGTCGCGGACATAATGATGATTTTCAAATCAGCGCGTCTTTTTGCAAGTGCTTTGAGGAGTCCCATTAGGATATCGGTAGCAAGGGTACGTTCGTGAGCCTCGTCGAGGATGATAGTCGAGTATCGTTGAAGGTCGGGATCATTCATGGCTTCGCGCAGAAGCATACCGTCGGTCATGTATTTGAGGAAGGTGGTTCCTGGTTCTGTCATGTCTTCGAATCGTATCGAGTACCCGACTTGACGTCCAAGTTGAACTGCAAAGGCCTTCAGTACCAATTGAGAGAAATTGCATTGACATATCTTCCGCACCATCCATCTCCTCTGCGACACGCTTTGCTACTGACATCGCTGCTACTCGACGAGGTTGTGTACATGCAATCATCTTCCCATTCGAATGAGCTAGATCTGAATAGGCCACGAACTGCGGGATTCTATGAAACCGGTCACAATCAATACGCTTCAGACCGTGCACCCACAACTCACTGCGTCGTTTTGCCAGACCCAGTCTCTCCAACCATCACGACGATCTGATTTTCACTGAACTATACTTGATCCGTCAGCTACCGTTACTTGCGCTGACATTCGGAGGGGAGGCTGGTAACGCATCTAAGAAACAGTGATACTCAACCTCCCCTCGTAGCACCACTCACCACTGTGAAGAAGTCATCCATCTGCGCGTATACGGGTAGCTTTTTCCTGGATTCCAAGATTTTCCTGTATTGGGCCGTGTGCGGCGTCAGCGGTTTGGTGAAGGGGTTCAGATCATGTTCCTACCAGGATTCTACAGTTAGGACAAGGAGCGCGAATTGATAACGACTGCGTACCAGAGCTTTCCTGGCCTGTTCACCAGTCACTTTGCGAGGTATAAAGCCGTACAACGGTTGCGACGCTGATGGATCATACTTGTTTGCTTTCGGTTTTTTGTCTTCAGCCATTTGTCGAATGAGTCCAAGGCTTCAAATGGTGGCAACAGACTTGTCGCAACAGAAATAATTTGAGTAGCTTACGTCATCTAAGATTGGGACGCGTGCAGCTTGCGCGTTCACAATGCCTCAACGCCTCCGTTTCCAATATCACCACCACCAATGGACCATTTCCCTACTAATTGGGGCCGCCCCGTACGTTCCAATCAGTTAGGGCATTTTGCACCATCTTATATCTTTGCAGCGTAATGATGCTTTCGACGCGTACGGAACATACCCCATCGCCCAACACCCTAGAAATGCAGTTGATGTCTTTGCGGACGGCGTGCAACGAACGCAGTAAGACATCCGTCTATATACTATGTCGGCATACGTGCTGATGCCGTGCCCCCAGGCAGCCAATAGTCACTGGTACAAGTGTGCTAGCCATCAAGTACAAAGATGGGATTATGATGGCTGCCGACAACCTTGGTGAGTATTGACCCAACGTATATGATAAGCGGCGGGGAGTTGACTCGCATGTCATAGCTTCGTATGGATCTCTTGCTCGCTTCAAGGATGTACAGCGTCTTCATCCCGTCGGAGACTACACCGTGATCGGTGCTGGCGGAGACATGTCCGATTTCCAGTACATCCAGCAGATGCTAGAGGAACTAGTAACCGAGGAATTTGCATCACAAGACGGGCACACTCTTGGTCCTGTGGAGATACATGAATATATGTCCCATGTCATGTATGCTAGACGCTCCAAGATCAACCCATTATGGAACTCGCTTGTAATTGGCGGCTTCAAGAACGGTAAAAGGTAAGAGTGCCGACTTTACTCCTAGCAAGCATTCACTCACGACACGACATGAATGCAGCTTCTTGTCCTACGTCGACCTGTTGGGAACGACGTACACAGCATCGACCATCGCCACTGGCTATGGTTCCATGATCGCTCAACCCCTTCTTCGCAAAGCGGTTGAGGGTAACGAAACTACCTTGACAGAGGAAGAAGCCCTGAAGATTATCGAGAGTAGTATGCGGGTGTTATTCTATCGCGATGCACGAAGCATCAACAAAGTATGTTCAGTGCATCTTGTCATTCCATCTATCTCACGCCTATCCGTAGTTCCAAGTGGCTACGATTACTGAGAAGGGTGCTACGATCTCGGAGTCCCGCCATTTGGAAACGTCCTGGTCGTTTGCAGAGGGAATCAGAGGTTACGGGTCACAAACCCAATAAACAAATTGCATAAATTAGCTTGTTCCCGTTGTATGTGATCAATGACTTGGGGATGCACCTCTCGTCTTCTTTCTCTTTTCCCCGAGGATCGACAGCGTTTGAAAGAGCCCCTGAGTGAAGTGGACAATCGCGTCCCATTGACTGTTACATATATACAAGCGCGTGCAGGAGTAATATAACATATTTACATAGGTATATAGGGTGAAGCACTCAGAATGCCCCAGGGACTAACACCTTCTCAATTGGAGGTTGTCCTCCGACCTCGGCGACCCTCATCGATTCCTGCATTCCAAGCCCAACACGCTCCAACTCTGACAGTATCGGCCTATAGATACTCTCGTGTCCGGGACCGACAACACCTCTTACCGCCACCTGGTCGTCAATAACTCTCAACGCTGCAAAGGCCACAGGTAATCCAACCGTTCTCGCCATCGCCGACGCACGATCATCACCCAGCACGATCAGGTTGGAGGTATGTATTTCCGATTTCGCCCCTAGTATTTTAGGAGAGGCGATAATCTCATGCGACATGAGAACCATATCCTTCTCGCTGGATCTATACTTTAGTTTATGGGCGAGGAGGATGCTAAAGAGGTCTATCGGGGCGAGCTTCTCTCTGGGCATGGGCGGGAAAGACTGGATGGGGGCCGACGCATCTATTGAGGGGAGAAGACCTAGCCATCGGAGGGCATCGAAGAGTTCCCGAGCCTGGGATTCGCCTACAAGAGTTTTGATGGCACCTGGGATATCTAGTGTCCCGAATTTGACACCAAGCTTCATGGAAAGAGCTTGTGGGACCAAGGACGACCACCTCTCGAGGTACATCAGCCTATTAGTTTCAAGAATGCCGAGGGATTTGAAGGAGTCCATCAATTTGCTGAACCCGGGGTACCTATCAACGCAAAAGTGTTGGAATTAGATTGGGGGAAAATGAACGGACAGATGCAGACGTCGTACGTGCCTGAGTGTACCACGAAGGATGGTTCGGATAGGTTCGTCTTCGAGATTATATGTATTTAGGTAAGTCAGACTGTCTCGGTTCGCGATGCCTTCAAGATCGAACTTGTCTGTGATGGGTACGTCGGGGAAATAGGTCTTCAAGAGATTATCACCAGTAATATTATATGTCTGACAGGAATTGGCAAGTTAGCCTCACATCACATGGGAAAATGGCAGCGTACCGTGTGGTTTAACCGATACTGTGCACTATTCAATGCGGCGGCCAAGACGCCTCTAGGGCTCCAACTGAACTTATATCTGAAGGGAACATGGGGGACGTCGGGTGCAGGAAGTCCTCCGCAGAAGGAAATAAAGGACGTGATCATTTTGTCCTGTGATTTGAGGCGCTCGATAAGTGATATAGCAGAGCAGTGGTCGATCCCAGGATCCAAGCCAATCTCGTTGAGGAGGAGGACATCGGCGTCAATAGCACTGCGTATCCGTGCGATTGTGAGGACAAGAGTGTGGGAGGGGAAAATAGCGGTACAGACCTCATATTAAGAAGGGCCATGTCACTGCTAATGTACGACGCGGTGACGAGGTGTTTCTTGTGCTTGATGCAAAGTTTGGCAGCCTTAGGGTGGAGCGATGCGGGGAGTAAGCTGTGAGTGTGTTCAATCAAGACCGCCTGCTGTTTTACATAGAGAGACGGACCTGATAATCACGTCGGATTCACTGATCAAGTCCGAAACCGTGTTCAAATCCTTCATGTCAATGATGCGATACTTCACATTGAGATGGCGCTCAGTGAGCTTTTCAACCTCTCTAAGTGAGTTACTGGCTATAGACTATTTATCAGCAAATGATTGACAGACGGGCGTAGAAAGGGATTTACCGATTAACAACTCGACATCTGCGCGCCTTGCGATCTCGTCTACAGCCGGCCCTGCAACCATCCCGCTCCCTAGCATTAACATTCGTTTCTTCTTTCCTCTTCTGTCGGCATTCGTAACATCAGTAACGCCGGCCTTGCCCACGTTCAACGGCTTGTAAACCTGCTGCTTTTCCGCAGCCTTGGTCTCATGCTCCCTGTTTCTTCCGTTTCCTTTGAAAAGAGACATCAAGAATATACCCGATGCGTCATCGGCCAATTTCTGCGCCTCGCTCGGATTCTCCGCTCTCCACTTGGCTACATTGTCCTGAAGCCAGAGGTGTGGGGAAGTGAGCTCTCCGTCCATTGCTATCGTCGCGCGATCAAGGGCTTTCATATACTTGTCGTCGCTATCAGGCCATTTGTTGGAGTTGGAAGGGAATTGTTGGTATTGTTCAATCAAAGCATTGAGATATGGCGAGAACGCTTCAGCGAAATGCTCTGACGCATCGAGGGGGATTGTAGTCGGCAGAATATCGACGGACATTATCTGCACGGCGGGCAACGAAGGGTTGACCTGGACCTTATAGAACGGCTCGGAAATTGTGGAAGAGCGGGTCATGAACTCCAGTCCGCCCTAAACGCAACGAGGAAGCATTCGTGAATATATAATGTAGTGAGCAATCAATTGTGGTCGACCCAAGGGAACAAAACTTACGCCCAAGTCGCAACTGATATCCCCGATATTCAATAACCGTGCACCACCAATAGTATTTGCACGGAATAAAGCTGCTTCAAGTTGTTTGGTTGTCATCAGCCTTGGGAAGGACGATTGCCACCCAGCACCGTTGAGAAGGAGAGTCAAGTATGGTGCAATCTGTGGTCGTGCAAAAACAATTAGCAATTATCCAGAAGTAAGTACAGAGCTTGACATACCTTCTCTGCGAAATCGGACCGATAGGACTGAGGTGCCCTGTAATAATCTTCTCGGTCGTATGGTGCGCCATCTAGCCGTGAGATATAGTGGTGGGGGAGGGCATGGACCAAGTAAATTCTGTCAAGGGGAGTCCCTGTTATTAAAGAGGGAGGGTTAGAGTGTATCCCGTTGTCCGTTTACCAGGGAAAAGGGGATATATTGTTGCTGTAGTTAGTAAAGACGGGGAAGTAACGTACTCGTGTCGCTGACAAGTCGCGGTAAGTCCTTGGGCTGAACATATTGTATGGGGAGCTCGCGGAGCATTGATATACACCCTTGGGATACGTTCCCGTTACTAACGAATTTTTTAGTTTCTAGTTAACTCAATTTATGAAGGGAAAATTGTTCACCCTGTTAAGCCGATTACTACAGGACCTAGCGCTGGTGGAGTCCCCTTCTCCTTGATGGTGTTGCCTATCTGTTTGAGTGAAGCTCGAAGGGCCGAGAGTGACGACTGTGTGTGCGGTCGGGGGGTGTACTGCGATGCACGCAAAGTGAGTTGTTGAATATAGGGGCAGGAGCGACGGAAACACACCAGAAAGGGAGAGGCAATGCCCATCTCAAGGTGCGAGTGTGCCATCGAAGAAAGCGACTCTAAAACACCCGCGACTGTGCATCCATTGGAAGATTTAGCAGAAGTCATGTGAGCGCGTGAGGTCGTCAGACTAACCACCGGCAAACCATCCAAAGCCTACCACTCTCTTGTCCGATTCCTCGTCCTTAATGAGTTCGTAGTCAATAAGTCTCGGTGCTCGCGACATGATCCCATTGAGGTCATCCTTCAAGTTGTATTTCGGGAGGAACTTCGCGAGAAGGCCCGTATTGTACGGCTGTCCTTTGGCGGTGTGGGAGAACATGACATGTGTTCGTGGATTGTCGAACGGCGGACGCGTGAGCACGGTCTCTACCGGGGGCTCCTTGATGCCAAGTACGATGTCCGCATCCTCAAGAGAGGGTACAATTTTCGCTCCGGCCTGTCGAACACGTTCAGAAGACGAGATTGGAGAGAAAACTACCATGAATCACCTCAACTAGCTCCTTCTCCGACCAAATCCTTCGCTGACATCTTTCTACAAATACCTTTACGTCTTTCCTTCTGAGGTTGTAGATGTGGGTGGGGGTTAGAGGGCAGCGGCGTTCCCAGATGCGAGCGGGGTCTTCTTTGCGGATGCCGACGACGACATTTCGAGCCGGTCGGGCGAGCGAGGCCATGGTGGTCGATTTGAAAGTGTAATTGCAAAGGAAAGAGGGTATACGCGTGATAACCCCTTTGGATAATCGTGGATCCGCCCGTCGTGTTGGACAGCGGTCGGACCTCGAGATATGATTTCATGGTCGGCGTTTATGGCATGCCAGGGTGGCGACGGTAGAAGCCAAGTTAGTTTACAAGTTAACCCCACATAGAGGTTCGCCCGAGCGTCAACAATTCGAGAGGATTGTATACTTATATGAAATTCACGAGTTCGAGTGTCTCAAGAAACAGTGTGGCGGCCGCCGTGCGTAGGTAAACAATAGTCGTCAGAGTATTAAGAGATAGTCATATTCTACTACACCCAATGCCATATCCATGCAAAGAATCTACACCCTACCTTCTCTAGCCCGACTACCCTTCGTCTCCACTCTCACATACTCCGTCTCGTCGACACCCTCACCATCTTTCTTGACGGCCATATATGCCTCGCCGAGCAGTTGCAGCGCCACAGCACGAAGTTGCAGCTTCTCTCGAGGTACTGAAGGGTCGCTGAGCACACGATCACACGTCTCCCGTAGGACTGATTCGATTTCGAGTTTGGTTCCCTGCAGGAGAGGAGTCAATCAGCATTTGTAGGTAGACATACGTAGCGGTGCCCATGCGCATACCTTGAATAATGCCTGTAATCCCTTCTCGGCAGCTTGTTCCTCCAGTTTTCTCTTCTCCTCAGGGCTGAGGTTGCCTGCTTTCTCCGCTGCCTGGATCTGATCGAATACGGCTTTGAGCTCGATGGCCGAACGGAGGGTTGATACGCTAAAGGTCGTCAATGGATCAGTGCACATCAATAGGCATTCGACTTACGTTTCACTAAAGACATGGTATTTGCCTTGCACATTATGCAGCCACCCCCCAACGCCCATGAATGACTGGTTCGTCGCGAGATGATGTTTCGCCTTGGAGGCGTATACAAACCCGATGGCGTGTAGCAGGTCCACACCATACGACTCTTTCTTCAGTTCTCTATATACCAGTCAACGCGCGTCCACTCCGACAAAATGGCAAACACTCACTCGGCTTCGATTTGACATATCGTCTTCCAGCTTGTCGCCACATCTTGGTCATTAGGGCCCGACGCAGATTCTGAGAAGATCCCCAGTTTGCGAGTGAGATTGTCCACGAGCTTCTGTACCCTCTCTGCGCGCGCCGCCGCTTTCTAAGTATATCAGTTTCCAAATGCGGCGCGCACGAGCGAACACGGGCACACGTACCTCCGCAGCCTTAGCACGGTCCTTCTCTTCCTTCTTCGCTTTCTCCTCCTCACTGAGTATTTCCCTCCCTTTAGCATCTCTCAATTTCTTACCATCCGCTTCGCCGCCCTCCGCCTCGTCGGCCTCCTGAAGTGCTGCTTTCATATCCCTCGCCAAGCTAATCTGTCCTATGATGGGGAGGAACCGCTCTCCACCGAAGATCGCCCCAAAGACCTCCTCCGGGTCGACGTATCCTCCTTCTGGCGCAGAGTCCTTCGGCCCGAATTCGTTGTATTTAGAGCGGAGGACGGGGTCGGATAGTGTTTGGTAGGCTATTGCAATCTCTTTGAACCGTTCTTCGGCATGAGGATCGTCTGGATTCTTATCAGGATGATGTTTGATGGCCAATCGACCTACAAGAATGTCAATAGGCTGCGCTCGATTGGCGTTCGAGGCGGGCATACGTACGATAGGCTTTTTTGATGTCGTCTGTAGTAGCATCGACGGCGACACCGAGTATGTCGTAGTACCCTGTCTCGAGAGGGCGTTCCTGTGTTCCGATCTTACGCTTCCCTCCTCCTACTCGTATATTGGGCTGTGCGGTTGATGGACCTGCGGTGCTTGAAGACGGTCTATGGGAAGACGAAGTGGAAGCGCCCCCAGAATTGGATGTGGAGGTCGAGGTGAGTTGGTTGGGATAGAACGCGTGGGTGAGGACGGATTTACAAGAGAAGCAGCGAATTTGGAGGAGTGAGCCTGGCCGAGGTTGTGTGGTGACAGGGAATTCGAGGGCGGTGTGGCATTGGGGGCATTGCGTGCGGATGTGGGGGACGATTGGGCGCGATTGGATGATGTTCGGGTTCGTCGTCGACATTGCGCTGGCTGTGGTGTAGAAGAGAGCCGTTGCCCCTTTGAAGCCACAGTACCCTAAGCGCTTGCTCCTTTTTTGGAAAGAGGGCGCGTACTCATATTCCTTTCAGCTTTTCCTTCACCTTCCGCAAACCCCATAACCGCTAGATATTAGAGACTTGAGGCGCAATCATTTCTGTATAGGCGAATCGTGCGTTGTTGAGTTACGTCACGTCAACAGTCATGCCTTTACTCAACCTGTAATTGCTAGCCGGAGTCACGATGCTAGTTGAGGGCTTTAAGCCGTTCTAGCCGCAGGTAGTCGTATCTGCCCAATATTCTTCAGTCTCTACCTCGGCCGTGGGTACAATGTACTGCCTTTTCTCCCCAGCGCAGGTCCTGCTGAGACTCTGGTGTACATATTCTGATGTAAGTGGTCCACCTTTATCAAGGTGAAGGACAGGTCGCCATAGCCTACCACTACCTGTCCAGACAACCATAGCTACTAGGCTTCCTCTTGCGAGGTGAAACAATATACTCCTGATGATGTTGCCCCCTCGCTGTAGCTTCAGCCCCCACTAAATGATCACGCATTTGTGCCGAACAAAACCAGCCATGACTACTTGATCCATCTTTAACACTATACATAACCATTCACTCCCCAACTGACTCCATCTCGACTCGTTGATGGTACGCTTGCCACCACAGGTGTGTCCAGACAAGCGTTCCCTATGGCGCGCAATACCCACCGCCAGTTCCGCTGCGGCTGGTGTTACTGGATCAATGGAAGACTTGGACTCGCTCGACAAGTTCTGCACTCCGATAGCCTGAAACAGTCCATTTGGGCACTGGACATGTCTTCACTGCCTTTACCATTACCGCTGCAAGCTGACGTCTTGCTTTGGTTGTTTTCCCGAAGATTGCCAGATAGTCATGCCCAAACTTCAAAGAACGGCGCGTCCTACCCGGGTAAGCATGCGGCTTTGTGGATTATCGCGCTCCCACCCGACGGTGCATTACTTGCTGCACCGCGTCCTAGGGTGACTTAATCACGCAGGGGACGAACAAGTATAGCCGTTTCTAAGAACAGCAGTGTTTATGTACCGGTTAGAAACATCGGCATGACCTCGGGACTCCGGCCCCATGGTACTTTACCTTGCTCGAAGGTTTCTAAATGTAGATCGGGTGCCAGTGATGCGGGGGTCTCTTGTTCCGAGCTACCCAGCATCTATTTGTGTTCTCAGAAGTGGAAATTGAGACTCTAGGGAGTATACCGGGTAATTTAGTGAAGCGTTGGTGATGAACCATAGCATAGTGGTGGTGCAAGTTGTTGATTTGTATGTTAGTTCAATCAAAGTTCAATGTCACGTCCCGGGTGGTGGACTGTTGTCTTAGCAGTGGACCTTTTGTTGTTAGAAAAGTCGCGTAGGCTTGGAAACTTTGAAATGTAGGTGTGAAGCTACTGTCTCACTGAGCATTACTCATAGTCTCATATTGTGGAAAGAACTAGCATTGACAGTCGACCTATTCAAGGAAGTAACCAATGTGGGAATTGATTACATCAGCGATCAACACCAGCGACTCGGCCGAGACACTGTTTGCACTATCATGCACATGGCTTACATCTATCAACGATGCCGCTCGAAACCAGAGTCCACGCAAACAAATTTCCATTCCTTGGAATGTACTCCGAAAGGTATCCTAGACTTTTGGTATACTGATTCATGCCGAGAAGTTGCTCCAACCATCAATGCGCCTGACTCCATGCACCATTTGAGGGATGACTTAACCGACGGAGCCTTGGCACTCTTCTCCTTCATATGATCAGACACTGGTGCGATGCGACAAGATCAACCGAGCTTGCGCCATCCGTATGCTGCTGATAGATGATCTGACCTCTTCAAGGATTACGGTTCATGCTTATGCAACTCAAACCCTCCAATGCCCAGCTAGAACCAGAGAACACTCCCTGCTACTTACGCGACGCATGATCGCCGTTCTATCTCATATCATGTAGAAGCCTCCTCCTCTGTTACGATGCTTCGACAACGGAGGAATTCCCGGGCGAGGTATTCCCGAACTCGTCGCGCTCCAACATGTCTGGCTTCTCTGTATCTACAAAAGGATAATCGACCATTCCGAGCGGACCGCCTTCAATATGGATCGACTTGCTCCCGGACCGTTTCAAACCCTCGCATTGTTGGGCGCCCAGTAGTCTGAAGACAGAGTCTCTATAAAGGCCAGCAAAATGGGCTCAATCGACAATTGCTGTGGATATACGCAACTTCAGTACCATCTCTCACAATGAAGTTCTCTGTCTCTCTGGTCTCCCTCGTCGCTGCTGCGTCATCTGTGGCTGCTCATGGAGTGATCACTACTCCTAGTCCTCGCGTCGTAGGTCACGGTGGTTTCAATCCACTTCCTTCGTCTAACCCATAATATAGGTTGGCGCTGCGAATCAGGCTGCTTGTGGTACGGGTGCTTACACCGTCCTCAAAAGTGGTATGTAGTACTATGCCATGGTCCGTTCTGCAATATCTCATCTTTGAGACCGTTGACAGACAAAGCTGGGCCGGTCAGTTGACTTCAGGTCTATGATATTAGCGGCTGACCATATTGGCCCAGATCGAGAATGCAGTTGCCAAAATTGATTCTTCTTTCGACGCTCAGGCCTGTCAACTGTTCTTCTGCAAAGGCTATCAGGTACGTACATTTTTTCTTAATTTTGCAGCAGTGCCACATCTCACCCCACCCTGCCGTATAGTTGGAGGACAATATTAAAAACACCCGCAAATACGCTCCAGGAACTGTAGTGCCAATCCACGTTGACCTCATCGCCCATCACACTGGCTCGGCCGTAGGTTGTCGCCAATCTCCTGCTAGAATTATGTTGAACGGTTCCCATTTCGTAGAATGTCTCTGTCGTAAGTATTTCAACCCACCCTATAGTAATCATATACCGATTGTTCTCTCTGCAACCGTAGGTCAACCTCGCCACTCAAAAGACAATCGGAAAGCCGCTGTTCTTGTGGCCAGTTTACGCCAACGACTCCCTCGGGCCTTCCGCTTGGCCTAAGAACGAGAGTAAGTCATGTCCGGATACAATGCTTGTATTGAAATTGATCCTTTCGCTTCCGAAGCCGATTTCGAAATCACGATCCCAGATTTGGGATCTCAATGTTCTACCGTTGGAGCCTGCGCTATTCAATGGTGGTGGTACGTCTTCGCCGAGATACCGTCCCTTTGATTACTCTAGCTGACTGTGGTATGATACAGGTATGCGTCGAAGGTCAGGCAGACCTACGAAAGCTGCATCGACTTCACTCAGTGATTCATGGCTCTCTACGAGGGATGTAGGAAATCCCAGTCCAAGCCCTTTCCTGTTACAACGTAGACGCGTTAACTTCATTGTACCTACCCAGTACCCCTCCCCCTCCCCCATATGAGTATGACCGTTTCAAGTATGAGGCTAAGCAAAAATTCCCCTCTGATCGTGACACAGTAGGTCACTCCGCGTTACTTTAAACTCTACCTTCCCTTTTTGGACAACAATGCCTCGTCAGTCGGGCCACAGTCAGCCACCCGAGTGGGCCATCAAGCCACCGATAGCGCTTTCACACTACTTTCTCCCCACAACCACTTTCATCTGTAGTTTACTCCCTCTAGAGTAGCGGCACCACTCACGCCATATCTGGACGACATCTTCTCTTGACTTCAACCCGACTTCACAAAGGACCCAAGATGTCGACACCACTCGCCGCTACCATCTTTATATCATCTGGCATCTCTTCTACAGAAATCTCCGCCGTCTCCTCCACATATACTGTGCTTCCTGACGACGTGAAGACGCGAGGAAACATCTTAGCAGCCGCTATAGCAGTGGCCGCCGTTGGCATGCTCATTGTCGGGATATGCGTCTTGATACTGTTTATAGCCATGCGAAGGCATAAGGAGCGGAACGATGGCTTTCGCATTGATCTCGAGGTAAGTCTCGACGCCAATACTCACGAACTCAACATGATCGTCCGTTAGCAACCTACGAATGCGGAGGCAACTATCTCCGGCCCGCTTGATTTGCAGAAGGGAGGGCTGCGGACTCTTACACTCGCCCATCGAGCAATGGTGGCCACTGGACCTACTTCCAAACCTCCTAAACAGACATCGAAGGATGTTGGTCTCCGCGAATTGGTTCTTCCAGAATTGGCGAAATCTCGCAAAACTTCGAGGTCAAATAACGTAGAAGAGGCTCACCGATCAGGAAGAACTCAACTGTCGCTGGCTACTGTGTCGAAGCCGTTCCCCTCTTACCAAGGCGGCAGTCTGACCTAGTTCAATGGTGCCGCAACTATATCAACTACAGACAAGCGTATAGGAACGCCCCTGAACGCCCCTCATTTATTTGGTCCCTTGGAATTTGCAGTGTACTGTCCGCAATGTCTTATTTATGGCGCGATAATCAGTCTACTTTCATGGTCAAGTCGCTCGTGGTGTAAGCAGGTCTGCTAGAGGCTCTTAAGGATCTGAGTACTGAGTGCTGAGCGCTGGGCCTTGAGCCTAAGCCTCCAAAATTCAAACCGGTCGCCTTTGATAGGCGCCGGGAGAGACAATCCTACTCAACCACAACCATCCCTATACACCTGACCACCGCTAGTGGATCGAGAGGTCCGCCCTATTCTACATAACATCCTAGCGTATGACACGATGATGGTGGACCGCGAAACTCGCAGGCGTCGACCGTATGAACCTGCCTCGCCAACCCTGCATTCTGCCATTAGCAAATACGACAGCAAACTAAAGCAACTTGCCAACACGCCTAGATTACCGGATCGCGTTACAGCCTACCTTTACAAATGCCTGCCCACCGGAGCCGTTGGAAATAACCAAGTGATAGAATTTCGTGGCGACGCCGACATCAATTTACTCTCCTCCTTGGCCGTCAAAGATGCATTGGATGCTATGAAAGGAGCGGTCGATCCCAGATGTCACGAAATCACGACACGCATCCTTTCGAGTAATGACATCCTCGGCCGGATTGCATACGCGATGGAATTACACAAAGATCTCAATTTTAAGACTGACTCAAAAGATCTAGGGCAACTCGCCTATTGGAGTTTATATCACCGTCCTCCGCCACCGAAGGTTTATGCGGATCTCTTTGAAGTGCATATAGCAGGGCGAGTTGATTACTTTGGTTTGGAACGGACAGTGGTGTGGTTCGGTTCACTCATGCAAATGCTGATGCCGGCAGCATTGGCCGACTTCATGACCACTCCACAACTACGTCTCACCTCATCAACATTCCATGAAGAGGATTATGTGTTTTACCCCGCCAACTATGCGAACGCCATTTTGGAAGGAATTAGGTCTTTAGACGTTCCAACTACTCCCCTCCAACTCTTTCCATCGACAGTAATTCATTTTGTGGGGCAAATCCCTGGTGTAGCCGATCTGCCTCACCTGAGCAACATCGAAATCGGCACGCGACTCCTTCATTTTTACTGTGCGCACATCACCCTCTTCTTCTGGCCCGGTTACTATCGCGCCCTTTCGGGCGGCTGCGGACTCTTGACGGTTCGTCGCCATGTTGTCATCATCGCTAATCATGCCATTATGATCTCTCAAAGGGCATAGCGAAAGGACTGCTGAATGATTTGTGCCTGCGTGCGATTGCAATGCGTTGTCGAATCACTCTAAACATATCTACTCAAAGGGATCGGCACAATATCGCTCCCTGCGAAGTGGCTCTTGCTTTGCGAGCAGTGGTGGGGAACGCCTACACACGACGGGGCGCAGGGATTCATGAAGATGCTATATACTTTTTTGCCTTTTTTGTCGTTTGTATCCATGATGCACTCATCCGTTGCTCTCCATGGTATGTTCACATATATCAGGAGTGTTGACTGATTTCATACTTGCATTAGGCTACGTCCCATCCTGACTCCTCGACATCAATTCAACAAGGTCACTTGGCCCATGAAATCCGCCACGGAATCTACGTCACTGGATGCATTTCGAGCTAAGTGTAATGTTATTCCGACCTTATGCCCGGGAGTTATTGAGCTTAGAAACATATTGTGCTTGACGCCTTCACATGTCACCGGGAAGAGGAAGAAGGCCCAACAAGACACCTCAGGCGAGGCCGGAACATCGGTCTCGGGAGGTACTCACACAATCATTCCCCTCAAAGAGACCAAACGGCGACGTCTAGGACCCGAGGAAACTCAAGGCGATGCTAACTCATCAGCATCAAGTGGCGTTCAAGCAACTTCAGCCGTCGAGAAGTCAGAATCGCGATGTCTAGGACCATCTCTCCTCTTGCTCCGACCCCCGCAAGAGGGTAAAGAAAATTCTGACCCGCATGATGGATCTCCAGGCAACTCTCGCTCGCATTTGACAAGACAGCCTCTCGTTTCGCCGTTATCCCTCCTCGGACGGTTGGTTCCCTCCTGCAAACACGACTCAGAAGCCCGTCAAATTATTCCGTGTACCTCTGGCGCGAAGCAACTTCGTTCCACCTGCCCTGCAAGTATCAACACTGCCCACTCTGGCGACTTGTCCATGCCACCGGAATCTTGCGTATCACAGGCGTCTCGCGGTCAAGTCTCAGTCACTCTGCCGGCCGTTTTACAAGCTTCTGGGTCAAGCCCATCTCTTCACTCCCCTGGAACCCTGCCCCAAGATGCTGATCTACCGACCATGCTGGAGACGAAGCGTTCGGAATCGTCTTTTCAGTCTGCCCTGGACACTAGTACTTTGCCTCCCCGATTTCGCCGATTCCGTTCAGCCTGCTACAACTCTTTGATACTCGAGGATGCCCCGGTGCTATAAAACCATACCATAATAGATTGCTTCCACTGGACTCTTCCTTCAACGCATCTACGCGTCACCCTGGCCAGCTTAGTCACTTCCCCTCAATCACCACACGAACATATATGCAATCATTGGTAGAAAGGGCCCTGCAGAGGGAAATCTCGCCATTTTAGATTACCACACTCGTTTTGTATTTTGAACCTGCCATTCGTCGAGTCCCTGCCTCCTGGCGGATGAAGATACCAACACTTACTATACAAGTTGAACTTCGTACATGTATGTACAAGCAGTAGTTGAGTTGAAAGACTCAGGAAGCTTCGACTCTCACGATCACTAGTGTGGTGATTGCCCACTCAACCGCCAGCGCACAATGCTCTACAATTCCTGATCTGCGTAATTGATATATCGAACTATTGAAGGAGCACGTCAAAGAAAGTGTAAGCTATCCATATCCCGATTGTGGAAGCCAGAAGCTGCTCAAAACTGTTCCAGTTTCGTCTCTTTTCTGTTTCTTCATCGAATTTGGTCATTATCATAGTCAATGGCCGAAGGCAAAAAAACGATATCAAACAAGTACAATCCGTTAGCAGCTCAACCTCTGTATGGCTTTACGCCTCGGAAAGTAACTGGCGCACAGGTCAGGAAAGCATTAGTACGTGAACAACGGTCTTTTGCGAAGGATCATCCTTGAGCTTAAAATTCCGTGCCAGCAACATGATCTCAACCCGTTTACCAAGCCGCTCACGCCACACACCGCACAATACAAGAGACTTCTGGCATCCAGGGAGAAGCTTCCCGTCTACAGGAAGATGGATGATTTCTTCACAGTGGTGAGTGGTACTGGCCTTCCGTTGATTATTTGCGGAAGCAATGGTAAACGCCTCAGACCCTAGTAGTTCAGTGAGAACCAGATCATCTTGATAGTTGGAGAGACCGGGTCTGGTAAAACTACACAGTGAGTGAGGTCCACGGTTTAAGGAGTACGCATGGTCGACATCCGCACAGGATCCCGCAGTTCGTAGCCTATTCAGATCTAGCGCATTCGAATGGGAAGATGATTGCATGCACACAACCTCGTCGAGTAGCAGCGATGTCAGTAGCAAAGCGTGTCGCAGAGGAGATGGATGGTGCGGAAGATATGTCAATGCAATTTCTCTCAATTGGTACTGAAGGCCTTTGCAGTTCAACTTGGGCGTCAAGTCGGGTACTCGATACGATTCGAAGACATGACTGAATCAGGAATCACTTTCCTCAAATATATGACCGACGGTATGCTCCTGCGCGAAGCGATGAATGATCCCGACCTTCAACGATACTCAACTATCATCCTTGACGAGGCTCACGAACGCACCCTTGCTACCGATATCCTAATGGGACTCCTCAAAGCCCTTGCAAAAAGGCGCGCTGATTTGAAAATCATCATTATGTCCGCGACGGTCGACGCTGTCAAGTTCCAGAAATACTTCAGTCTGCGCTCGGACACGAAGGCACCTCTGTTCAAGGTCCCTGGTCGTACACACCCAGTGGAGATATTCTACACCCAAGACCCCGAGCCAGATTACGTAGAAGCGGCAATCCGAACTGTACTTATGATACACCGAGCCGAGGATCCCGGGGACATCCTTCTGTTCCTCACAGGTGAAGAGGAGATAGAAGACGCGTGCAGGAAAATCAAGCTCGAGGCAGACGATCTCATTAACCAAGATCCTTCCTCCGTTGGCCCAATCGTCTGTATACCACTTTATTCGTCGCTACCACCCATGCAACAACAGCGTATCTTTGACCCCGCCCCAGCTGCTCGTGGGCCCGATTATCCGCCTGGTCGAAAAGTAGTTGTGTCGACAAATATCGCTGAGACGTCGCTTACAATCGATGGCGTTGTTTACGTCGTCGATCCTGGTTTCTCGGAGCAGAAAGTGTACAACCCCCGAATACGAGTCGAGAGTTTACTGGTCAGCCCTATATCCAAAGCCTCAGCTCAGCAACGCGCGGGACGAGCCGGTCGCACACGGCCTGGCAAGTGCTTCAGGCTATATACGGAGAAAGATTTCATGTCGCAGCTCGAGGAGCAAACATACCCTGAGATCTTACGGAGTAATCTCAGCAACACGGTGCTCGAGCTTGTTAAGCTTGGTATCAAGGTGAAAGGAATTGCATGCTTGGTAGGTTTCGTTCTCTGATATCATCTCACAGGATCTGGTTCGATTTGATTACGTTGATGCACCTGCTTTCGAGACATTGATGCGAGCGTTGGAGTTATTGAACTTCTTGAAAGCGCTCGACGACGATGGAAACCTGACACCGCTAGGTTCTATGATGGCAGAGTTCCCTCTTGATCCTCAGGTATTCTCTTCCGCATCAATGCTTTATTTGTCGAGCCCTGACCCGTGCCAGTTAGCAGAGCTGCTCATCGTGAGCCCCGAGTTCAAATGCAGCAATGAAATTCTTACCATTACTGCCATGCTTTCGGGTGCGCCTATTTCGTTATACCTGTCCCCCGCCGTATTAATTCCATTTCAGTCCCGAACATTTGGGTTCGCCCGGCAAACCAGAGAAGTCAGGCCGATGCTGCCAAAGCTCTCTTCACCGTCCCGGATGGTGACCATCTGACACTCCTCAACGTGTACAATCAATACATGCAAAGTACGTGTACCCTGTCGCTTGCCGCATCCCTACATATATATCATCTATTCACACCGCAGATAAATTCGACAAGAATTGGACTTGGTCGAACTACGTTTCTGGACGAGCGCTTGCTCAAGCGGAGAATGTCCGTGCTCAACTGCAGCGAAACATGGAGAGGTTCGAGCTGGAGCTGATGTCGATAAGCGACGAGAAGAAGCTGTACCAATCTATTCGACAAGCACTTGTCTGTGGGTTCTTTATGCAAGTGGCTCATCGGGAGGGTGAGGAGGGCAGCTACCTGACGGTGAAGGACAACCAAGTTGTCGCATTGCACCCTTCTTGCGGGTTGGACACGCAACCTGAGTGGGTCCTATTCAATGAATTCGTTCTTACCACGCGACCGTACATTCGCACCGTTTCCGAAGTCAGACCGGAGTGGTATGTTCCTCACCCGCCGTGTTACTTCCCATCTCTAAAACATATATTCAGGCTTCTGGAATTTGCTCCGAGCTATTTTGACTTGTCTACCTTTCAAGACGGCGAGACTAAGCGAGCGCTCCAGAAGGTTATGAACAAGAAGATGGGCAAGTCTGTCACTGCAGCTGACAAGCGGCCTATCACGAAGGCAAAGAAAAAGAGTAAAGCAAAAAAACAGGCTGAACAAGAGGATCACGGACGCGCCATGCACTCTTCTGCCCACAGTTCTGACGTGCCGTCTGCATATAACTTGCAAAATATGACTACGACATTCTCGCAGATTTCTATCTGACGACCATCCGACGGCGGCAAGGTACCTGTTCTCTGCTCTTTCGGACCTCAGTCTATCCTGTCGTGTCCTGTTCGTTTCCTTTCACATACAGCCTTTCGCCTCAGTTGGAAAAACGATACAACATCAACCTCCCCCTTATCTGGCCCTCATATTCAGCAATAACCACGCCTCTGTTCGCTTACACCGACACTCTACGTTGTCCCTTCTGGTTGCCTTGTATTTGGGATAACGGCTTTGCTCGCTACTTCCTTGGACCATCTGTATCGCACATAACATCTACAATCTCTCAGATTCATGTCCATCTCCATGGACCTTTCGAAAGTGATATACGTGCGATTGTTTGACTTTGTAATCTACGTGCTCAACGCTTCATACTTCATCAGGGTTTCACATTCTGGCCCTTCCCTAACACATGGGGTGTATCTTCGCCCTGAGAGATTGGCGATGATCTCTGTGTTCGCGATTATGGCCAGTACCTCCGTCGATGTTCCTACTGTCAACACCTACGGTGATTCCAGAAGACCCTTCACACTTCACCCACCTATGCTCCCTCGGGTACCTGCTGGCCTATATCCATGATAATGTCAGGTTCATACCTGAATTCAAATCGTGTGGGGTGAAGGCCGCGATTAGGTTATCCCCTCCTATTCTATCTGTCTAACACAGTCAGTCGTAAGATCGCTGCCACGACTCATCTAATGCATCCGTCCTGACTCACTACCGTGTGTAGACGAAGATCGGAAGCTGCTAGTTTTCACTCAGCGACAACGAGGTAGAAGCTGTTAACTACATGTAGGCGCCTACCTGTTGTGGGCGTCGCGCGATCCCTGTTAATGGTGTATGACCCTATATGACTTGAAATGGGTATCACTGACTGTGGGATAGGTCTATTTACCTCATACCCCTATGTGATGGATTCAAGGCCGAATACGCTTCGACCCTTACATATCTCTCACCCCCGTAATTCTGAGGGAGGTTTGACGATAAGAAACTGAAGAAATTGAGGAATGGTGTGAAGATCAACTTCCTGGCTAGGTCTGACGATTGATCGATTAGCTCTGACAATAGGTTATACAGATCAGCGGCCACACGAAGTATGTAGGCGTCCTGGCACGAGTTGCCCAAAATTTTGGGGGTTCAAATGTAGTCCATCAAGTCCATCTATGGCAGAAAATCCGGAACTCGGCAGGCCCTCGACAATATCAATTAGAGGTGCTGCATGTTTCAACTGTTGATTTCCTCGATATGATAAGACTGGCCCGCGAATGACCAGGTCGGGGGGATGTATGATTAGGGCACGTACTGGGGTGCTTCGAAAAGGGTTTCTGCAGCAACCAGCAAGGTGACTCGCCCCCATGTATTGATCAACTGGACGGCTGCCAATCCTACTCAAGCCAATTGGTGATGCACTGGTGGCGCTCGGACCGTTCCATCGCTGGTTAAAAAGGCAGTCATGGAACGCGACCTACCCATATTCACCGCCTCAGATGGGGAAAAAAGACACCAGGAAGACTGCTTCGAGCTCAAATCCGCAACCAACATCGACGCCAGTTGCTGGTGAAAAACCGAAGAAACTCACAGCAAGGGAGCTTCTACTCAAGGCCTTTGATGCATTGCCAGTCTTGGACAATCTACGTGCAAAAGCAAGCGGAAGCAAGGACGCGGAAATGCTTGCATACATAGAAAGATATATCACGACGCAGAAAGAAGCCGACAAGGCAAGTTCACCAGTAATTGGTAGATAAAACGTACTGATCATATTGTTGACAGTTTGGGTTTTCTTCTGTCAAGGGTCCTATGTTAGAAGAACTGGGGATCCGTCAAGCTGAATTCAACTTCGATTTGGAGACATTGCAGACGATCGCCAGCTCGCGTGGTATAAGCGTAAGGTTCGATGAGGACCTGCGCTATCTGAAAATGTCAGGTTTATCGACGGTGTGTTGTACTCCCCTCCCCCTCCACAGCAAAGTAACATTGAGGAATATTTCCACTTCTCTAGAAAGAACAACTATCATCAATTATGACAGTAAACTACCTCCTGGAATCCATGTACAATGCTCCTCCGGGTTCCGAAGATGTCGACGAGCCTCGATACCCTAAAATCTCGCCAGAGTTAGCGATCCCCCCTGGTACTCATGTAAACAAGGACAATGGTATGCAGTATACTTTCCATGGAGCTGCCGATTACTTGGTTTTTTTGGTCGACAAAGACTGCATCCTACAAGGTGTAGATATCGACACGCTGCTCAAGTTGAAACGCTACTCCAACGGAAGTCTTGTCATCGTCGAAGTGAAAAATCCCGCCAATGTCTTCACCCCTGGGCATATCGCCGAGGCCGTTGCACAGGTAGCGACAGCGAGTCTACATACCGGGTATACACGATCTTCTAGTTCTCTTCTCAGTATTTTTCTCATCTTATCCCGACAGCCAGGACCACCGTTTCATCATGACTGACTCTCAAGAATGGAGATTTTGCATTTACCGGCAAGAGGAGAAGATATACTACATGTCTCACTCACTTAGCGTCCTTACCCACGGCAACAAGGCTATTTTGACAGCTCTAGACGAATGGGTAAGTGGTTCCAGCAGCGATGTACACTAAGTCTGATAAAATACTAGGTGTGGGATGCTAATCTTGTAAACTCACCACATCAGCTCTGGAATTACCGAACAACAAGCAAAGATCAAGTGCTAGGGACACGACTACAAATAGGCGAGACTCGAGAGTGATATATGATTTAGTAATGAGGACCCAGGAGCATCATGTAGCGAGATATAATTCCTCATAAGTCCTATAGATAAGCCAATACTATCCGCCTATCGGGGGTTGTCTTGTCTTCGTATGTAATAAAGAGACACCCAGATTCTTCGTCGTAAGACAGATGATGGATGAATTCGTTGTCCAAAAGACCGGAACAAACCAGTTTTGTCACTTGGATGTGATGTGAAGACGGAGCAGCGTCAAGGCGCATCAATCCACGACTCTGTGCGTGGGTGACAGGAAGGGAGAATAGCCTGACAAGGCGATCCGGTAGGTAATGAACCCCCGAAAATCTACCTAAGATACTTACTTCGTCTCTTCCCTTGCTGTAGGGCACGTCGGGCCACATATGTTGCCCATCAACATCATATGCAACGTCAGCGCCATCTGGGGGGGAAAGAGTTGAGATATAGCGAAACCGCCCCGTCCATATGATGAATTGAGGTGGAGGTCTGTCGCTTGAGGGGTGATTCTCGAGTTGGATGGAGGTTACTCGGGGAGTGCGCAGACAATCGCCTCCTTGAATGGTGCGCCATATAGAAGGGCGGTACACAGATGCATCAGCTACGTGAGTGCAAGCAACTGGGTACACGTCAGGAAGGGTAAACATCCGATGAAACGTGCCACCAGCATTAACGACAATGAAGTAGCGTTGCGATATCATAGTGATGGACCCTCCCCGTGGGCATTGCTATTAGATGAACTCAGCGAGGGCATGATGAACTTCAATGTTACTCACCGGATCCTTCAGTCTCATGATAGAGGTATGAAGCCCCTTGGCGTACATACGGATATACGCAAATTGACCGTCATCGGGATCATCCCAGAGGATTGCCAGATGTGTTGTATCAAAGAACAGTGCACATATTTGCGGATTCACAGAGAAGTAATCTATCTGCGCAAATGTTCCCCTGTTGGCGTCGCAGCGATAAATCGAAATATGTGAGAGTAGCCTAGGGAATAATTTGATGATGCATTGGAAGGAAATCAGAATATAAGATACTCACAGCTGTCTACCATGGAAATCGCACTCATCCAGCTCTTCCAACGATACGACGACAACGTTGATGGCGGTAGAACTGACAGGAACCGCACGCCAAAAGTATATCGGGTGCTCGGAGGGTGACACGAGGGGTCGCCCTTCTTCCAGTGTATTGGCGGCCCACTCGTGCACTACCAACTTGCGCTCCGAATCTTGCAAGGTGACGAAATGTCGACCACCAGGCAGAGGAACAGGAAAAAGACCATTTGCTTCAAGGGATCGGGTGGTCGTGAACGTCGTGATTGGGTCTGCCCCTCTAAGTTTCCGATCCAAGGTAGCCAGTCGTAACGTTGCTGTCATGATCTCATCCAAGTTCATTGCGTCTAGGCTCAAACAGAGTCGAGGAATCGGCCGGACTTCTAAGATATCGCGTAATACTAGAAGCCAAATTGATCTATCTCGTAGAAGATTGAACAGTCGTTTCGAGGTCTGGTCGAACAGAACAACACTGAGCTCAGTAGTACGTCCTAATATGAGCCAATGCGTACCGCCCGCAAACTGCATAGGTCCTGAACAGAAAGATAGTGCGATAGGACAAATATCACGTCGTAGGGGACGTCGTTCAGGGTTTTTGGTGGCTGGCCGAGTATCGACCTCAAGTATCGAAGCAGAAAGGAATGTGACCAGCCCCAGCGCACGAGTGACAAGAATTCTGTAGTCATTGGAGATAACATAGTGAGAAGCTCTAGGAATATGTTGGTCATCGCACAGGGCAAGTTTACAATTCCGCCGCCGCGGCCTGCAAGGTGTGGTGGCAAGAGTCAAGGTTCGAAACGACTTGGAATTCGAATGCGCGCCACACTTGTTGGTGACCGTGAGAACCAGGGACCGAGTGAGCAAGTACATAATCGATTCGCTACTAGGTCACTTACACTACTTTCGGGAAGGTGACATTGGAGAACACTGTTCGGCAGAACCGACCACTCAGTCGGTGTCGCGCAGTGGGGCACGAACATCACGTACTGGCGAGCTAACGGTCTTCCTCTCGATTATCTGAGATACTATATTTACTAATGATTCACCGTTTGAAACCCTACAAACGAGCCAATACTATCCGCCTATCAGGTGTTGTCTTGTCTTCGTATGTAATAAAGAGATGCCCAGATTCTTCGTCATAAGACAGGTGATGGATGAATTCGTTGTCCAAAAGACCGGAACAAACCAATTTTGTTACTTGTATGTAATGTGAAGACGGAGCAGCGTCAAGGCGCATCAATCCACGACTCTTTGTGTGGGTGATAGGAAGGGAGAATAGCCTGACGAGGCGATCCGGGAGACAATGAACTCCCGAAAATCTGCCCAAGATACTTACTTCGTCTCTCCCCTTGCTATAGGGGACATCAGGCCACATAAGTTGGCTGTCGACATCATAGGCAACGTCAGAGCCATCTGGGGAGGAAAGGGACGTGATATATCGATACCGGCCCGTCCATACGATGAATCGAGGCGGTGGTCTGCCGTTTGAGGGAGGATCTCCCAATTGGAGTGAGGTTACTCGGGGAGTGCGCAGGCAATCACCTCCTTGTATAGTGCGCCAAATAGAGGGATGGTACACAGATGCGTCAGCGACATGAGTGCCAGCAACTGGGTGCATGACGGGTAGTGCAAACATCCGGTGGAATGCGCGTTCGGCGACGATGAAGTAGTCTTGCGATATCACTGTGATGGACCCTCGCCGTGGGCATTGCTTATTGAATCAGATCAGCGAGGAAATGGCGAGTGAAATTGTTACTTACTGGATCCGTAAGTCTCATGAAAGGCGTATGAAGCCCCTTGCTATACATACGGATGTATGCGAATTGAGCGTCATCGGGGTCATCCCAGAGGATCGCTAGGTGGGTTGTATCGAAAAACAGCGCGCAGATCTCCGCGTTCACAGAGAAGTAATCTATACACTCAAAAGAACCTATATGGGCTTCACAGCAATAGATGGAGAAATGCGAGCGTAGCCTGTGGTCTAATTCAATAACATATCAAAATGGAGAGTGTTGAGAATATTCACAGTGCTCTGCCATGGAAATCGCACTCATCCAACTCTTCTAATGATACGACGACAACGTTAATGGCGGTCGAACTGACAGGAACCGTGCGCCAAAAGGATATCGGGTGCTTGGAGGGTGACACGAGGGGTCGCCCTTCTTCCAGTGTATTGGCATCCCAGTCGTGCACTACCAACTTGCGCTCCGAATCTTGCAAAGTGACGAAATGACGGCCACCAGGGAGAGGAACAGGAAAAAGATCAATTGCTTCAAAGGATCTAGTGACCGTAAAGGTCGTGATTGGATCCACCCCTCTAATTTTACGGTCCAACGTAGTTAGTCGTAAGGTCGCAGTCATCATTTCGTCCACATTCATTGCGTCCAGGCTTAATAAGAGTCGAGGAATCGGCCGGACTTCCAGAATATCGCGTAAAACCAGAAGCCAGATTGACCTATCACGTAGGAGATTGAACAGTCGTTTCGAGGTCTGGTCAAACGGCACAAGACTGAGCTCAGTATGTCCTAATAGAAACCAATGCTTACCGCCAGCAAACTGCATAGATCCTGAACAGAAAGATAGTGAGATAGCACAAATACCACGTCGTAGGGGATGCCGTTCAGGGTTTTTGGTGGCCGCCAGAGTATCGACCTCAAATATTGAAGCAAAATAGAATGCGACCAGTCCCGGCACAAGAGTCGCAAGAATTCTGTAGTCATTGAAGATGCCATAGTGAGAAGCTCGAAAAAAACGTTGGTCATCGGGCAGGGCAACTTTACGAAAGTGCAGCTGCGCAGTGCGGCAGAGCAAGATCCAAGGTTCTGAAATCCAAATAACGCGCGCCACACTGTTTGGTCAGATCATCCTTCTTCTTCTTCGAAGGGTACGGTGTACATCCTTCCATCCTTGTACGCTCCTTTCACAATGGCAACGGGCCGGCAGAGCTGTGATAATCGTTACTAATCACGCTAACTAAACATCTTGAGCCAGACCATTCACTGTGGTCGTAAATTTGATCTCGAAACGCAGGCTGACGTTGGGGCTGGGACTCCCCGACTTCTATCCTTCCATATGTTCAGTTAGCCCCGCGCCCGGCCGGTCCGTAACAGAGGCACGTTCAGTTCACATGACGGCCACAACCATTAACGATGCACTTTTATTTCAGTCACTTCCATATATATATCAAATGGGCTTCTAATGTGAAGACTATATGAATACCATTTCGTCGAGCACGAGTAATGTCAGTTGCAACCTTCCTCAATGGACCCCTTCCTCGGATTCTTCGTTGTCGCCGCCCTAGGACTACTCGGCATCCGCGTCGTTCATGCTGGAACAGTGTCTATGAATGACAGTATCTGCACCGTTCACGCTAGCTTGGATGGCTCGGATGACGCACCTGCCATCCTTGCTGCATTCGACCTCTGCCGACGAGATTCGGTCATCTCCTTTGTGGACGATCTCTACCACATCGAGAGCGTCATGAATACCACCAACCTTAGCAACGTGCAAGTCAATCTCCACGGCACGTTACTGGTAAGTTTTTGCTACAGTGTTCAGCAGAGTCGAACACTCAGTGGGTGGCGCAGTGGGGCACGAACATCACGTACTGGCGAGCTAACGGCCTTCCTCTCGATTATCTGAACATGACCACCGCATGGGCATTTGGCGGGGACAAGATAGTCTTCAACGGATACGACCGCGGTACATTTGATGGAAATGGCCAACTCTGGTAAGAGACTTGGGAATGCTGTCGGCGCGTGCTGGCTCACCTAGGTGCAAAAGGTACGACTTCACCAACGGCGTCTCCAATCTCCCTGGAAGACCCATCAGTTTGATGATCACCGACACGACGCGCTCTGTATTCTCAGGAATCCGCTTTGTGCAATCGCAATTCTGGACGATGGCCATCAAGAGCTCTGACGATGTTCTGTTGGAAAACATATACGTGAACAGTACATCGTCCAGTCGGGTGAATGTCTTCCCTAGCCAGTCACCAACGGATTACTCACGGTGAATATCGCCGTAGGCTCCCGCTAGAAATACCGACGGAGTCGACACTTTCTTCTCCAACCAAATAACATTCCGAAACTGGACTGTCACTGGCGGAGACGATAACATATCACTGAAGGCGAACTCCACGAATATCCTGATACAGGATTGTGTCTTCCATGGTGGCCTTGGTGTGGCTATAGGGTCCATTGGCCAATACCCTGGTGTATTTGAAACCGTGGAGAACGTTACGGCAGAAAGAGTGAGCTGTTTCGGAACACGATACTCTGGATATATCAAAACATGGACGGGTATCCAACAAAACTTTCCACCCAACGGTAGACACCCGCTCCTCCCTAGTAATAGTATTGAACTGACCTGACTTGTAACCCTTGTTGCGTCGATTAGGTGGCGGCGGCGGACTAGGATACGCCAAAAACATAAGTGAGCGCCAACCCATCTGATTCCAGCCTCCCAGATCTGACACAAAGTCTACAGCATTTAGGGACTTCACGCTAGCGAACGTCACAGACGAGGTTGCTCGCATCACACAGTGCACGTCGTTCTCCGGCGCCACTGGCGGCTGCGACACCTCGCTCTTCCAGGTTTCCGACATAACGTGGGGGCCGATGACAGGAAACGTCCTATCTGACACGATCGCCCAGTTACAGTGCAGTGGCGCGTCCCCGTGCCCAGGCGTCCGTTTCGTTGGGATGGATGACATCGCGACCTCGGGCAGCAGCAGAAGGGTCGCCTGTAGCCATGTCGTCGATCCGAGTGGGTTCAATTGCACCGTATAGCCGGGGAGTTGTTGTCTGAAGCATCTGCCTCCGCGAGTGTTAAAACACAACTTGATGGGACTATGCGCAACGAACAAACGGTTACCTTGACACTTCTCGACTGCTATTAATGAAATGATGATATACGTCTGTCATAGTCCGTCATCGTCCGTCATCGTCGCACGTTAACATCATGGTACCTCTACAGATAAGACGAAGATTGATATATGAGAGAAATCGGATATATGTGTGCGTTGGCGGGGAGAGTATTGCGGCATAATATTACAAACAGGGGTTTGTCCCGCAGGAAGGCTGGCTACATGAAAGTGTTGTATCGAACAAGGGCAATGACAGTGAACGAAAGGCGACGCAAATTTTACCAAGAAGACAACCAAAGAAGTAGAAAGAAGGAAAGAAGAGACCGCGAGCAGTCCTAGCGCAATTGTCTCGGAGTCGACGAACGATCAGCATAAGGTGGTGGAAGTTCGTGGACCACACCGCCGTCTCTATGCTGGATGATGATTTCTGGGTGCTCTTCCAGAAGTGGGGTTGTGCTCTGATACTGTGGTGATGATGATGCGGCGTCAAATGAACTCGGTCGGTGGTTATTACTATCCGCCGAAGTCGGTCTGATGCCAGCTTCTTGTGCCTTCGTCCGCCGCGACGTGGTCGGGAACGCGGCGAACGATGGCCGAGAGCTGAGGTTCGAACCACTACCGCCACTCGAGCTCAGCTCCGAATGCGTCGGGCCGTTACTCGACTCGCTGTGGTATGGGTCGAACGCAGGCGTATTCGCGTATTGCGAGTGCATCAGAGCCACGGACGAGCCTGACAATTCCGCCGACTTGTGTGATCTCGGCGGGTTCGGAGACACGTCGTGCGGGTACGCGACGACGGGGGTGGCCTGCCCACTGTTGGAATCCTCGAATTTATGGGGTATCGCCTCTTCGAGCGCCATCTGTTTGCGGTTTTTGCGGCGCCAATACCACGCGGCGGCCCCAGCGAGCACAAGCAGCGCCAGGACTCCAACAGAGACGCACACCCCGATGATTATCGATCTCTCCTTGCGGTCACTGGCTGCTTTCGCGGCGGCTTCTTCCATCTGCCGCACAACTTCTGTGTTGTTGCCACTGACAGTGTTCAGGCCAGTGCAAACGATATCAGTGGAGCCTACTCTCTTTAGTTAGCCTATAACATAAGAGGGCGACATAATCTATCACAAACCTATCGTATTTATACTCGGCGTCCCGAAGGCATACCGACCAGTGCTATAAAAGGGACCGATTTTCAGACGGTGATATCATCAATAAATGGACGACTCACAAGTCAGTGACAGATGCTTACAGCAAAAGCAAACGATTAGCTAGATTAATTCATTGATAGATAGCGACATACCTAGCAATATCGTGTTGGGATCTGCTCGGTTGATGTAGGTGAGGCGATCATCGAGGGCACCCATCGTGACGTTGGTTACAACAGGTGAGCTGAGCGCTGCGAGAGTCACACTGTAAGGTTTGGAGCCCCCAACGATGGTTAAGCCCCAAGGGTCACATGTATTCACATCGCCCGTTATATTCGACGTAACAGTAAAGGTTGGAGGATCCCTTGCTTGTATGCACGTTATGGATTGCCCAGCTAGCGAAAATAGGATGAAACAGCTTTGCGTGAACGGAGACGTGTCATACCTGTGACCTTGAACAATCGAGTTGGGACACCGCCTGAGCTCCCATTAGCGTCCACAACAACCAGCATTAATTCTTTGTCTTGAGACCAACAAATCAGAATCCGCAGACAAGATAGTCAACTTTACCCACCAAGGGGATGTGTGACCGTCCACCGCAAGTCATTTTCGTCTGTCCCAATAAGGGTTGTCATCGGCAGACCTCCCAGCTCAAACGATCGCATATAATACGGCGGTGTGCCATGGGTGGAGTTGTCCGCATTGAAGGATTTGACAACGATGCGCATCTCCCGACACGTAGGGAGATCGGTAGAAATTTGTTCTGCAAACTGCCATTGAAAGAGCCTGGACGTCTGCGCCCTGCATAAAGACGATAGAGACAGGAAAAGCAGTGTCGTGGGTCCGATCCACGTTGTATACATCGGGGCTGCTGTTTCGCTTTTCGCAACGCGCGCGTAGGAGAGTCAATGAAGCCTCTCGAGATCCGGGAGGGTGGGTGTCCGGGATGGAGGTGGTAGAAAAGCGATGCGGAGAGGAAGAAGGTGAAAGTGGGCGTAGTAAAGACCAGCCCTAAGGAGAAACTCGTGGATGATTATAAGGGGCGCCTGGCCTGATTCTGTGTGCATAAAGGGGATCTACAGCGCCAGGGGTCGTTAGCCAATAGAATACCCAAATGGCAGAGTCAACTCAGGGCCTCCACTGGCGCAGCCCCGAGATTATCGCTGTGCTACGGCATCCCCCATGACGCGCGAAACCTGAACGGCCAGAACTAAATAGCAAAGCTCACCTCTCCAAAAGTACCCCAAGATGTGGAAAACAAGTAGAAAGACCAGAATAGTCCGTATTCGCACACCCACAAAGCCTCTGAATCGCGGACGGTTCGAGGTTCACGAAGGTGCTGCTCGTCCTTGCGGACGATATCGCCATTAGCAACCAGCTTATTCCTTCCGAATGGTTCTCTCACCTTTTATTAAGGTCGGCCGAGCTACGCGAGAGATAACGCCGGGTATATCGCGCCACCGCCAAACACCTAGACGGGAGGAGCGACGGTGTCGCCAACGTTCAACGTTGAGGGAGGGTAATGAGTAAAGACAGTCAGAGGTCGAAAAGAGGATCAAAGACGAGCATCTCAACAAATACTTACGAGTGCCATCGAAACTAGGAGGACGCTTCTAGACATCAAACTGATGGTTCAGGTACAGTTATCTCGTTGCTGAGAAACCTGAAGGATCAGTTTGACACACCGCCTCGTCCCCGACTATACTAGCTGTTGACCACTACTAGCCAGCGCAGATCCATACACTGTAGCCGCGGCGTTTCACGACTAAGTAGTCCCCTGCGGACAACGCTGGACACCAAGCCATACGGTACTCGTATGTCGGGAGCAACCAAACGAGCCTGACCGATGATCGATCGGCCAGACCAACGTCGAGTGTCTCACGTAGACGTAGCACGATGATCAAACGAACCCATCACCACGCACTTCGACCACTAGTTATTCTGAACTCTACCAGAAATACATCACGATCAGTAGTGTATCATCAGAATCTAAATGATTCATTCTCGCGTTGCTTGCTGTCGGTAGCATTTGTTCGCCCAAGTTTACGGCTCGACCCCATTGCCCAAAATCTCCACCAAACCAAAACTATACCGCTACTGCACACGAGGCCGGAGCTATTGACAGCACTCAACCGATCACCATGTACTTCCGCGTTATTGCCCCGATCATTGTCAACCGTGCTCCGGCTTCCGGTGATTTCGCTGAAATTTCAAGGTCAAATTTTGGCATTGACGTAGACCACGTCAGCCCATCCTGGACCTTCAAGAAACCCTCCACTTGTTTCCTTCTACGATCACGGCACTTCACTGATCAGCTCGACGACGGTCGACCTGACCACGAATGACGACGCGGCGCGAACGGCCCGGGTATCATATCCCTCCGGTCCTTGAAAGTCACCGTGCATGTTAACTCGCCGAGCACAACGCGATCATTCGCTACTACTCACAATACACGAGGACTCACCCAACTACGATTACAGACTGTATCATCGGACTCACTATACAGAAGATCTTTACGTCTCCCCCGGTTCCGTACCGGTCGGTCCTATGGCTATGCACTATATTTAAACAACGGGACCGCTGTATGTATGTCGGATAGTCGTGTCCCCCGACTCCAGAGCATGCTAGCCTACCTCGCACGACTGATGACGACAATCCTGTGAATGTAAAAATACAACGCATTAGTGGACAACATCTAGGGACATTATCAACATCATATCTCACCGCCGTTTGACAGATCCCCACTGCCCGTCCGACATACATACACTTATCATCTTGTGTCAGAATGACGCGGCTCAACGGCTTTATAACAATACAACTATCCACCCGAGCGACACTACCCTCCGATTAATGGATCTACCATACAGTGGTACAGCTTGGGCATTGGACCAGCAGTTATGTTCATAAAATCAAAGCTGAGCCAAAATGACATCTGCGGCGGTAATAGTTACTTGACTTGGGTCTTCCTCAACAGCAACAGTGCGGACAACAGGGCCATCGGTAATGAGTACAAAGCGCTGCAGGGTAAAAATACGATTAGTTGGTATTTGATGTTGATCAACACAATATTAAAGCCGCAGCATCTAGAGTCGCCCAACATCTACGTGGTGAGGGCGTGCGTGTTATGGGCGGCGTCCATATAAAAAGGCTGGGCAGGCCGCAAGACAACTTGCAAGGAGAAATCGACTGCGGTCCACGCAGACGATGTCATCAATCACAGCAAATCTGATTGAACTGCACGTCATTCATACGGCTCAACAGCATTTGCCAGACATCGCACCAGATATACGTTGATTACACAAACACTCACCTTTGCACGAGGGGAACCTAGCAACGGAGACGCGTCGAAGATCAGCCCAAGCCTACTGACAAGCTCACCTTTGTCATCCGCAATGAATCGAACACCTATATAATAAGTCGCAAGGTTAAACTGGTCCTTCATACGATGGGTTCCAAGGCCCAGCCCACCTGTGCCACTCGCGGCAAGTTGCTCCTTCCATGCCCTATACATAACAGCGAGTCAACCATCATGTCACAACGATTTCTTGCCATAATGTCAACGCACTTCATGACAAACACGTCATTGGCAGCAACCTGCGTTGGAGCCGAGATTATCTACTGTGCCAAGGCGAAGCGAGTAAGTGCTCTTACAACAAAAACGTTATTGACGCCCTTCTCCTTGAACTTCTCGAGGCTCTGGATGTATTTTGGAACCTGAGCACTGCATGTACCTGTGAACGCGCCTGGTACGCCGACCTGTTTGTTAGCGTGTACAAGTGGATGGAATTTATGCGCATATATATGAATATAACATGCCCGTAAGTCAAACGTCCGCGTCAGTCAGTAAAGCTTTCCCTCCATAACGATCCGAGCGACTCACAATAACATTGGTCCCAACTAGCTTGAACGCTTCGGCAGCCATTGCATCGTTCTCCTTCACCTTGATATCCTCTGGGATACTTTCTCCGGGCTTGATCTGCGCGTTTGCGAGCAGGCTAGCAAGGGCTGAATGGGCTGCCTGCGCGGTGCCAGTAATGATGGAGGTCATTTCGATGGATGCTTGGTGGTAGTTGTGGGAGAGGTTCTGGAGAAGGAAGCAAGACAGTGGGATTTCACAGAGCTCGTATTTATACGAAAGGTTGGAGGTATTCCTGGGTCACCGTGACGTCATAGGCTTTGGATGTGGTGGTCAAAGGATAACATTCGCGCCCGACCGGCGAAACCGATTCCGCGTGGTGAGAGGCAACTCCACGCACACGCTGGCGGGTTTTGGAAACTCTGAGTAGGTGGCAAGTTGGCGAAGTGACCACAGTGTGGTCATGACTCTATTGTGATCACTAGTGTTTATCACACGGTCACAGATATATTCCCACAGTCAACACAGTGTCTTTGATACCTTCCGTGGGCATTAGTCTCATATAGAGTATACTACTTTGACAACTAATACTCGTTACCAGATCACCCGAAATAGCAATCATGACTTCCTCAGCCTCCCCTACATTCGCAGTGAACGAACGCGTTCTCTGCTATCATGGCCCCCTTATCTACGAGGCCAAAGTCCTTAAAGTAGATCAGAGCGAAGACCCCACATCCGGGACCATACTCCCCAATTACTTTGTGCACTACAAGGGTTGGAAACAGACGTGCGTTCCGGGATTAACAAACTGCGATTCATCTATTCTTATTATTTGCCATTGGATCGCGTGCGTAGCTGGGATGAATGGGTACCTCCGCCTCGCTTGCTCAAGCACAACGATACGAACATAGCTATCCAAAAAACCCTCCAGTCACAAGCAAATGCCACAAACGCAGCCGTTAACGCGTCAAACCGCGCTGCCAAATCGGGCCCCTCTGGGTCGCATAGAGAACACCATTCCGTCGGAGGGCTCGGTACTGGGAGTACGAGGGTGCGGAAAGACGGCGCGAGGGGGACGAAGAGGGGGAGAGAAGAGGTGCGTTGGCGTTTGATTCCCTGTCTCTGCGAGTATCCGGATGTTTCTGGACGCGCTATTATGACACTAGGACGACGCTTCCAAAAAGCCGGAGATTAAGCTCAATGTGCCCGAGGTTCTGAAAGTGATACTGGTCGATGACTGGGAAGCTGTCACAAAGAACAACCAAGTGAGTCCTTAAACCACTTTTCTTCTTTATTATCTCCAACCTAGTTTCTCACAGTTAGTAACTCTTCCCCGCTCACCAACCGTTGTCGAAGTTCTTAGCCAGTTCGAGGCATACATCCTCGCCAGGCCGGCTTCAGAAAATGCGCAGTGCGTTTTCCCCTTCATATGTCCTTGGTCTGTTCAATTAAACTTGCACCTGCTGCCATGACAGTCTCACGAGTCCCTCTCTCCTTCTACCTACGATTATCTCTGGTCTCACAATATATTTTGACCGTTCACTTGGATCCAACCTCCTCTACCGCTTCGAGCGCCCGCAATATGCTGGAATACGCAAACAGTATGTCACGGGTCCCCATATCATCGTCGGACAGGAGAAGGATATGAGTTGTGTGTATGGCGCTGAACATATGCTACGGATGCTAGGTCAGTATCGATCACACTTCTACCTTTGATGATCGTCTGTTGGTCTTGAACTGATCATCGACGTACGTTAGTATCCCTGCCACAGATGATAGCAAACTCGACGATGGACGCCGACTCGGTCTCTATCATACGCGACTACGTCAACGAGTTATTATTGTACGCCTATACACCCCTTCTCCTACATTGAGCTGATTGAGTATGCGATGCCGCACATAGGTACATGGTGAAAGAACGCGGGCGTCTGTTTCAACGCGAATATGAAAGTGCAAGTATGCAGTACCAAAACATATCGAGATCATAGGCCAGACAGTGCGGTCTGCTGCTGTAGTTCCGCGCCTCTGGTGACCTGTGTACCTTATTGAGATTGCTACTCGAGTTGTATCATATTCCCAAGGTCCGCCTCCAGCAGACCAACCACCAACCACTTATGCATGATCACAGGCAAGGTAGGGACAAGGACACCACAAAGCAGCTCTATCCCCGTATTCACTGCTGAATCCGTAAATACTCTTGGTACATATCAGACGACTGTGTTTTCATCAACATGGCAATGGCCGTGCGACTTGATTGAATACTGCGCTGAGGCTGCTGAGAAGTCTCAGCCCAGCCCAGGTGGGACCGCGCGCGCTCCGGGAGCCGAAACACTGGTGCCGATGGATCAATGCTCCCGGAATGCACTGTAGACGTCGTGTGCGTGTGTGGGTACAAGAATTGATATCATTTCAGAAATGCTGGTGCTCTCGATGCAACGCTAGTGCAGGAATCCTTGAAGTTGAAGGATTTGGTAGTAGCGACCCTGAAGCGGAGGTGCCCTGTCTGCCCGCTCTGAGATGTCTCACATTTCTCCACTGCAAGGCCATCTTGTCTGTAAAGAACAATAGTATAGCACTCCGTGGGCGAGGCTGGGCGACTGTTTATAGCAACCAATCAAGGCCATCATTTCCGACTCGGACAACCGATGCAGGCTGATGCAGGGCGATGCATTTCACGTTGGGTCCTCTATCAGCGTTGCTTGCTTTATGATTACGACCTCCAGTGCCGCCGGCGTGCACGTCTGAACTCGACGACCACATAATCCCCTTCTAAACCCCAAATTCCTCTCTTCTTCTACGCCAGCAAACTTCCGAGCGTCAGCATCTTCCTAGCAACGGCACAATGAGCCGTTCCAGCGACCACACGCTCGTCGAGAGCTTTCGCGATTCCACCCACTTAATACCATCGAGGGCCATAGACACGAAGAAACCGAGTCCATATGTGAGCAAGGCTGCTTGAGACTACCACAAAACGCCTCAATTCTCTGTAGGACCCGCTCATAATGAAGATCTGGGTGTGCGTGGCCACCGCAGCGTCGATGATGGGCGTAGGGATTGCACTGGAGATTGGGCTAGCAATTTCAGCAAGAAATGGAGGTGAGCGACGACAGTATCCTGCGGGGGGTCTTATTCTTAACTGTCCATGCGTAGGGTTCTCTGTCCCACAGCAAAACGTCGTTTCCTTCGTGTCACCGCAATTCCTACTCTCCTTCTTCCCCACAGTGAGTACACGGATTCCTCATGTATGTAGTTCAAGTTGCCCAGTTTGCTTCGGTAGCTTTTTGTATTGCCCGTCGCATTCCTATGGCGAGAAATTGACTGGATGGTACGCTGGTACGAGCCCTACGTGGTATTATCCAGAGGGCATGCTACTGCAGAGGAGTCCCTTCTTCTCGATTGTGAGTACCCATCTCCTCGGACTTATCCCCGCTAACCTAGCCTCCAGACGTACGTCCATTTCCGTACCGCGTCCCCGCAGGTCTTCCATTGTCATCGTTTTTAGATAGCCCTGGGGACCTTCTTTACCCTCTTTCGCGCTTTGAAGTACAAACATCGCATAGTCTTCTTCTCTGCCCTCACGGCCGCCACGACCTACATATTCCAGCCCCTCGCTGGTGCAATCTTCCAACTGAGGCAAATAGACCGGAGTGAGGACTGGTCGGTAACCAGCAGCAGGGCCATCGGCCTCGCCCCCGATGTGAGCCAGCTGAACGGATTTTTGGCGGCGGCAGGGGTGCGTTTCATAACTTAGTTTCACTCAATCACCCTCTCACGGACCAACCTTAGTACGCAGAAGCTGCAGGTTCTTGATTTCATTCATCTCTTAGCCATCATCATTGACCTCGTCATATCGATCAGTCGCACACAACCTCTCGGATCCACCGTTTGTGAAAAATGGCTGGGCGACAGCAGAGTTTGTTGTACGTACCGATCCTGACCTCATATATCACCACTGACAACTGTGCTGACAGTTCCCTCAATACCCCGGCCTCAATGGCACTCTCGCGGTCAACACTACAGGGATTCAAACCGACACGGCCTGCCGTACCCCACGCGCAAGCGACCTTGTACCGCAGCCCGAAAATCTGTTCAACTACACCGCAACATCTGTTGATGGGTGTATCGGGAGCGCATCCTTCAATGCTTCAGTCAGTGCCTTCCGATCTCGCTCCTTCTTGATCTAAGCGATAACCTGCTTCCAGGACTCAAACACTCAGTACGGCGTAGTCCCAGTCTCTTGCGCGGGGGCGTCGCCGAATATTACATTCCAACCTGTGATGTTCTGGTTCGTATCTCACTTCATCGCCCTCCTCGACAGGGCTAACCACCTCCCTTGTGCTGTAGGTACTTTCATCTGAGGACAGACAACAATTTGCCCGAAGCGAAGGCAGTTTTCTGCACTCCCGCGATCAAAGCCTCGAATGTCGAGGCTTCTGTCGACCTCGAGAAAAAGACGATGTCTGCTTGTGTACAGAAAGGGGACCTGTCGAAGCCCAACAACGTCACTGGTCCTCCATTGAATGGTCGCGCCTATAACGGGTATATCATTCGGTTTTTTGCACAAGCTATCACTTGGACTGAATTCTTTTATTAGACTGATATTCAACTTCTCACCGGATGAACAAGACGCGAGGAATAACCCAGATAGGTTTGTGGCCGCTCGTGCAACTGCTGTCGCGGCTGGGGTCTCGGGTGCTATTTTCCGTCTGGCTTCCCAACAATCTGGCGGTTTGCAGGCAACCTTTGACCTACCCAACGGTTTCCTGGATCTAACGACCCAAGTCTACGTAAGTTCTTGTTCTACTTAGTAAGGGTCTCGCATAGCTGAACTATCTGAATTCTTAAGACTCAACATCTTGCTATCACTGCAAAGTCCGTGTACTTCCTGCCGGATGGTTCCCAACTAAATGGTCGGTTGACTTCGTCTGTTCCAAGGCTCTGGATCGAGTGAGTATATTCAACCTACTCCACAATATGAGTGGCTGACTTATTTCCACACTAGTCCCCTCCCCGGCCACGCGCTCGCAATCCTGATCTTCATGGTTGGCTTCGTCGGAGTTGTGATCCATATCCTTGGCCGGCGCGCCCGTCGTAACCTTATCCTATGTGCACCGCCCGGTAGCATTGCCGCCGTCATGGCCCTAACGTCACGTTCCGGATTCGGCGAGCTTCTCCTTCCATACGACGACGAGAAGACGCTGGAAAAGAAGCTCAGCGGTCTAACATACAAAATGGACAGAAGAACGGGCGCTATTGTGGCTGATGAGAAAGGGTTCTACGAGTTTGGTGGAGGGAGTATGGGGAGGGACGATGCCATGATGTCATTGATGGGGCAGACGCATGATCGAGTAAGTGGGAAAGACGAGGGGAGCTACTCAGATTCGTCGAGTCACCTAGCACACCAACTGGCGGCTGGATACCCTCCGTGGGTGGCAAGAGGGGCGTGAGGCTCATCGGACTATAGTAGGCTGTACATACTTGCTTTCTTGTTATCGTGGACATTGACATATTATCATGGACATACGTACTCATGAGCATTCTAGGGAAGATCTGCAATAGGGATCTGAAAGAGCTGAGCTCGAAACATGTCATACAAGTCTCAGCCCTTTTCGGCCCCATGACTGTCCTCCTTCACATCAACCACTACCATGTTCGGTTTCGCAGTTGCTAACAATCTCATTGTCGCGCTTGGTGCAGCGGCTATTGCGTCGTATTTATTGGTTGTGCATCGCCTCCGCTGGCGCCGTTATGATGATATCCACGCGAAATTCGAAAGCAAGTTCAAAGAGGGCAAGTTGACTCCTCGCGACGCCCAGGAGATTATGCATGCCTCCGCATTCTACGACATGCCTACCCTCATGACATACTCTCTGTCGTTTGCGCTTTTCAAAACGTATGCAATTGTGAGCATCGTGTTTTGGCAAGTAGGGGACATACTGATCATCGCATGCAGCCCAGCATATCAAAGATACTTGCCGGGACACGAGAGTTCACGGACCCGTCAACGGTGTCAAGGCGCTATGCAGACGTATGTCTACCCCTGCTTTGAGCGCTAAGCTGTAGGCTGACTTGACTGTTCACCAGACCGAAATCCTTATATGTACCTGGATTGCATCGCAGCTTCCCGGGAAATTCGACGGCGAGAAGGAGGAAAATGTCTCAGATCCACGAGGCATGATTGCTCTGGCCCGCACGAATTGGCTGCATTCAAAATATTCCATTGTCAGTATTCATACTCTTTCTACACACTGATTGACTCACTGCTATGTATTAGAAAAATGAGGACTACATTTACACTCTAGCATTATTCATCTTAGAGCCCATCGTAAGTTTGCATGAAACTCCTCGTCCTTGGCTTACTTATGTGGCCCGATCCCAGTCGTGGGCTCGACGATATGGGTGGAGACCCCTATCGCCTATGGAGCAACAGGTTAGTGCCATATCTTCATTCTGGGAGAAATCGTTGATTCACACTCTCAAGTCTTATTTCCTTTTCTGGGTTGAAATTAGCAAGCGAATGGAAATTCGTGACGTTCCCGGATCCTTGGATGAACTTAAGGAGTGGACGCAGGTTCGTCATTCCCTTCTACACTCCCGTGCTATCTTCACCCCACGCTATCTATACAGGCGTATGAGCAGCAAGCCATGCTCCCAGCTCAAAGCAATAACGATGTCGCGGAAGGAACCACAAATGAGTTGCTACACGCTGCTCCAGAAGCGTTCGGAATTAAGGACTTCCTCAGGAGAATCACCGTCTGTCTCCTCGACGAGCGTGTGCGCATCGCCATGATGTGAGTATAATCATTTCCCTAGGATGTGATTTACTAATCACCAGTACTTATGCGATTTCGTAGATATCCAAGCCAACCGTGGTACTTGCATGTGCTGACCCGATCCCTCCTGACAAGTGTTAAGTACTTTCAAAAGTACCTGTGTCTCCCGCGCTCCTCTATGGATTGTCTGGTTCGTCTGGAAACACCCCCTGGTGATAGACCTCGCCTTAATCCAACTAGGTATGGCCGTTTCAAACAACACTGCCGCCTCACAAACACTTCCAATTAGGTATCGCGCAGTGCCATGGTATCGTCAGAAGCGCACAGGTATTCTCTCCCTCCTGGATAATTTCCTGGTTGGTGTCGGATTCCACGACGATCTTCCTGGTCCAAAGTATCATGCTGACGGATATCGAATTGAGGAACTGGTACAATCACATTTCCCGCCTCTCCCTTCTTGGCATAGCTGATTTCGTTCGCTGTAGGGTCCTCCTAAGTTTGAACAAGGTGAGACGAGTTGTTTACCATGTCTATTTGCCAGTAGTTGACTGACTGCTGATACCAAGCCGGTCGAGAAGAGGTCATGCAAATGGCTGAGAGGCTTCATGGATGCCCCATCAAGGGGCCATGGTCTTTACAACCGGAACACTAAGCCTGAATACTCTCTGTCGTCCTATATACGGGTAATCTAAGTTAGATACGTAGTACGTAACTACATGTTTGTCTACTAATGTCCAACGAGAGTTAGTGCGAGGTCCAGCCGCTACTTCTCTTCTAATACAGACTTTTCCACCGAAAGCTCTTTATTACCAAGTAATCCAGTAGCATCATCTCTTGGCCTAGGACTGGGCGCACGCTTCATGGAAGGAGAGGCTACCCCGACCATGAAATCATCAACACTTATATGTCCTATGGCGCCAACGCTTAAGCCTTCTGAACGTGCAAGCAACCCTTCTTCCATTGAGGTATCATCAATGTGTTCAAGGGCGATGGGTTTACTTGTGGACGTAGTTTCTTTCGTAAGCTTGGCACACAGTGAGGTGATGTTGACGTGAAGAGCGAATAAGGTAACGTACCACGACGTATAGAGCAGAAGTGATGATGATGATTGTACCGATTGCGGAGAGAACGGATGGAGCTGTATGGAAGAATATTCGCTCTAGAATACCAGCGAAGACGATCTATAACAATGTTAGGAGATGGAAACTATCAAAAGCAGGGAGACATACCTGGGTATAAATGCCTAGCGATCCCCGACTTGCAGTTTCCCGCTGCAATCCCATCGTGAGAAGGACCTATTGATCAGGGATAAACCAATTAATATGTATTTTGAGGGGAAGGTCGAAATAAGAGCCAACCTGGGCAATGAATCCGAAGACACCAATCAAGAGAAGGAGTAGTAGCCATTCGATTTTTGAGGGAAATACGAGTTTTGTCTGCGTGGCAACAAGGCTAGTCGATTGAAGGGCTACACCGTCAGTTGGGCTTGGGACGGGCCTGCGTTAGAAGACATACCCGATGATGGAGACAACCACACATTGCGCAGAAAAGGAGGTCATTGCATGCAGAGGGTGCGCGCGTTTACCGATCGCTCTCAGTGTTGTGTCTGAGATAGCCAATGAGATTTACACGAGTTATGTCTGAAGATGATCGAAGACTTACAAGCACCAGTGGCACCAAGGACGCCCAAGAGCGCGATCCTATGTCAAGAGAAAAGACATGGCCTAAGTTATAAACACAGTAATATGAGATGGGAATTTACCTACCCGACTGCTATCAGTCTTTGGGATGACTCAGTCGCAGAACCCTCATTTATGCTCGTCCCGCCAAACAGAAATGCTGGGCGAGCGATCAAAATAACGCCAGATAAACTAAGGACTACAGCAGCGCGTCAATCGGGGGGAACGCATGGGAAGTGAGCAGCGCACCTCCAGCTAGTGCTTCTCTCTTGGTAAATGTTTCCCCGAGCAAGCACGATCCAGAAATAGCGGTTGTAAGGGGCGAGAGGAACGTCAGAACGACAGCATCAGAAAGTGATAGATATCGTAACGAATAATACAGTCCGAACAAGCCAAAGAAACTGTGGATTAGGGAATCAGCATGGATCCACCAGGGTTAGCGATGCTCAACTTACCCAGTGACACCCCTGAGCACTAGGAGTAGCCGCACGCCCTTAGGGCCGATCCATGGGTCCTCTACACCGCGCAATAACCTGCAGAAACAACATAAGGATCCCAAAGCGCCGAAAACAAGCAAGGAACGAACATGTAAGACATGCAACACATGTAGGTGATAAGCTGATAGCGAATGCAAACTTAACGCCGCACAAAGGGACTGGCTACATCCATGCTTACCATCCTTACAAGAACTAGCTAAGGCAGTATCAGCATGGATGTTATAGTGCACTGAGTAGCTACTCACCTCTAACGTAGGAACAGGCGTATCGAGGCTGTTTAGCTTCTTCACCGAGACATTCATAAATGACATGAACGCCTGCGATGCGACAATCAGCAACAAGCCTATATTGCTCTGCACGACATCCTTGACTCTTGAGAGAATGTTCGACCTGCAGCACGAGCGTGATGGCCTACCACCGGCCTCCGTTTCTTCATCATAACATGATGCCTCGGCGTCATTCACTGCTTGCACATTGGTCGCATTTAAGGCGGCGTATGCATACTGAGATGTCATGAGCTTCGTAAGACGATATCTAGTTGATGAATCGTGGTGAGGGATAGAGTACAGTCGTACAGTAGCGTACAATCTGGTGGAGCAGAAGACAGTGCTGCAACATGTTCTTTTCTTTCAGCTGTTCAGAACTTCTAAGCGCACCGGCTCCGGGGCCGGTTCAGGGCAAAGTCGTGTGGTATTTGACCCTGGAGACCCCTGTTATCCTCTACTCAGTATAACCCCAACATTCAGTGCTAAAGTTGCGATCGATTGTTTAAGAGGACCGTAACGGTTCATCAGCACAACTATGGTCGTTTTGTTTCTACAGCTAAAATAGTTGATATTTGACATGGGATACAGGAGGGAAACTCGTCAGCCTCCATCAACGATACTGATTGGGGCGATACTCGTGATATATGATGCAATACCATGCATCGACGAGACGAGTGTAGGTGACAAATATTCATCTGCGAAAGGGTCCTAGCATGTAGTGTCAAATTGATATCCGTTGCGAGAGGGGTCGGTCGGTAGGGCATGTAATTTGTCCTACTGACCAGACAATCCTTTCATTCGGATGGATCCGTGAGGTGAGTGATCTGTAACACTGCCCACTTGCGAGACCCGTGCAGGTCGCGAGAGCCAGCTAACTATAGCTTTCCCCAGATCAATGCAAGGGAACTTCGTGCGATTTACTTTGTGCGGTACAATCGAACCATTCACTCGGTTTGCGAGCCCTGAGAATCATGATAAGTATGTAAGACCTTTCCGCTAAGTGAGAAGGCTGAGTGAGAAGGCTTGGAGGACGGAGTCTCAGCTACTCGGAGAGATTACCATTGCTCGGCTCATCACATTCACGTCAAGGATAATCATCGATGTTGTCGAACATCCATCTACGATGTCTAGTTAGCGTTGATAGACACTTGAGAAGATACAAGGCATCCCCGTAGCCTCGAGGCAGCCACCCACCATAAGTAGAAGAATGAACAAACACACCGATCAACTCGTGAGCCGTGAACCGATACAAGGACGGGAGATGAACCAATCGCATGGTAGCTGCAACGCTTCGCCGTCTAATCGGCGTAAGTAACTCGTATAGTGATGTCCTTGTGTCGGAATGACCTTCGACGAACCACGTCGTATAAACACGAAACGATCGAGTCAGTCATTTTAAGCACTTCGAGGATACGCAGGTTCTTGAAGTTATAGATCATGATCGTTAAAAGAAGACAAAACATACCATCGAACGGCATCTGTACATTGGCATCGTGCAGGGGTGGATGACAGCATGAAGCAAGCCCTCGGTTATCTATGTTCAGGGAACTACTCTTGGAAGATGAGAGAACACATGAGTTATAGCGGGTTATACCCTGGGAAGTACGACATGTGCAATGATTACAAGATCGTTACTAAATCCAGCGCAGTATGTTGGCCTAACCTTGATCAAGTATCTGATTAAACCCTCACTTGCAGGGAAATAGAGAAACCTGATAGAACCAGTAGTAGGGCAAGCAATGACCGGTTGCAACGAGCTTACACAACAGGGGAACGTGTAGTACCTTGAAACGAATCGTCGATAACCTACTATCGACAAATGCCAGCGCCGTACGCGTCGAAACCACTATACGTACCAGTGCCGGCGAAAGCTCAAGTAACTTGAAATAAGTGGCAACGGCCTTTCAGAATGGGTTGAGCGATGCTCTTGAGACTGAGGTCGTTTGGAGATGTGCGGCCACCGACCTCTGAAGTCGGGATGACCCACTTCTTGTATGTTCGCCGCCGGCGTGGATCAATTGAAGATCCACCTCTTTGGAACACATCCTTGAGCTCAGTCTAGTTCGGTGACATAGACTTGTGTTTTATTTGTGGAGCCACTCCCCTGTACTGTACGTAAAATGGCTTTTAAGTCGGTGAAGTTACAATTGCGGCACGTACCTCTTTTAAAGCTTACCGATAGAACTTCCTACCGACTCTGTCTGCCTCACATTGCTACAGATTGTACTTGGGGGACACCCCTCCTTGAGGCAGACGACGGTGCATGGAGAAACTCACTAGAATATACAGCAAGCTCCAGTAGTTGTCACTGCCAAAACAAGAGCACGGTGAGTGTGGATCGGTGGATCGGTTCGGTTGTTCACGCAGCTCAAGGTAATTTCGGACCTATTGCTCGATCCCTGCGCTTACAGATCATAAACCAGCTTCCCCAAACGGCTCGTAGTCACAGTGCGCCTAAGTGCGCCTCGTGCCGGGAATGCGGCCGTAGCTCATGGCCTGGTCACGGCTGGCGACGGCCGCCGCAAGGCGATCATGTATACCACATGCATGAGCATCGCGGAGCAACCGTTGAGAGTCGGGCAACACGTGTTTCGGGGTCAAGCAGGGTTGAACAGGGTTGAGCTTGATGTCATTCCTATTAGCCGTTATTGTAAGTCACCTTGAGTTACCGACACTGTAGAACGACACTGAAGGTCGGACGAGGAAGCTCACAATGTCCCAACGAGTCCCATTCAAAGCGCGGGGATTAGTGGCGAGACGTGACCAGCTTTATCTTCGTTATGTGCGTTCACTATTCAGTTAGAATGCCTCTACCTTCCATTTGAACCCTCACTCAATCAATCTGAAATTCGGATTGACCATCACCTATTTAGTTCTACGGAGAAGGCAGATAAGCACTGACAATTCTGTTCCAAGACAATCAACTTACTATTCTCTCTTATGTGATAGGTCAGCCTCTAGCACCGGAGAGGCAACGTCGCTAATCCCTTCGCAGCACAGCAACACGGAGACTGCGAACAGTACAAATGCCGAGCGATGATATACATATCTACATATCTGTGAGAAATGAACTACTCAGCTTGCCCTCTCCAATGATGGCCACATATGTCGCTGAACTATTCAGCCTCAGTTCGTACGTTCGCGCTCCACGTCGCTGGTGACTGTTTCCCCATGTGTTTCGGTCCCGCAAGTTTCTCAGCAATGAAGTATGTTCAGAATCAACGTCAGTCCACAATTATCACGGAACGAGCTGACAACGTTTTGGTTCAGGTGTTCTCAGCGCCGTGTGTGACGTCGGTCTTAGCACGTCGGTCTAATCCGTCTGATATGATTAGGAATGACCACAGTGTGCCATCCGAATCCACCACGCCCCGCACAGTTGAGAGGGGATGCACTCATAAATCTACATCAAAGAGCACTGCGTCTTTATATGTCGACGACCCAGTTCGTTCAGCCACTAAATGTGCTTCGCACAACTCGCGTGATGATATTAACCGCCCTCTGGGCACCTGCCGTACCTCATCAAGACTATAGAAGTCTACGGCGTGAGTAGACCATGTGCAGCGCGTGCTTATGTTTACCAACTGATGCACAGACGTGACAGACTTCGCGCGATTCCCTCACGCTGACTTCAGTGCTCACAATTGTTTAGTACCGAAGGGTTCCTCCCAACCTTTCATAACTTCCTCAATGTCTTTCTTCACGCCTAACGCCTCGACCCCATAGTTCGTTTAGAGCTACGTAGTTTGTATGTGGATATAATCCATGCTAGACGTTACTTATGCAAGTCTCACGAGAAGTATTGATAGTATGAGTTTAGGAAATTCTGTGATATCGAAGCTCTCCGGAGATGGGTGTGGGTTCAAGTGAGTAACATTCCTTTATTAGACAGAACTCCATAGACTCCTTGAGAGGTCGACTGAATGAGTTTGTTACGTAGTACCCGAAGCGGAATGTTTTTGGTGAGTCTAGAAATCTAACAACACCCAGCGGCTAACAACACGCGCTCCGGGAATCTGCCAGACGCGCCAGCGCTAGACCCCTGCAAGTTGCAGGTTTGGACTCGCCATTGGAACCTGGGAATCCTGGAGATGATGGGAGTATGCAGGCAGCATGGGTGCGAAGTCAACTCCATGCTCCTAGATTAATCTATCAACATCTCACGTACGCCAGTGTCCATTTATATGGGGCCTTAGCTTGCGCTTTGTTGCTGTAGATGCTTGGGCGTCATCTGCATCCGGTCTGCACTATGGCCAAGTGTTCGACAGGTGAACGTGCCCCCCGCCGCCCGGCGGGCTACGTCTGTGGACAGAGATATTACTCTGGACCCTCAAAACGGCGTAATTAATAGCCGAACATATGTTCCTTAGTTGACACTCAACAACCAGTCAAGTATGTATATGTTCGTGGTCATGGTCATGGTACGGATATACCTAATTTAGCCTGATATAGTGGCATAGTTGCATCGGCCACGCACTATGACCCACCCAGGGTTGAACCAGGTGCCGTAGAGGTGACCCTTGACTACAGACGAGTCATGAGGAGCCGACAAGTTACAAGAGTGCTTCACAGTGGAAGCCTGAGGCTTTCGACAGAGAGACTCGGTTGCACAATGTATACTGAGTTGTGTGAGTCGGGATGCCCATGCGTTGGGGACATTGATGACTTGACGCAGATGAGCCGAGTAGCTGACCTGAGTCGAACCTACCTAAGATTGAAAGTCCGAGCGGGCAGCCCGAGCCAGTGTTGGCCAAATAAGCAGCAACAATCTGAATCTGAATCGGGCCGTTCGGTTTTGAATGAGAGGAATGGTCTAAGTAGGAGCTTCCCCTCTCTCCGTCTCTCCCTCAGTCTCATACATCCTGTCCATGTCCTCCTCCCAGCCAATCGCCCTCCCCTCGACATCCAACAGCCACCACAACCATTCTCAATACCACCACCACTCTCATTCATTCAGCAATCCTCAGAACCCTAGTAATCCTGGTAATAGTTATGGCAATGGTCAAGCAATGGACTACGGTAACTACCACACTCGAGGGGATTCCATCATGACCTCTGGATCCTACACCGGCTCGAGCAACGGGGATGACTTCAATCCTGCGTCGTACACGAAACACTACATGGGCTCACCGCTATCGTGGCGGTCGGGCTCCTTCGGTAGTAGGCACGTTAGTGGCAATGCATTCTACGCAGGGAGTCCAACGGCTCATCTTCTGAGTGGCTTTGGGTGAGTGGCCAGCTTCGTTTAGTGCAATATCAGACACCCTTCCCCTATCGACAATCATTAAGCGAGTCTGGGATCTCTTTCATTTCGAATTACTGCCTCTCCCAAAACTTTAGTCATCTGAATACTTTGCTGACGTTTATCGCATTCTGGTTGTAGCTCTCACGAATTCAAGGGAGGAAAAATGGCCTCGATGGAATCCGAGGACCGTAATTCCATATTGAACGCCGTGAACTTGTTTGAGTCAGGAAGAGAGGAAGAACTGGTGAGTAGATCTCTAACAGGTGCTGAGCCGGCTTGTTGACACCCTTGATCTGAGCAGTGTCGCGACTATACATGCTGCGGACTGCATCTCCCCGATCTGCATGCCTTGCTCGATCACTTTGAGGAAGTTCACATTGTCGTTGTCGACGCTAACGGAAACCCCGTGACCGCCGCCAATGGCAACCACATCCCAAATGGCGCAGATGGTGGTACCATGCGCGTCGCTGTCTCAATACCTTTCAATCCTCAGTGCAATAATCCACCGTTAACAACCAACGCGAACTCATCTGCCCCACAATCTCACGCCTCTTCGATCAGTCGCTTGCAGTCCAACTTCCATGCACATTCTAGCTCTCAAGATCTCGGTAAACACAACACCCCAACGCAGGCTCCCTATGTCCCGGATTACTTTGCTCACTCGCAACACTCGGGGTCTCAGCCTATAGACACAAACCACCATCAGCCACAGCACTCGCAGTCCGACCTAATGCAACCATCCGGAAAATACGCTGGCAACGATATGGCTTATCGAGAAGGTGTTCCCATTGATCCTGATGACATGGAGATGGAGATGGAAGAATCCTTGGCGTATCCGCCCTCAGGCCATTACGGAGGGCACGGTTCTGATGCCAACCCTCACGCGTACGGAAGCATGTCGCCTCCTTCTTCCTCTGCCGGAACGTCAAGTGGAATGCAAGGCGTCAGCAACTCACCTTCTCCCCCATCCAGTAACTCACCGTCCTCTACGTCTGGCCATGGCATGCCTTCACCATCCTCTGGTGTGCCTACTCCGCCTGATACGCCGATCACCACGCCCCTGAGTGCCTATCCAAGTCCTAGAATGGGTGAGTTGAATGCCTCATTTTTGTCACTCTATGTCCCCGTCATTCGTCGCTTTTCCCTCGTTTTTTCCCTCCGTTTGATTCGGATCCATGGACACCACTGATATATCTGATTTGCAGGGGCCTTTCCCCCCAACCTTACCCCAGGCAAGCGAGCACTTCAGCATCATGGCTCGCATCAGTCCTTTCAGACCGGTCATCGTAGCCTCCATCACAAAATTTCTCTTCAGCATATCCATCAAGAGCGTTTGCAGCAAAACCATCGCACGGTCGATGCGCGAGGGGTTGTTGAGAATGCGAGGGGTGTCTACGCATCAGCACCGCCAAGCCCCCATCCGGGCCATGTGCGGAATAGTTGGAGTCACCTGCACCCCATGCGTGGGAGCAGTAACAATTCGCTAGATGGGGCACTCGGCGAAGATACCAGCTCCAACAACGGGGAGGCAAATAACTTTGAATCTGCGCTCACTCAACCAAGCGCAGCGGGCATGGCTGCCGGGGGCGCTTCCACCTTCCCCCTGAATTTCGACGTGGATTCTGGGGGCTCCTTTGGAAATGACGGTGTTTTCTCGGACGGTAGAGGCGATGGCAACTTCGAGCGGCTTCCAGCGACCGCTAGTTCAGCTGGATTTGATCTGGATATGATGGGTAGTCCAAGTATGCCAGGGTCTCCTAACCACACTCAGACATCGATAGCGGGTCTTTCAACGAGTCCTAGCCTCACGCGGCACGCGTCACTCGGTTCGTTGGGCTTCTCCGGCGTCGCCTCTAGTACCAACCCCAGTGCTTGGAACGGGTCCAGGCATTCGGCCTCGGGTGCTGGCGTCCCCCATAATCTGAGTTTGCACGGGTTAAATGATCTGGACAGTGCATTCGGCGGTGTCATCCATTCTGAACCGACAAGTCCCTACGTACAGCAGAGTCACGGTTCGGCATTCACCAACGGAGCAATGAACTTCGGTCTTCATAGGATGAATTCCATCGACGGTGCTATCATGGGCGGTCTAAGCGGTATGAATGCTCTTCATGCTGCTGAGATGGCGCCGGCCTGTGTTCCTCCCGCGCTTTTGTTCAGCCCTGCGGGTACAGCGAATCCCACTCCCGTTGGCTCAAGGTCTGCTAGCCCCATCGGTCAGTGCCTGTGTGCTCTCTTTACCAGTCCCAGTCTGACAGGTTTTGTTAGGCGTCAAAGGCAAGGGTAAAGGGAAGAAAACCGGTTCTCCTTCAGGTCGTAGCAATGCGGTAGATGGGGCCGATGTTGCATCTTCGTCGAAGACTGCCTCGCAGTCTGGCGCGGTAGGCGCCAACGGTGGCGCTGTCATTCGACCGGCACCATTGGCGAATTCGGCCGCTTCCGCCCTTCAGTCGCAGTCCGTAACGCGACCAGCTGCATCAATGCTGCTTTCCAAGCCGTTCCGTTGTCCAAAGCCAAACTGTAACAAAAGTTACAAGCAGGCGAACGGCCTAAAGTATCACATGACACACGGTAGCTGTAATTTCGCGCCGCCGAAGGACATCGAGCTACGGGATCGCCTTTTGGAAGCAAGGAGACGTGAGGGCATTGAGAGTAATCCTGGTAGCACACCCGGCAGTGGGGCAAATACGCCCATACCCGGAGGTATGTTACCTTTTCCACATTTTCTTGCGTAGTTCGGCTTTAACACTTTTTGCAGGTGCTGTAGTTCCTGACCCACTTGGTCTGGGTACAATCAGCGAGCTTGAGCTTCGCGAGGTCGAAAAGGAAGCAGAAAGGCGACTTCGGCCATTCGCTTGTGGTATCGGCGATTGCCCCAGGAGGTACAAGAACATGAACGGGTTACGCTACCATTATCAACATAGCGGCGATCATGGAGCAATGGGTTTAGCGCTCCTTGCAAGCGGACAGCACCGATGCTTGGCACGCAACAGTGATAAGAGCGGGGAACGGGAAGGTCGACGTGCGATGGCTAGTGCGCCTACCAGTCGCAGCAACTCCCGTGCAAGCTCTACCAATCGTGGTGTGGTTGGCCCCTCCGGAAATGGAACGATGAATGGCATGAGCTATACCCAAGTTTATTCAAGCAACGGAACGTACTCGCCGTCGGTCGGTGCCAACGGTACCGTCAATGGTGTCGCTCCGATGTCAAGCCCCCTATCGCAGGGCGGCTTTAGCTCCCAACAAGAGTACGCCATACAACAAGTACAGGCCCAAGCCGTGCAGATGCCTATGAATGTCGTTACCGCGCAACAGCAGCAGCAGCCCGTCGTCGATTTTACGATGTCCCCGCAGCAACAGCAGCAATCACAACCTCATCCTGAATATTCGCAGCAGATGCAGGTCACCCAAGCACAATTAGCTTACCAGGCTCAGTATGCCGAACTTCAACGGGCGCAGTATCATCAGCAACAGCAGCAGGCCTCTTCCCAGTTACCAGACCAAGGGGAGTTTGGGGGCGTCGACATCAATATGACTTGAGCGGCCGGCGTTTGCCCTCGACGCAATTAAAAGTATTGGTATTTGTGCATCTTATTCTTTGTTCTCGCATGTTGTCCGCTTCTATCACCGCATCTGCCCGTCTGTGACGTGCTCTCATCTTGTTCGTCCTTACTCCTTACACCCCATCCCTAATCATACACCCCCGATATTGCCATCTGCATTTATCTTGTCACTTATACGTATATTCTTCTTTGTTGTCTCGTTAATGGTTGGCTACTTCGAGGCTGGCCGCCGATGGTTCCTCGACACCCAATCTCCTACCCTTGCCCTCTCCTGGTCGCACTCCCTAACGACCACATCCGCTCGGCTCTCGAAGCGTTGCCCGAAGACCTACAAAAATCAATGTGTACATGATATCCCGGATGTACATTACCATCTCATATTGGTGTAACCGCTGCGTGTCGCCATAGACGACGACACCAATCGGGCCCACCAAGTAATAAGCTTGCCTGTTAGTTTCTTCTTTTGCTCTATCTTTCCCAATCTGTCTCATCGTATTGTCTGCGCTTGTCTTCCTCTCGGTTTTCCCCCCACTCTCTGTGTAATATCTTTTATCTTGTCCCTAATATTACCGATCGCGAGCCCCCGAGTCGTATATAATTTGATATCGATCAGTGCTACAAGAATAGCGAACATTGTGCCACGGCAAATGTTATCTGTCACGTGAACGCATCATGGTTCTGGGCATGTGACACTCATAGTTAGACGCGCTTGAATTTGTCGACAACGCTTATTCAAAACCACAATGCAGCCAGATTCTTCATTTCCTTCTTCAAGCCCTTTGGTACCCAATACACCTGCGGTACGAGGTCGTATCCCAAGTAAGCGTGGCAGAAAGCCGAAAGCTGCTACTGCCGGTGCCGGAAGTACACCTTTGCGGGGCTCTCGAGATAGTACACCAGTCGCCGGCTTTGCGAGCCCACAGTTCCCGAGCGTACAGTGGTCAATGGCTTCTGGAAGCAATACAGTGCACGGCTCGCAACCACCTATACTTCAGCTGTCCCCGCCGTCCCAGCAGCAAGTAACGCCACAAGGGGCCAGTTTCTCTCCAGTCGCTTCTAGCGGCCAATCCCAATCACAGATAGCTGGTCTGTCGAACCCAGTCTCTGATCAACGGACTACGTCGTCGCCGACAAACATGTCGAGCAACCCAATACATATGCCTGGCATGATCAGTTTTGACCCAGAACCTAGTCGAGCTTCACCTGCTCCAAGCATGGTTATGAGAGGAACACCTGTGCTTTCACTCGCTCCTCCTGGCGTTGGAGGAAGAATTGATGAAGAGGTAGAAGGCGAAGATGAATTGTTACCAGCCATGGCGGACGATGATTATTCCGCACAACTTTCGTGGCAGAGTCAGTCAAAGGACAATTTGAAGTACGCAAAAACCCACAGTTTTGCACTTCTGGTGGAGTACTGATGCTGAGTTTGTTAGAGTCCTTATGGATAACTTCAGTCCCGCCCAGTATGAGCGCTTCGAGGCTTATAGGCGTCATGCTCTTCCCAAGCAGGCCGTTCGTAAGGTGCCTATTCTTTCAGCCACCCCAGTGTGTGACACTGACCGGAGCATCAGGTCATCCAGCAATCGTTGGGTCAGCAGGTATCCCAGCCTGTTGCACAAATAGTAGCTGGCTTTGCCAAGGTTTTCGTCGGTGAGATAGTGGAGAAAGGTACGTATAGCTTTGGACCGATAAATTCAAGAATCTGACCTTTTGGGGCAGCTCGTGCCGTCCAGTCACGTCGGGGAGACGTTGGACCTTTGTCTCCGGACCATCTTCGCGAAGCGTACAGAATGTATCAAATGGAGACTGGTCGTGTGGGTGCTGCCAGACCTCTCCGCTCAAAGAAGCTTTTTGTGAAATAAAGAGCTTGTCATCATTCATGCCTATGTATTTGGCCACTTTTGGTGTGTTCGCTTCGCGTCATGTCTGGGATTACATCACATTTATATTGGGTCGCCGTCTATGGATTCACTGCATACGGCCGCATGATTACCGCCAACAATCAGTGGCGGGGCGAAGTCTTGCCGTGCAGACAAGTCGGCCACGGACTTCCTTTGAACCTTCCTCTCTGTGGGTAATAGGTCGGCCCTCAAGTGCCTTTTATGTCCCAGTGGCGACCCTCGTCTTAGTCGCTGTTTGAAATTACTTCGAGGTTGGTGTCAAGAACCCCCATGTTGCATGCTGTTCGCTCCCTCGGAATCGTTCAAACTGCATGTCTGAAACCGCGCCCATTGAAGAAGTACACCCGTTGGCAGTTCCGAACTGTACTCACGAACACCACCACAGTAATGCCGTTGTGCGACGTTAAACGCGTCATTCATGAGGAAAGAGTTGTTGCGGCTTTTGAGACCCAGCAAAGACATTTCGGGGTGAGAAGTTATGAGTATGGAAGTCCCTGTTACATAAACGACGGGCATCGTGAAGTGTGTCCCCTACAGGAGGTGATTGTTATCGTTATTGCTGAACAGATTTTGGGGTGCAACCATCAGTTTTCAAAGGTGCTGGTTGCCCTGGGTTATTACCTGGGTCTGGTCTTCGAGGCTGAAAGGCTGAAAGGCCGTCGACCTGCCTCTGGAACACCACGCTTCCTGGAAGATGAAATCTTCTCGCTTGTGTTTTTTAATGAATTCCGGATTATTGTTTGCCCACCAACGTTACAACATGCCGACAACACGAGGGTCCGGGAGTTCCATCTCGGAATGTTATCCGCCTAGTTGTGTCATAACATGCCGTTGTTGCACGAGGGAGCTAGCCAATGGCAAGCTCGGGTGGCTGTGAAGGACGCTTGCAGCTTAACAACTTGGCCAATGTGCTTAGGCACCCTATTGAGACCCAAATGCTTCGATTCATGCTGCGTGTTATACCGTGTGTTGATCATGTAACTCAGGTCCCCAAAAGGAGGATAATTAAGTTTGGGGTGGGAGGATGTCGTTCGACGGCGGTGCTTGATGAACAAGAAATACAAGACCGTTCTGTTCGTATTGGTGGACAAGCTTCCACGCCAAGTTTCGGGCTGTGATAGCCCAACCAATGAGAGAAACCTAACGTGGTCTGCCGTGCGTATCAGATGGCCCAGACTGAGAAGATAGGTTGACGGAAATATGAATGCTTTCGCTGGATCTGTTGACAGCGTGAAACCGACCCAATTTCGGAGTGAAGCACGTCCGGGGCTGGAAACCTTCGAACAAAAATAGTTATTCGACCGTAAATGAGCGCGATTTAGCGGTGAAAACTCATCAGCAGACGTCCGATGTGTTCTATGATCTTGGCACGTATCTAGACCCCACAGAAGAATCAGAACACGCCTAACGGCGAGCGTGTATGAGGGCTAGGTAGGTGGTTACTTACCTGAGCCGCCTCGAGCCACTTGGAAGTAATTTGGCTGGGAAGGAGAGTCTCTACTAGGATGGGTCTCGACCAACGGCTTAACCTGAGATCGTCAGACGAGACGTGAATTATCAGCCTTTACCATTCAACCTTAATGCTTGACTCGGGATCTCACCGTCAGCTGGGAGTTGCTGGGAGACCCCAGAAGAGTCCCATTAATCACCTAAGCCTCTATCAGTGATCGAACCTGTCCACAATGGAGATTCAATCTGCAGAGACGACAAGCGCGCCGGAACAGTCTCCAGACTCAATAGGTCCTGGAAGAACTCCTAAAAATAGATCCAGCTACTTCGGGGGCTCGGGGGCGAATGCCCAAGCTGAAAACGTATAAAAGCCCTAGAAAATGCACAGAAAGACTTCAGTCGAGCCCTCCAGTTCAACTACTTACACTCCAGTCAATCTACTCGCAATGTTCTCCCGAGTTATGTTCTGCACCTTCTTGATTCTTCCACTCCTTGCTGCTGCCACAGCCATCCCAAGGACCGATACTCCCAGTTGCTCAACTGGCAGCCTCCAATGCTGTAGTTCCGTGCAGAAGGTTCGACCATCTGTTTTTCATCCCCCAACATCGGCCTGGCTGACATATATTTTCAGGCTACGGACCCCCTTGCGAGTCTCCTCATAGGCTTGCTTGGAATTGTTCTCGGTCCCCTCGACCTCCTTGTCGGAGGTAAGGAGATACCCCTAGGTGTTTACAATAGGCTGATCGTTTCGTTGACAGTGACGTGCTCGCCTATCACCGTCATAGGCGTAGGAGGAACCTCTTGCACCCAGCAGACAGTCTGCTGCACTGGAAATAGCTTCGTATGTCAGACCTATCGAAGAGTGCATAGCAGTGGTTAATCATACCTTCACAGAACGGTCTTATTGCCATTGGGTGCTCGCCCATCAATATTAGCCTGTGATGCTCCTTCTTGCAAGAGGCCGAGATACATAACGCCCGTAGCACATTCGTAGCTGTTCGCCCTGCTTTGACTCGTAAACCGACTGGTACCTTCTGAATATATGCCTGTTATTGTGATTCGAAATTTAAATAGCAAAAAGCTTTGAGCGTGCCATGCTAGACGATGAAACGTTGAACCGCCAACCTTCCGCAAATAATCTTCTAAACACATATTGAGACTTATATTGTTGTCGACGCATCTGTGTCAGACTCTGAACCGCGTATACGCTTGATCGGCGGGGTAGACACTGTCTAGACGACGGGGGTCATTATTGTGGAAAACTGGTAGCAATTGACATACGTACCAAGGCAGCCTTGGTACTATGGTACTATGTGGGTCATACCTTCGAACTGACAGTTGAACTACACCAAATCAGCAGTATGAAAATGGTTGAACGTTGAACGTTGATCATGAACTGTGGCCGCTGGTTGAACGAATTGAGCCCAGCATTCTCACGTTTTTACTCCTTAGAACGAGTGGCAAGTTACTTGGCACTATTTGTCACAATGATCCCAATCGTCGACACCGCGCTACGCAGACTGCTCCCATAATCAATGCTCAAGGGTCGATGCTATGCAGGGCGTTAGAGTTCGCTTCAAATGCTTGAATCGGGCGTTCGACGACCCCGCGAGCTCCGTTGGACTGAAGGGAAGGAAGGCAAACAATACATGGGTATCACTGTAGCTTACGCGTCGTGCATGGGCATTCGTCGGCCAGATCCTCTTCCAAGTTTCGAAGGCTCAGGCAGTCGAGGTCCGACGGGAGTTCCATAGGGTTATCTTAGGCGAAAGTCACGGCCCCGGATTCTCCAATGACGCCCTGTCCCATGGTTCTTTCGAGGAAGTGCTGTTCAACGGACTTGAATTAAATGTAAGGAGCTATCTCATCCCGTAACACGTCCAAGCTGATGATTGACACACGGCGGAGTTCGCCGTACGAAAACTTCACAATTGGTTGAGCAATCATGACAGCCACCCAAAGCGACGAGGGTTTGTTTGATTGGACAACATTAAGCTTCCAATCAAATCTTGCCGGCACGCTCTTTCTTGAGTTCGTCGAATCGGAATCATCCATTTGATGGAATTAGGTATTTGGGAAGGTTCCTCATGGAACAAGACGCATGATACACAGGCCTGAGCTACACCAGTCGCTCTGCTCATTGGTAGGTGTTCCACCGATCAATAAAGGTGGTGCGTCTGCCTATTCCCTCTATGAGACTAATGACTTTTCTCAGTTGACCCTTCTCAACCAAACTTCCCATGCATACCTAGATCTTAGTTGCAGATTTCTTCCGGCCTGGCCTCACCGTCAGACTGCTCAAGATGCTATCGTACGCAACCTTCTCGGCTTGGCGATATGAAGGAAGCGTATAAAGGCGAGTACGTTCTTTATCGCTCCTCAGGATATTATTTCCTTCGACACCACCACCACAGTCATAGAAATGCTCTCTCATCCTATGAAACTCCTCTTCTTCGTCTTTGCTCTCAGTGCCCTTCTTGCGGCCGCCACCCCCGTCGTTGAAGTTCGTGATTATCAACAGTTCAGTCGGGTCTCACTGATAAATTTTATTTCCTTCAACAAGGCTAGGGGCGGGGATCTGTGCGCCAATGGGAAGAAGACCATGTGCTGTGGTGAACTCGGGACTGTAATGCAATCATCATCCTGTCTCTCCGTCCCCCAATGACTCGTGCATATAGTTTTCGCCGACAGTTCTTGGCCTCCTCAGCGGCCTGATGACAACAGTCGTTGGCCTATTGGGAGAGATTACCACACCTACTGGCCTCGTGTAAGTAGGCTTCCTGTTTTCAATGGGGATAATGTAATGACCATGGCCAACGACCAACAGTGGCCTCAAATGTGTACCCATTACAATATTAGGTGATGGGGGCCTCAGCAAAGAATGCCAAACACATGGCGTCTGCTGCAAGGATCTCAAATTGGTAGGTAATATATTAACATTGTTTCGCTATATACTGAGTTTATGGAATAGGTGGATGCGATTAGCGTCGGCTGCACTCCCATCAATATTCTATAAGTCGGGACAATTCAGTCGGGCATAGAATACTGAGTAAAGTACCCAAGTTCGTCGAATAGCTCGTGTATGCCCCCTACGATTACAATACATCTTCTCGGCACCGTGATGCTGTTGGGAGGAAACTAAATTTGCGAGCTACCAGAAGCTGCAAGTCGTGCGACTCGTGCTTCCAAAGGGTACCTGTGAATAAGGCATCGCTTGATCGAACCATCCTGCACGTTGATGGAGCCCGCAGGGCCTAGGAAGGCCTAGGGATTATCGGTTGGTGTGAAACCAAGCTTGATTTTGGAAGATGCAGAATGCGGAATAACGCAGGCACCAGCGAAACTTAATGCATCGAAGACTGGAAGCTATTATTACGACTAGCACGGTTCAAGTAGTGCATGTCCACTACCCGTACTGCTGGGTTGCAGTAAATCTTTAATTATGGCCTGCGCCTGTCCCACAGCATGTCCAACGAATGTCCAACAGATGTCAAGAACATCCTGTATGCATGTCAGTATCACCGGGCGAAGAAGTGTCGGATGCTATAGAACTCTGAGCGCTGAGTCGGAAGTGCCGGTGAGCGTTGTGTGGGGCTGGAACTCCATCCATTCAATGGCCGGTCCGCATGTCGTACGTCTATGTTCGCCGTCACTGCCCAGGCTTACACACAACGCTGATAAGATGGCCCCGGCGGTATTTACTTACAGCACATGCGACGTGCGAAGTGGGACGGTGAACTCCATCCACTCGATCTGTGCGGAGGTGATAGACTGATTGGGTGCCTACCCTGATTGAACTGGTGATAATTAGTAGATCCTAGACGACGAGTAGAGACAGGCAAAACCCAGATACGCTTTATAATCCTCTAAGCCGCTCAAACACTCTTTCGTCGTCATCACCCTGTACCGCGAGAGTCCTCGATGTTGCCCAGGGTCTGAGATGTAGTGGGAGTTGTTTGAGAAAGTGCGGGATCTATGGACATTGGACATGGGTACGATTGCCATTTGCCCGACACTCAGATTCAGATCGATGCCTTGCATGACTGTCACATTAGCCGCAAGACCCGACTACCAGTTCAGCCTGGGGTGAGACTCTCTAGGATCTAGGTAAGTATCATACTTTCAGAGTAGCGCCACGATAAGTCAACAGCCACTTACAGTTCATCGCTACTCACTAGTTACTTAAGCGCCCTATACAGCGCTTATTTTTTGTTTGAAAGTTGAGGGCATAGTCTCGAGAGCGATGTCAGACAAGTTACAAGCTAAACAGTAAGCGCGTGCTGTTGTCAACATGCCTCTTCTGCTGCGGTGTGCATGACATTCTGAATCAGTGGCAATCACTCGATTGAGTGAACTCCAATAGCACACACGTGAAAAAGACTGACGGAGATGATCCACAAGAGTAATAACGACGTGTATTACCCTGTCGAATTGCGCGCGACCTCGTTGAATGTTCGTGTACGATGGTCATGATGTCGACTCTTGTTATGTACAGTCTTAGTATGATCCTGCGCTATGACCAGCTGCGGTCAACCCCGATTGTTCAAGCGGAGCTCTAAAATTTGCTTGCCCTCGACCTGAACACGTTCCGATTAATTGTCTCCTCCTTCTTCACGACCAACAAAGCCAATCCATCCTCCATCCTCATCTATGTAAGTTGTTCTAACTCCACTTTCATATTTGCTCTGGCGATTCGTGCAAGAAAGACGCGTTGTGCGATGGAGGAAAAACGCGATCTTGCGCGCATTCCAAAACGTACCATTCCTGAGATAGAACGCGACTAACTTCTTTTCCATGCAGAATGCGCGAAATCGTCCACCTTCAGACTGGCCAGGTACGTTCTTTGTATCCTCGAGTCCATCCGCGTCATGCTTACTTTTGTCGACCTGTCTGATAATAGTGTGGCAACCAAATTGGTTGGTTATCGATATATGCTACCTCTCGCTCGTGTTCATGGATTGTGTGAACCTTTACTTCAGGTGCCAAGTTCTGGGAGGTTGTTTCGGATGAGCATGGAATCGAACCCGATGGTCTGTACAAGGGGAACAATGACCTTCAACTCGAGCGCATCTCAGTCTACTATAATGAGGTCGGTGCAAACAAGTACGTTCCCCGCGCTGTGTTGGTCGACCTCGAGCCCGGTACCATGGACTCGGTACGGTCGGGTCCTCTGGGTAGTCTTTTCCGCCCCGACAACTTTGTTTTCGGACAAAGTGGAGCGGGTAATAACTGGGCGAAGGGCCGTAAGTGGTTTCCTTCCTGGCCTAGTTGACTTTTCCATGCTAAACGTCGTCACTAGATTACACTGAGGGTGCTGAGCTCGTTGATGCCGTCCTCGATGTTGTGCGTAAGGAAGCTGAGGGCACAGACTGCCTTCAAGGTACGGTCCTTGATCACTTCGCCGCTAATTACGAGCCTAAGTGCCCTTCTTTAGGTTTCCAGATCACCCACTCTCTTGGTGGTGGAACTGGTGCTGGTATGGGTACACTCCTGATTTCCAAAATCCGTGAGGAATACCCTGACCGAATGATGTGCACGTACTCTGTTGTTCCAAGTCCCAAGGTGTCAGACACTGTCGTTGAGGTACGGAAGCATTACGTTGAATCTTTCGGGGAACTAACTGCTAGATATCGTCTAGCCGTACAATGCCACACTCTCCGTCCATCAACTTGTCGAGAACTCCGACGAGACTTTCTGTATCGATAACGAGGCTCTCTACGACATTTGCTTCCGCACTCTCAAACTCACGACACCCACATACGGCGATCTCAACCATCTCATCTCCATTGTTATGTCTGGTATCACGACTTGCTTACGATTCCCTGGTCAACTCAACTCCGATCTGAGAAAGTTAGCCGTTAACATGGGTAAGCCTTCCAACTTGTCAATGACAACCAGCGTTGATGTGTGTCAACGTAGTTCCTTTCCCCCGTCTACATTTCTTCATGCCTGGCTTTGCACCACTCACCGCGCGAGGAAGCCAACAATATCGTGCTGTGACCGTCCCTGAGTTGACCCAGCAGATGTTCGATGCGAAGAACATGATGGCTGCTTCGGATCCCCGTCATGGCCGCTATCTCACCGTACGTTATGTGTACATTCTCCGTATGTACAACTCTTGAGCATCTTGCTCATTAGGTCGCCGCCGTCTTCCGTGGCAAAGTATCGATGAAGGAAGTCGAAGAGCAAATGCAGAACGTCCAGAACAAGAACTCTGCTTACTTCGTGGAATGGATCCCCAATAACGTTCTTACTGCTCAATGTGACATCCCACCTCGTGGATGCAAGATGGCCGTTACCTTCTTGGGCAACTCAACCGCCATCCAAGAACTTTTCAAGCGTGTCAATGACCAATTCGCTGCCATGTTCAAGCGTAAGGCTTTCTTGCATTGGTACACGCAGGAGGGTATGGACGAGATGGAAGTACGTGCTGATCAAACGAGGATATCGTTTTCTCTGACTCATTCATTGGCTTGTAGTTCACGGAAGCCGAATCAAACATGCAAGATCTTGTCGCTGAATACCAACAATACCAGGATGCTACGTACGTGTTAAAGTATCATACATACATGCTCTTTGGTCTGACGTATCCCCGCTTAGTGCCGATGAGGAAGAAGGCGAATACGAAGAGGAGCCTGTTGAAGAGGAACAGTGATCGTTGGATTGTCCATATCACCGACTCCCCTCGCTGGGCAAAACCCCTACCTTCTGCATATTGCTCTTCACCCCGTTTATTCTTCCCTCCCATCATCTCATCATACACTATCCGTCCAGTTACCCCTTGATGCATGTTACGCACTTTCATTTTTCTATGTGGATGTCTGAATAAATTGGCTTTTATCAGCAATCTCTCGGTCCAGACCTTGATCTATCTTCTGCTTCAATCATGCCTTCAATGTGATTGTCTGGACGCATTGCGGTTGTCCGCTGCATCGCGGCATACGATGCTTCTCTGTTCTTATGAAGTGCCGGTTCTTTAGTCGATGTGCCTCAGGAACGCTGAAGCCGAGGCTCAATGTATCCGATGTCTAGGCTAGAACTCTTGACGATACTTCTGAACCAGGTTGATGAGGAATAAAGGGTACTAACTATGGAATATCTCAGGGATAAGACTCTGCTGTGTTAAGTGCCGCACATATGCCACCGTGTTGCTCAGCTGTCTGCGACGGAGCTGGGTACTTGGCTTCCTTTTCCCAGATCCGTTCGATCCCAACACCATGTCTATCTGATTTCGTGAGTAGAACATGAGGTCGTAATGGTGTTCATCTGGAAACTGAATTCCATCAATTGCCACATCTATAGTTGGGTTCGTGACTGGGCCGTCTGCTTCATGTCATTTTGTGCCCTTAATTACACCTGGGAGCCGAGGTATAATCCTGGTATAAAGCCCAACTAGCATGGTCTAGGTGCTCCTCAGAATAAACCCCTACAACCCGAGCGCTATAGCACCCGACTGATACTTTGTATGAAGAAGCATCCCCATCGCTCTCTGGCCATCTTGCCCAATGTCTCATCCGAGCGATTTCCTTTCCTTGTGGCCGCCAACCCCCGGAGTGTCTCCACTCCTTCACCAAAATACCGTCGCGTGGGTTTATATTCGCGCAACGAAGCAATCTGCTGACACATCCAATAGTTTGAACCACTCGCTCTTTGAAATGCAGTGGCGTCCCTTTGTCCTCTCGACGGGTTGTACGGATATGTCCTGAAGATCTGAACAGGTTTGTGGCGACTTTTCAATTTAGACGTTTAGAGGTCTAATATCCCACAACCAAGCAGGAGTCGGACTTGAATGCTGCCCATCTATCAATCATGCAGGCACCAGCCATCAGATGACCACCTCCGTACACGCCGCGAAGAGTTGCCTGTATCAGTGTTATTCTGTGTGAAGTGGGGAGAACCGTGTATCTACCTCTAAGTCCATGTCGTTCGCCAGTATAATCGTCCATTTCCCTGACGGGTCAATATAACATGGGGCCTATCGCGGTCCCTTCCATCAGCTTCCTTTCCCATACCTGAGGAATAGGTAACTTGTGATCGTCTCTACCTCAGAGGTCATCTTCCATAGTGGCTGCCGTTGATGCGGTGGGGTTCGTTCTGTTGGGGTGAATCTTTTGTCCACGTCATTACCCACAGGCCCGTATAAGTGGGTGGAGTCTTGTATGCGTGTGTATGTCAATCATCTCAGCCCCCTTACATCGACGATGGGGTAGGTCGTATCGATGACTTTCGAGGATTTTCATTCTGACTAAATGCCATACAAGGATAATATGTTCTTGCATCGCAGGTGCGCATCAAGTAGTATTGTGACTGGCGAGATTGTACTAAGCTTAATACTAGGTGTCTTTGCCTGCATCGGGGACGCAATATTGGCAGTAATTGACATCATTGCCGGCTGCCTTGAGTGCATAGTGTCCGGTAAGAATGAGGTTCTTTGTCCGGGAGCTAGTCCTGAGTTTCGAATGTCCGTCTCAAGTCATTACGGGATTCTTCGTTGGGTTGTGTGATTGCATAGGTGCATGCCTATGCTGTAATTGCTAGTAAGAATATTCACCATCGATTTTCGTGATCAGCTCAAGATCAGCTGAATCATTCGATGTATAGCAGCCGTCGGCGAGACCATCTAGAGTCCTAAACGACTTAGAGGTGCGGCAAAGCACATAGCACGCATAAGATGTTCAAAGACATTTATTGTGCGACAATACGTAGAATCAGCTTTTACTCTTGTGGCCAATTGAGCAGTACCTGAGTTGTTCGTTACCGGGTGTTCTTCTTGACTTCCCCTATGTCCCTCAGCATTGTGTGGCATTTCTTCACTAGGTCTACTATTTATTGGGCAATGAGATGTGCGTTTGCACTAGTAATCAGTCTCCGGTCTCCTTTGAGTTTCTACTTTTAGGTGACCAGATAAGATAGACGCCCTCAATTCACGTGCATTCGATCATCGATTGCTTCAGGGATTTTCATGCATTTGGCTCTTCTCCCGCTATAATTTTCCTCGGCGGGAGGTTCAAACAAAAAATGGCTATTCCAAGTTCTGCCAATGTATCAACCACAGCTCGACCTGGTCTCACACGCACCGACAGCACCATCCAAATTCCTGCACCCCCAGTCACTAGTCCTCCCATTCTAGGAGAAGTGCCGCCGAGCGATGTCGTCCTTGAGCTCAATGATGGCTCAGCTTTCAGCGGCATAAGCTTCGGTGCGGAGGGGAAGAGTGTTGCGGGAGAATGCGTCTTTCAGACTGGTATATCCCCTCCCTCTACGCTCGGGGTCTCTCTAACGAGGCTATAGGCATGGTGGGTTATACCGAGTCGTTGACGGATCCCTCATACGAGGGCCAGATCCTGATCCTGACTTACCCACTGATTGGAAACTACGGGGTACCTACTCGCACAGACTCATTGGACCACCTCCCAAAAGAATTCGAGTCTAGTCGGATTCACATCGCAGCTTTGGTGGTCGGTTATTACACCGACGACTTCAGTCACTTCTTGGCGAAATCATCCCTTGGGACATGGCTCAAAGAGAATGGTGTACCTGCGATGTATGGCATCGATACACGAGCGCTTACGAAGAAAATTAGAGAGAAGGGCTCCATGCTTGGAAAGATTCTCGCTCGGCGGCCCGATGCCTCTCCTGGTCGGGTCAGGGCTCTGGTGGCAGCTTCTGCAGCCCCATCTCGCGCCGCATCCCCTTCACTCACCCCTTCCTGGCGAGAAGATTACATGGACATACCGTTCTCTGACCCTAACCAAATCAACTTGGTTGCCTTGGTCTCGACGTCACGTCCTCGCTTATACGCACCAACGACAGAGCCACGCGCGCATCCATCAGGTCGCCCGTTGAGGATCTTGGCGATTGATGTTGGCATGAAGTACAACCAAATTCGATGCTTCATCGACAGAGGTGTCGAGCTCAAAGTGGTCCCTTGGGACTATGACTTCCTTCTCGAAGCTGAGCCTTACGATGGCATATTTCTTTCAAATGGTCCCGGCGACCCGACAACTCTACAATCCACCATCTCGAATCTGTCCAAAGCTATGGAAAAAGCCGATAGGCCAATCTTCGGTATATGCTTAGGGCATCAGTTAATGGCCCTCGCAGCTGGTGCCACTACATCGAAAATGAAATACGGTAACAGAGGGCATAATATCCCATGTACCGATGCCATGTCGGGTAGATGTTATATTACCAGCCAGAACCACGGTTTCCAGGTCGATAGGAGCTCATTACCGGCTGGGTGGAAAGAACTCTTTCGGAATGCTAACGACGGGAGTAACGAGGGAATATACTGTATAGACAAACCTTTTTTCTCCGTTCAATTCCACCCGGAATCCACACCTGGACCTCGCGATACCGAATTCCTCTTCGATGTCTTCATCCAAAACATCGCTGACTGTGCCGCCACTAATACACTCTCCCCCATCGTTATGCCGGGCGGGAAGAAGCAGGATAACGATAAACGCGTACCGAGAGCCAATGTGAGCAAGGTCATCATTCTTGGTTCGGGAGGCCTGTCAATCGGCCAAGCTGGAGAATTCGACTATTCTGGCTCACAAGCTATCAAAGCGCTCAAAGGGGAGGGCATCTATACCATCATGGTTAATCCGAACATTGCGACGATCGCCACTTCGAAAGGCCTTGCTGATAAGGTGTACTTTCTACCTGTCACACCCGAATTCGTTCGTAAAATCATTCACTACGAAAAGCCCGACGGTATATACGTGACCTTTGGTGGCCAAACGGCACTCAACGTGGGCATTAAACTGAAGGACGAGTTTGAGGCGCTAGGCGTCCAGGTTCTTGGCACACCTATAGACACGATAATCACCACCGAAGACAGGCAACTATTTGCCAGCGCGATGGCCGAAATCGGCGAGAAATGCGCAGAGAGCTCTACTGCGACCAATCAGGACGAAGCAGTTGCAGCCGCGAGATCCATCGGTTTTCCTGTCATTGTTCGAGCCGCATATGCACTCGGCGGCCTTGGGTCAGGCTTCGCTCAAGATGAGGCTCAACTAAAAGCCTTATGTGCCAAAGCCTTCGCCACGAGTCCTCAAGTGCTCGTTGAGAAGAGCATGAAAGGGTGGAAAGAAATAGAGTACGAAGTTGTGAGGGATTGTCGGGATAATTGCATTACTGTGTGCAATATGGAGGTCAGGAAATCTCTATCGCTCGCTGTGATGTGTTTTTGATGCCTCTTGACGTCCGTTTTCAGAATTTTGACCCTTTGGGCATCCACACAGGAGATTCTATTGTCGTAGCGCCTTCTCAGACCCTCTCCGACTCCGACTACAACATGCTACGGACGACTGCCATCAACGTCATTCGCCACCTCGGGGTCGTTGGTGAATGCAACATACAATACGCGTTGAATCCGACATCCCAGGAATATTGCATTATAGAGGTACGTTCATATTGAAATGCCTACATTCTGGTGTCTGAGCTAAATCCATATCGTTAGGTCAATGCACGCCTGTCTAGGTCCTCAGCCCTCGCATCGAAGGCAACAGGATATCCTCTTGCATTCATCGCAGCAAAACTCGGCCTGGGCATCCCACTAAACGAAATCAAGAATTCGGTCACCAAGGTCACAAGTGCTTGCTTTGAACCCAGTTTGGACTATGTCGTAGTCAAGATGCCTCGTTGGGATTTGAAAAAGTTTAGCCGCGTCAGCCGCCTGTTAAGTAGTAGTATGAAGAGCGTAGGAGAGGTCATGAGCATCGGGCGCACGTTCGAAGAAACCATCCAGAAAGCTATCCGTGCAATTGACGACCAGTTCACAGGCTTTGCAAATGTACATCTTCCGCTGCACACCCTTGTCATATCTGATTCACCCTCTATCAGAACGACTTTGTGGAGAACATCGACGAAGAGCTAGTCAATCCCACCGATAAACGCATCTTCGCTATTTCGGCCGCCTTTCATCGCGGATACTCCGTTGATAAGATTTGGCAAATGACGAACATAGACAAGTGGTTCTTGACAAAACTTCAACGTATCTTCCAAATGGAACAGCATCTTTCGTAAGATCTCTCATCTATCACCGACCAATCCCTTTACCTCTGCTGTAGGACTTTGAACGTCTCCACCATTGAGTCTCGCGTCCTACGACAAGCTAAACAACTTGGCTTCTCCGATAGGCAGCTGGCGAACTGCTTAGAATCCACCGAACTTGCGGTTCGCAGGAGACGACAAGAATCTGGCATCTCTCCCTTCGTCAAGCAAATAGACACGGTTGCTGCCGAGTTCCCCGCGTTTACAAACTACCTATACACATCATACAATGCTGTTGAACATGACATCACATTCGATGACCGTGGGGTGATGGTTCTTGGCTCTGGGGTCTACCGTATTGGTTCATCCGTCGAGTTCGATTGGTGCGCTGTTCGCGCTATACGGACCTTGCGCGACCAGGGGTTCCCCACCATCATGGTCAACTACAATCCAGAGACAGTCAGCACGGATTACGATGAAGCTGATCGACTCTACTTTGAGAATATTAGCTTGGAAACGATCTTGGACATTTACGACACGGAACGTTCGAGGGGTGTCATCCTTGCCATGGGTGGGCAGACTCCTAACAACATTGCTTTACCGCTATATCGCCAGAACGTCAAGATTTACGGGACCTCGCCTGAAATGATCGACACTGCCGAAAATAGGTACAAGTTTTCTCGCCTGCTGGACGAGATCGGTGTCGATCAACCACAGTGGAAGGAACTCACCAGCTACGATGAGGCCCTGGAATTCTGCGACAAGGTGGGCTACCCCGTTCTTGTTCGACCTTCATACGTACTTTCGGGGGCTGCCATGAACGTTGTTTCCACTGGGGATGACCTATCCAATTACTTGACACAAGCAACTGCTGTCTCCCGAGATCACCCAGTTGTCATCACCAAGTACATCGAACAGGCGAAGGAAATCGAAATGGACGCTGTCGCGAAGGGTGGCAAAATGGTTATGCACTTCATTTCCGAACACGTCGAAAACGCTGGAGTCCACTCTGGGGATGCTACGCTTATCCACCCTCCGCAAGATCTTGACCCTCAAACAGTACGCCAAATCGAGGAAGCAACAGCCAAAATTGGCAATGCGCTAAATGTCACCGGGCCCTTCAATATTCAGTTCATTGCCAAGAATAACGAGATCAAGGTAATAGAATGTAACTTGCGAGCCGCGCGATCGTTCCCATTCGTATCGAAAGTCACTGGTGTCGATGCCATAGAAATGGCGACCAAAGTTATGATGGACTTGCCTGTAGAGCCCTATCCCGACCTTGGACTCCCCTCGGATTATGTTGGGGTGAAGGTTCCCCAGTTTAGCTTTAGCCGTTTATCAGGCGCAGACCCGGTTCTCGGCGTGGAGATGGCCTCGACGGGCGAGGTCGCTTGCTTTGGTCATGATAAATACGAAGCATATCTAAAGGCCCTCATATCTACTGGCATCGTGCCGCCCAAGAAAAACATCCTCTTTTCCATTGGAAGCTACCGGGAAAAACTAGAGCTACTGCCGTCTGTCCAAAAGCTCAGTGCTTCTGGCTACAATATCTTCGCTACTTCTGGCACCGCCGATTTCTTAACTGAACACAACGTACCATGCAAGGTATGTTATCGTTCCATTCACCAAGAACACCTCTCAAAACTCGTTCGTCCAGTATCTCGAGACTCTGGGCGAGGATAGCCGGGATAAGCAAAAGACCGAGTATTCTTTGACCCAGCATCTGGCCAACAACCTCATAGACATGTACATCAACCTCCCCTCGAAGAATAGCTATCGTCGGCCTGCCAGTTATTCCAGTAAGGGTTATCATACCCGTCGCATGGCAGTGGACTTTGCCGTGCCGCTGATCACAAACGTCAAGAATGCGAAGATGCTAGTTGAAGCGCTTGTCCGCAAACTGCCTTTGGACGTCTCTGCAGTGGATGCTAAGAGCTCGCATACAACCCACATATTCCCTGGACTCATTAACATCTCTTCCTTCGTGTCGAATATCTCTGCTCCTGGGTCCAATGATCTCGCAATATCAACGCAAGCCTCTATCAGTTCTGGCTTCACCACTTCTATCGTTTTACCTATTGGGCAAGACAACATGATCTTTGATCGCGATACATTGAAGGAGGCGCGATCTAACGTGAACGCACGTGCACACTGCAATTACTCGCTTGGCTTTACGGCGACCCCCGATAACATACAAACTCTCGATGACGAATTACAGGCAGAGGCGAAGTTTCTGTTCATTCCGTTTGGCGTCGGTGGTGCACCAACCCCCCTCGCTGTTGCTGCTTCGCACTTCTCTTCGTGGCCAATGGACAAGCCCATAGTCTCCGATGCTAAAGGATCCGATCTCGCATCAGTTCTACTTCTGGCTAGCCTCCATAACAGAAGCATCCATATCACGGACGTCTGTTCCAAGGAGGACCTTGATCTGATTTCGCTGAGCAAGGCGAGGCAGTTAAAAGTAACCTGCGACGTTTCTGTGTATTCGCTATTCTTCACCAGGGAGCAATATCCGAAGTCTACTACCCTTCCCTCAGAAGAAAACCATAACGCTCTATGGAAAAGGTTAGACACCATTGATGCTTTCTCCGTCGGCATGACTCCATTCCGGTTGGCATCTGAGGTTGGAGAGGTTTATTCACCATGGTCTGGCACCGAGGAGACGCTCCCTTTGCTGCTTACAGCTGTCGAGAATGGTCGCCTAACACTTGAAGACATACGCTTACGACTTCATGATAATCCTATACATATCTTTGGTCTCCCTGACCAAGCCAATACACACGTTGAAGTAGTGATCGGCCGAAAGGCGGTCTTTGGGAAGCGACCTACGTGCTGGTCGACCATCGAGCAAACCTCTGTCGCGGGCGCAATTCATCGTGTTGTTGTACACGGACAGACTGTTTTCCTTGACGGCCATGTATTCTCCTCTCCACAAGGAAAAGATATCTCGAGTGCAACTGTTACCCATCCGACAACGTCTACAGCAGCAGCCACACTTGGCGCAATCACCGCTCAAGGGCGGGATGACCATTTGCCAAGTCTCCCGGCGCTGTCATCTGGGCAACCATTAGGCGTCGGTTTGCACGGACCGCTTGCTCCTTCGCTCCATCTACCCCATCAACCTCATCCTGCATTCCACCGTCGTCATATACTCTCGGTCAGACAATTTAGCCATCGCGACATTCATGACCTCTTCTCCTTGGCTCACGAAATGCAACTACAAGTCGAACGGAATGGTACTTTGGATATTTTGAAAGGCAAGGTTCTTTGCACTCTTTTTTACGAGCCATCGACACGGACCAGTTCCTCGTTTGACGCTGCGATGAAACGATGTGGCGGCGAAGTCGTCCAGATCAATGCCGAACTGTCCTCAGTACAAAAGGGAGAGACGTTACCAGACACGGTCAGGACGTTGGGTTGTTACGGTGATGCTATAGTTCTTCGACATCCGGATGTTGGCAGCGCCCAACTAGCTGCAAAATTTTCGCCGGTGCCCATCATCAACGCAGGTGACGGGATTGGAGAGCACCCCACACAGGTAGGCACGTTGCTTCTACTCTAACTCTGACTTACCTTGCACGTAGGCCCTTTTGGATGTGTATACGATACGATCTGAGCTAGGTACCGTCAACGGCCGAACAATTACATTGCTCGGTGATTTAAAGAATGGTCGCACCGTGCACAGCTTGGTATCACTTCTCTGTCTCTACTCCGTCCGGTTGAACTTTGTTTCTCCGACATCACTTTCCATGCCTGCGACCGTCGTCAGCGCTGCACGGAAAGCGGGGGTTGTTGTTTATCAGTGCGAATCCTTGGACGAAGTGTTGGCCGATACCGACGTCCTCTACGTTACTAGGGTGCAGAAGGAGCGGTTTGAAAGCGAACGCGAGTGGCAGCAGGTAAAAGACGCTTACAGAGTCGACCATGCTGTTCTATCAAGAGCAAAAGAAGACATGATCGTCATGCACCCTCTTCCAAGAGTCAATGGTGAGACAACTTCTTGATCTATTCTTGTGCAAGGTTTGATGTGGTACCAATTCTAGAAATTGACCCCGAGGTCGACTTTGACTCGAGGCGAGCTGTGTACTTCCGCCAAATGCGCTATGGTCTCTATGTACGCTTCCCCCAGCTAATTAACAATCCCCCATTGATCTTCTGCTACTTAGATTCGAATGGCGTTGCTCGCAAGTGTAATGGGCTGAGTAGATGTCTCCATTACCTCCATCGAGGGGCTGGCGCCGGCTGGCGTCGTGGATGCTGAGAACCGGTGTTATACCAGCGACGTGATCAAAGCGACCAAAACATGATATCCCATGGGACTAGGGCGTTGATTACTATATGTCGTTCAAGAAGTATGTTTTTAGATTGCTCCTCGCGGACATTGAATTTTCAACTTCACCCAATTTCCACCTTCATGAGAATGGCCAGAGTTCTCGACATTAGATGCGGCTGATCATCCACATGCCGGATTTCCTGCGGTAGATTAATATGGCCAGGCTTCCAACAATCATGTCGCAGGTTCCTTCCCTCTCAGCTTCACTTCTTACGGGGCGGGCCGCTTAAGTTGAACGCCTGTAAATCGCGTGGTATGTCAGATCGTGGACGACTTCCAGCCCCCACGCGGGACCTTGGTGTGAATCGCTCATCTTCCACCCTCGTAGACATGGATCGCGGTCAAGATCACGCAGCGCAAGAGGAGCAGGGCACTCAACCAGTTGTGCATGGCGGGGGGCAGGAGCCTACTGGGACACGAGCGACAACTCAGTCTCACTCTCTGGGACAAACTGCCAGCCCAACTCAATTGTTGCCCCAGGCAGACCGTCCACAACCGGAGCCGCCGAGGCCTATTCTTTTACCCCCCTCCATCCCTCAGGCACCTCTCCAAGACAACGATAACCTAAATCCAGCCATTAATCGCGGGGGTGAGCCCCTACCAACTACCCAAAATGTCACCGCGCCAGTGGAGAGGCTAGATGATGATCACGGTTCAAGAGACTCGTCGCCTGGACATCGTCCCAACCAACCCAACCCTATTTATCCAAGATATCCGCAGCGTTTGGCAGATCCTGGGTTAAGTCGAGTAAACTCTCGGCGATCTGGTATTGACTGGATTGTACCGGTGGAGGAACGGAAAGAACTGGTTTGTTCGCCATAAATGCTGCCCGACACAGTGTCCTAATCCTTATCCTGTTTGCAGCCTCCTCGTCCAAAAACCTTGGGAGAGAGATTGCAGAAAACAATTGACCACGCAAATACCGAATGTGAGAAATATGCTGTCAGAGGTTGGCTTGAAACTGCCTGCATGAGCTTTTGCTTACAAAAGGATTGTTATTTTAGCCAAATTAACGGCGTACGCGCTCAACATTGCTATCGGAATGCAAGTACTGTTAGGGGCGTTGACTACTGCGGTCTCAGCTGCTACATCCGGACATAGTGTTGGTTGTGTTCGTATCCAAATTCTCCCAGTTGCTAATCTTGCACTGGCTTAGACGTCCATCGCTACCTCTGTTCTAGGTAGGCCGGGAAATTTGGTTCATTGCATCTACTGTTGACAGTGGTGTTCAGGTGGCCTCGCTACACTGGTTGCATCGTATCTGGCTCGTGCACGAGGTTCAAATGAGCCAGAGCTGTCAATCACACGAGTTAAGGACCTGGAGCATTTTAAACGAGAATGCGAAGCTTTCATCATGGATCATGGCCATAAAACCGAGGAGACTGGCCCGCTTGTAGACAAGATGAATAATCTACGTTACAAGTTTGAAGACTTGCTAGGTAATGCCAGTGGGTGAGTACTTCCTTGCGTCATCTACGTTGGGATTTCTACTCACCAATGCCCTCCCGATATAGCGAGCGGAAGCTGGCTCCGGCGTAATACCGATAATTGATCAATCATGCCGCACTATATACATACCCTTTGCCATTAATTGCTCTCCTTTAATTTATCACACCCTTCAGTTTTACTCTCTCAAAGCAAGGTCATCTGGCCCGTTTTCAGGCTGATTCCATCATGACAGCATGTTCTAATTTGAACTATTTAGGATTGCTGTTGAGTTCTTGGAACCGAAATGAAGACACTTCTCTTTTAAGTCCATCTGGCTAAAGATATCTTTGCCATAGAGTTCTGCTAGGGGTGGATAACGCAAGCGTTTACTAGTAACTGGTCATTGGTCGGATAACTCACAATGCATTCGTCTCGTGCATGTCCCGTGCAGAAGCCAATGGTATTTTGATGCACGGGTGTGCCAGTAATCAGTTACCTGATCCTGCAACAGATCAGTCGGATACAAGTGGTCATAGGGTGGAGGGAGTGTAAGTGGGTGAGGTCCCCTCTCTGCGGAAACGTCGTACAGTAGGTTGACAAGCAGGCAGTCAGCGCATGGGGTCAAAATGTATCGACACGCAAGTCAAAACCCTACTTCGAGAGTGCTTACCGATTCTTAATTTACGAGGTGTTACAGACACTGATTGCATGCGGCGAATTGCGTCGAATTCTCGACCTCATGGTTGCCTTCTCGCAGTCTATTTCTAAGTATGTTTTGCGGGCCGGAATCGGGGTCGAACGTTGAATGTTGAAACGTTGAAGATTCGCGAAATCGCGATTCGGACTGTGACCATTTGTTAGTAGAGACGAAGAAGAGTACAATATGATCACTCACAGTATTGTACATCAATAGTAGTACTGAATAGATTACTGTGGTCGATACATCTTACATATCATCTACTCGAGACATACCCCTTGGTTATTATTCGTCCCACCGTTGTTCGGCGCCATTGTTGTCTGCCATTGGCGGTTCCCGCAGGCTCACTCGTCCTCGTCGTCCTCTTCCATTCTATTCTCACCATTCTCCTCTTCTTCGCCGTCTTCTTCCTCTTTCATAACAGGTTCCGACTTCTTCTTGCGGCGCCTCTTGGGTGGCGGCGCATCGCCGTCAGCGGCAGCTTTCTTACTCTTCGTTCTCCGCTTCTTGCCTTCGGGGGCCTCGCCATTCGTCGGCGCCTGTGCGTCCATGTCGATTGTACCACCATTGGATGGATCCGGTACTGATTCGACCAATTCTTTGAGGAAGTCGAGCATCTCCGTTGTCTCGACGGCATGCTTCCTATGGCAGCCATGACCACATACACAGAAACCACAATCAGTAACGTAGACCCAAGCACACGAGCGCATCGAACGCACAGATGGTACGCCTCCACCTTCTTTGAACCGCGCTCCACCGTGACATTGCTGGCCTCTTCGATGATCATACTTAGGAACAGCTCTAAAGCCTTTGCTGGGTTCGTTGAGCGTGGGCATCGCAGATATCTCAGTATCCCAGCGCATATACGTACAGATTACAATCGGTGTTGCCTGTGCCACTTTGCCCACTTCTTCATCTTTCTGCATTATCTTCTTGATGCGCGCCTTGGAGACCCGCGGTTTGCTTTGGTTATTCGCACAGCAGAGGGCTTAGGGGGTAGCTCACCACAGGAAATTTGGTTTGCTTGTTTCTATTCTTCATTGAACGCGATGTAGGGAGGAGCAAGTTGGTGAAGTCGAGACTGACGATGAAGTGGCGTTGAGTGGTGTTCGAGACAACGCTGGGCGCTTATCATACGGCCAGGCGTCTGCTTTCATATATTCAAGTTACGGCTCAGTTGATATGTAGTACAATGATAATCGTCGACAGTTTGGAGGAATTGTAGATCATGAATATTAGTAGACTTGGATCATCCAATGTGACTTATCCAAGATTCGGCGACCCAGTAGATGTGAGCCGTGCTTACCAGGCCTGCTGTCCAGCACCTCTCCATGCAGAATTTTACTGTGCATAATGAGTCTCGCTTGGTCCAGATCCGTAATGCTGATGGTACGTCAAAGGTGGGACACCGTAGCCCGGCGCCTGCGTCCCAGGAGCAGGTAAGTAGTACGCGACCTGGAACTGGGGAGGGTGGCCGGGGTGAGGCTCCATACACTGAGCGTACCCGGGAGGTGCCTGCCCGTAATATGCGGGCTGAGGGCAATAAGCGTACGACGCCTGCGGCGGAGCGTTCGCGTAGGCAGACTGGAACTCGGGCGCATAGTTGTATGAGTGGGGGTGCCCGGGGCTCTGCATGAGCTGGGTCATACTCTCAACCCATGCCCGATCGGCTTCCCTGCGCGCCTGCTCGGCCATCATCTCCTCTGCGATTATCCGGTCGCGCTCTGCGACTTCGCGATTGTGCTCGGCGATGCGGGTGGCGTGCGCTGCCACCCTCCGAACCTGCGCCTCCGCTCGCTGGGCCGCCTCTTCCACGCGCCGACAGTGCTCCAGGCGCGCGCGCGCGTCCCGCTCCTCCTCGCCGAGATATCTGATTTGTCCCATAACGTGGCTAAAAAGAGCCGAATTCCAGACCGCAAACACGTCAATAGATTATGTTACTTACTCAGTGATGAAGACGCGCATTTGGCTGTAGACGCGAGCTACCCTGCGCTCAAAGAGATGAGCGAATTTGGATCGAAAACGAAGGCGCATACCCTGAAGGAACAATATCGGCTTGGGGAGCTTGGTGGCTTGTGGTATTATACGATTGTTGTATTTCATCTCCTGGGTCGGCACCAAGGTGATTGGCTCGACTCGCACCATCTTCAGTATCATTCGAGCCTGCATGAACACCACGACCAACGCTCGGAGGCTTTTCTGAGGTGCGGCCGTTCCCATTGTCGCGTGCTTCCTCAGCCTTTCTCTCAGCCTCCTCCACCTTACCGAGAACTATGGCATACGCTTCCTGCTCCATTTCCTTCATCATTTCTCCGCCTGCCGCCTCCTGGGTCTCTCGCAAGTACTCCAGGATGACTGGACTTAGGCGCACAACCCTCTTCCTGGATGATGTATGCGGGAGAGGAGCTGTGCCGTCGCTAAACACCTTTGCCAAGCCGTCAAGTTCTTCTGAATCGGCGGGGTTGTTCATATATCCCAACATGAATAGCATGACCATGAAGCCGTCCGTAAGGGTGTCCTTGATATCCTCCTTGGCGCCTGCATTTACGACCTTGCTCTCTATATTTCCTTCGTACCGCTTGATGAATGAGATGACATCGCGCAACCAAATCGGACGTTGGTTTTCCGGGGACCTGGAGGTATTATGGGCATGTTCTGAAGGGGCCGAACGAGAGGCAGCAGAATCTACTGAACTTGGTGGATTCCGCGGGATTGCAGTGCCTAATGACTTGATTCAGCATTGGTCGGAACCATACAGAACATATTTACTGACCTGCGGCTGTCGATTCTCCTCTTCTTCGTTTGCCTAGTCTGGTAGTGGGCGTCAATGTTAGAGGTTGCGGTGCACCAGTAGAAGGACCTTCAAGAGTGAGCCCGAGCGAGGTCGTCGATTGAAGATCGTCGGTCGTCATTAAATGTATTCGCTCCAAGTGTGGCAGCACGAAAGCGGCGCAGGCTCTTTATCCACTCGCCTTGAAACTCAGCGTCCTTGTGGCCAACATCATTTGACTTGATGCACAATGGGCCACAGTGGCCACAGGAGGTGGTGGCCAATCTGCCATGGCGGTCGTGATCTGAGTTGCGTGGTTGCCACGTGATCGCGTCCCTCGTTTCACTTGCTTCGCTTCGATGGCCGACTGGGACGAAGAATACAACCGTACATTTGGCGCTGGGCAGGCTGCGGTAGCCTCGGGCAGCGCGCCCCCCGCCAATCCCTTCCTCGAACGCATACGAGACGTGGCTCGCGATGATGACGATATCGACATCGACGAGCTCATGGCGCCTGCTGGCATACAAGCCGGGCTTTTCGACCGTACCGGCTCGTCGACGCAGGGGGAACCGCCCATCCAGCAGCTCATCAGACACTGGATGAACGAGCGCCACGCGCCTGATATCCTCCCAATACAAGAACAGCTCCTAGCCAGCATCTTGGATCACATTCGTCGGCAGGTACAACTATCCCGCCCCTCTCTACAGGACAGCTGCACTCACAGCTTACTCACCAGTCCGACGCTGTGCAGCTGATACGGTCGGATCCCGGCGCCTCTCAGGAGGAGCACTTCCGAATCGTCCTCGTCCAAACAGAGATCGAGCGCATCAAGTTCATCGTGCGGTCGTATCTACGAACCAGACTGTTCAAGGTATACCCCCTTGCCTCGACGCGCTCGCCACTTCGCGACCTCTCCGCTGACATGCAGCACAGATCGAGAAATACGCCCGGTACATCGTTTCCAACGTAGATATCCAGACACGAATTTCCGCATCGGAGCGTGCGTATGCTAGCAAGTACGTGTCAATCCCCCATCTCACTGGGAGGTTGCCGCTGAGCCGATATCAGACAAGCAAAAATCCTAGATAATCACTTCTGGGTCACCGTGCTCCAAAGTCTACCCGAAGCCCAGTCGCATCTTGACGATACCCCGATATTCATGCCCCCGATGGTCACAGAACCTGACAAATCGCGCGCCGTATTCGTTCACGCTCTCAAACAGTGTCCACCGGTCATTTTGCCAGAGTACGCATCGTCGAACAAAGATGTCCGGCTCACTAACACATCCCTTCCAGTGGCTCATCACTCGAAATGGCGAAAGACCATATTTCCCTTGTCCCCTTTTCGGCCGTGGAAAACCTCATCCTTCGAGATGAAGTTGAGTTGGTTTGAAGTTATGAAGTAAAGACAACATGTACATATTTCGACGGTTCGTACAATTCATTCCTAGAATACGGTATTCTCTATCTACGCATATAGCCAATAAAACGGGTCATTTCCGCCAGCCGTGATCAGATTGCAAGCCCTGGCACTCTCCTTGCATCGTCCGTGCTCGGTGACTCTTCCCGTTTGCGTGGACTCAACGGGGCAACGTTCCTCATCATCTCTTCCCAAATCGCCGATAAATCGCACCCTTCACCATCCTCAACTCGAGACTCGTTCGAGTACGCTGAAGTGGAATACCCAGACGCAGAACTAGGGAGAGAATGACGAGCCTGATCGTGTTTATCACCCGGAAAGGGCGCCGAAGGAAGTACAGGAGAAACAAACGACACTGTCGGTCGTTCAGACCGGGTTGAAGTTGAACGTGCTGTGAGGAGTATAGATCGTGGTTGAGACGTCGTCTCGCGAATCAAAACCTTGTTGTCCGCAGGGGGTGCGTTTATGGAACCTGAATTGAGTCTTAGACCCGAGATATCATCGGAGCGTAGTCCAAGGCCAGAAACTGGGCGAAGACTTGGAGGCAAGGAGGCATCAGATGTGAATGCGTTAAACCGCGAGCCGGTCGTTGGAACCGGGGGAAGTGGCCCAGTTGGTCGGCCAGATAGAACCGGAGAACCAGGGAGGGATCCAGAAATAAGTTTCCCAGCATCTTTGCGACGGGCCACGGAGGAAAGACTGAGGTTCGACGGTAGACACGCTGATAGATTCGCCCACCCAAACCGACGCGCATTGCAACGGGGTTCTTGGTTTGCCGCTTCTGGACTTTGAGGAGGCGGGGCTTCCATTTGGTCTGTATCGCAAAACATCATGTAGTAGTCTATGTCTATACCAAGATCGCCAGGGTTGCTGCTAAATGGCGTGGAGCAGGATGGTGGGGAAGAGTAGGTTGAGCTAGGCGAATCCCGAGGGCTGGCGCTAGAGCTAGGCGATGCGTAGATCGGAGGTGGGGGAGATGGTATTCTCAAAGGCGGCGGAGAAAATAACGAGAATGAGTCTGGGTCCAGTTCATCGTCCACTCGAGGAGCCGGAATCCTGGTTGTGTAAGACAAGGGCCTGCTGGATATGGGGGCGGCAATGTCCAGTGCGACACCGTTACTGAAATATTGGTACCTTTCATTTGACTGGGTCGGGTTGGGGCTCTCCTCCGGGGCGCTATCGCAAGAAGGGTCTGTCCTATAGCTCGGAGGCGAGAATTGGGGAGAGGAATGCAAAGAACCAAAAGAGGCTGCGGGTGAGTAGGTAGGCAGTGGCATCCTCGGTAGACTATATTCAGAATCAGTGCCTCCGAACTGAGAACGCGCACTATGCAGCTCAGCAAGACGACTTGATGGGTAGAGATACTGCAGCCGGTCGCCGCCCCGGAGTGGGTAGAGCGCGGCCCGCGTCCGCTTCGCCTCGATATCGACCAGAGGATCCTCGAGTCCATCCCGCTCGCCATTCCGCCACCGGCGTTCGTTGAAGAAATGATTCCACTTCTTGGCTTTCTTGCACTTATATGCGAAGGACTTGAATTGGCCGGTTCGCCTCGTGTCGGCGGTGCGGTGCTCCCTTACGCGGTCTACCACTTGCATGACGGCCCATCCAAGCACGAAGATGAGGATCGTGCCGCCTGTGAAGGATATGACCGTAATGGCGATCAGGCGGATTTCCGATTGGCGTATTCCGAGGTTGAGAGCCGACGAGGGGTATATAGCTGGGCGATCCGCCATTGCTGGGAGAGAGTTGTGTGGTAGTGATGTGGCTTGAGGATAGGAATATCAAACGAGTGCGGGGTGAAATGAGTGTAAAGCGTAGGGCTTGTGGTGGGGGGAAGAATGAAACCCGATGATGCGCCCGTTGCCTTTTTATACTTCGGAACCGCGGACGATCGACGACTCCGTCCATCGCAGTGCCTGTCATTCATCGACACCATGGGGGGCTAATAAGGCAAGAGAACTATGTCCGAAGCGTCGCTTTCGGACCGTAGCGACACCTTGTCCCAGTTCTTGTGCACGTACTGCAAGTTTGGAGACCAGCACCAAAGCGAACCCATGTCGTATAGGCTCTTCGGCGAATCAAACAATTGACATGTAGCATCGGCGGAAGCCTTAAGTTCGAAATCGAGGATGCGCCGCGAAGCTTGACGACATTCCTTCTGAGAGAACGGGAAATTGGGGCACTATTGACAATCGTTGGAATCCCTATCAAATGTTGGCATGACTGCTGTTCAATGGACGATGAATAATATAGCACATACCTCGCAACTTATGTATGGCATGTACCGAGGCACAACTCCAAGTCAACCCAACCCAATCTGTATTGGAATAGGTTCGCCACAACTTTTTGCTATCTCACCCGAGGGCCCAATGCCATGTTCGTATAACACGAACAACGGGGACGGGTATATGGGCGGGACCATAGTCCGAGGCTCCCCTCAAGCACGTTCGGGATTCTACTGTTCGGCAGAGGAAGTCAAGTTGCATGCAGGTCATGGGGGGCGGTAGTTCGCTACGTCCTCAGGGCTATGTTAACACGATTTGTTGTCTGTGAAAGGTACCTTTGCGAATCAAACCTGGTATGCGCTTAGTCGCTGGTAGGGATGAGAATATTTGGCCAAGCCCCTGTCTCTACTTCATGGTCCCAGCAGCCATGCTGTTGCTGTTGATCCTTTTATGGTAGCTTACTTTCCTTTCCAATTGATCTGTCTGCTTTCCACTATCTCAGCTTCAACCATATTGTTTACAGCTGAGGTATGTTAATCCCTTGTTATGCCCAGTAATAACTACAATACTTATTACTTATATTCACTGTAGAACTTGCATCAGTACTTATTGCTTGTTCTACAGGTTAGCCCCGAATAGATTGTGCTTTGACCATATAGTCTACAGCTGAGAGCTCACATCAGTACTTGCTTGTTCTACACATGCTAAGGCCTAGAAAACCTGTTAGGTACGACAGAGATGATGATGATAGAGTTGTATCACCTAACCAGTAATTTAGCAACACCCGCCAGACCGTGGCTCTGCCATCAAGGATGGCTTAAAAGGACGGCAGGCGCGTCAACCACGCCATCCTTGACATAGCCAATATCCTTCACTTGATTGTGAACGGCTGGCAGCCGGCTTGATGAACTTCACATCATTGAAATTCGGCTCCAGAGCATCAACACGGAATCGTTGCAGCAGAGGGTGCGTAAAATGTTTCAGCCTGAATGAGCAAACCCACCATCAGCATGGATCGCGCGCAGCATACCATGTCGATAGAATAGACCGAAAACATACAGCAGCACTCCTCCCTTACGATTCCCTATGCTTTCTGCCGACCGCATGTTCCGCTTCGTGAACTCCAGAACAGCGTCACATATCTCGAGACTCCTCTCCGTGTCTCGCGTAGTGTTTCCCGTCATATTCGCCGCCATATCCGAGAGAACGACGTCCACCTTCCCGTCCCCACTCCGCAACAGGCTCTCGATCGACGCTTCCGCTTCCGGGGAGAGGAAGTCGAGTTTCAGCGTATGCACGCCTGGGATATGCGGGATAGCCAGGAGGTCGACGGCGATAATGGTTCCCTGGCCTACAGACCGCGTGTCCTCGGCGTTAAGCGGGTCGTAGAAACCCAGCTCGGCGTCCGACGCTTTCTTCGGGACCCGCTTCTTGCTGTCCTTGCGGTTCCATCGTCGCGGCAGCTTTCCAGTATCGACGTCGTGGAGGAGCATCCGCCTGGAGGTGTCGTCCTTTCCTGTATCGAAGCCGTCCAGAGGCCTGAGTTCCTCCTCCGCATCATTATCCCGGGTCGATCCAGCAGATGGCGCATCATTCACCGGCGTCGAGGACCAGCCAAGCTTCCCGGCGACCACCTGGCTCCACCCTCCAGGCGCAGCACCCAGGTCGACGACGGAGCGCACATGCGGTTGGCTAAGAAACGAACCATGGTTCTGGTCGATTTCGAGTAATTTGAAGGCAGAACGCGATCGATATGCCGCCGGGTCTGCGAGACGCTCCCGGACGAATGGATCCCGGCTCTGACGAGCCAGCCACACTTTCGACGATGCTGAAGCTTTGCGGCACACAGGCGTTGCGCGGAACAGCATAAACAGGCCACTCGAAGTCGCGTCGAAGTAGGTTGGAGCTTGCTTCAACTCGGAGGCAAAGGAACTAACTTCAATACACGTGATCAATTTCAGGTAGTTCTTCCAAACCCTTCGACTGTTCTACGCTTTCAAAACATTACGATAGCGCAATCACCGGATGTGATTGGTGTGCAACGTACAGACAGTTAACGGGCTTTAAAGCGCATAGAAGGAACATCATCCATTTGGCTGAATAACGAGGCACCGAACATAATAAAATGAGAGTTCGTTCAGACGTCAGAAAGAGAGTGAAAAATCCGAGTCCCGACACCTCGCTCCAAGAAGCGAAGATGATATGATAGCAGAAAAACGAGTGGACAGGATGTCAAGTGTCAAGGAGGCAGGGTATATCAATCATCACCACCACGCATGTAGATGGTGCAACAAGAAAAGTATATCGCAAGAAACCACCGCCAAAAAGTGAGGCAAGGCGTTTATCGTCTGCCCGTGCTGCGCCCGTAGCCGACCTGCAGATTGTCCAGCTCCGCCTCGAGCTGCTTGATAGCACTGTGCGCCATCTCCAGGTCCTTGTTGAGGCGATCGCGCTCTGCGATGAGCTACATAGACACAGCACAATCAGTAAATTTTATGGAAGGCAATTTGACTCCACGTACGTGTTGTTCCCACTGTCTGAACCGCGCTTCCTCGGCCTTGACCTGCTCGGTGAACCGCTTCCTGAGCTGCTCTTCCTCCTCCTTGAACTTGGGGTTGTCGAGCTTCTTGACCTTGGGCTCGCCGAACTTGCGGGTCTCCATCTGTTGCTGGCGGTAGTTCTCATAGTGCAGCTCCTCCGTCGTGGAGATGAGGTCGAGCATGTGGGTGCGAATAAGAAGCGAACGAAGCTTTTTGAAGTCGCAATGGTTCTCGTTTTCGACTACGACGAAGGTTAACTGAGATTGAAGGGGGAAATCGAGGCTGTCGGAGGAACGCACCTTCAGCGACACCCCACAGGTACTCGCGGCCCTTTACTATTCTACCATCAAGCGTTTTCACGTCCTCGGTGGAACCGATGATGGAGAACGGGATAGCATCAGTGAGAATACGGGCATGTTCGACGCTTTGGGCGTCATCATTGTCCAAGGGTGGTGTGTAGATACGGATGCCCTGGGCGGCAATGACCTCCCGAATCTGCAGACGAATAAGCATGGACAGACAAACGTCGACAAAACATACGCACACGTTGCTTGAACAAGAAAAGGTCGTTTTGGGTGAGGGTATCGGCTTTGGCAATGACGGGTATGAGATTGACACGCGTTCCCAATCGCTTCATGATCTCAATGTCGAGCGGCTTCAAGCTGAGGGTTCGGACGTTTAGACGAGCGTCTTGGAAACGAGTGAGAAAACGCACGTATGCCCCGTCGCTCGGATGAAATAGACACAAGCATGCACCCGTAGGTCGATTTTCTCGCGTCTTTCGGGCTGCTGCTCCTGGCGCATGTATGCTTCATGCTGGTCGTCAATGAATTCGACAATGGGAGACCAGGAATCGCGGTTGTTGACGTAGTCGCCAAACCCAGGCGTGTCGATGACGGTCAACTTCACCTTGAACTGCTTCTCCTCCAGCTCGGCCTTGATGATGTCGACTTCCGTGAGCTTGTCGAGCTGCTTGTGGTGGCGCCTGTTGTAGTTTTTTGGGGGCGACAACTCCGTCGAGAAGAGGGTGTTGATGAGCGTCGTTTTACCGAGTCCAGACTCCCCTACAACGAAAACGAAGAGTTCAGGTTCACCCACAGTTGCTCCATTCAAATCTGAATGTACTGACCCACTACCATCATCGTAAAATGCGCCCCACGCTTGGCGACAATCTTGTGTTTCTAGAGACGCGGGGGTGTCAAATGAAACTACCAGCCTAGAAAAAAGAAGTATGCAAACCTGGTTTGGCAAGTTCGCAATACCAATGCCGTCGACGGAAGAAATGGGGGCGGCCATAATGATGAAGGATGAGAACGAACGATGTTGGCAAAGTTGAGGAAGCTAGTACTTTGTTTACTGGAGTTTGGCACTCCTGGTTTCTTGGTCGGCTAATTCCGTCCCAGTAGGCGCCCATGTCATTCAACTTCTCTTGAATGTCTTCTGGTCACCGGGCGTTCGCTCCCCAACCCAAAGGATACCCCGTGGACCAGTAAAACTGTAAGATTTATAGCCTATAGTCACGCTAACGATCTACTATGCAAATGTTAATTGTACGTCGATGAAACGGTTAGTATAACGTTCACGAATAAAATTGGCATTCGCTTAACGAGGAAACATTGACTTCACGACATCGAGCAGGTTACTTCGCCCGAGTTTCCATCACTTCACGTTCGAATTGCTCGAATCCCGCACGCAGTTGGAACCCCACGTCCCGGTACGCTCTGCAGTTGGTTGTCAGGACTTGCAACTAGGAAGACAAAATTTCGGCCGCTCTTGTCGCCTACCCCAAAACAATTCAATTCTCAGCCACTCTTCGGCAAGCTCTACGAATATGATAGCTCCATTCGCGAGTTAAATGGGATCGGTGGCTCGAGAGGGGATTCTGTTAATACGTAGCCCAAGCCTCTAAAACTGTTGACAGTTCTACTTATGTTCATTAGAATCGTTCTCAATGTCTGTAATATCTATGCAATGATTCGTGCACCTGAAAAGTTGCGCAAAATACGGCGGCACCGAAGCTCGAATTCAAGCACCCAGAACCCTCCAAAAGGGTCTACGCTGTCGAGAACGGGGAGCCAGAATGTCCCACACGAATAAATCGCCCCATTCTTTATCCGGTCATTTTGAAGTGGTGTGTTTCTGCCACCCAGCGCTTAGGCATTTCGTATATAAAAGAACCACGATGACCAAGTTGGAGGAACCCCAGATCCACCGCTACTGCCAAATTGCCAATGGCGACAAACGCGACATTCAGCGCACCGCAGCTATTCGAGACGCTTTACGGCGCCACGGATCTCGCTGCCCTTAACTGGTTCGAGAAACAATGGGTCGCCTGGTATATCTGGATCGGCAATCCAGTCATTGCCACCGGCCTTATGAGCTTTCTCCTGCACGAAGTGAGTTCCCAGCCATGCATAGTAGGGTTAATCTGATTGATTTCATTTCCTTAGTTTGTCTACTTTGGCAGATGTATCCCGTGGATAATCATCGACGCTATCCCGTACTTTAGGCGGTGGAAGCTGCAGCCTAACAAGATACCTACACCAAAAGAGCAATGGGAATGCACGAAGCAAGTCTTGTTCTCCCACTTCACGATCGAACTACCAGCCGTACGTCTTTCCTCACTGTTCGCCTCTGAACACATTCATCTACGCAGGTTCTGACGAATACATTCATTTCCTATGGATAGATCTGGCTCTTCCACCCAATGGCAGAATCTATCGGAATGGCTACGTACCAAGTCCCTTTCCCCGACTGGCGCACTATGCTCCCACAGGTCGCTTTCTGCTTCGTCTTCGAAGACTTCTTCCACTACGTCGGTAAGTATTCCACATTCACTTTAACTTACGGCATTGCAGTTCTCAATTCTATGCTTCTTATAGCACACCAGGCGCTTCACTACGGCCCCCTTTATAAACACATCCACAAGATCCACCACAAGTATTCTGCTCCATTCGGTCTGGCCGCGGAATACGCACATCCAGCGGAAGTGTTCATCCTAGGCACGGGGACAATCGCGGGGCCTCTCCTCTACTGCTTCTTCTTCGGCAACCTCCATATCGTCACCGTGTATATCTGGATCACCTTGCGTCTATTCCAGGCTATCGACTCGCACAGTGGATATGGTAAGCATTTTGCATGTTCGATAGCCTTCCTGCCCGCTGTCTAACAAAGCTCTTTCCTTCGCGCAGACTTCCCCTGGTCGCTGCAGCACATCGTTCCCTTCTGGTCCGGCGCAGAGCACCACGACTTCCACCACATGGCCTTCACGAACAACTTCTCCACCTCCTTCCGCTGGTGCGACAGGCTGTTCGGCACGGACACGAAGTACCAGGAATACCGCGCCCGCGTGAAGGCGATGAAGACCAAGAGCGCTAACAAGGAAGACTTCCAGAGAATGGAGAAGAAGCTGATGGAGGAAGTGGAGAAGGAAGGCCAGATTGCGGAAAGGGAGGTTGAGAATGGCGTCAAAGCGAAGAAGCAGTGATAATCTGTCTATCGATGGATAACAGAGTGGGGGATGTAACATACAATATAGAAGACATAGAATAATGGAAACTCAGGCATTAGCTACCTGCACCGGAAGCCTCATTATATTTTTAACGCACAAACCCCTCTCAGTGTCTCCTTTGATTCGAGTGTGAGTAAGGAGAGTGCGAGTATGGCATGTTAGCCAGTCCGCCTCTCATCTTCGTCGACCTCCATTGTGATATGTGAATATGTGAATCCTCACAATCCTGAGTCCCAATAGATGAGTGCCTGCCTCCAAGCCTAGAATGTGTATCTTATATCTGACAATCTGGCGCTTTACCTCTCCGCCTCTTCCTGCGCTATTTGCGATGGATCATTATGCGCCACGCATTTTGGAATGTAATTTATGATTAGGGTATTGATTCAATGCGAAATACAAAGCGTAGTCGACTTATGTACACGAAATAACTTAAATGGGATACAATTAGGAGGTCTTAATATAAGGATGCCCAAGGGAAATGGAAATGGGAAATGGTATTATAGGTTCCAAGTATCTTTGATGAGGTCCGCCCCACGCTCTGCAATCACATATGTTGGTGCCATCGTATGCATGCTGGGGTTGTAAGGCTGTCATACAGATGTGAGTGCTATACAAACAAAGCTACTAATAACACTCACGAAGACAGACGCGTCAACAATTCGGACGCCCTTGATTCCTCCCTTCATCTTCAAGTCCGGGTCCACCACGCCCCATTGTGCCCCCTTGGGTGACATGCTGGCCGTCCCCACCGGGTGCGCGGTAGTCCCGCTGTTGCTCCTCACGTACTCCTCGATCTCCTCGTCAGTCTCAGCCGTGGCCAGAGTTCCCAAGGCTTCCACTACGTAATTTTGGAACACCGGTGCTGAGACAAAGCGCTTGGCAGCCTTGACGGCTTCACGCATGGCCTTGATGTCCCAATCCGTGGTGTAGAATGCTGGATCAATGTGGGGTGCACGGAAGGCATTGAATCCGCCGGTAGTGTCAAGCGTGACGGACCCGCCTGAGCAAGTATTAGTCGAGGCTTATCAATGAGAAAGGAGGTACGTACGGGACGTAGCCGAAACCAGATTGGTTGATATAGTCAACCATCTGCCTGGAGGTGGTGCGGGTGAGACGAAACCGTTCTACGGAGGCATATCAGTAAGGCGACAGAAGTACCACATATCAGACATACACCAATGGCCAATTCCAGATGAGGCGTATTGGGTCCTGCTGCAGTATCCACACCCGCAGGGAGCCCAAGATTCGCTCGCTCGGTCTCGTTCAGCCTGAAGAACACAACTTCCCCAATGGGAGTGACAACGAGAGGACCTGTGCCGTCTTCATTCCATTCATCCATAGCATCGTCCAGCACATTCTGCTCTTGGAATACCGGATCAAACGTATCTGCATCGGCCCTGACATTCCAAAGGCACCCCGTCGTGGGCTGATCAGTCAGGTTCCTGCCAACACTAGGCAAATTCACCAGCGGTGGGATCCCAACCGACGACAAGTAACTCGAGTCCCCGATACCGGAGTTGAGCAGAATCTGAGGCGTGCCGATGACACCCGCCGCGAGCAGGACCTCCTTTGTCGCGCTGACTGAGCGCAGCGGACCGTTGTTGATATCTTGCGTGTACTCAACCCCCTGGAAGGTCGACCCGGCACCGGTTTGGAGAATGCGGGACACGCGAGCATTGACGAGGACATGGAGGTTGGGTCGGCTGATGAATTGGGGACCAAGGTAGGACGTTGCTGCACTGCTGCGATGGGACCCATTGATCGCAGCTTGTAGCCATCCCAAGCCAAGAGGGGTACCGTCATTGTAATCCAGTTTGAAATCGAAGATCCCGCCGAGTTCCTGTCCGGCTTGGAACACCAATGGGTCGAGGGCTTGGTGGTGGCCAGAGAGACTGTACGAGTTGATGCCCGTCGTGCTATGGACGGACGGGTCATATTGACCGGTGGTGTCGTGTCCGTCAGCTGGGGGGGTCCATTTTTCGTTCTGGATAGAAGGCATCAGGTGAATATTGCCGTGATAGTGGTAGAAAGACTGACCTTTGCGAAGTAGGTTTGAACATTGTTCCATGACCAGCCAGAGTCGCCGGTGACCTCCGCATAGCGATCGAAGTCATCGGAAGATCCTCGGGTGTAGAACATCCCATCTACAAGCATGTTAGTTTGGTAGAAATGATATGTGATGGTTTACTCACTGATGGAACTGCTGCCGCCCAGCACGAACCCTCTGGCGAAGGGAACCTCGGCGTTGTGCATTCCGACTTGTGGCGTGGTCGTCTATCATGTCCATGTCAGATCGGTCAGGGGAAGATATTACAAATGTAGCGCACATAGTTCCATGTGTATTGGGCGGGGATACGTGTCACAAAGAATGGGACCTTGGTTTCGAACGCATCCTCATTTCTGTGAGACCAACACGTGAGCAAAGGCAGGGTATATGGCACATTGATATGGTCTTACGAGGGACCCCCTTCGAGGACGAGTACGTTTGTCGATGGATTTTCCGTCAGGCGGTTGGCGAGTACACTGCCGCCCACACCACCTAGGGTACATAATCAGTATTTGTGTGGACCATCATCGGGACCGTCACTTACCGCCAACAACGATAAAATCATAGGAAACGTTTGGTAAATCGGCCGCATTCTTGTACAAAGCAGCTGAAGCTCCGAGAGGCAGAGAAAGAAGCGAGAGGACAAGAGATATGTGAGCTGCGAGAGATTGGAACTTCATTGTTGGGTTGATTACTACTGGTGATTGGGTAGATGTAGCAACGATGAGGAGATGGTAGGATGACGTTCAAGGCTCTTGTAAAACTGCTTTAAGTACTCTTCAGAGACACGCCCCGCTTCATTCGTGCACTGGGAGGAGACGACACGACCCACACTTGCCTGTGCATTTGCTGAATTGTTGTACCCACCATGGATCGTTTGAGGTGGGTTTCTGAGCCATTCTGGGCCACCGACGGTCCAGGATCAGGTACGCGATTCAAGTCTCCCGAGAAGTTCGCTCTACATCGCGGAGTAGCAGCAGTGTGTCAGCCTAGGACCCTTCCAAGTGATAGGTACAGTTTCCTCGCTCCCAAAGAAGAAGGGATCGCGTCTTCATTCCCAAGACATAGGCTGTAGAGGCAGCCACGAACCGTTTAGGATGGTCTGTGATTCAAGAGTGGAAATTAAGACGTAGCCCAAATAATCGATGAATTACCGCAAATTGCAAGCACTGATAGGCATCGCGACAAGCGTCGACCGTTCGGCTCCGAGATGTATGTAGATGGCTGTCAGCCCATAGGATACACCGATGGCGCCAAAGCGCAAACTCGACCATATATAGATGCGCGTAGATTTTCTCAGCTGTGACCAGTGAGGCGGTACACTCACCGCCTGGAACGCTACTGGTCAGAGTCTTCGGTTGTCGCGGACTCTTGAAACTTGAACCAAAATAGGCAAACGGGCTGGTCAACCGTAGTGCTCTTGAAGAGTAGCAGCGAGTAGAGTTGAGACTGAGTGCACAGTATGTGCGCGATGTGAATCAACCTAGCAAGGAGGAACTCTTGCGCAGCAGTCCATGTCCATTGAAGGAGACGATGCGCTCGTGAAATGAACATATCTACGCAAGCGCATGAACCTTCTGCCCTTGGCAGATGATCTTTTAAAAAGTAGGGTCCATTGCTGAGCCACGAGGGTACCCTTTGGTGGTTTCTTTCAAGAGGACGGAGTCGAAAACGGATGAGAGACAAATGGACGATGGCGCCAGACGCCGAATCTATTTCCTGAAATGGTAAGATGGCGGGAAATTACCACGGCCACGCGAGCGTCGAAAATCGCGGAAAATTAGCACTTCAGTTGCTCTTTACATAGGAGAACCGACCCGTCATCTCCTCGTGTGGAGGCCGGCTTCGGTATGTCCAGTCCAAGTGCACTCCTTTCGAAACTTCCGGCAGAGACCCAAGACTACATTGTCTCATATCTCGCTGCCACCGATCTTGCCACTCTTTCTACTGTCAATTCAACTCTGAATGTCATTGCAAGACGAAGACTTTACCGCTCCATCACGATCTCCACAAATACACCGTTACATTCCGGCCCTTGTCGGTCCTTGTCGAGCTCGATCAAATGTCTTCTGGCCATTGCGCGTTCGGCAACTCACGCGCGCCATGTTCGTTCGCTCTTCATCGACCTCTCTTCTCCCGACCGTAGCATCCAAAGGCTATTCGACCCGGAAGACGGCTCCCCCCGGGCTAACTACATCCCCCTCGCCAATGTCTACACCTTGCTCGCGCGAGTGCTCCACGCAACAACCAACTTGACAACGCTCTCGATCACGCTATCGCTTCGCGGGATCAAGAATCGGCGCGGCTTGACATTGGCTGCGCCAACTTCTCTGGACAACGTCAGTAGCAAGCCGAGGGAGAGCATGTCTTTCTACGAGAAGATCCTTGACAATCCGTACACCATGCTTGAAGACTCGCCGTTTCGATTAACGACTTTCGAGACCAACTCGCCCATCGACAGCTCGTTGGCGCTGTTCTTGGCGTCGCAGCCAGCTATAACGGATCTGACGCTCCGATCGTGGTCACCGAGCGACGACTCATCGCGCGGGCTGATCCATCCATTTCTCTCCGCCGCCGTCGCGCAGACGCACACACAGGCGCTCGCAGTACGCCGCGACAAGTTCAAATTCGTCCTCCCGTCGTCCTCGCTCCCAAAGCTCCAGCAATTCCGCGCGATACACGGGACGCCTAGCTTGCTGAAGCAGTTCATCCCCGGTCGGCCAGTGCGTTCTGTATACATACCGCTGTATCCGCAGATGCCGTCTTCGGCGTGGCAGCCACTGCTCCCGCTCCCCGCATCAGTGTCTCAGCCATCGATATATCCCACTTTGGACGTGCTGCGCGAATCGACTACGCCGATAACCCGATTGACGGTGTTCAGCTTCGACGCAATGGCCTCCTTCGCTGCAGGCATTGCCAATGTCCTAAATGGCAACGCCACGAACGCTGGTCAAACCCCTGCAGAGTCCGCCACAGATCAGAAGGGTCCTAGTCTTGCGGAGGCGCTGCTCATGCAGATCGCTACGCTCGGGGACGAGCTGGAAACTCTGCAGGTTATCCTCATGATGACCCCCTGCCGCTTGGTTAGTCCCTACTCTACACTTCGGTCTCGTGTCGATTCTGATGCTTGCTGTCATTCAAGGGAGATCTCGAAGCTGCTGCTCCGCTTCTGGCCCGGTATAAACGCTTACACGTTCGTCGCCCTCTTTATCACATCCCTTATGTTGACTTCCCGACCACATATTCACATCTATAGGCGATAACATACATGGCCAACACAGACCCTTTCTTCTCCTCCACTCCTCCGGACGGCTCTGCGGACGCCCAATCTCAGAGCGAGAAGGACGAACAGCTGCAGCGCATCCGAGAAGCAGAATCCCGTGTTGTGAAGGCGTGGGGGTCACATTGCCCGTCACTTCGGACGGTCGTGCTTCCCCGGGGACAGGTGTGGTTCAAGAGGTCGTTCACGGTCCCAGGGACTCCACGGGCTGGGGACACATCGGCGGCCACGGGGGTAGGCGCGGGAAGCGGAGGAAGCGGAGGGATGCTTTGTCACGACGATGGATGCTCATGCGGGCATAGGGGCGGTGACTTTCGCGTGTCGACGTGGAGCTGTGACGAGTGATGGACATGGATCTTGTGGGGGCGAGGCGGACACGGACAAAGAAGAATCGCAACAAAATTTATGAGGACGTTGTAGTTTTATTGTCAAGCATCAGCTAAATTCTTGTAGATCTGATCGTCATTCTAAGACCCATTCGTGCCGTGTGTGTAGCAGCGGTTTTAGAAGGTGTAGCGGCTGGACGAGATTTTTGAATTAAAGACTATCACTATAACCTGAGGTTACTTCTGTGGATTATTTATAATTGTCCCGCCACCAAAGACTAATCTCAAGCTGGCGAGATGTTAACAACGAAAGCGGCAACATCCATATCAGACCAATATCGAAGTAGCCTGTAAACCAACCTCTATGGAGAGGATGTCAGTCGTCTTTTGCTCTGCCAAGGTTTCAATACCCAGGGTGTCCATGATTGACTCATTCCTGAGGTGATCGATTTCATGTTTGACATAGCTGCACGACACTCATCGTGGAGCCGCGGTCTATAGGCTGGGTACGACCATTGCTAGTGTACTTGTATAGTATCGGGATGATACAAGTGGTAGTCCACGGTAATACGTAAATAGCTAGCCTGAACTGAGTGGACGCTGGGAGCCTGTCAGGGTCCATGTGTACCTTAATGACATAAGATGTAAGTTCAGTGACGTCGCCCGAAGCCAGTACTTTGATAGTAGAAATTATTCTTCTACTTTTATAATCTGAAATAGAAACTGGAATTCAGTTTTTGAAAACTGCAAACCCACCAGAGAATGTGAAAGAAAAGTTGAAAGGTAGAAAATAGAAAATAGAACGCAAACTAGAAATGTGAAGGTCTATTGTCCCCCTCCGGGCCGTCTGGGACAATGATTGCAGTCACAGTGTGTCCACCGTGGTCATTGGCCCACCATCCACTGTGGTCTTTGGCCCACCATCCACTGTGGCTTGTGGCCACTACAGAAAATATATAAGAACGGCGGGTGTGGGGTATCACACCTTGGTCAACACCTCCCAACTCCGTCGCCATGCTTGATCTTTCCATCCTTCTGCCTAACAGGTCCCAATGCGGATATCTTGAAAAGGGGTGGGAAGAACATCACCGCTGCCATCTCTCTCTCTCCGTCCGGCGCTGCCAAGGGGTGCGAAATCCAGAACATCGGGGCCGGATATATCAGGCATGTGTCGGCCGAGACCACTTTTGCGGATGGCTGCCGAACTATGAGCTCCTTGAGGCCGACTATGGAGCAACTCTAGAGCCCACGTTCACCAGTCTCTTGAATAACCCTCTGACTCCCAATATCCCTCGCACCGGTACTTTGTCTACCCCTCAGTCAACACCTTCAGCATCAGGGACCATCACTTCCAACTTGGGCGTTAATCTTGAGGTTGATCTAGGTGATCTTGATCTGGCGCTTAACCGACACTCTTCTCCGGCTCCCACAGCTCTCACGGACCTGTCCCCACGCCCAAATGTGCCACGATGGATGCCCAATGGCAAAGGCGGCCTTAAGGAATCGTGCAATGGCCCCCGCTGTCAAAAGTTAGGCAAGGCTGTTCGATTCTGTAGCTCATGCATCAATAAATACTGCCAGAAATGCTGCCACCTACACCAACAACAAAGTAGCAAGATATGTCCAGTTCACAAAATCCCCATTGCATCACCACCCAAGCCGCCAAGTGCTGCCGCCGAGCCTCCCACTACGATCACTCCGGTGAAACTCTCTGTCATGCGCGAGCCGCACTATCAAGCTCTGTCACACGCCCAGGCTCAGCAAAAGCAAGATACCTCACGCTTGATGGATCAGAAGCGAGCCGAGCAGGCTATGGCCCGCACCATCACTGTTTATATATGGAAGGTATGTGCTCGCATTTTCTACGCACCCCTGGTTTCTCATCATGTACAGGATCCGGCGAAGCCTCTCGTTGTCAAGACAGAGGCATACAATTATCCAACATTTGCACTTGATGATTGCAGCTCAACTGTCAAGCGACTCCTTGCGCTTGATCAGCAGGTATATGAGTTGTTCGTTCCCAAGGATAGCAATTGGGTAATTATTGATTCGGCCTCTGTTCGATGTGACATCCGCGATCGCGACAAGATCCTGTATAGGGTCTTTGGGGTTGAAACAGGTGATAGTATGGCCGAACAGGTCAACGATCTTTCCGCCGCCAAGCCATTTAGAGGTTTGGCCACTCCAATGTGCACACCATCCCGCAAACATGCCGCAGAGTCTACTCCGGAACCGGGACGTCGCGTGAAACCAAGACTTGACGAGCGGTCACACTTTAGGGCACCTGCGACACCGACACAGAAACCTTCCACAAATTCGGAGACATCTTTATTTTCTTTCGGTGCTACTGACAACGATGATGACGATGTTTTCGCAATACGGCCCCCAGCTGCGGTATTGTTTACCCCCAAAACACTACCCAACCCTGTCTCTGAAGCCCGGAAACCTACGCCGACCAACTCGACCAACACCGCCAATCTCACCCTGGCCCCAAGTTCTGGCCATTCAAACTGGCCGTTGAAAGACTTCAAGATCATGGCCCATGGCTTCACCCAATACGAATCCATCGCTAATTTAACTCACGATGAGAAGTTTCCAAAGGTCTGGCCTCACATCACAAAGAAACCCGCTACCGGTACTTGGAACACAAACTACGCTGCTTGGGTCCACTCCTCGGATATTCTGAGGTCAAAATACTTAGCACAAGAGGATAGTTTGTGGAAAACCTTTCGTCACGATGTGAAAGAGGCTTTTAGTGGCACTATTCCTGGTCTGAGAGTTCCACGGCAAGTGATTATAGTAGAATAGTTATGATTATCCTGTAGGCTACAAGGTCCACATGTGTATACAGTATGTGTTTACGAGAATACATGGTTATCTGCTGTAGAAAACGACCATAATTTGTGTCTGTACTCCGCGATAAGTTGCTGACGGAGATGGAACCACCGGTCCCCGGTGCGATGGTATTTGCCGCGTCGGTGATTGGGAGTAATGTCGATGTGGCGGCGACGTTTGCTCATAATCGAGTAATCGACAGAGCGCATAGGCCTGGATTGTCGTAGGGAGTGAACAGAGTGGCGAGAAACGATGGTACCGATGGGGAGCAATGGGGAGACCTTCAAGTTGCTGATTTGTTGTTTTCCAGACGATGTGAGCGACACTGAGGGCTGCACCTGCGCAAGCTGCTCAAAGATCTCCCGCACCCCCTACCCCGTCTTCGCAGACGTGTAGCACAGCTTCGGGCCGTGCAATGGACCCGGGGGATGTGTGGAGGGACGGCCAAGCGACGTGTTATTCTGCGTCGTCGTCGCGCGCTGGCCCCGCGCAAACATGTTCGGCGTGATCGTCGTGCCGCTGTCTGAGCTGGCGTTCGACGGGGAGAACGCCATGTTCATCCTTGATCGCGTGGAGTTGGGGCTCGTCGCGTGCAGCGGAAGGGTTACAGCTGCCTTGTCGTCTCTTCCTCACACTGCCTACAGCGGATCCTCTCCGGTGAGTCTCATCATGGGCATTACTATCCTGAGACATGTACTCACCTTTTACCACTAGCTCTCCTGCCTCCTCCTCCTCGTTGATATCTATGGGCGTTGCAGTGGGTGACAAGGCTGTATCGACAACTCGTCGAGCTTGTGCGCTCATCCACCGGTTGGCGAGCATTGTAAGCGTTGGGGATCTTGGCATTTGAGTGCGAAGTGCGGAGTGTACGCTGAGTGAGTGAGTGAGAGAGGCTGAGAGCAGAGAGATGAGACGGCGCAACCGTCAACGGGATCATGTGACGTGGTGGTATATTTAGTACCGAGAAAGTACCCTGGACTTCCACCCTTCAGTCAGTACCCCAGACGCTCGGCCTCTGCAGTGGGAGCACCCGTCGTAACTGGGCGAAAGCTTGGGTGGATTCTTCTTCTCTGAACCCTTCGTCCTTCTACAGTCTCTAGTCTCAGCACTCCATACTCTGAGCTCAGCTGTCATCTCAAACGCGCTGTCTCTCACGTTGTTGTGAGTCCAGCGTCTTTCACATCTCGTACCCCGAAATACTTAAACTCCGAGAGATTAGGACCACACGAAGGCTGTCACACTGACCTTGCCTGGACTCGCCGGTGAAGAACACGCCTGTGACGTGCAACTGTCAGAACGGCGTCTGCGGTGCGAAAGGCGATTGTGCGGAAGGCGGACAACGGTACTGCGTGCGCGATTTAACGCGAGAACCGTTTAACACGAGAACGAGCGGAAACACCGCAGACTCTCGCTCACATATGCCATGCAGTGATGTTTTCAGTCTACGGACGTCCGGCAACCAGGACTTTTTGTCCATGACTTGTCCGTCGCTGTGCATGACAACGAACTATGTTGACAGCGAACGGGTGGGGTGTCGAGCACAGAGGTAGGCCAAGCTGTCACTACGACCGTGTAATTTGCTCAGCCTCATGTACAGGGATCGCCGACAATGTCCGCCGCTCGTCCAATACGGGTTTCACGCCCCGTGAGCTCGGTGATGTTCTGGATCAACGTAAGCGGCCTGGGATGTTGTCGAGCATGCTCTCAAGACACCGATTAAACTCACCCCAATACCTCCCTCAGACGTGCACTCCAACGCGCATTGCGCCACCGTCGACATTGATGCCTCGAGTGGCCGGGATACGATGTCAGCATCGTCAGGTGCATCGTTGCTGGCGTCACTTGCTAACGCCAGCGAGATGGCGGTGGACGTTCAATTCGTGCACGACGAGTCAACGGTCGAGATGTGCCGTGGACAACTCCGGGAGACTGAACGACGGGAATTCCAAGCGCACGACGAGGGTTGTCCTGAGCGCAAGTGCAAGATGCCACTGAGTGAGACTGTCAGTTGTGAGTGAATGGATTTGTGCCCGCAGACCGAGTGAACCCGCGACTGATTGAGTTCCAATGACAGAAACAGAAGGACGGACCGTCCACCGACCACCGACTCGTACACGCAGCAACACATCTAGACAAAGCAATGTGCAGTATATGAGAGGGGACACGGCAATTGGCAAAATACATTCTTTCAATCTATGCTACTACATATTGAGGAATACAATATGGCACCTTGCCTTCATTTCGGAGTCGACGTATCAGCAGTTGGTTGCGACGTTTGATCATTTCATCCAGGAAGAACTCGTAGCGATGTGGGAGCATCTCACGAACAATCGCAATATAACCTCCCATCCATACATTGGTTTGTTCAGCAACTGACGAATTGAATTTCCAGCTGCCATCATCATTAACCAATTCCGGCCATTGTGCTGGGTTACAGTGTCGCTGGCAGAAGTCGTCGGAGAGTTTGTGCTTGCTCGAAAAATGGAATACATCAACTGGAAGCAAGGTGCCTTGGAAGTAAGTATCACGTTGCTTTTGAAGATGAGCTTGTAGGCTACAGTTGTTGTCGAAGAAGATAACATCTGGTAGATCTTGTGGCATCTGGTAGATAGACTTCAAGGCATCCTTAAGAGATGTGTCAATTGCCCACTCCTCAATCGGACAACACGGCAAGTACCTTCACACCAGAAATGGCCTCAGCACCAAACATAGTTGCTCGGCCTGTGATCACTCCACAGCAAGCTACTACAAGCTGCTCATTGTGAGTTCGACGACGCCCAAACCGTGCCTTCACTGTCTGATTGCCGGCATCGGACTTGTGGACTGGATCCATGGGAAGGTCTTGACCGTCTGCGATTGTCTCCGTATCTAGTGGCGCCACGGAGTCTTCAAGATGTGCTATATTATGCCGCTCGAGTCGCTTTCGCAACTGAAAGAAGCCTTTTCCTTTGGCCTTGTGATGACTCTCTGCTTGTCGGTGTGCAGGCTCGGAGCAAGTCTGGAATGTTTGTTCAGCAGGTCGGTCGCAATCAACGAAGACACACTGCTGTTTAAGTTTCTCGTGAAACTTGCAAAAATGGGCTCGATTGGTGGGTAAGGGTTGTGTGCAGTTATGAACCTTGCAACATGGCCGACCAAGAGTGATACCGTCTGTAACAACAGCACGGAAGGAGTCTAATTAATTAGAATGCATCAGCCCTGTGAAGTGTAACACATAGAATTGAAGTATACATGGTCTCATGTTATCACCTCTTGAAAGAGGCTTCTCACAGGTCATACAAGCATGCATCCGTTGTGGTTGGCCATGAATAATATACTCATCGTTGCGGGCCTCCATCACTTCCTTGAGTCTGGTGTCATTGTCTGTATTGGCGCGCAACACGAGTGGTCAATGTTGTTCGGCCGATTCGCGATGAAGTGCATTATATGTGAAAGCCCTTGAGACTTGTTCCGATGTAAGGACCAACGAAGAAGGTGGGTTGCCATCAGCCACTCCTGATAGTGCCGTGTTGAATATGTGGCTACAATTCTGCGATGATACCCATGCAAAGAGCATGCAAAAGGTAAATAGTTCGCACAGATCGGCTGAGACAAGGGCATGCTCCTCGATTTGAATGATCTCTGGTACTTGCGGTGAGTAGTAGTGATGCATGGAGCCATGTGTGTAGTATGTTGGATAGAATCTAGCCGTACATGCTAATGAATATGCATTAGGATAGTGGTACACGTGTAGGGATGGATCTACCTTGACAACCAATTGAAGTCATGTATGCGTGCTGACTGCCATGGCGTACCGAGAAGTAGGTGACACGATACCGCGAGAGTTTTGAGTACTTGAGGGGCATCTTACAGAGCGTACACGATGATACTGGTGGGTAAAACATGAAGGCCGCTTCAAGAGCTCAGCGCATTTATTAGCTGAATTAATCAGAATTTCAAAGACACATACCTAGTTGTTCTCGACCTGGGAGTTCTGGTGCATCACCATATTTGCTAATGAGCTGGATGTCTTGCTCGCACAGTGGCATTGAAATATCCAAGTCCCAAATAGTGTCCTTGAATACTGACCATAGGAGCACTACATGTGCCTCAGGAAACCCGATAATAAGCATCAAGAGGCGTTGGATATAGAGTGGCAGAAACGAAGGAGGCGCAAGAGAACCATGGGGAATGTGCAGCGCGATCTCGGACTTGATGTGGTGCGTGATTTGTATGAAACGGAGGACATCGATGATCGTCATGGAGTCGAGAAGGCACTCGCTACTGCTGAGTGTTTGCATGCGCGCCAACAATGAGCTTAGTGAGTGCATGCTGGAGGGGAGAATGCCAATGGGCGATGGGGAGTCGCAGTATGAGAACACCCTCTTTATATGTCTGCCGTTCAGTGGCCCGCGCATATGCCACACATTGTTCCACTTGCTCATTGGGGCCACCCGTTGTTGTGCCAGGCCATTTTACCCACCGATTGGTGACCTATATGGCCATCATCTATTGTTCTATGTGGATCAAACGTCAATAAAGGCCATTTTCTACTTTATTTCAACTATTCTATTTTCTCTAAACCAAAATAAACTGCGAGACCCTGACTTTCACTTTTCGTGTGGCGTTTCTATTTCTATTTCTATTTCTACCTTTTATCTGCAAGAATAATTTATGGTGTCGATGTCCTCCCCGAAGCCAAGCCTCTAAAGGGCTCGGCACTGGGCAGGCAGGGGAAATATCCTTTGTTGACGCGATTGCGTCTATGGGGGGCTTAATGTCGTGGAGGTGGTCCCCGCCCCATTGATTCAGTGTCGGGCGCTTAAAACAACGCATGCCGTTGACCTATGTCCAGATAACAAAGCAACGCCGAGTTTGGCAAATTTCGGGGCTCCACACTAGGCAGCCATGTGGAGCTCCAGGTGCTGGAAGACATGCTGCAGGAGCGTCCGCTCGTGCCCGTCAGACCACTCGAACGTGACATAGAACAAGCCTGTATCCACCAGCTGCGAGAACGCAACGTCCAGCTTCGTGAGCTCGAGTGGACCGTCAATTCGAGTGTCCCCTTCGTCTGTAGTGTATACGATGTTCACCGTGATGCGCTCCAGGTTCAGGCGCTCGTGAATCTGCTGCAGGGCTGCAGACATTGCTACGTAGTCCTCGAGCTCGGGGGAATGGTGTGGCCCTAGCGAACGGGGATAGGTGTTGATTTTGACGGTAAGATATCGGAGGAGATCAGGAAATGGGATGTGATGATCAATGCAGTCCTCCACCCATTCCATGACTTCGAGGTATGTGGCGATTGAATATCCCTGATTGGTTATATCAATGGTGAGCCGAGAGGGACGGATGGACGACCCCAGGCCTGGCATCCACGTCCCAGGCTCCACTGGATGCCCAAGTGAGGCAACGAATCATAGAGACCTCACCGCAGTAGGCGTACCTTGCAACACAAGCTCTGATAACCCAGCCGGAATCCACGATGGAATATCCCAAGGTCCCGCATGAGTACGAGTGATTTCCAAGCGCTCGAGGTTCGGGCATTGTAAGAGCTCTGTCGTGGGCAGCGGGGCGCTCCCAATCCATTCAAAGAGCCGCAGAATCCGAAGGGATTCCAAACATACGGTTGACAATACTGTTCCTCCACCAAGTACCGTTCCCCCATCATCCGCTATCGTGCCGTGATCATAAGCAGTCTTCTGGATGAATAGATCCTCGAGGCTGCCCGAACAGCACGAAAGGATGCGCAGTAAATCGGAGGCATCCTCCAGGAAGCTCCAGCTTTCTAGGTAAAGAGCTTTGAGCGGGACGGCGGCTATCAGAGACAAGATACCCAAGGCGAACGGCGCCGGGACCATTGGCGGAGGAGCAGCACGGTAATTCTTGAGCCGTAAAGCGCGCAGGCCGTGGAGTCGGAGGAGGCAGCCCGGGATCCATTCGGGGGTATCGAGGATGCAGTCGTCCCATTGGAGGGTGAGTTCGACGATATGCTTGCTGAGGTGGGGGGCGGTGAAGTTCAGGAATTCCAACCGTGTGTAGAAGTTCTGCGCGCGTACGACGACGGTGTGGACGGTGTACGGACGGAAAATGTCATTCCATACGTGGCAGACGAGGGAGCATTCGAGGAGGGTAGGAAAATCGCTGGCATCGCGAAGGATGCCGGCCATCTGGCGGACCATCTCGTTCGGAAGTTGCTTCATATTTGGGCCACCGACACGTTTGCCTTTACGCCTGAGGCCTGAAGGTTTAGTACTTAGCTTGCAAGTTGAGGCCTCAGATCGAGGATATTTACCTTGGGTGTGAGCGAAAAATGGGGTGACGGTAGGAAGAAACCTGGAAGCGACCGCATGTTTTACAAATTCCCAGCCCCATGCATCGTCACGATCCCCTCAGGCTACGAGGCGTGGTTCCCAATAATTCCTTCGTATTTCACTTATGAGTCGAAGCAAAGTCATAAGATATGAGTAGCTAGAACTCAGTGTGCAACCGTTAGATTTCTGCAGCAAAAAATAGCGATGTAACTGCGCTCCTTATTTAATACTTAGATTTTTCTTACTTCCAGGTCGGTAAGTATTTCAGAGGTTTTCGGTGTTCGAAGCCTGATGTGGACGCTTTGGCGCCGTCTCCGTACAATCAGGGGGCAATCCACGGCCGCGTTGTGGACGCCATCCGAACACGCAGCCAGCTGCCCAACTTAGACGAGTCGCGTGTGGGTATAGCTTGACGGTCTGAGCAATAACTATTAGTATACAGTCAGCATCCGCGATTCCCAAATCAGAACCATCAAAGGGCCTACCACATATTCATAGTCGGGATTCGGTATTTCCACGGGCCGCTTATTTTTTCGACGGTCCTCGTAACGGAAAGAATTTAGCCATGGACCGTAAGACAATCGAGCAGGTCTTCATAACTGACCCCACGAAGAGCGCCCAGGTTATGGTCTTGTCACGCTGGTTTGTGTCACGCGCAGTTCCAACGCAGTTCACGACTTCGAATTCCTTGGCTGCAGAAAAGCGGGAAAAGGGCCTCTTCATAGAGCCGCTTCGAAGATGAGGCAGCTCAGAGCCACTCTGCGTGAAATCGGTCTCGGAATCGATAGAATTTTCTTCTTACTTGTAGATATCGCGAATAGTACTCACCAGGGCCGACCAAGGAGTACGAGATCCCGCGAATCAGCGACGCTGTCCACGAAGAGTCAAACATCTCGCATCTCACTTCGGGTTTCTCTTGGGATATCGTTCTACATTTATCCGAGTCTTCTATTCCTGTCATGCGGTCATTCCGTACATTTACACCCCACGAGAATTCATTTTAGACCTACCATTCCACGTCCATTGAATTTGGCTCAAAACGTCGACGCTGTCATCCCACCATCCATAACAATGATCTATATTCGTCCATGAACAGGAGGCCTTTCATTGAGCCATTGCAAACTTGCCTTGTTCGTCATGTATGCGTTCGACACCAGCGTCTCCACACACGAGGCCACATCCTCCGGCACCCCAAATCGATCAACGGGAATCAATCTCTGATCGCGGACTCGTCACGTCAGACTTCGGGGTCATGTGAAAAGCCGTACCCGATAATCCTCAGCAGGATTTGCAAGCATCTCAGTTCCTAGATGTAAATCCCTTACAGTATATATACAGAGCAATGCAAGGGGGCATACCAGTGATAAGAGCAGGAGCGACGGCATTGCACGTCTGCAGTTCGTTGTGAGATATCTGATGGTGAAGGACGGTAGACGGCATGGACGTACGACACCATCCTTTGCATATCGGGAAGCAACCCAATGCATTAATCCGTGAAGAGCCGACTTAGATGAGGCATAATGAGGGCTGACGCCTCCCAGTACTAAGGGTTAAGGGAGGATCAAATCAATTACGACATTCCATGGCATCCGAGTACTTGCCTGCTGCAACGCTAAACACATCAGGGGAGTCAGAACGTATGTACACCCATGCAAGTAGCATCCGAATCCCATGCGTACCTGGAACAAAAGATCACCCGTCCAAATCCCTGATGCGACATGTGTGGCACGCATAATTGAGTTAGCTGCGTGAGCGATAACGATAAGGAATATTCAGGGGTAATCAACGGAACGAATTATGATGATCGACGGACCAGAAATGCCTGTGCCGTGTTGGTCCTCCAGGTATGTTCAAACGCCTCGAGACTCATATCCTCCATGTTACTTCTGGCTCCGATGCTGGCCCCGGGGCCGGTAATTCCAGCGTTGTTGAACAGGATGTCAGGGTGGCCCATCTGGGCTACAACCTCGGCGTGGAGCCTTCTAACATCGTCCATCTTGCTGAGATCTGCTTGGAAGACTTCAACGTGAATGTGAGCATTGACAGTCTTCAATTCATCTGCTAGCGCTGTGGCCTTTTCCTTGGCGGAATGATAGTGAATTGGGATAGAGCACCCGAGGCGAGCAAGGGCGAGGGAGGTAGCGCGGCCAATCCCTCCGCTAATCACGGTGATCCTGAACGCCAGTATCGAACAAATCGAGCCTGGGCTTACGTGCAGCCTGTAATGAGCGCAAGCCTTCCGTTCAGTATTTCAGTTGACATCGTCAAAGTCAAATGGAAAAGGTATGTAAGTAAGAAGCGCAGAGTTTTGAATTTACGCCCTCCATAGCACGTGAGCTACAAAATCGTCTAGGAGGACCCCTTTATTACTCCTTTTTGCAGTTGTTTGAAGCGCAGTGGTTCAGAGTTGCTGCTCAAAGGTGCTTGAATTGCGCATTCTAGGTACCCAACTACGGACACTATCCAGTGATCCTTCTCGTGGCGAGGGGGACGCACCTATGTGGATGCCGACGGCGTTTGGGCACCATGTCCCTCACATTCTTGATATCGATGTAGAACTGCGCTGGAAACTATTTATGAGGTCCTTGGAGAGGTGAGGGTAGGAGACTCGCCGTCTATGGAACGAGCAACTCTGTGGGTCTTTTTGTGGCTCCAGCGGATGGGCAAACGTGGGGCGAAAAATGAAAAAAGGTCTAGAGTCGTCACGTGCCCCCTGTACTCCCTGTACGGATTCGCAATGCGGCTCAAAATCCAGATTCTGCTCAGGTCACTTTTTCGCGATGGCCAGTGAGGGTTTTTAAAGCTCTGCTCGGGTCTCAAGGTAACATCTTGTTGACATATCATCTAAGCAATCAAGTAACAGCAGCTGATTCTGCCACTGTGTTGCACTTGCAACGCTTTCACTGATGAATTCTTATCGTCGGCAGCGGCGTGATTTGGGCGTGATGGGCAATATTCCGTTCTTTTGCGAACCACGCTTATTGCCGGTCATTGCTGGGAGCGCATGGATGTGGCAACGGGAACATCCCACAGTCACTGCCGAGCAATGTACCAGGAGTGGCAAAAGTTTTGAGGTTTTCAATCTGGTTTCGGCATACAAAACATTCTTGCCTTCCGGGCACGATATATTATGTTTGGAAATTCTTTGGAGATAACTGGTGGGCGAGCGAGGTGTCAGTCATGGTGTACCGCGTGTAGCACCCAGCCATATCCGGACTCATACTCCGACCGCGACCCTGCGGGCTCGGTTGATTGATGTAAACTGACAGGCCATAAATAAATAACATATGGAGTCCTCTATCTCGCCCAGTCCCCCTCTCCCAGTCGTCCATAGCTGTCGCACTTCAGCGAAGTGAAAATGGTCAACTTCTTCGACCTTCTCAACGCCCACGTACGTTTTGCGCCCCTCGAGATCGATGCTGAAGCTGAACCACATTTGCGTACTAGGTGGCGGACTCCTTCGTTGGAAGATGGTTTCATTTGGAGGGTTCAGGTCACCCTAAAGAACGTGTTGGGTCCAGATTTTTGGTAGGTCATCGATATGGCGATCACAGGATGACCGAGAGCTGAGAGATTTGTCGTGTGCAGACCGAACTTCGTGCCGGAGTAACCACTTGGGCCTCTATGGCTTATATTGTGAGCGCAGATTAACCTTGCATTCAATGGACGCTAACTCGCAATTAGATCTCGGTCAATGCTGCAATCCTGTCAGATTCAGGGGGCACTTGCGAATGCAACCTTCCTGATCTCTGTGTGACCGACGAGACATATCTTTCCTGTGTGGCCGAAGTGCGCTTGGACCTGATCACGACTACGGCCGCTATCGCGGCACTGTCATCTTTCCTCATGGGCTTATTGGCAAATCTTCCAGTGGGGATGGCGCCTGGATTGGGTCTCAATGCCTACGTGAGTGGGTTTGTGGCGCCCAGACTCCCCTGGCGCTCCGAAGCTGATATCGCACCAATCATTTAACAGTTCGCCTACTCCGTCGTTGGCTTTCACGGAGGTGGTATCATCACTTACAAAGAAGCGCTTTCAGCCGTGTTCTTGGAGGGGTACATTGTCATTAATCTCCACTTCAATTAGTTTGCTAACCATTCACGGCCTTTAGTTGGATTTTCTTCTTCCTATCGCTTATTGGGTTGCGACAATGGCTTGTCCGCATAATGCCTCAATCCCTTGTACTCGCCGTCGGCGCTGGAATTGGTCTTTTTATTGCGTGAGTTCGTTGTAAGGATCGCATGTGATATCTGTGCTGACTGCTTGTAGTTTTATTGGTCTATCTTCTAGTGGACTAAGTGTTATCGGAGGAGACACAACGAACTTCGTCGGGCTCGGAGGCTGCAAACCTGAAGGTTTCTATTGCTTTGTTTAACCTCCGCGCCAATCCGCTCACGATTCACCAGATTTCTTGCCTGATCTTCCTAACTATTGCGCCGCCGGTCCCCTCCAGAGTCCCACAATGTGGCTAGGTATATTCGTCGGAGGGTAAGTCTCTTGTTCGCCATGGCTCTGCCTTGACTGAGTTCCCATAGCATCTTTACGGTTCTCCTCATGATGTACCGAATTCGTGGCGCTATCCTGATTGGCATCTTTTTGACTGCCATCATCTCCTGGCCGCGCCCTACTGTTGTTACATACTTCCCCCATACCCCTGCCGGTGACGCGCTGTTCGACTACTTCAAAAAGGTCGTCACCTGGCACCCGATCACCCGGACATTGAATGTCCTTGACGTGAGTGTCCCCTCAATCAAAACAAAGGGCAGCTAATCAACAGCTCTCTAGTTCAACTATGGGTTAGTCTCCTGCCACTAACCTGCATGGCAGAAATTGATGTTTCGCGCTTTCCCTTAGCAACGGCCAGGTTTGGTATGCACTCGTTACATTCCTTTATGTTGACATTCTCGGTATTCTATTTTCCACTGTCGTACCGGCTGCACTACTCACACCCACGCTTTCGTAGATACAACCGGTACCCTGTACTCCATGGCCAAATTCGCTGGCCTCCGCGATCCTGTCACGCTGGACTTCGAAAACTCCACGATCGCTTACTGTGTGGACGCCTTCTGTATCAGCATCGGCTCCCTTTTGGGAACCAGTCCCGTCACCGCATTCATCGAGAGTGCCACTGGTATCAGCGGTCAGTATCATTCCTTATCGTTCTCCCGTCCATGTTCCCTTTATTCGTGTTCATCGTCGATTTATTTCTGATTATCATGTACAGACGGCGGCAAGACAGGATTAACTGCCATGATGACTGGTATCATGTTCTTTATCTCCGTCTTCTTCGCGCCAATCTTTGCGTCCATCCCGCCATGGGCGACAGGTGGTGCATTGGTGATTGTCGGTTCTCTGATGATTCGCAAGTGAGTGATTGTTGTCTTTATTCTGCGATGCATGATCCTGATATGTTTTATGTTAGTGTGCGAGAGATTAACTGGGATTACTACGGCGATGCGGTTCCTGCCTTCCTGACTTTGATTGTCATCCCCTTGACTTACAAGTGAGTATACACGGGTGCCAAAAGGCTATCAGCGTCTGACGAGCTTATAGCATTGCATATGGTGTCATTGCTGGCATCCTGTCTTACATAGTTCTCAACGGCATTCCGTTAGCCCTCAAGAAGATCTCCGGTGGTCGTATTGTTCCCCCTAACTACGATACCGCAGAAGAGTGGTCTCCTCCCACTGGCTCGCTCATTCCAATCTGGATCTTGAAGATAATGGGTCGCGAACCCCCCAGATACGACGACGATGTTGTCATGGAAGAACACCCTGGACAACAACGAAATTCGTCGGCGACCTCCTCCGCTGATCAACATAACGAGCCAAAGAGCCGCAGCATGCTCGAGCTAGAGAAGGACCCTAGGGTCATATAAACTCCTCCTCTCCATTTCACATTCGTTCGGGACTTCGACCCATCACTTGTTGTTTGTAATTACATTACTACACCCTTCGTTGCTACTCCGTTATGTATTTCACTCCTTGGTTGTTGTTGTTAAACCAGTATCAGTTGGTCTTACATTGTGCTGCGTACTCTAGGTCGTATATGTAGGTCCCTTTTTGCTGTAGATGTATTATTATCATTATTTTTACCTCGCAAGATTCGCCTCAAGACCGGCAAGTATCACTCTTCAAGTGCTGACCTACATCCTCTCCGCAGAATGACTGAAATGGAACATCCTTTTCCTGGGATATCGAACTAAGTGGGAAATCCTATTCGACCCTCTTGAGAGTCAACTAGTGCCTATTGATGCTGTCAATCAATTTCTTTACGTTGCCACATACTACCTATAGAGGTGTCGATTGAACAGTCCCAGCCTATATCTTCTACTCCCACATCTCACCGTAGGGTGAGCTGCATTGTTCTGCGTGATCTTTGCCTGTCAATGTCAAGTCACCACGAAGCGACCGTTACCGAAAACGTCGAATGCATGATAGTGTTCGAGGAATAGATTCTAGAGTTGAATACAGCGTTTCCCTGGTTGATTACGATCTTTGGAAGGTTGGGTACCGGGTCATACATTATGTTTTTAGATTGTAGAGTAACGAGTTTTGGTTGCATGTATCGTCGCGACGTATAAATAGATGCCAAATGTACACAAAAAGTGATTAAATTAGAAGGTCCGTATGATAGGAATGCCCCAGGGAAATGCAAATGAGAAATGGTGTTATAGGTTCCAAGTACCTTTAATGAGGTCCGCCCCACGCTCTGCAATCACATATGTTGGCGCCATCGTGTGCATGCTGGGGTTGTAAGGCTGTCATACAGATGTGAGGGCGATACAAATGCGTCTAACAAGAAGACTCACGAAGACAGACGCGTCGACAATTCGGACGCCCTTGATTCCTCCCTTCATCTTCAGGTCCGGGTCCACAACACCCCATTGTGCCCCCTTGGGTGACATGCTGGCCGTCCCCACCGGGTGCGCAGTAGTCCCGCTGTTGCTCCTGACGTACTCCTCAATCTCCTCGTCAGTCTCAGCCGTGGCCAGAGTTCCCAAGGCTTCCACTACGTAATTTTGGAACACGGGCGCTGAGACAAAGCGTTTAGCAGCCTTGACGGCTTCACGCATGGCCTTGATGTCCCAATCGGTGGTGTAGAATGCTGGATCAATGAGGGGTGCACGGAAGGCGTTGAAGCCACCGGTAGTGTCAAGCGTGACAGAGCCGCCTGAACAAGTATTAGTCGAGGCTTATCAATGAGAAAGGAGGTACGTACGGGATGTAGCCGAAACTAGGTTGGTTGATATAGTCAACCATCTGCCCGGAGGTGGTGCGGGTGAGACGAAACCGTTCTACGGAGGCATATCAGTAAAGCGACAGAAGTACCACATATCAGACATACACCAATAGCCAATTCCAGATGAGGCGTATTGGGTCCTGCTGCAGTATCCACACCCGCAGGGAGCCCAAGATTCGTTCGCTCGGTCTCGTTCAGCCTGAAGAACACAACTTCCCCAATGGGAGTGACAACGAGAGGACCTGTGCCGTCTTCATTCCATTCGTCCATAGCATCGTCCAGCACATTCTGCTCTTGGAATACCGGATCAAACGTATCTGCATCGGCCCTGACATTCCAAAGGCACCCCGTCGTGGGCTGATCAGTCAGGTTCCTGCCAACACTAGGCAAATTCACCAGCGGCGGGATCCCAACCGACGACAAGTAACTCGAGTCCCCGATACCGGAGTTGAGCAGAATCTGAGGCGTGCCGATGACACCCGCCGCGAGCAGGACCTCCTTTGTCGCGCTGACTGAGCGCAGCGGACCGTTGTTGATATCTTGGGTGTACTCGACTCCCTGGAAGGTCGACCCGGCACCGGTTTGGAGAATGCGGGACACGCGAGCATTGACGAGGACATGGAGGTTGGGTCGGCTGATGAATTGGGGACCAAGGTAGGATGTTGCTGCACTGCTGCGATGCGACCCATTGATTGCAGCTTGTAGCCATCCCAAGCCAAGAGGGGTACCGTCATTGTAATCGAGTTTGAAATCGAAGATCCCGCCGAGTTCCTGTCCGGCTTGGAACACCAATGGGTCGAGGGCTTGGTGGTGGCCAGAGAGACTGTACGAGTTGATGCCCGTCGTGCTATGGACGGACGGGTCATATTGACCGGTGGTGTCGTGTCCGTCAGCTGGGGGGGTCCATTTTTCGTTCTGGATAGAAGGCATCAGGTGAATATTGCCGTGATAGTGGTAGAAAGACTGACCTTTGCGAAGTAGGTTTGAACATTGTTCCATGACCAGCCAGAGTCGCCGGTGACCTCCGCATAGCGATCGAAGTCATCGGAAGATCCTCGGGTGTAGAACATCCCATCTACAAGCATGTTAGTTTGGTAGAAATGATATGTGATGGTTTACTCACTGATGGAACTGCTGCCGCCCAGCACGAACCCTCTGGCGAAGGGAACCTCGGCGTTGTGCATTCCGACTTGTGGCGTGGTCGTCTATCATGTCCACGTCAGATCGGTCAGGGGAAGATATTACAGATGTAGCGCACATAGTTCCATGTGTATTGGGCGGGGATTCGTGTCACAAAGAATGGGACCTTGGTTTCAAACGCATCCTCATTTCTGTGAGACCAACCCGTGAGCAAAGGCAGGGTATATGGCACATTGATATGGTCTTACGAAGGACCCCCTTCGAGGACGAGTACGTTTGTCGATGGATTTTCCGTCAGGCGGTTGGCGAGGACGCTGCCGCCCACACCACCTGGGTACATAATCAGTATTTGTGTGGACCATCATCGGGACTGTCACTTACCGCCAACGACGATAAAATCGTAGGAAACGTTTGGTAAATCGGCCGCATTCTTGTACAAGGCAGCCGAGGCTGCGAGAGGAAGAGAAAGAAGCGAGAGGACAAGAGATATGTGAGCTGCAAGAGACTGGAACTTCATTGTTGGGTTGATTATTACTGGTGATTGGGTAGAGGTAGCAACGATGAGGAGATGGTAGGATGATGTTCAAGGCTCCTGTCAAGCTGCTTTAAATACCACTCGGAGGAACATCCTGTTACATTCGTGGACTGAGACAACGACGAGACCCACACTTGCGCGTGCATTTGCTGAATTGTTGTACCCACCAGCGAGCGTCTGAGGTGGGTTTCAGAGGCCACCGACGGTCCAGGAAACAGGTACGCGATGTAAGATCCTCCGAAAAGCTCGCCCAACATCCTGTCGAAGTAACATCGCATTAGCCAACATAGTTCCTTCCCGACCGCTTCGAACACTGACGAGAATTCCGTCCGTTGTCTAGGATATAGCCGGAGAGTGCACTTGCACCAAGACCTTGCACAAGTTGCCAATTGGCGACTTATATTATATCTTCAATGGGCCAACGAGAGTGCTTAATAGACTTCGTTTTCGGTGCCTTGCAAATGATAAAAATCACAACAAGCGTCGATTCCTGTGCACAGATGGTTGTCACCTCTATATGGCGAACCGACGATCCTGAAAGCACATTTCAGGAACTCCGACTTGGATGAATTTGAGGATGCCTGCATACTGGAGTCAATGATGCATGCCACCTTAATCCCTAATGCCGGAAGTTAGAAAGTGAAGGAACAACAGCTTGAATGGCGGGGACCTTCCTGATTTGCTGTCCTTTGCATAACGAGTCACGAAGTTCAGGAATAGTCGTCGATGTATATATATATATATGTGTGTTGACAGTCGTTGAAGGTGGCCGCATTTGTGGAGAAGATGGACTCCGGTTCAACTCCGATTTTGGCGATTGGACGATCCGTCACGCGTCACGCCACAAACCCAGGAGCTCAGTGAGACTCCAAGTCACCAAGACCAGTTGCCTCAGGTAATGTCGCCCTGTTCTCTCAAATAACAGGGCACGAATACTGAAACCAATTCATCACTCTTATCTCTTCGTACTATCCCAAATACCAGCTCGTTGTCGAAATTTATGGCCCAAGGAAGGCTGTCGACCATCTTCGTCTATTAAAATTGCGAACAGAATAATCACTAAGGACTCCTCACCCCAGCGGCCATACTAGGCATAACTAAGATGATAACAAGGCACCTGGACGAGTGCAGTTGAGGAGGCTAACCGTCCTTGGAATCATTCCAGCCGTCGGGCACCTGGATTCTGGGGATGGTCACATTGACAGCGCACCGATGCTGCACTCCTCGTCTTTGACTACTACCACCGTTTCATTATGGCGGTATTCCTCCCGGCGGGCGTCCTCTTGCTCTCTGTCCTTGGTCTCGCAGCGTGTGCGCAAGGTCGGCCGAATCCCCTGAGCCGGGATGGACATTGGCCCATAACGTCCCCAGCGCACACCGAACACCACGTGAAGGACATCGACACGAGTGCAGTGCGTTTCTGTCTTTCTGTCGACGTTGGCGATTAGATGCTAATCATTGGCTGTAGATATATCATCAGCATGTCCAGAGAGCTAGCCAGCGCTACTCTACGATGCTGGGGTCCTCGGTAGAGAAGCGTTTCAACCAGGCTGTGATCGAGAATGCGGTATCGCATTTACAAGAGACGCAAGCCAATGCCTCCGCCCCAGTGAACCTGTTGATCCTGGACGAGAGCGACAATCCCAACCCGAAAGGCAGTGGATTCAGTCCAATCGGCCTAGAAATTGCGTTGGTTCAACCTGTCATCAGGGCCGAGCAGCCTCGACACCCGAACTCCATTGGTTTGGACATCCAGTGAGTAGCAAATCAGGATGTATCTGAATCTAGTTTCATGTCCTTGTCAATGAAAGGGCGAATGATATCGGCTGTGAGAACTCCCTTACTTCTTCGCTGGCTACGAATTTACATGCAACAGATATCGCTACGGTGCAAATTGGGACGCCTCCGAAGAACTTCAGTCTGTTCGTAGACTCTGGCTCCTCGGACCTCTGGGTCGGCCATGAAGAATGCAAGGGATACGACGTTGGCGATTGTGTAAGCTCATAAGTACCTACATTAACTGTTGTTCCTCAGGCCGACGTTGCTCATCGTACTAGGGCGCACACACATTCCTCGGCAACTCCAGTACGACATTTAATAACACAGGCCACCCGTGGCACATTCGTTACGGCGCAGGCTTTGTCCTAGGGAAGATCGTCACAGACCTCGTCAGCATCGCTGGTCTTCAGCTCAAGGCTCCTCATAAGTTTGGTGTGGCAATGGAGGAAAGTCCCGAGTTTGCGTCGTGAGTACACCATTGGCAGACAACGATGGGAAATTGATTTTCCGCTGGCAGGAGCAAAATACCTTATGACGGGTTCTTAGGAACCGCTAAGTCGGTCGGTGGAGCTCCAGCTCAGGTCGGTGGTAGTTGCTGAATGTCACCCTCTGTTAGCATCTTTCGCAACAGCATGCTCCTACCCTCATCGAGGCCCTTCGCAATGAGGGCCTCGTCAAGGAGGGAATCGTCTCCTACCATATCCCTCGCGCCCTCGACACCATGAAAGGTTCTCCGACTCCTTGCGCCCGCCCCCTCTTCGTGACTAACTCTTTCACCATGTGCAGCTGGCGCCCCGGTCAAGAATGTAGGAGAACTTACGCTAGGTGCGATGAATCCAGCGAAGTACAACGCCAGCACTCTCGTAACGGTGCCGAATGTCAGCCCTACCGGATTTTGGGAAGCACCAGTCGACGAAGTGAGGGTAAACGGAACAAGCATAGGCCTAGCCAGAAGGTCCGCCATCTTGGATACAGGCTCAGTAAGTCACTCGCGCGTAATAGCACCCAGGTTCCGTTGCTCATCGCTGTGTTTAGACCCTTCTAGTGGCTCCGAAGGAGGTAGGCTCACTTTCGCGCTCTGCACAACTACGTTTCTCTCTCTAACCTACGATACCGCGTGCAGGACGTTTCGGCCATCCATATGCTCATCCCGGGCTCCCTGTATACCGGAACTCGATGGATCATCCCTTGCACCACCAACGCCACCATTTCACTCGTCATATCGGGCCAGGAATTCCCGATAGACTCGCGGGACCTCCTTTTCCTCCCTCTGAATATGGGGAGATTGAAAGGCTACTGTTGGTCAACCATCAGCGAGATGCGAGGGGTGAGCAAGCCGAAAGGAACCAATATAAGCAAGACAGGCGGCAAAACTACTAGCTGGCTGGTACGTGTCGGATGTCCTGAATGTGCGAGCTTCGTGGGTCAATTGATTAATATTTGACGCGATTAGGTTGGCGATGTATTCCTCAAGAATGTGTACTTTTCAACCAACCTCGATCGTGATACGATATCCGTAGCTAGATTAGCGGAACAACCAGAACTGGCGGCATCGGAGGCCACAGAGTTAGAAGACAAAACAGCTGACTAGTAATACAGTCGAATCAAAGTACACTCTTTCGTCTTGGAAACTAACTACTCATGCGCGACCCAACGTAAGAATATCATCAGAGTGAACACTCTGACTATCTTCCTCCAATTCAGCCCCGGGAGTGCTAACCTGGTCTGTATAAACTTAACATGAGAAATGAGAGACTAGATATCGGATGAACTGTTACACACCTGAATACAAGTCGGCAGAGGTCTCATGCATGGACTGGCAGCGTTCGTAGTAATGCCGACGGAGTGCGTGTGGAAACTCCACTTCGACCCCATCGAATATTTTCCGTCTTTTGGCGGGACTCGGATTTTTCGACCTCTGTCTCTGTCTTTGAGGAGTTTCATCCAGATCCTGTCTCCTCGTGGTCGGAGCAATCGGTGGAGGCCTAGCAATTCTTCGAGTGCGAGAATGAAATAGGGGTAGCTGCAGGGGTCGGCGGCGCCATTGGAAAAGGGGCAGGAGCACGAACAGGGGCAGGGATCCGCCTCTGGTATTTTCGTTTGGGCGGCGGCGGCATCGACTGCTGCTTCCTGAGGGCACTCGCAACTGTAAACCCATTATTATCGAGTCAGCTAGAGCGTAACGTACAATGCTTACCACCTATTTCCAATGTATTTAGCAGTTCCAACACATCTTCTCTTGCTCTCTCGGCTGTTCGTCGTGCATTAAGGTCCCTACACACACTTCGTAGTGTATCTGTGCTGAGTTCTCCCCATGGGAACATTTCGAGGTGAGAAGCGGGGTTATGTTGCACTTCAACTCCTCAAGGCGTTTATATTGTGGCATTCCATCGATAAAGGATGGGCTTGAGGGTTTTCTGGGCAATGGTAATTCTAGTAGTGGACGTCCTGCCTCATGCACGGACTCATGGAACAGGTGTTGTTGCCATAATTCTGAACAAGCACAGCTGCACGAAGCATTATCTCGTATATCTCCAGTCTCGTATCTTCCAGAACCAAGTCTTTATGCATTCTCATGTACTATTATACTAGAAACAAATGACATCAACTAATCTTACAAGGCGCCACGCCAGGACAACGTAAAAAGAACATAAGGTACGCCAAACTATGTACGTAGGGCAGGCAATCTAAGATGCACAAACTTAAGCCGTCTTGCACTTCGAGGGGAGATCGTAGTCCTGAACAAAGGGTCAGTAACATGCCTCGAAGGATAAAATATAAAGCCACATACATCCGTGCGGATTCCTCCACCCCATGGAGTGCGCCCATCGACACGCGAATCAGGACCCAATCCGCGCTTTGAGAAGCCGGTCCAGAGAGTGCAGAAGTTCTCGCCACCAGTCAAGATCTGGTCAGCCTGGATGATGGCATCACGGGCCTCGAAGAACGATGGGCGACAAGGTTGGAGCTTCATGCCGTTGAGAACGAGCCTGTGATTACTTTATTAGTACTGTAGAGACAAAGTGACCGAGACTACTCACTGGACAGAAAGTGTGTTTCCGTGCTTGGGGATCAACGGTTTCTTCTTGCCAGCGGATGTGTATTCTACGGGGCGGTAGAAATCGCCCTCAGGAATGGTGCCATCTTCCAAAGGAGCGGGAGGGAACAGCGAATCGGAGAAACCGTGGACATCGATAAGTCCGTTTGACACGACCCAGAGAATCTCTGCCCAAACTTCACCAATAGCGTGTACTCCCCAGTATCCTGGCTTGTCTAGAGTCTTGTAGGTAGAAGGGTTGACGGTCTCGTTCTATGGAAGATGTAAACGATAGAAGTCTTCAGAGGGCGAGAGCACTCACAAGAGAGTAGATGAAGTTACGGATACCCTGTTCACGGTTAGCAGCCCAAGATCCCATGGAGTAGTCAGAGTAGTTCTTCGTGCTTCGGATCGTAGTAGCAAGGAAGTCTAAAATATCCTGAGTTGACGAAAGTTCACAATTAGATATAGTGCAACTTACCTCCCCAGCCTTCACCCATTCCACCGCTCTCACCCCAGCCCAAACAACCTGAGTTCGCAGGGCCACCGGTGAGGCGAGTGCTGAGGCCGTGACTCAACTCATGAATAACGATACCAGCCTCCAAGTCGCCATCGCGGTAGGGATTGGCAGTATTCCAAAGGTACATACGGCAGCGGCCGTTCTGACCATCAGGCGGTGTCATGAAGTTGGCATTGTTGAACCCAGAACCATCCTGGGCATTGGCGATAACGGCGTCGTTCTCCGCACCTCCACGACCGAAATTGTGTTGTTGGAAGTTACCTGCGACTTCGTCGAATCCATACCTGATGTGGGACAGATCAATATAAGTTGAAGTGGCTGTGCAAAGGAATTCACCGATAGTAAAGGTCGTGGACCAAGTTGGAAGTGTAGAAGAGTTGCGTCACCGCGATGTCGATGAACTTCTTCGCTTCGCCGAGTGCGGCTGTCTTGTTCGTGGCCTGGGGGTCGTACGGGAAGTCGAAAACATTTCCCTTGTGGCCTTCAGGGCGGTAGTTGTTGATCCAAGAGTTCTGGCCTTCCCAGTTCTCGTGAGCGAAGACCTGCGAACCGAAACATGAGCAAGATCCCATGGAACATGTCACAGCCCCTCACGTTGTTACCCCAAGTGCTCGTCGTGTTCCTGATGGCGTTCGGGGAGCTTGGTCGCACACCCTTCATGGAGGGATCGTTGGCGACAGGTAAAGCGTGCCATCCCCATGGGCTAGCAAGAGCATCGACGTTCTCTGTCTCAATAGAGCGCTTACCCTCCGAAGGGTCATTGGTACCCCATGCGAAAACGTTGTAGGTGGCTGGAGCACCGGGCTTCGGTTTGGGAATGGGAGCGTCCGAAGCCCAATCAACCACGGACACTATCCGGTGGGGAGCGGCCGCCGACACGGCAGCCTCATACCAGTTGTCTGACATCTCAACCTCGAACTTCCATACGAGGTTAAGCTCCGTAGAGTCGCCGGCCTTGTTGGGAACTTGGACGTAGGCGAGACGGGCCTTGACCGGGTTGACGGTGTCCGGAACATTGCTGATTTCAAAGGGCGGAGCGCTCTCCGGGTCATCAAAGTGGTGCACGACGGAGACGGACATCTTCTCGAAGTGCGCGTCGAAGTTGCTCAAAACATCTTGAACGACGTCTTGATTGGGGGTGGCTGCGACCATAAATTGGAGAAGAGCAGCGCGAGGGTCGTCAACAGCTTCTTGGGAGGCAAAGCCCTTGGAAGCCAAGTCGTAGGGCAAGTCAACGAATGCGCAGTTCGATTCGACAAGATGAGCGAGTTCATCTTCATCCACGGAGGCGGGAGAGGACATGGGGAGTTGTTCGCCTGAGGAGTAACGCTCTGCTACACGAAGCTGGAGCTCTGCAAGCAGAGTCTCGCAATGCTCGCGATGAGGGTGTCGAACATCACCAATCAATGAGCTTGCAAGGTCGTCAGTAGGACCAGCGTAAAACTAGCCAGTCAAATTAGCGTCAAGGGTTTATTTCGTATCGTAACTACTTACGGAGTTGCCATATGACAAAACCATGCCATCTTTGATGTTCAAATTGATGTCGCCATCAGCAACCTCCAACCCGTTCACCATCTGGCGCACATATACGTGGGTCACACCGGTGTTCACGTCGGTGTAAGAGTCCTTGCGAATCTTGTAGCGGGAGTTGAGCCCTGTCTGGCCGCTCAACAAGTCGTCGAGGAACGCCGTCGCAACCACAAACGGGTCTGAGGCGGAACCCATTGGCATGAAGCCATTCGTTTGAATTTGGTATGGGTTTGCGTGGAATTTCGCGTGGGGTAACTCCGGGCCAAATCCGAGCGACTTGCGTCGACGAACTTCGCCCCCATTGACTGGCGCGTGCCCGAAGACACCTCCCGCCAACCCAGCGATGAGCAGCGACGTTGCGAAAAATGTGCGCATGACAAAGGAAGAAGACAATAGTTGGAATTCAGTCACAGCAGTGAATGAAACGAAAGACGGAAAGATGCAGCGTCAAAAGGTGGTCGAGTGAGATGGTGGTGGATCGAAGTCAAGGAAGGCTGTATGCAACTCGCGCCTTATCATCCATTTCGGGTATAGGACCCCGAACACTGCTTTCGGGCGCTTCGTCTTCTTTCGGGAGAGTGTGCGCTGCAAGGCGTTTATTCGAACATTTCAAGTTGGGCGCCGTCGAGGGTGAATATGTGAGGGCACACGATCCGTGGGGAGTTTCGTCTTCCATCCAGCTCGTTTGGGATAACGAAGATGTATTCGTTGTCGCCAAGAGCTCTCTCGTTCGGCGGCTGGCTCACGGACCGGGAACGAATGGAACCCAGACGCAGAACGCAGCCGAACTCCTGAATAGGAGAAACCCCTGTAAAGGGGCCGAACTCAGGTGTGAAGTGAAGAGACGGAGGCTCGAAAGCTGACAAACGGTAGGCGTCGCTGCGCCAGCGCCCAATTTGTTGAATTTCATGATCCAGGAAACCTGCCGCTGCAGCTGCAGATGCTGCACCTCGTCAAAAGCTGTGGCCAGAAAAACCTTGAGGTTGAAGTCCGGCGTCGAGTAGAGCTAGACGGAGGCGAGCAATGAAACGTGAGCGTGTCAAGGGGGAGTGACCACTCCTGTCCCCTTCTACTGTCTACCCCTACCTTACATCATCCTCTAAGGTTACGATCAATGAAGAAAACTAGAGACGCAGCGAATGAGTTCACGCTTGTAGCCAGAGGGCTTGAAGGAGCCAATTTTGGGTATGCAACCATCACACGCTGACTGTAAACTATGTACCAATGGTCGCTATGTCTTCCTTCGCTCGCACCCACCAGAAATGGTAGTTTCCTGCTGCACCTTGAAGCGCCCGACAAGTGGTCTGTTTGCTGTGCATACAGCGCATAGGCCACTTTGGAACATTAGGAGAGAGCACGAAGGGAATGGGAAATGGTGATCAAGAGGACAACTTTTGTACACGTATTGGTACTCTGAATAAAGGTGAAGCTGAGGTAGTAGTATGTGCATTGGTCAAGTTCTCAGTAAGTTGGCTATATAGTCGGCCCTACTCGTCGATGCAAGGGTGCGCTCACACGCTTGTATGATTTCCATCGCGAGGAGGCCATAGAGGCGTACAAGTACCTCGAGTCGCAAGCTCATATACGCAAGGTGGTGATCAGTCTCGAATTAAGTCGGGCTTGTTTGCTGTACGTATGTGTACAAGCGTCAACAACGAAAATCAGATCAATAACATCTTTGTTGTATTGAAGTCGAAGAGTCTGCAAAACATATCATTCGCAACATTACATGTCGCCGAAGGTGGATTGTCTATACCGATACATTGCTAACCTCCTGATCAGCAGAAACAGGCAGGTTCTGGGGTTCCGACACATGATATCTTGTGCCGATTCATTCGCCGTTTGTACAAGATTCCAGCGGGTCACTAGAGCGATGTCAACATCAGGGCGAACAAATCGTGATGAGAAACGCACATAGTGAAGGTCCCATCGATCGGCAAACTCTTGCTCATGTGGTCGCCGAAAGCTGATGCCTTAACTTGATGAGGCTCGCCTTCACTGTCGACCACAATTGGAATCTTATCAACGCTCGGTTGCTCATCCGAAGGGTCCACGAGGGTCATGCCACCGGTGCTAGAGTTGGAAGCGCTGTCTTCGTCCGAGTCAAGGAGTGAATGTCTCCACACGTCCTCAGCCCACTCTTCAATCTCACGCATTAGTTTGGCTTCGTCATCGTCGGTCCAATCCTCCTCCTCCTCCCGTTCGTCGTAGTCAACTGGATCATCCATGTTTGATGCCGAATCATCCGGAGAAAGTTCGTCGCCAGCACTGTCGTCAGGATTTTCTTCAGGAGCGGAAGCCCTGCTATGGCGGGTACGTTGAGAGGTACGTGTGGAACGACCAGTCCCAGACTTGGGCGACGAATCATGGTTTGAAGTCTGGCTGGGTGCTTGGGAAGAATCCAATGAGTTGGTGAAATCATCGCTCGGCGATCCTGACATCCACAACCGATAAAGATCGAGACAAGCGAACATGGCCCCCAAACCATCCATGATCACGGGGAGGTCGAAGTTGGAGTAGATGCCGTCGAAACTGGTCGAACCACCCAGAATTTTATCCAGCTTCCTACCCGTATCAAATATAACAAAGTGAGGAAGGATGTTGAGCTCGAATTGCGGCAATTCGGGGAAGGGGTACACATGTTGTTTGAAGGCGAGTGGATCCACTGACGTGTAACTTCCGTGGTATCTCCTGATTGCACAGCAGGACTTCATCCCTTGAGTGGCGACGAAGCGATATTTGAAACTCTGTTTATTCTTATATAGCTGAATGGGTAGGTTAGCTTGTGTACCACCCGTATAAGATGGGGAGAAACATGCCTTCTTGACGTCAAAGCGATGGATGTCGGCTCGGTACGTCTTTAGGAAGTTGCTAAGAATGTTCAGTTCCGGCAGCCAGAACCATCCATTTTCTTGTCTATCAAAGAATCTATGGACAGCGACAGAAACTAGGAAAATCAAGGCGATCAGACATAGGTTCAGCACACATCAAGAGGAACATACGTGTTTGGAGGTTGAAGTGAGTGTCAACATTCAGCGACCAATACCGCATCCCCCAAGCCCATTCCAATTTTGTAAGCTGTATTCGAAATACAAATACCGAAGGTAAGCCCACAACCGGGGGAAGGGGTGGTCAGTAGACTAGCTCACCGTCTCATCATCGACAGCCTTGGCTACCACATGGCTGAACTCGATGGGATTCATGTCATCTGTCTCGCCCGTGATTACGCATATTGGTCGTTGTGGGAGCTCGACGCCCAAAGGGTATTGCTTCTGTAGGATGGTATTGATGGCGAAACGAGTGCGATTCTTCGCAGAGGTCGCCAGAGAAGATGCAGTTTTGCGTCGTTTGTTGGGAGTTACATTAGGGTTAGGATTATCTTCTTCGTCAGGGTTATACGGTCCATCTTCTTCTCGAACTCTACGCCCGGACGGCGTTTTGCTGCGTTCGAGGATACTCATGGTTGTGGCAAGCGTGGTGCAGTGCGCGGCACAAAAGCGTATATATCGGTCGTCACCTGACCAAGAGTTGATCCACCCCCTCGAGTCCAAATTAGTGCGCAATGTACAGACGAAGGCGCGAAAAAAGTGCCGAGGGCACTCGCAGGAAGATGTTCCGATGTCAATAGCCCCCAGAGAGTATATTGTCAGGAAGGAGTTGTACAGATAAACCTGCACGGAAAGTACACCGATAGTTGTACAAACCGTGTCCTGATCACGGATAAACTGAAGGAGAACGTAGAGAGCAAGCGAGACATGTTTGTTTCGAAAGGTCGATTGTGACACTTGCAGCCTGGAGTTGGCTTCTGTCTTCCGTAGTTTCATACGTCTATCTTAGCCTTTTCAACGTCGCCTAGCGGGCCAGTCTTGTCGTTTCGAGGGAAACGATTGAAAATATCGTACTCCGGCACTTACCTAATGGAAACCAAGCGGACGTAACTTCGGCCAGCGCTGCGCTAGCTGAGAAAGCTCTGTACACGCGTTGCACATGCTCTGCATCGTGGCCTCAGCTCACCCCAACAGGCGAAGACTGTTATCTCGGGGTGACTCATTTGTCGCCATCTCCACCGCATAATCACCCCACAACATTGTAAGTCTATCCTGCTTCCGGGATAGCTGTAAGACCTGAGGACCCCGGGAACGCCACCAGGGGTTGCGAGTGATATTAAACAAATTATTGGAGTACCTTGCAGAGTATTGGTGTGTTTATGCAGCGTCATGCTTGTAATTTATGCGTGTCAACGCTATACTCGATTGGCCTCAACTTCCGAGCCCACCGGTTCAGGCCCTCCAAATTGCAATGCACGTACTTTGATTTTGTGCGGATGTGTCGTCTCAGTGTCGAAGATGAGTGAGCTGAGTTGAGCTGCACGGCCATCGGTCCCCATCGAGGAAGCACATAGCCCTCTGGTCAAGGTTACCACAGCGAGCCTGTTGTTCGGGCCCGCGAGTTTCTTCGTCGTGACAAAACTTCCCTTGCACTTGCAACATCTCTTCGCTATCGCCTGCATGTAGTCGTAATCCTTAGCCCTTGGTGAGGAGCGCGTAATTTCTATTCCGTGCGAGTGTTTGTGGCACGTCCGGACCCAGCGCGTCACGATATACCTGAGGTCCTCCATCTGCTCCGTGGCTAGGTTTACCCTCAGGCTGCGGACCAGGAGACACAAGGACTTCAGCCGCAGCCCGAACGGCGTAAGCAGGAATTCCCCAATCCCATCCAGGGTTTCCTATGGTGCACGAGTGCGATGATATGAAAATTGGAGCTTGACACGGCTCTGTGAAGGAGACGACAGTACCTTTGGAGGAAGTCTGGCCAATGACAGCTTGAGATGGATCAAGTGGGGAAGACAGGATGAGACACGAGGTAGGAAGTCCTTAGGCATGAAATCTCTCAAAGTGAATACGGCAGAGTCAAGCTGAGGCGCCGCTTGGCTGATCATGTCAACTCCTTCCATCGCATTCCGTGCGCTCAGAACCGCGCCAACATGCCTCATCGGGCGGGACTTTATGACCCTCACAGCAAGTTCCAGCTGATCTCCAGCGCCCCACGTCCACAAGAACCTCTCCAAACGCGGGCACGCGCCCTCAGGCAGGGCAACACCCTCCAACATACGCGCCTCCGACGTCAGACATAGCTCCTTCAGGTCCTTTTGGTGTCCTATGAACGCCATCACGTGCGGCCCGACAACGAACGTTGTCTTGAAATACGTGAGGGAGAATGAGGCGAGGGAGAGGACGTCGGCGGCGTATATATCTGACTGGCTGTCTCGCCCGCTGACGATAAGGGTCAAGCTCGTGAGATTGGTCGTACGGCCCAGGACGGTCCGAAGAAGCGCAAAGCGGTCCCTGAGGAGTCGGCGGTTGAGCACTGCAGGGAGGGTGCCATAGCGCACCATCGCCTTGAAAAGCCCCTGGTTCGGTATCTCGTCTTTCAGGTATACATCTTCCCAGTTTATCGTCAGCGCCTTAACGAGCTGGCACGCCAGGTCGCTGAAGCAGAGGGATGTGAGACATCTGGTCGAGGTTTCGAGCGGCAACTGGGGGATAGTTGCGTAGAGTTCCCGGATAGCGAGGTCGTGAATGTGTCTATTGACGCGCAGTAATTGACAAAGCGTGGTGCGAGGACACTTCTCGAGGATAATCAGCAGCAGTTCTGCGGGGAGTCGAAGAAATGGCATCGTGCTACGGAGCGTGGGCTCCTCGTGCTCCTCGTACCTCTGGTGCGAGTACCCCCCACGCAAAGTCCGTGGTAAAAAGACATCAAACCGTGGGTCATGAGAACAATGTCGTGCAGTTACCGGTTACTGGGCAAAGATAAGGACAAACCATAAAAGGAAAGCACGACTTGGTTCGAACCTAGATTGTGCGTGCAAAAAACAAAAACACAAGGCGGCAGAAATTATATGTTACTTCTAGTGGTATAGAACGGGGATTGGGAGCGGAATGTTCGGCAGTCAGAAGTCGGATATGAGCACGGTTTTGGTCACTGTGGGCATCCCGTTCATTGGAAAGTTTTTCCCTTCCTCCTCAGCAGTCTAGAGCGTCAATCGTTTACATGTGCACAATACCAAGGTGGGGAGTGGATGAAATACCTGTGTCTCCGTATCTTTGTCATGAGTGGCGTTGTTAGATGCGTACCGGCCTTTGGAATAGGTGGCATAGCTTGTGCTGACGGTGTGGGCATGCTTCTGCTTAAGCTGGTCGCGTGAATTCAGCCTAGGGGATTCACGCCAGTGAGAAGAAGACGCGAGAGGAGGAACTTGATCATCCATACATCGCAACTAGAAGTGTGATTAGTATGCTGGTTTGTATACGGGAACGAAATGGGTACTCACAGAAAGTATTAGCGTAGAGCTTGGTGACATTGACATGGAAGGCGAGCCTAATTTGCATATCCCAGTCGTCGGTAAGCTGTGAGTGTGACAATACTCAAGTCCTCTCACCAATAGAGGCGCGAGGGGGCCGCATAGAACGTGATGAGGAGTAACGTTTGAATGAGGGTGACTAGCACGCCTCGGTGAACAACGTAATGGATCAATGATTTCAAGAGACCGTTTGTCCTAATTGAAACCGACGCCGTCAGTATTGATGCAGCGGTAAGCTTCAGCAGATTTACACATACTGTTGGATGCCAGTCTTTGCGCCGGAGAGCAAGATGCACATCGCGATAGTTGCGATGATATCGGTGAGCGCACCAAATCCCTTTGCTAGGCCAAAGAATATCTATATTTACCAGATCAATATATACGGATTTGGATGAAACACATCCCGATGATTACTTACTGAGAAGTTGTGATGACGCTCCCCCAGAACGTGGTGATCATATACAAACATCACGCTCGTGCACGCTGAGAAGGTTTAAAACTTGAGTACGAACGAAAAGTAGATATCAGCAAACGTAGCGCGTACCGACTCCGAAAACTGTCACCGTTCGGCATTGTCAATTACCACCACAATTGTCGCGCTTAAATAGTCAAAACCCACCAAATGCAAGGACGGCACAAACAGCCTGTTTTCTGTGAGAAAAATAAGACAAATAAGACGATGGGTAAGACTTACCACCGATACTGGGACCATCCAACTTCCTCTACCAGTTTTGGTGACTGTCGAGACTGTTCAGCAAAATCGACGGGAGGAGAAGGTACCCTCTTTACCAGCATATAGTTGGGCGACAAAATACAGTTGTGAACTACACAATGGTGAGATTGCTTCAGCGGTGCCGGAGAGACAGTACTGAGTACTGACATGAACGTGATTATGGTTGATAGCAGGCATTCAGCAGAAAGCTCTCTAAGAATATGAGTCGATCAGGGTTGCGGTTATGCACGATGGCGCGATGTAAATGCTTACGGCGTTATGCTGGCAAGGGGAGATAGCGATCCGAAGTGCGGAACCTGGGTAGCAACGGATGGAATATGAGTATCATGCGGAAGGGACATCTGCGCTTTGAAATCACATACCAAGTAGTAATACACGGATTGAACGACAAGTGCTGATGATACAAAGTCAAAGACTCTGGATCATCGAACTGTTCAGAAAAAACTGGTGGGGATCGTTGTGAGGACCTACACCATAGCTCCCGCCTAGGAAAAGCCGTGAGTACGATGAGGTGAGCACAAGAATCGTTACATACAACAAGTTGGATGATGAGGCGGTCTGAATGGCGGGGGAAATAGTTATATGCTTGAAGCGCGGTTATTCCACCCAACCTGCAGTCGATCAACAGCATTTCTATGGGGCGACTGCATGTCACCAACTTACACCAGAGATATTACGGTCCCTGCCATGGTTTAGATCAGCATCACCGCTATCTAACGACAAATTGACAACTGACCCCAGTATATAGGTCCGAAGACACCACTCATGTCCATACCGACATTGCTGCTGGAATCCATGTCTGAGGCGATGGTGGGGGTTCAAAGGAAGGTGGAGAGGTAGTACAAAGGGGGATAAACTTTGCTGTCAATCCTCAAGAGCATCGGCCATTAATACACCAGCACGAAGTCCGTGTTTCGAACACACGCATTGGCTACACCACAATCAAGTGATCTGCAGTGTGCATATATGCAGCTTTTGCGGAGATTGCACGTACATCAAGCTCTCGTGATTGCGGGATGCAGACATTCGAACAACCTTCCTGTCAAGCGGGTATCACTGTTGCATATGGCAGCAAAGGAGTTATGACGGAACTAGCAGCTTGAGCACATTGTCGATTCTGTGTGGCATCGTACAGGACACCTCCTTGAATAATGTAGGCGCGAAGGGGAATTCGCGCGTGGATAAATGCGAGGATCGGGAGGTGTGTTCCCACCAAAAGACGAAGTCGGAAGAACCGGCACGTGCACGTGACGAACGGAACGGAGAAACGAGAGTCGGGCTGGGACGCAACAAGCAGCGCTGGACTCGCTTTCGCAATGCAACTGAGGGGGAAGATGGCTTCTTGTTCATAGGATATCGGACGTCGTACACGATGCCATCTCTACAATAAATTCGATCAGCGCTCGACGGTCGCCGGTGATCCTGCAAAAATCCCAGCACGTGCAAGCCCCTATCCCTGATGCCAAAAACCAACTTTTCTACTTAGTCCCAATCGTTCTGATTCGTGACTCGTGAGTAGTCTGTACGAAGGCAAAATAAATATGGCGACTGAATGTTGAATGTAGGTACCTCATGTACTATGAGTTTCTCGGTAAGATTCGATTTCCTAATGCTGATACCCTGACTGACAGTTAAATTATTAATGTGCTAAATGCATAGTTTATGATCTCGCAGAAATATTCTACATCAAAATTTCTTCGTGTTATACACTGAGAGCTCACCACGCCTTATCTTGGTGATATCACCAGCATAATCGTACATTTCAGTTACACATATCCGCTAGCACTACCCATACAGTACAGCCACGACTTCGCTTGTTCCGCTTACTTCAACTTGAACTGACGTTCGTAGAAATCCAACTCTCGTTCAAGCGCATCCTTGATGTTTTTGTCCTGGCGCCACCCATGCCCTTCGCCTTCGTATAGTTTGTATTCCACCACACCGCCTTTCTCCAGAATGATATCCCGCATCTGCTCTGCTTGTTCTTTCGGAACGACTCGGTCGATTTCTCCTTGCAAGATCTACCATATAGGAGTCAGCGCGTCCAGGTTGAAATCGTGCAGTCCCTACTGACCAAGAGTGGAGAGGTGATGTTATCCGCATGGTAAATTGGAGATCTTTCCTTGTATAGTTGCGGGTTTTCTTCTGGGGTAGCCCCGATGAGCCTGGTCATGTAGTGGGATTCAAACTTGTGCGTGAACTCAGCGAGCTTGGCAACGTCGGAGATGCCGTAGGACGAGGTACCGGCGGCGAAGGCAGCCGGATTCGAGCTGATCGAAAGCGCGGCGAGGGCAGTGTATCCTCCAGCAGAACCTCCCCGAATTGCGGTTCTCTTAGCGTCAAGGAGACTGTACGGCGCTTTGGAAAGGATGTCCACGGCCTTGATTGAATCCTCTGTGTCGACAATTCCCCATTTTCCTGCGAGACGTTGTCTTTGAAATATCGGTCACGATGGGGCTCGAAGCAGAGGGCAGCGGAGACATACATATACTGACGGCCGTAACCGGATGAACCACCGTAATTAATGTCGAGCCTGTACAATCAATTATTAAGGCGTAGCATATCACACGGGGGTACTACGCACCAAGCCCAACCTCGGCTTGTAAAATACTGCTTCTTCCAGTTCAACCCTTGGGTTTCGAGAGCCGTTGGACCCCCATGGATACTCACGGCACAGGGTGGTAGCTCGTCCGGGATGCTACTACCACTATACGCCGGGTTGGTTGGCGGATAATAAACAACGTGGACGAGCGCATCTTGGGGGCCAATGCTAAGAGGCCGAGGTACAGAAACGATGCCGTCTGGGAAATTGCCTGATAAACCCTTCTTTTGTGCCGGACCAACCACCGTGAATTTGATGTCTTCGGGTTCAAAGGAAGAAGGCAAAGTGCAAAGAATGATAGCGCTATCGCCATCGACCTTGGGAGACGAGAAGACAGCCTGATGGCTGCCAGTGGAAACAGCGCGGATGACGTCGATGGCTACGAAAGGTGCCTCGATGAGTTTCGGCGCAGCTCTGCTTTGGATGTCGACGAGGTATATGATGTTTTTTCCGTCCTTCCACGCTGTGCATAGGATAGTCCGTCCGATATCATCGACGGGGACATAAGGTGACCAGCCCAACACCCAAGCCGGCTGGCTGAAGTCCTGTGCGATGGGTTCAAGGAATACCGGCGTATCTTGGCCGCCCGCGTACTTATGAAGGTTTTGATATCCAGATTGATCGCTCGTGAACAGTATAGTGTCGTTGTTGATCCAAGATGGGAAGGCGACACTGATCTGCGATGGCACGCCGGCGATAGTGAGAACATTGGACAAGCTCACTTTCCCCTCTGTGACGACAATATCAGCGTGCCTCAGCTCAGAACCCTCCCAGGGCATGTCAGGGTGGAACCACTGGACCCAAACGAGACGAGTGCCATCCGGCGAGAACCTTGCATTGGAATAGAAATCGGCACCAGAAACCAAAGAGCTGACGGACTTGGACGTCGTGTCGATGATGCAGAGAGTATTGACTACCTTGGACGGGGCTTCACCATTGGGATCGTCAGTGTGGTCTTCCATGATCGCCACCACAAGTTCAGAATTCTTCGGATGAACATCGAAATCGGCGAACCGATGAAGACTTTTACTATCTGTAAGTAGAAAGGATAAAGTTGATCGTTGGTCGAGCAGGGAATCTTTGCTTCAGACACGTACCTGGAGTGACGGCCTCAGGGGTAGCACCCTCTGCTTTGACATCAACGGTGTACACTCTGCCATCGCCGTAGTGAGAGAAGTAGGCGATGCCGTTGTAGACGATGGCAGCACCTCCGCCGTACTCGTGCACGCCTGTGCGTACATTCCACTCCTTGCCAACCAACTCTCGGGCTGTCTCTGTCTCGACTAGGACGCTCCTTCCTGCCTCTGCTGGTCGGGATTCGACATGGTAGATTTTGTTTGCGATGGGATCGACAAGAAGCTCAGCGATCGGTTTAGACTACATGCACAGTCAATTAGTATTTAGGCTGAGGCGATCCTCGACTCACCCCCTGAAGAATAGCATCGGCAGTGATTGGGGATTGCCAAGTACCGTAGGGGGCTTTTATGCCAGTGGCCATGTTGCTACGAAGTGATTGGAGAGGTGGCTGATCTAAGCCCTGATATAGACCCTGGGTAGAGGCTCAAGCTCAAGACCCACACATTCCATATTTTGCGTGCACCTGAACCGAACAAGCTATGCCGTTGTACTGGGCCCCTCGAGCTTTTCTCAATACTGATTACATCGATGATCCGCTGAACTGGCACCAGTCCTTGCAGCTGGGCATTCACCGGAGCCAGAGTTCATGAGTTTTGGGTTTTGATCTACTGATGCAAAATAGACAATATCTGAAGCGCGGGGCACAAATAACACGGACCGTCGAGGTAGAAGAGGTTTTACAAGCCTCAAAGCTTTTCGGACGACGTTGAGGTAAGGCAGGCGCTGTCACGCGTTGTCACAGCCTCAGCTGCGTTACTTTTGGATCCCAACGACAAGGTTCCTGGAGTCAGGCTATCGGTCAATGCTGGGACTCCTCTACCCCTCTACCACAGCGGTTATTCCAGACGGCGCTTTTTCTGGGAAGTTTCGCCCCTTCTTGGCCTTTGTCTAGATGGCGTGATTGTTGGAGTATGGAGCACGCAATATACTCCTCGAATTGGTATATATATCTATGTCCTAACTACTATAGATGAGCCCGTCCAAATCCCCTCAGAAGCCATGGCGAACCCCTTCTACAAGTGAGCGCATCGCAAAGTGTCTCCCGAAGACGACCCTTTATTGACACTTACGTTCGCAGAGAGCCCGAGTTCGATACTTTACAGCTCCATGCGGGACAGGAACCAGACCCTACCACGAACGCCCGTGCCGTGCCAATTTACGCGACTACGAGCTTTGTTTTCAATGATTCTGCGGTGAGTCCTCAAACCATGCCAGAATTCCCTGGCTGTCCTGACAGGGGACTACAGCACGGCGCCGATCTCTTTGGATTAAAGTTCGTGGATTGGCCGAGCGATTATTTGCTCTTTGCGTCTAACCGATGAGCCCCCCACCAGAACATTCGGCAACATATACTCGCGTATTGGGAACCCTACAGTGGTATGTCCCTGATGAGTTTACGAGAAATCAGGTTCTGATTAGTGCCCAACGGTTCTAGGACGTATTTGAGAAGCGAGTAGCAGCACTCGAAGGAGGCGCCGCGGCGGTAGCAACATCTTCTGGCCAATCTGCCCAATTCCTGGCTATCTCAGCCCTCGCTGGCTCAGGCGACAACATCGTATCATCGTACGTGTAGTATCGCGTTCACATTCATTTCTTGACTTTATCACCTATAGATCTTTCTTGTACGGAGGCGTAAGTCGTTCGTTCGTCGTCTCCAGCCTGAAACTGAAACAGTGACGATCAGACATATAACCAATTCAAAGGTACGACTAAGACCCTCTGGTTGTAACCTTGGTAGCTGAATATCCTTGGTAGTGACGTTCAAAAAGTTCGGCATCGGCGTCAAATGGGTAACGGAAAACGACCCCGCTGCATACGAAGCCGCCATCGACGAGAACACCAAGGCGATATTCATAGAGAGCATCGCCAACCCAAAATATGTCGTTGCGGATATCCCTGCATTAGCTGAGGTACATTGCATTGGGCTTTCCAAACGAACGATGCTCATGTTTTCTGCCGGTAGGTAGCGCACAAGCATGGTATCCCCCTCGTCGTGGACAACACATTCGGCATGGCAGGTAAGCATAGGTAGCATCTTAGCGCGTACACAGTGCTAATCGCCTAATTTGTGGCAGGATACCTCATCAGACCCATATCGTTAGGTGCAGATATCATAGGTTCGTTTTGCCTTAAATAATCTGTCAATCTGACATTGACCTCCGTTTAGTCCACAGCGCCACTAAGTGGATAGGCGGACACGGCACCACCATCGCTGGTGTAATCGTAGATTCAGGCAAGCATCATACGTGAAGTATACCGGCAATGTACTAATTGAATAACTGGATATAGGCAATTTCGACTGGACCAAATCAACCAAATTCCCCGGATTTACCAGCCCTTCGGAAGGGTATCATGGTTTGGTCTTCGCCGAAACCTTTGGTTCCGTCGCCTTTGCCGTCAAAGTCCGCACCGAGGTAAGTCGGCTATGAATAACATTTCATTATGTAGAATCCGAAGCTCCATTCTCGTGGATGATTTCTGACGATTGATCGGTTTCATTAAACAGCTTCTCCGAGATATTGGTCCGGCGTTGAATCCGTTCGCCGCGTTCCTTCTTCTTCAGGGGCTCGAGACTCTGAGTCTGCGAGGTCAGCGACACTCGGACAACGCTCTTGCTTTGGCACAGTGAGTCTACCCCCTCGCATTAGGTCATCACCGATGCTAACTCGCGTCGCAGGTGGCTAGAGCAGCACCCGAGCGTTGCATGGGTATCTTACCTCGGACTTCCTTCCCATCCTTCCAATGCGATCGCTCAGAAACTCCTGAGGGCTAAGAACGCGTATGGTGGAGTACTAAGCTTTGGCGTAAAAGCAGACGCCGCAACAGCGAGTAAGGTTGTCGACTCTCTCAAGCTCGCCAGTAACCTGGCGAATGTGGGCGATGCAAAGACGCTAGTCATCCACCCGGCCACTACGACACATCAGCAGCTATCTGATGAAGAGCAGCTCGCTTCTGGTGTTACCCCCGACTTGATTAGGGCGAGTGTTCCTTGGTTTGCCCATTCTGCGAGAAGATTACTGATCACTATATGGAATTCGTAGGTTTCGGTTGGAATTGAAGCTATCAGCGATATAATTGCTGACTTTGCGGAAGCATTGAAGGTCATTCCTAGTCAGTAGATGGGACAATGGTGAAGTGTAACTTGGATAATCTGTATCATTATGGGACGCGTTTGGACGAGCGATTGTCAGCACACGTTTAATGGCCCTGAACATCCGAATCAGGGAATACCCAGTAGCGACCTACGACGTAAGTGTCTCCCTTATACAACGCCGGTTTCTCTCCTTCCCTAATCCTACCCATCCACTTGGCTGTCAAACCCGCCACCCGGACGAACAACGTCCCGTCAAGGCATTCTGCGCCTTCGAGACCTGTATTGATGAACTCGACGTCTCCAGCTCCCCGAGTGCCATACAAAGCACCGTAATGAGCCAACGCGCGCATGAGTTTGGGGAGGTGCTCGTCGACGTGGACGATGCTTGATTGGAGGAGGGGGAGCCAGGGGTTGGGGGTGATGGCTGACGGAGACGACGGCGAGGGGAACGTCAGTACGAGAGGCGCTGGCTGCGGGCCAGGAGGTCTCGAATAGGCGGTGTCTGCTTTGAAAAACCCTCGTATGTCGGGTCGCTGGCGCCCGTGGCCAACCCACCAAGTCAGGCAGACCATCATGTACGACCGAAGAAGGAGCACTTGAGAACGAGGCGAAAGGTACGGCAGGACGGAGGGTAAGAAGAGACTTGATGTAACGAGATGCATACTGATGGGTATCCAGTCAATGGCAAGGTTGTAAGAATGGGAAGAAGGGGAACCCACTAGAAGAAATCGGCGTGCAGAATATCTCCTCCCTTCCAGGTGCTAATTCCGTAGATAATCGTGAAGAACCAAACGAGCTCCTCGAACTTCTTGGGGACCATCGTGGGATCGGTGGTGTCCAAAGTCCACTCATCGACGTACGACTTGATGATTAGCCCAACGTCTTCCATGGTCTTCGAATAGATCGCGAACGGGTCACTAACAACACGGTTGTCCAGACGGCTGTCCGCTAGCATTCGTGCCATCATCTTCAATGCGTGGATATTCTCCTTCGGAGCTTTTGCCGTTGGATTATCTTCGAGGACTAGCTTTTGCATAAGGTTTGTACTGACGACGATGCTTTGGCTTGCTGCATTGAATAGCTCAGGGTTGATGACTTTGGTAGAGGTCGTCTGGTGTATCGCCGCAGATGCCAAACCTAAGGCGCAAAGCTCCTAGTCAGGACAGCCGATAGGGGGGAACAGGGATGAACATACCTTCGACCAGCATACCCGGGATGTTGAGTTCTAAGCCATATCCGATATGGATGAGAGGGTGCACGATTGCGTCCAGCAGACGGCTAAGCATCTGGGGGTTCTTCTTCCCATCAGATTGCGATGGGAAATTCATCTCATTGGAGAATAGATATTTCTCAAGGACTTCGGAGACAGTATGGTCCTGTAGGACCTTGTAGAAGAAATGCATATATGCATTGTAGTACCTAATGATCATTGAAGTCAGAGATGCGACATGCTCAAATGAGCAAGGGGTACGCACGCGTGGTCCCCGAGATGCTCGACGAAATTACTTTCGTCAATCGGACCAGGAGATCTAAACGCAGGTTTCTGGTACGAGCAATTGGACTTGTACGCTGCCTTTATCACGTTCTCGTCGGCCCCAAGCGACCAAAGTGCCAACATATGGTGAGTCGCATGGCTGTTCACACGTTCAAGAGTTCGTCAACAAATAGCGCCATCACGATTGGCAGCAAAAATCTCACTTGTGTCGACCGTAATCATCGATGTATACATGCCATTTCTTGTAGTTGTCTTGCAGCACTTCGCGCAGAGCGGCGGTCGATGCTGGTGTGGATCCAGGATACACCTTCGGAGAAATGGCTGAAGGTGGATGAGGAGATGGGATAGGATAGAGCTTTGCCAGGTAGTTGTCCATTGTATGAGAGACTGAGTGTTATGCTGGAAGAGCCAATCGTAGGAGTATATATACCAATCGAGATGCATATGAGATCAATATGATGACCATCAATGCACGTTCAAAGAGTGGTCGTGGTTCTGCTCAATAATCAATATGTCACCAGACGCTCGCCAGCCCCATGGAACTTCTCGTGTGACCATCAACTGAATAGAGGCGGAGCGAGCCAACTGGACAAGGCGGCTTTCGACCGAATGAAGTATCTATCATGGTAAACAGCCAAAAGAAGTACGTACGAGGGAACGAAGTACGCGCTTAAAGTCGGCTGGACGTTTAAGGGCGTAAGACATGCGTAGTCATCCTGAATAATAAGTGTTTGGTGTCAGGACACCCATGAGAGAGACGAAACATCCGAATGACCGGTGCTCGCTGGCGATGAATCGGCACTGATGTGATTCGGAGACACCTGCTGGGAATGGTAGTTCTGTGAGAGACAGGCGGGCCGTTGATGCCAGGGAGAGAGCTTAGACTTAGACGTTTCGAGGTTTCAACGCGTATTCTGCTGGCTCGCTCATGAGAGGAACAATGCAATCATGTTAACTAAGCATGACATCCAATGGTTGTACATACACCCGATGCAAACACCAAGCACTCGACAATCTTCAAACTTTCAAGGGCGTGGTGCGCAGATAGGGCTACGTGAATCAAACCATCAGTTCGATACATAGGCGCTACAAAGGCGGCCGCCAGGTAGCCCATGCTTACCTTGTGGACAGTGTGCTCCGGAAATAGCGTCTTGGCTTCTTCGTTGCTAACGGAGGGGTGGACAATCACATCGTCACCCTTCTTCCAATTAACGGGGGTAGTGATACGGTGCTTGTCTCCGAGTTGCAAGGAGTCGATAACTCGGATAATTTCGTCCTGCATGCGCAAGTTGTAATTCTCCGGCGGAAAAGAGGTGTAATATAGACATACAAAGTTGCGACCGGTGGACGCGGGGTATGCAATCGTAAGACGGATGACTTTCTTGGGGTCGATGACGAAGACGGTTCGGATCTGGGGGTACAGTAAGAATCGCTCGGTCTATCAATAAAGGGACAACTCACAGTAAACGGCAACCCTTTGCTATCCTTGTTCGTCGCGTCTTGATAGTCAAGCATATCGTACAAAGTTGAGATCTTTCTGTCCGCGTCGGCAATCTGGACAATGACGCACCGCACGGCATTAGTAAATATGGAGGATGTATCATTCGCGCTTCACTGACAATAGGGAATTGGACATCGGTAGGCGCAGTTTTAGAGCCAAAATCGTTGATATCCTGCACCCATTTGTGATGCTCCTCAAGGCCATTAGCAGAGATCCCGATCACCTTGACATTGCGGGCTGCAAAGTCAGGGGCACGGCGAGCGACTTCTCCAAGCTCGGTGGTGCAGACTGGAGTGAAGTCTCCTGGATGGGAGAACAAGATGGCCTGTATCACAACAAATCAGTACAATCGTACGAGTATTCCACTGAAAGCGACCTGCCCATGAATCTCCAATCCAATCATGGAAATTGATGGTCCCGGCGGTGGTCTCTGCCTCAAAGTTAGGTGCAATATCGCCCAAGCGAAGGGATTGATGATGTGTGGCCATTGTTGTGAGGCTTAAAGTTGAATGAACTTTGCCATCTTCGCCAGACAGCCTCATCTTTTATAATCTACACGAGTGGGCCTCTCTCCCAATGTAGTGCACCAATGGTGGAATCAAGTCTAGAACTTAATTATCAGAACCAGGGCAAAGACTTCGAACTCACAGGACCCACTTGAGCATCTCGAGCATCAGACCACGACTTATGGGGGCGGAGACTCCTCGTTATTAGAACCAAGGCACAGAGATATCGAACATTTGAGCGGAACAATGATGTTGATTTGAACTTTGGTAAATTTCCCAGTGTTTGTTATTAGATGCACCAATCAGAAGGGACGTGAGCGAGTTGGCGTCGTTCCGTTGCCCTATGTGGTTCTCCCGGCTCTGGTCCTGGAATTATGGGAGCTGGCCATGCAGCGGGGAGAGACAGAGCGACAGCGTGCTATAAATGAGGAAAGCCGAAGGATCTAGCGGGTCGCGCGTGGGAGTGGGGCCTGATAGAATTGCGCGGGCTCCAAAGCTCCAGTGAAGGATGTCAGCATCAAGCGACATCCTCAATTTTACGTTCGACACCGCGTGTTCACGATCGAACGCGTCCATTTCACCTGGCCGTTCGAATTGGGGACTTGATGGTGGGAGTCGCCGCGTCGCGACGGAACGCGTTGTCCATATTTGGTAATCCATCAACAAGTGCACGTCGCACTGGCAGGTTCTTGGCTGAAGTACTGCAAACGTATCCACGAAACTGCTTCAGCACTTGGATGTTCGGGCACGAACTTGTAGTTCCTGCGCACTACTCACCTCTGCCACTGTGCATGGATGCTTCACAAATGTCTCTTGCAGACTCATGATCAAGTGGGTTTCGCCTCAGTATCATAAGTGCCCAGGAACTTCTGCCAACAACTTCCACTGACAGGTTGCGCCATTTAGACTGATGGAAACGCAATATCTCAACCTACTGATGCGTTCAACATGGGAGACTGTCGCCCCCCACCCAGAATAGCTATGATGATGGTCTTCGACAGCGGAACTTTTACTAGTGAAATTTGGAAACCCCAATAGATTCTCCCACTGTCAGCATAGAAACTCGTTTGAAGCTCTCAAACCTCCCCCTCCGAAACCTTGGTTTTGATCGGCGTTGGTGAGTCCAATTGCAAAATCTAGTCCTTGTTTCTAACTTTGGCGGAAAGAAATCATGACCAGGAAACCAGATGATAGTAACAGGTCTAGTCAGAAAACACCTTGATTATCGGCCGCATGAACTATCGTGGCACTCAGCTCCACATCGAGCCCGCCAAAGTTAGCCGTGACAAGTACTCAAACCGGTCAACATAATGAAGTGACAACATGATACGAACTTCTTTGTCCATTTGGCCCAGACCGTGAACTTGAAGACACTCAGACACTAAGGGCACCAACCAGATCTTCTTGAATCACACCGAAATAAAGTCTATAAGTACTAACCGCCTTTCATTCAGTCGACATCGAATATTCCCGTAATGGATTATCCTGGCTTGGATATGAGCACAACCTTGGGCCCCGTGTATTGGGGTGAGTATTATACCGTCATCTTCAACGTTGTGCTCAGTTTTGATTAAACTAGGGACTGTTATTTCCTTGGTGTATGTCACATTCCTTAGCTACTGATCTTAGGCTGAGCTTGGTTTGCGGACACTCAAGCCTTGGAGGAATAACTGTTCTTCAAGCCTACATATATTTCCCCCATCCTTCCGACCGACTATTCATCCAATTAACGGTCAGTCGTGCCCGTGGCTATACAAGAGTCCCACTCTTAACCCCTTATTTCTGTAGGCGGGATCCATGGTGTAAGACCGTGCAGCTAAGGCGTGCAATTAGACATTGATTGTAGCTCTACTTCAGAGTCTTTGACTTTGTCTCCAGCGCTCTTGTTGCGCAATCAGTGTATTATTACACGGTTCGTTCCCATTGTTCAACTGTCATTTTTGCTCAACCAGCGTCTGCAGGTTCCTCATTTCGGTTCAGTCGTCCCTCTTGCTAGCATAACCCCGTTCGTCTGAATGTTCTGTTAAATTTCGCCAACTAACTATTATATTAGGGAGCTTTCTGCGGAATGCCTCCTTTCAACAATCATCACATTCATGTTCGTATACCTCTACAAAAATACGAAAGCGGCTGTTGATATCGGCCCTCAGCTCACAGTTGTACTTCGTTATCCAAATCAATGCCGGTTAGTCCACATGTCAACTTGCTCTCAACTACTCGGTTCATCTGTGGTCTAGTTACCAAGACCGGTCGCGCAAGTCGGATAATCCCTATCTCCGTTGTATGTTATCGATTCATCCACAATGTCTATTTCTCCATCTAACGTTCGAAAAGGGGTTGTTTTCAATCCTTGCATTCGGTATGTTTACTCCTTTATACATGGGATGCAGAAGGCTTTAACATCCTTCCGTCTGGTCAAGTATTTGGCGTTGGTGGGTAATTCCTCTCTGTGTTTTTGCCATTTCTCAATTAACTGCCTTGATCCAGCGTGCACTAGCGTCATGTTCATTTTTCATCACAATGTACTGGATAATCGGGAAGAACACTTTGAGGTATGCCTTCAACCCCAATCACAAGTAATCCATTGAATGTGGCCTACTTTAGCGGTTTTTCGGTTTGGCTAAAGGGTTTGGTGCTCTCACAGACATCATCGCTACGATTGCTATGTGCAAGTTGCTATCAGATTCCAAGACTGGGATTACTTCGTAAGGATGTTCAATGATAGCCCGGATGCCTGTGGCCTCTGAATGTTGTCGCAGCACCCATAGCCTTCTGAAATCTCTGATCCGCTTCATTGTCCATCGCGGTGTGCTCGTGACCCTTATTCAGACGCTCCTTCTCATAACCTTCTATGCTGTGCCCTCTAACCTTGCTTGGTAAGTGCCGCTCTGGCATTCGTAAATCATGCCATTCTCACATCTTTACTTAGGCTGGCCTTCCATGTGAACGTAACGAAGCTTTATGCGAACACTTTCTGTAAGTTTATGCTCTGTCTCAAACCGCTCCCGCAGGCAAGGATTGACGGCAATTATAGTTGCCATGTAAGGTTACGAAGCTCGAATGCTATTCATATTGATTCATGAGAACCTTTCCTTCCCGACATAGGTTGAACGCACGTGAACGCCTCAAGGAGCGATACACCCCAAACACGACCAGCATCACTAACTTCTCCCAAGGTCGCCTGTCAACAAAACAGGCAGCTGCTAGTAATAAACAGATGGACACAGCCTTCCAGGTATGCACATGCTCAGCGTACTATAATCTAAGAGACTCAGACCTTTGCAGGATGCTTGTGATGATGGGGGATCATTCCCAATGCACGCCATGCCAACGGTCACCAAAACCGTCCTCATATCTGATCTCTGAAGGGCTCTCGATATGCGCAGCTTCAGAGTCTGCCCAAGGACCGGTTCATATCTCTCCTGTTCTACCCTCCAAATTCCGAGTCGCCTGTCCCCCGTCGCAGTCGTTGGTTCTGTAGTTTGGTCATGATTGGTTTCTATACTGGAACTTTTAAAGTATGTGGTAATTGTATCGTCAATCAAGTTCGACTTCTTTCATCACCCATGGATGCGGAAATCTGTGGATGTCACGAGAAACAAGTCTCGCGACACGCTCCGCGTTTGAGTACGAGTAATCCGACATCGTTGCAGTTCAAAGTGACACAACTGGTCAGATTGGCGAGGAACAATTTGACCCTTCTCACCCGGAATTCTCTAATCATGGCATGAATAACGAGCGGGACGAGTTCAAGTTAAAGAAGTTTGTGGATTGGTATAACGGTCGAGGGTAAGTAAAGTCGGTTCTTGCGGCATGTCTGCAACAGCCTCATCCTCTAGAGATAACTATTCGTGGCTCCTTCAAAGCTCGGCGAAGATATTCCGCTTTTAGAAATTCGCAAAATAGAAAATCTGGTGACGAGAGAACTGTGACCGGATCGTCTTCTAAAGATGGCTCCGAGCTGAATAGCTTCGATGGCCCGTGTGGCTCTCACAAGGGTTCGACATGTTTAATTTTACTGACTTGCTTCCCACTACCTTCAGATATTGTAACGATATGCCTCCCGCTGGAAGGTAACACTGCTGCACCATACACTCGCGCCATTGCTCCTGCCCTCCTGAAAGACTGCCCTCCTCCGGCGCCTACTCCTCTACATCTTTCAATTTCTGGCCTCCGAGGTAAGCACGATGGCGGAGCTTCTCGTTGTGGTACTACTTCATTGCCACGATGTACTTCTGAGGTAATATTACCTGAAGCTCGACTTGCTGACTCCAGCTTCTATTTCAAGGATTTTCTAGACTATTGTAGGTTGTGGGCCACTCAGTCACAAGATGAGCCCCCACACAGTACGAACCATATGGACACCTTACGGTGTTCTTGTATGAACGACCATCGGATGTATAAAAGACCCTAGCCGTTCAACTTCAGGATGTTCATTGTGCAGAATCTGACATGCGCCTATACTCTACTATCCTCTTCTGGCTGCCTACCTTCATCAGGGGGGTCCGTTTCGGTAGGTCTTAGTGTGCTAGGTCACATAAACAACCCGATGTTGACGTCCCTTCAGTCAGCACCCAAAAGCTCGTCTCACAAGTCCCTATACCTCCCAAGCAATGTATCATAGCAGAGACTTGGCCGGTCGGTCCAGGTCAAGATCTTATACCACAAGCTCCTGATTCAGAACTTCAACAAATACTTCGTAGCGTCGACCCGAAACTCGTCATTAGAAAACTTGTCTCGTTTAGAGCAAGGCATACACTCTCGGAGCAAACCGATCCCGTCCAGCGTAGGAGACCATATGCCTCCACTTAAGCCCACCCTTATCATTAGCTCATAAAAGACGAATCGTAACAAGTGAATTTCCCATGATGGTGCATACGTATAAACAGCATTGGATACTTCAGACATCTTAGACTTTGAAAGGAGTAGTGCGGAGGTACGGCTGCAAATTAAATCGAAGTCGTCAGCGATCTAAACTTCATATATAAAGGCCGTTTCTTATCATACCTTATGCACAGTGTGCTCCGGAAATAGTGTTTTGGCTTCTTCGTTGCTGACGGAGGGGTGGACGATCACATCGTCACCCTTCTTCCAATTAACGGGGGTAGTGATACGGTGCTTGTCTCCGAGTTGCAAGGAGTCGATAACCCGGATAATTTCGTCCTACAGCAGCAAGTTGTGAATCTCTGGCGGAAAAGAGGTGTGATATAGACATACAAAGTTGCGACCGGTGGACGCGGGGTATGCAATTGTAAGACGGATGACTTTCTTGGGGTCAATGACGAAGACGGTTCGGATCTGGGGCTACGGTAAGAAAGTCGCTCATCTATTTAATGAAGAGACGACTTACAGTGAATGGCAAGCCTTTGCTATCCTTGTTCGTCGCGTCTTGGTAGTCAAGCATCCCATACAAAGTGGAAATCTTTCGGTCAGCATCCGCAATCTAGACGACGATCAGTATATACGAAGACCTTTTCTTTGTGGTTCACTGACAATGGGGAATTGGACATCGGTGGGCGCAGTTTTCGAGCCAAAATCGTTGATGTCCTGCACCCATTTGTGATGCTCCTCAAGGCCATTAGCAGAGATCCCGATCACCTTGACATTGCGGGCTGCAAAGTCAGGGGCACGGCGAGCGACTTCTCCAAGCTCAGTGGTGCACACTGGAGTGAAGTCTCCTGGATGGGAGAACAAGATGGCCTGCATCACAACAAATCAGTACAATCGTACGAGTATCCCACTGAAAGCGACCTGCCCATGAATCTCCAATCCAATCATGGAAATTGATGGTCCCGGCGGTGGTCTCTGCCTCAAAGTTAGGTGCAATATCGCCCAAGCGAAGGGATTGATGTTGTGCGGCCATTCCTGTGATAGCTACTAGATGAAACTTGGAGGAAGGTGACTGCCATCTCCATAGTTAACCAGGTACTTATAAATGAGTTCCCGAGCTTGTTCATCAAGAGTCCTCATGTGAGTCCTGCATGGACACTGGCTCCAGACGCATAATCGTCACATTGTAACTTACCGTTCGGACAGTTGGGGGCTTCGATGTGTGGGTGCTCTCCCATGGTGCCAATGTAACGCATTGAGGCGAAATCCACGGATCTTGACATCAATCATCGATTGTAGACTAGAACCCTTGATTGCACGGAGACTTCGAGGTAACGGAGAAGACCGTTATGTCGTAGTCGGGGACAAGTCGGGGATTCCCCGAAATGTAGAAGCGCCCGAGACTCCAAAGTTGATCTCCTCCAAAGTCAACTACTAATCCATTACTCCCGCTCTTAAGATTCGCAGATGACCTCAATATTTGTACTGTTTAACTGATGTAGCCCGTGCGTTTCTATAGTATGCGCAGTGAATCAACCAAGAATCAACACCTTATAAATGGCTCCATTTGTGCAAGCCATCAAAGTTCAAGTACGTACATGTTGTCTCTTCTTCAGCAAAATCTTGATACATGTGAACGGCAGGTTGCGGGGTGACGACACTCTATCTACGCCCTCCATCATGGAAGCTAGCTTGCCAGCCTGAGGGAGCGTTCTCGAGCCCACCATGATGGCGGCATTGGGCGGCTGGTAGCTCCAATAGTTCTGGCACCGGAAGCGTAGAAGTGTACGAAGCACCCACGACTCTCAGAAGCTTTCATTTGATCGGCGTTGGTGAGTTCGTATCGGCGGTGCTCTGTTGGTGGCCTGTGAATGAAAGTACCAATTTGTGGTATCACTGACTTCACCAGAATCATTCGAATCGACACGGCGACATGGTCTTGTTGGCTTGAGCCTGGCTGCCAAAGGGTCAGCCAGACGGCCCTGTGTCGAGCCCGTCAATGTCAGTCGTTTTACTCAAACTGATCGACATAATGATGCATACCCCATAAGCAAATTAACCCGACAACGTGAGATGAACCTATTGCTTAAGGTTCATGTCGCGGCCCAGTTGGGCCCAAAGTAGATAGCCATCAACGTCTACATAGAGGCGCCAAGTACTCACTTAGGGGACTTCTTCAGGCTGCAGCGAAGCAAAATCTATATAAACTGCAACCACCTTTCTGTCTAATTACACCGAATACTCCTATAATGGATTTCGCTGGCTTGGATATGAGCTCAACGTTGGGTCCTGTGTACTGGGGTGAGTTTCAATCGTTGAACCGTCATTTCCGGCACCGTGCTCAATATTCAACCAGGGACTGTTATTTCCTTGGTGTACGTCCCATCCCCCCGACTACTGACCTCGAACTCAGTCGCGCTTGCGGACGCTCTAGCCTCGGAGGAATAACTGTCCTTCAAGCCTACATATACTTCCCTCATCCTTCAGACCGTCTATTCATCCAATTAACGGTCAGTCATGCTCATAATCTCTCAAGAACCTTGTGCTGAGCCTCTTAATAGGCAGGATCCATGGTGTAAGACTGCTCAAGCGTTCAAATACCAGACATTGATTGTGACTACACTTCAGAGTCTTTGACTTTGTCTCTAGCGCTCTTGTCGTTCAATCGGTGTATTATTACATGGTTCGTCACCTTCGCCACTGTTGGACGAGTTTACTGCTGAAACATTGTCTTCAGATTCCCCATTTCGGCTCAGTAGTCCCTTTGGCCAGCATCACACCGTTCGTCTGGGTGCGAATACTCTACCCCACTTCGCCTACTAACCATCCCATCAGGGAGCTTTCTGCTGAATGCCTGCTTTCAACAATCATCACATTCATGTATGTGTTTATCCCTAAAGCTGCAGAACGGTCATTGACATTAATCCCACCAGCTCGCAGTTATACTTCGTTGCGCAAATCTATGCCGGTAGGTCCACTTTTCAACCTCCTTCCAAATTGCTGTACATTGTGCTGTAGTCACCAAGACCGGTCGGGGAAGTCGGGTAATTCCTATCGCCGTTGTACGTCATTCGCAGTGTTTATGGCACCATCTAACGTCCATCTGCATCAAGGCGTTATTTTCGATTCTTGCGTTCGGTAGGTGTATCTCTGTGGGATCCACAAGACTCTAACGTCCTTCCGATGGGAAAAGTGTTTGGCGTTGGTCGGTCTCTCTCCTCGCTGACTTAGCCGCTCCTCATCTAACAACCCTTCCAGCGTGCACCAGTGTCATGTTCCTTTTCCACCACAATGTACTGGATCACCGACAAGAACATTTCGAGGTACACTTTGGTTCCATTCCTGCCACAAGATTCTTCTCTAAACATAGCCGGTGACAGCGATTTTTCGGCTTGGCCAAAGGCTTCGGTGCTCTCACAGACATCATTGCTACAATTGCTATGTGCAAGTTGCTGTCGAATTCCCGGACCGGCATCAATTCGTAAGAATGTCCATGGATTACTTGTATGTTCGTGCCTAAGTGTCATTCTACAGCACTCGTAACCTTCTTAAATCACTGGTTCGATTCGTTGTGCATCGAGGCGTTCTTGTGACTCTCATCCAGACACTCCTTCTCATAACATTCTATGCCATGCCCTCTAACCTCGCCTGGTAAGTGCTACGTGGTGTTCCATTGAATATCCCCCACTTACATCATTTACTTAGGTTGGCCTTCCATGTGAACGTCACGAAGCTGTACGCGAATACTTTCTGTGAGTATATGTTCTATCTTGAACCACTCCCACATGAAAGGATTGACGGCAACTATAGTTGCCATGTAAGGTTACGAAGCTTGATTGTTATTTATTCCCTGAGCGCTTCTTACTACGCAGGTTGAACGCACGAGAACGACTCAAGGAGCGATACACACCGACCACGACAAGCATCACCAACTTCTCCCAAGGTCGTCTGTCAACAAAGCAGGCAATCGCTAGCAACAAACAGGTGGATGTGGAGTTCCAGGTATGCATATGCTCGGCGTGCTATGATTCAGAGACTCAGTCCCTTGCAGGATACTTGTGATAATGGGGGATCGTTCCCGATGCACACTATGCCAACGGTCACCAAAACCGTCCTCATATCTGACCTTTGAATAGCACACGATGTTTGAAGCTATCTCGTAGTTTGGATCTCTTCTTATCTAGCCGTATTAAGTTCTCGAATTTCCGAGTCGCCTTCCCCCATCGAAGGCATTGGTTCTTTGTTCTAAACATGACGGTTCCCAAATGGAACTTGACTGTACAATCACCGCATACTTCGAAAGTTCGACTTCCACTAAAATGGAATACGCAATATATCCAGAAAGACAAGCCTCAACTTATGTGACACATTCTGCGTTTGAGTACGAGCACGGGGCCCTACATTCTACATTGCAGCAATTCAAAATAGCGCGATTTATACAGCACTAGCTAGATCTGTCTTCCTTCAGGCTGTATACCCGAAACGCATATGGACTCCCGAAGGTTCTAGATGTATTGGGCTGATGGTGCTCTGTCCTTCGACGAAGCAAGGGAAAAGTTGTCGCTGGAATCCATAGGGGCAGTAATTGAAACCCAGAGTATCAGGTGATTGCGTTGTTGAGCCTATTCGGCGCGATGGTCAGTCAACAACATCAGTGCCACTCAAGCTATGTTCGCCACCAAATCAGCAATCGGATGTGGGCCATTCATGGAAAATGTGCTCAGGTTGCTTGCTGTGGTAGCACCTGCTTGATTCACGATCCCATCCAGAGGCATCTTGTGAATATTTGGTCAACGACTCATAGTACATAGATTCACATACCAGTACAACTTGCCCCTTGGCCGGAAGTCACATTCAGTTACTTTGTCTAGTCCAGGTAGAGGTCGGTTTCAGGTTATTTTAACGCATCTATCTCATATTTTTCCGTCAAGGACGAACTCGAACTCATCTACGCCAATGGTATTCTCCAGGCAATTATTGCGGTATGTCTACAAATTTTCTGTCTAGGAATACTGCGCTAACTATACCATGCATCTCTAAAGCGTAATACGAAAAGTACGGCTGCCCGGCTCCTTCGAGGTTCGGCAAATGCATCCCGCTATCAGAAAGTCACTGTTCAAGGAATCTGGTGACGGATTATTATGAGAGCTGAATGACTGCTGAGAAAAGTCTTTCGTGGCCAGCTGCAAATTGTATTGGCGCTTCTAAAGATGGACCCAAGCTGGGCGGCTTCGGTGGTGCGTGTCTAATTTCATTATTGACTTGCTTCCCGCCAATCTCAGGTATCGTGGACCGTATGCCACACGATGGAATGCAATAGCATCGCACTATATGCTCACTGCTGCTCTGCGGAAAGACCACTTTCCTCCAGGGCACCTACTGTTCTACATACTCAAATATCTGCTCTCCGAGGTAAGCCCTTTTAGCACAGTGACGAAGCTTCGATGAAGCGTTCCGTATGTTTCTGTGATACGATCGTGGTGAACCCCTTCGATAATACCTCCAAATAACCGACCGGTGCCCCTCTATCCCCTTTCCTTCCTTATGGTTTGCACTCGTATCAGCAACTGTACTTCATCACCACGATGTGCTTTGGCTGCTGTGAGATAATTCTACCTGAAGCTAGATTTGCTGACCTCCGTGTTCTATTTCGAGGAATTTCTAGACTATTGTAAGTCGCGGGCCACTCAGTCACCAGATGAGCCCTAAACAGTACGAACCATATGGACACCTTATGGCGTTCTGAAAATCGAACAAGTATAGGATATATAAAGGATCCTGGTTGTCCAACACCAAGATATCCCTCGTCCAGAATCTGCCATGCGCTTATACCTTACCGTCCTTCCATGGCTACCTATCCTCATCGGGCAAATCCATTTCGGTAGGTACTCTTGATCTGCTAGGGGATGGACTAATTGATGTTGAAACCCGTTCAGCCCGCCCTCAAAAGCTCACCTCTCGAGTGCCTATACCTCCTGAGCAATGCATCATAGCAGAGACTTGGCCTACCGGCCCAGGTCAAGATCTTGTACCACAGGCCCCTGATGCAGAGCTCCAGCAAATGCTTCGAAATGTCGACCCCAAACGTATTGAAGCCATTATCCAAAAGCTTGTCTCGTTCGGAACACGGCATACGCTTTCGAATCAAACTGATCCCGTCAGAGGTATCGGTGCTGCAAGAGACTGGATCGCATCCGAGATGCGCTCCTTTTCTCAGGCTTCAGGTGGGCGAATGAAAGTTTCCGTCCCCAGCTATGTCCAAAAGCCGGCGAACCGAATTCCCGTCAACACCGTCATCAGCGACGTTGTGGCTACACTACGAGGCTCGAGCGAACCCAACCGCGTGTATGTCATCTCAGGTCACTACGATTCCCGCGTAACCGACATCATGAACTTCGCCGATGACTCGCCTGGAGCCGATGATGATGCCTCCGGTGTAGCTACCGTCATGGAACTCGCCAGGATCATGGCTTCTCACCGACCAGCCGCAACCATCGTCTTTGCCGCAGTTGCGGGCGAAGAACAGGGATTGTATGGTGCAGACTTCCTCGCGCAATCGCTGGTGGACTCTGGGGTTGATGTCCAGGGGATGCTGGACAATGATATCGTGGGGAGTTCCACCGCTGACGACGGCACTCGTGATCCATTCGTTATACGCATGTTCGCGCAGGGTGTGCCCTCGAGTGAAACGGCCTCTCAAGTCTCAACAAGGTTATCCGTTGGTGGCGAAAATGATTCGCCAGCAAGACAGCTGGGCCGGTTCGTGACTGAGGTTGCAGCCAACGATGTGACTGAGATGTCCAGTTAAGCGTCCTTGGTGATACCCTCTATTGTTGCCGCCTACTAACGTCATCGCCAACCTTTCAGTCGAAATGATATACCGTCAGGATCGATTTCTCCGTTCGGGAGATCATATCCCCTTCCTCCAACGCGGTATCGCAGCAGTTCGATTCACGGAGCCTCACGAGGATTTCAAGCACCAGCACCAAGACGTTCGCGTCGACAACGGCGTTCAGTTTGGTGATCTCATCGACTTCGTCGATTTTGAATTCACAGCCCGAGTAGCGAGGGTTAACGGTGCCGCATTGTGGTCTCTGGCCAACGCCCCTGGCACGCCTAAGAATGTCACCATCAATACGTCGGCGCTAACCAACAACTCTACGCTTACCTGGGCGCTGGACAATCATGCGACAGGGGGGTATGAGATTGTGTATAGGAACCCTCACGAGCCATTCTGGACACACGTCGTTCCCGTTGGTCGCAGCAACACAGCGACGCTGAAACTGTCTAAAGACAATGTCAATTTGGGTGTAAGGGCTGTGGGATCCAACGGGTACAAGAGTCCAGCAACCTTTCCGTTCCCCGGTTAGGACGTTTTGAAGGCACGGTCTGTACCCATGTAGATGATGGGCGTTCATCTACGCAATAGACCCTATGAATCTCATGTCTCATCAATGACCACGTTTTGGATTCTCGCCCGATCGTTCGTCGATGGTATTTTTGAAACGGTGTTGCATTTCTGCGATCTTCTATGTACCAAGGTGCTTGAGATATAAACTGGGGCCAAAGTCGTCAACCTACACTCAGCGTCGACAGGAGCTGTTTCATAGGGGATAGGGATAGAAGACAGGAGGGCTCCCTTCAGACCGAAACCGCAATTAGGCTGATAGTATCTAGCATCAGGATTTGAATCGTCAATACGGTATCTATTTGCGTGCTCAATGCGCCACAGCCAAGATCAAGGCGTAGGAAGCCGTATGTCTGCATTCAAGCTTAACCTTATCATTGACCCATGTTTGACGAATGGTAAACAAGTGAATTTTCCATGATGATATACATACATATAAACAGCAGCGTGTACTTCACATATCTTGGACTTTGATTAGACTTTGAAAGGAGTGGTGCGCAAGTACGGCTGCCAGATAAAGTCGTCAGCAATCTGGACTGGGTATACAAACACCGCTTCTTATCATACCTTGTGTACAGTGTGCTCTGGGAACAGAGTTTTGGCTTCTTCGTTGGTAACAGATGGGTGGACAATCACGTCATCGCCCTTCTTCCAGTTGACGGGGGTAGTGATACGGTGCTTGTCACCAAGTTGTAAGGAGTCAATAACTCGGAGGATTTCATCCTGTAGATAGAAGATGTAAGCTGATGAAGCAGATATCCTGATAACGGACGTACGAAGTTACGACCAGTGGATGCGGGGTATGCAAGTGTTAGGCGAATGACCTTCTTAGGGTCAATGACGAAGACCGTTCGGATCTGAGAAGAGCAGGTAAGAAACCAGTTGATCTACGTTATTGCGACACTTACAGTGAACGGCAAGCCCTTCGCGTCTTTGTTTGTGGCATCTTGATAGTCAAGCATGTCATACAAAGTAGAGATCTTCCTGTCAGCATCGGCGATCTGAAACACGGTGAACGGTGCGTCAGAGATCAAACTAAGTGTTCAGTGTTCACTTACGATGGGGAACTGGACATCAGTGGGAGCCGTTTTGGAGCCAAAATCGTTGATATCTTGCACCCATTTGTGGTGTTCCTCGAGACCATTGGCTGAGATACCGATCACCTTGACGTTGCGAGCAGCGAAGTCAGGGGCACGGCGAGCAACTTCTCCAAGCTCGGTGGTGCAGACTGGGGTGAAGTCTCCTGGATGGGAGAACAAAACTGCCTGGAGATCGTCGGATCATTAAGACATCTTCGCCCATTGGAAGTAAAGATGCTCACCCATGAATCTCCAATCCAATCGTGGAACTTGATGGGCCCAGCGGTGGTCTCCGCCTCAAAATCGGGGGCGATGTCACCGAGACGAAGAGACTTGTGTGCAGCGGCCATTGATAGTATGGGGGATTTGCTACGAAGGTAAAGTTCAATTGACTGTGTGCTTTCCCCCTTTTATATATCGTGGATTGCCAATTGGAAAGTCTTGCGAATCGATCACCAACGAATGGTATCACTGATGCAAGTATGGCACCATCCATCTGCTATCCTGAGCCGTGACCTGCTTGGGTAAACCACTGCACACGCTCTAGGCAAGGAACTTTTCCTTGACTCTTCCTTTTCAGCTTCGTTCTGCCGATAGACTATGGATCTTCAAATAGATCGTGATCAACGTAGATGTGGGCGATGAATGGATGACCTCTAATATAATTTCAGGACCTACACCCTTGCCCATTGATCGTCTTTCGTGTGAGGTGCAGCTTACTTGCAAGACGCTCGTGGGATGGCGTGAGAGTTGTTGCAATAGGGGCATCCCACCGGCTATTACTCTCGATTGGACACGAACGTTCAACGCAGGACATCGCGTATCTGTTATTGACATGCTTCTGTGCACTCGTAGGCGCAATTATAGCAATCTCTATTTGACGACATGGACCCACCACCGTTTTCACAGGCCTAGGAAAATTCATCGCCGACGAGGAGCTGCTGGATAGAATGGTTGGATCCACTCTGATTGAATTTTGTCGCTCACACACCGTACTACAATAGGCACACGATGAGCACGCGACCATGATGCATGAAGCTTAGAGGCACTAGGGCTGTGATGGCAAATTCGCAGCTAGGGCGGCGATTGTTTCCGTGTCCATGAAAAGATGCGAACACGGCGACTTTCAGAATTAAGTGCCAGTGGGTGGTAAGAATATGCTAGCACGAGGTAGATCTAAAATGCCGACTTTAAGGGCGTCGAGAAGCGACAGGTATGTTGGTGCCTGGTCGGGACCGGGAGCCCCGCCACTTCGCACGTCCTATCCAACTGTTGCGTTGCAGAGGCCTACACCATGAGCACTCACTTCGCATGGTGACGGATGAAGCGGGGAAACCTGCGATGATTACAGTGCGTTGCATAATAAACTGGACTGATCGCCCGTGAAAATGTGTTTGTTCTTGCTTGATTGTGACAGGATCATCACGCTCCCCCGGCGCTTACCTGATTTCGTGCCTTTCGATGTCGCCGCCATGAATGGGCTCAACAGCGACGGCTGTGAACGCACACAAGTCCTTAGCCATCCGCAGCGTTGTCCACGAATGAATGTGTCGCGTCGAACACAGGCTCGACCAAGCCCAGCCCAGCCGTGTGTACGTTGGTTAGTTTTGTCGTCGACACTGGATTCATCTAGCCAGACGAAGTATGTAGCTGGAAGGTGACCATATTCGCCTTGCCACGTTGCTCGAAGGAGCTCATTCCGTTCAATGGCGGCCTTCGCAATTTGTTTGTGGGTCAGCGAAAGCCTGTGAAGGCTACGAGAGATCGTCGCCAGCGAAACATCGATATCGCGGTATGTTGAAAGGTGTTCCTGTAGCTCGTCAAGATATATTGCAGGATTTGCTTCGAGAAGCGAGGATATGTAGTTCAAATCGTTGATATCGAGGGCACGATGGCGTCCTCTCTGGCGCGCGAATGGGTTACTGACGATGCCATAATCTCGATCAAGTTGGAGGACGGAATAAACCGTGCTTCTGGAGCACCCAGCAAGCTGCGCTATTTCTTCCACCTCTTTCTTCTGCTCATACCGCCAAACGAGAATGTGTTCACGCAGATCTTTCGATAAGTGAGGTGCCATAACGAGTACGAGCTGATACGGTGATATCACTACTAATATCCCGGCGCTTGATGCGTGACATGTCACGAGCAAACTCAAACAAACAGTTTTCAGATCCGGCGTTGTCCAGTTTATTATGCAACACACTGTAGGATCATTTACACACAGTTTCCGTGCCTCTGTTTGCGGAAGTTACAGCCCAGTACGGCATTTATGGAATGATCGCCTTTATATATCCTGTACTAACTCCGATGAGGAATAGACATACGATGGAAGGCTACGGAAGCCTATTCGCCCTCACATAAAAAATGCGATCTTCCCGCTTCTACCTCCTGTACCATCTCAGCCTCCGGGGCGGCACCAATTCGGTACCGCCTGGATACTGCCGTCCCTTTTGAAGAACCAGGACGTCAATCAGACTTCCGGCCTCTCGCAGTGGAAGGTAATGACATTAGGGTCCGGGTCGTTCGATCAACCTTTCCCTGACCTTGTTGAACAGGAACTGCAACATGTATAAGATATAAATACGCCGTCCTCTTATCTTTTTGCTCGGTTTGCCGTCTGCTTCTTATCCTCTTTTCCTCTCTCGCGCTCTGCAATGGATTTCGACGGCTTGGATATGAGCACGACTTTGGGCCCTGTCTACTGGGGTGAGCCTTGGCTACCGTTCCTCTGCAATCGAAAGCTCAATTCTATTAGGCACTGTCATTTCGTTGGTGTAAGTTGCGTCTCGAATCCCTGACGAACTTGAGCTGAGCCAACGAAAACGGATGTTCAGGCTTGGGGGAATCACCGTTCTCCAAGCTTACACATATTTCCCTCACCCCTCAGACCGTCCCTTTATCCAAGTAACTGTGAGTGAATCCTCTCGTAGTATCCTTCGGGTTCCTAAACTACTCACAGGCGGCTTCCATGGTGTATGTCCCCCCGCCACGATCAATCGAACAGATTTTTACCATACTTACAGAATCTTTGATTTTGTGTCATCCGCCCTCGTCGTTCAATCGGTGTATTACTACTTGGTACTTCGCCTTCGCCGTCCAGGAGGCAAGTCCCGCTGAAATTCTCCAACAGGTGCCGCATTTCGGTTCTCTGGCACCGCTGGCCAGTATAACACCGTTCGTTCAGTTCTCCGAAGTGCCTTACTGTACGAAATAAACGGATTGTAGAGAGCTCTCCGCAGAATGCCTGCTTTCTTCAATCATCACCTTCATGTAAGCGTTTCCCAAGTTGCCTCCGGTTCAACCACTGAACTTTCTTAGTTCTCAATTCTACTTCGTTGCTCAAATCTATGCTGGCAAGTGGCGCGTGTACTACCTCTGACCCAGTTCTCTAAACTGCGGCATAGTTACTAGGACGGGTCGCGGAAGTTGGATGGTCCCCGTTTTTGTGGTGAGTACACCACGTAACGCTTTTCTTTGTGTCGGTCGATTTATCTTTGATGATAGGCTGTATGTGCAATCCTTGCACTTGGTACGTTGCTTCGTTATCAAATAGGTTGGAAGGGGTGTTGACATCTTTGTTTGTCAAGTCTTCGGTGTCGGTAAGAATTCTTCCTTTAGAACTGATCAAATTTTAATTCCAGAGTTAGCGTGCACCAGTGTTATGTTTGTTTTCCACCACAACGTACTGGGAGACCGCCACCGTCATTTCGAGGTAAGCCATCTTCATCCACACCAATGAATACTCGCCATCCGACACTTCGTCCGTCTAGCTATTCTTTGGGTTAGCCAAGGGGTTCGGGGCTCTCACAGACATCGTTGCTACCGTAGCAATGTGCAAGTTGCTCTCCAACGCTGGGACTGGCATGAGCTCGTACGTCCTCACAGCGGCCCACCTACTACCATTGACTAAAGGATACATACAGAACTCATAGTCTCCTTAAATCTCTGATTCGTTTTGTTGTTCATCGTGGCGTCCTTGTGACTTTGATTCAGACGCTCTTACTGATAACGTTCTACGCTGCCCCAGCAAACTTGGCCTGGTACGTCTCGTCAGCGACACGACAAACGTTCCAGAGGCCTGAACGTTTTCATAGGATGGCGTTCCATGTCAATGTTACGAAACTCTACGCGAATACTTTCTGTGAGCCTCTTCTGATCCCTTTGGTCTACTGAATCATTGAGAATAGCCTGCAGTTGCTATGTAAGTTGATCTACACACGCCCCTAGCACATAATAGGCACTAAACGGGAATTCGACGCAGGCTAAATTCGCGGGAACAACTCAAAGACCGCATTGGCGTAAGCACGACGAGTTTCACCAACCTCTCACAAGGTCGCCTGCCCACCAAGCAGACAGTCATGAGCGCCAAACAGATTGACGCAGAGTCGCAGGTACCTATGCACTGTATCTGATGCCTCATACCCTGATTTATCCCTTATCAGGATCGAGATTATGATGGTGGTGCCTACCATATGCACTCCATGCCTACAGTTACCCAGACGGTGATGATATCTAATCTCTGATAGACATACGGACCATTTCCTTGCATATTATCGACTCTGCAATGCGCGTTTATAAACTATTCGTTGTTTACCGTTCAATGAACATTGCGATGCACCTCAAGGCTGATCATCTGATCCCTCCGGAAGTCTGCGTAAACCTGTATCCCGTATTGCTTAGTTGTCGCTGTACCAAGGATTCATCATACCCACCCCTCCAGTTAGCAACATGGCCACTGGCATAAAAGCCCTCTACGGTACTTCGCAATCCCCAATCACTGCCAACGATACTCCTCAGGGTGAGTTGAGGATCGTCGTATCCTAAATACTGATTGATCGTCCATTTAGTCTAAACCAACCGCTGAGCTCCTTGTCGATCCCGCCACAAAAAAACTGCTGTGTTGAATCCCGACCAGTAGAGGGAGAAAGGAATGTCCTGGTCGAGACGGAGACAGCCCGAGAGGAGTGGAATGTACGCACAGGCGTGCACGAGCACGGCGGAGCTGCCGTCGTCCACCCTATATAGCAATCACCAAGATCTGGCACTAACAGCTACTTTGATACGAAGAAACAACTAACATGTACTTGAGAAATGCACAGCTCAAATCGTATCTCAGTACTAATAGCTCCAATTACTCACCACGGCTCATGATACCTTCACATATCTTCCTGCTTGGTGCCACCAGAGGTGTTCCTCCGGCTCGCCCTTGACTCCCCACCTCCGACCCTCCTTCCAAATCTTCTCCCCCTTAGTATTCAGCGCGCCTTCTATCCAAAGATGAGTGGGGCGATCGAGTTTGCAGCCGTCGAAAGCGAGCTGCCACAAGGGAGTCCAAAGCTTCTGCCACCACGCGACATCATCACGAGGGCTTCGTACATGCTCGAAGTACAGGAGGACTCCTCCGGGCTGAAGGACGTCTCTGACTAGCGTGGAAATAGTGAGTTCCGGGCTGGGTATACTGCACAGAGTCAGGACGGAGACAATGGTGTCCACTGCGCCGACAGTCGAGAGGATGGTTTCTGTGTCTTCCGCGCCACAAGATAAGATGACCAACGTGCCATCAGCTTCTTCGAATCCTGCTGCCTTTGCCGTCGCGCGAATTTGCGGATGCATCAACACGTTGGGTTCCAAAGCGACGTATTTAGAGACTTTATCGTGGTCCAAGTAGTTAGCTGTATGACCGTGACCTGCGGATTGAAATTTAAGACGTTGTGTCATTCAAGTAATATTGTGCGCACCAGCACCAATATCCAGCACTAATCCATGAGCATCCTGGGTTATCAATCCAATCTTGATTTCACGACTGTTCCCGTCGATTCCGTTAGCAAACAGCCCCCAGACATAGGACATGACAATACGCGACACGAGCGCTGGCTTCAGGAGCAGGGAAGGCGAGGATATTACTGCTTTGAGTGTACCGGGCAGGGAGGCCTGCAGTGCATACCGAAAGTCCGTTAGAAAGCCAAAGGCAGCACTAAGCTTCATGGTGATTGTTTGTATAAAGTGGTCGGCGCGAGCGAGAATGGTCGCCAAACACGGCAGCGAAAGTGGGAGGGTTCCAACTAAGCCGCCCGGTACTGAGTAAATACATAGGTCTTATATACTAAAAGTTCAGGGCAAAGGGTATGGCTGCAAAGAATAAAAGAAGTGTGTCGAGTAAAGGTACATGTCAAGTAGCAGTCCGGTAAAGCCCAAGGTCGCTACATCCGACTCGGATCACGCGATCTTGAATAGCCTCGTACAGTGCTTGAACATGTAGGAAATGTTCGGCCATGAATTTATGATTTGGGCTTTGCAACGCATGCTGGTCTCTATGCAGCTCAATGGAACATGCAGGAATTTTCCTGGCGAGGACGGCCAGCATTCAGCTTTCTCAGTCCTGATTTATGAATGTCTTCTTTCTGCTGGTAAACTTGATCATACGAGAGGGCAGACGCAACCACGAAAAGCACCACGTATACTAACATTCATATGATCATTTGAATAGACTGAGGCCTCTCGTGTCGTACAGTTTAGGATATTACCTTTGATATTCAGAATTCACGATCCCAGAAGTCGTTAGCCTTCTCTCCACTGTGTATCCTCCCCATGCGCTTGTCCGTTAACCCAGCCGCGCGAATGAACAACGATCCGTCCACTTTATCAGCGTCCTCAAGCTCCGTATCCTTCAGATCCCCTTCTCCAGCACGTCGAGATCCGTAGATTGCTGAGTAATGCGCGAGCGCGCGTTGGATCTTAGGCACATGTTCATCGGGGGAGATGATGCTGTTCTGGATAATAGGGAACCATGGATTGGGGTTACTTGCTGCTGCAGGTGATCCAAGAGCGCCCTCCCATGGGGTAGGTCGTGTTCCAGGCTGTGAAGGATGGAGGGTATCCGCAGCAAAGAATCCTGGGATATCGAGCGCTGGGGCTCCTTGAGAGAGGTACCACGCGAGTGAGAAGGCGAAATAGGATTTGAGGAGGAGTCCCTGGGACGCAGGCCTAAGATACGGCACCAGAGAGGGCAAGAATAGGGCTGAGGTCACAAGGTGCATTCTAGATAGTGAAGGCAGTCAGCTGCAGGATTGATGGCAATCGTGATGGGAACACGTACGTGAAGAAATTGGCCTTAAAGTCTTGTCCTTCCTTCCAACCGGGGACAGCGTACAGCAAGACATTCGTGAAGATTATCTCTTCGATTTTCTTCTCCACTACTTTGGGATCCGAAGCGTCCACAACCCAGTCGTCGAGGACTTTTAAGAGTGGCTCGCCCAGGTTATCCACCAGATACCCGAAGTCACTGCTCTTGCCAATCTTCTTCACATCGAACTTCGGGTCTTTGAGGAGGCGAGCGACGATGGTGAAGGCGTGGACGCCGGGCGTGGTGGAGGCTTTGGAAACAGGCAGATTGTCCAGAACCAGCACGGACGCCAGGCGCGTAATGAGATTATGCTCTGACGTCGCGGGGGAGAATGCCGATGGTGGGATGAGCTTCGTGGCTTCGACTTCGTGAACTGCAGTTTGGGCCAGACCTTTGAGTAGCCAGACAAATCAATATGAAGTGTGCCATCACTCGTCAGCGGACCAACAAACCTTCTATGATCATACCAGGAAGGCCGAATTCAGCACCGTATCCCATGTAGATAAGTGGGTGAATGACTCCAGACATAAAGCGGTTCAGCATCTGAGGCTGAGCGCCGCCAGCGAAGTTGGACTTTTCGGCGAAGACATATTCTTCCAAAACGGAGGAAAAGCCCTTCGCCTGGACTTCTCCCTTGAAGAATTCCAAGTAGGAGCTATAATACCTATGCCAATGGTCAATTCTTCGAGTAAACGTTGACTGTAACACGGAACTCACTCCACTTTTCCGAGATGCTCATTGAAGTTCTGAGCAGTGATTGGGGCGGGCGACTTGAACGCCGGACGCTGGTAATCCGCCGAATGTTGATACACCGCGCGAATGATGTCAGCGTCTGCGCCAAGTGCCCAAGCGGCTATAATAGCGTGCGCGCCGTGACTGATGGCAGAGATAATATGTTATCGATTATAGACAGCAAATAAGACATCATAGCTCACTTGTGGAACCGTCGATCGTTGAAGAATAGGTGCCATTTCTCATGATTAGCTTGCAGAGTCTCGCGCAATGCGGCGGTTGTCTGGGGCGAAATCCCAGCCCATCGGAAAGGCGAGATTGGCGACGGGGCGGGGGCCGGGTCGGGGAAGAGCTCGAAGGTAGAGGTGGACATTTCAGTCGATTGCTGAATGAAAGTCAATAACGAGGAGCTTATATACCTGTTAGGCTACTTCTTCTTGATCCATACCGTATGACGTTGAAGTATCACGGGACTTGTGGTGAGAGCAACTCCCATCACAAGAAGCTTACGCACTGAGACAATGCATTGGCAAGATTTGGGCAAGCTGACTGAGGACACGGGTACACGGATCTTTAGCCTCACCTGGGAAGAATGTATGTCAGAGGACTGAATGAGGCGCAGCACGTCCTAGGATAACGAGTCAGCGAGTCATGTTGAGGCCAATTCGTATTTCCTTCCGATGTAGCCGCGGAGAAACGCGATTGATCGTTGAGATTAGAGTGGCCAGAGCTCAGCAACAACGAACACGTATAGGCTCCCTCCTCGTACGCGGAGCTTCTGGATTCTGGTTCCCATGGTAGATGTGGGGGAAGTGGGAGTACATCACGGCGCGTGTGCAGCCGCCATGGGGAAGCTCACGAAACTACCGGCAAGTAACCCATGGCGTGAATAAATTATGATCCTAGTGAGAGACATCCTCTATGCAAAAATGGTACGGACAATAGGATTCGAAGCAATCACGCACGTAAACAGTCTTCTCTCCGTGTCCGTACATCGCCAATTCTGCCCTCTAGAACCCGCGACTACCGCCCAGTTTCCATATCCCTACCCACCCTGGACTCGCTCCTCAAAGGTGATCCAGGAACCACGAAGCCAACCCCGGGCCTCGGGCTCCATCCTTCTTCGGTTCTCTCATCCCCCCTGATTAAACTCGCGATGCTAGCAGTGTGTCGATGCCCCCTAACGTTCCCTGGCTTGAACTTTCCACCAGTAGCACTGCCGTTTGGCCCTCGGGCGAAAGGCGTGGCAGAGCTAGGGACATCAAAGTCAGGCTTCGGCGAGCGATATGTGATATCAACTTCTTCATCGTCAGACTCGTGGTCGCTTTCTTCGTCCAAATCAAAATCGGCCGCATCCACGATGCCATTGGCGTTACGGCGAGGGATCTCTAGGTCGTAGATTTCGTACTTGTTGCGCTGAGAACGTGCCGGGAGACCTCCGGGAGGTGCGGTGGCGCCGGGGCCTTTGAGAGTCTCAGGAAGGAAGAGGTAGAAAAAGGCGGTGGCCAAGCACGCGCCGCCGACAACATCAATGAGGTAGTGGTGCGTGAGATACATCGTTGCCCAATACAGGACCCCGGCGTATGTCCAGGCATAGCGGGTGTACTGCGGGAAGAAGTGGGAGATGTAGAAGGCTTCCATGGTGGCGCAGGCGGAGTGCAGAGACGGGAAGGCTCCAAATACGACTGGCGAGTTGGAGAACGCCACGGTGTAGCCATTCCCATGGAAAAGTGCGTCGATGCGTGCTAGGCCGCCGGGGGAGCCTTTCATCGAGTAGTCGGCTGGTGTGAGCCCATGAATGAGCTCGTACCACGGAGCTGCGCAGGGAAGAATGATTTGAATCCATACACCGAGGAAGTTGAGGTATCCGAATGATTTCCCGAAGAAATGGAGGGCTTCTTTCGAGCGAAAGAGCCACAGAAAGGCTGCGACAAAAAATGGGAAAACGAAGTGGCCTACACCGTACGGGAACCACGCGATTACGTCGAGGACGGGGTGTGTGAAGCGTGTGAGGATGTCGGAGATATTTGCGCCGTACAGAACGGACTCGAGAGTGGGGAGCAGAGAAACCGAGATGGACGGTCGCCAATCCGTTGGAATGAACCGCGACGTGTAAAATGAGAGCAAATACGCAAATATCGGCGTCGCAGGAATGAAAAACTGGGAAGTCAAAGGAATGAGGATTGCAATGAAGTACAATACGGGGATCAACAGCTTCAAGGGGAATCCTGGTGATTGCATGATCGTCAACCAAAATCCCGCAACTACGAGATGGAAGACGTGGATCAAGTCCGTCCAGGTAAAGACGTGTTGTCGTAGTTTCAGAATGGTATCTTTGGGATTCAGCGACTTATCCAACCGTCCCACTGCTGCGAGAAACGCTTGCAGCAGCGTGCGGCCTGCTTGTCGTGGAGAGCATCCGGCCATTGTCGCAATGAATTCCAAGAAATTGCCCAGCGAAGGGAAAGGGTAAATTGGAAGTTGTTCTGAGCCTAGTCGTCTCCCGCAAGTCAAGTATCGGAACAGTAGCGTACTTGGATTTGAGGCGTGGTCGCGGCGGCGGATGATGAGCGTTGGGGGCAGAAAATCCACGTGATGAAGGAAAACAGGAAGTGACAGTCACGAGCCGTCGGGATGGTGCGTCACAATACCACCTTGCCGACGATCGATCACTGATTTCGAGCGCTTGTCCCGCCGGCCGACCGCGTCAGCTCAGAATTTCATTCAAAAGAGCCTGGACATGCCACGGACAGACCTCACCCCTCCTTCCTTCCGACTCACCCCCTCCCCCTACTCTCTCTTTCCTTCTTTTTTCTTTCCCCAAAGCGATGGCGCCCGCTCGCGCGGCCTTGACGGCTCTGTCGCAGAGGTTGTTCCCCGCTCCTTCTGTCTTTCGTAGCAAGCTTTCGCCCTCGTTATGGGCTGGTGTAACTTCTGATTCTACCAAGACCTTGCAACGGGTTCTTCAGGACAACCACAACAAGTGGCATGTCTACTTTAACGAAGAGGGGTTTCACAAGTATGTACTCGATTCACTGATGTCCAGACCAAACTTTAGTAATACTTCGCCATGCAGCCATGCTAGCCACCATGTCCTTGCTACTTGGGCACTCGGTGCCAACGCGCAGTTGATCCAGGCTGCCTACAAGTCAAACGAACAGCGGGAGGCGTTCAAATCACCGGAGCCCATCACGAAAGACAACTTCTACGCCCATTTGGGAGACGACAAGTACTATAATTCGTACATGGAGTTCTTCCGGCGCGCCCTGGAACAACAAGGCATTTCCAGCGTCTTGGAGGAGTACTTCTTCGCCCAAGAGGCCAACTTCCCCAACGATGGCCATGACAGCCGTTTGATGTTGAATCGTTTGATGGACTCGTTGTATCATCCCATGATTCACATTGGCTACGGATTAGAATTCGGACTGCCGGGCATGCTTGTTGAAGGTTCGATCCCCGTTTCCCATATGACACAAGTGGCTGACATCCTATCGTTCCTAGGTTTGGCCCAAGCGGCCATCCATCAAGCCCTTTGGCCTGCAATGACACCTCCGTCTTTGTGGGCCGAAGGGTCCCCCGTCAAGTCATCTGAGTATTCCTCGGGACAACATATCTTCGACATTCTCGCGGACATGGCTATCGACTCTAATTTCGCGCGGATAGTAAACCCTGACCCAGAAAGCATGGCCATCCTGTATCACACCTACTTCGACCACCAAGTGGCTGTTTTAGCATACGCGAAGAGATGGGTAGTCGACACCGCCTCGACCGCAGACGTTCAGAAGAAATTAGAAGAGCTCGTCTGGCTCGTCACACTCATTTATGGCGTTGGTGGTTGGAAGAGGGACGCGGGATTCGAAGCAGATTTCTTCTAGTGATTATTCCACCTATCGAATCTGCAGCAGAATCCTTTTCTGACGGCTTGTTAGCATGCATCTAGTGACATCTTCGTTGTTTTTGTCGTCTTACGTTAACCACTTAAGCACGGCGTCGTTGAAGAAGCTCCTGGAGTCGTATTGTACGTTCGCTTTGATGTGGTGGGTCGCTAGAGGCCGGCCGCCTTTGGACATCGCCGGATTCTTCGCTACTGACATACCGACTTCCTCGCAAATGAGCGCCGTATCCTCCGACGCGCTCACTTTCGACGCGACAACCAGTACTGCGGCTCCGCCCAACCCGTGGCTTCCCATCATCAACAGCACGCTCATCCATCCTGACAATCATATCGCCAAACTACAACGCGCGCTCGCACATTATTCGACGCTGTATGGGGGGCGTGCGGCTGGCCAAGAGGACTTTGCACGTACGAAGCTGGCTGGAGCGGAGAAGTTGGACGGGTCGCTGTTCATTCGAGTCGCAGCATTGAGTGCAGAGAAGCTGGGAAGGGTTGCAGAGGGAGAGAAGGCATCGGACTGGTATAGGGACGGATTTTACCACACCGCTTGAGGTATTGGTGAGGAGATGAGGAGATTTAGCAGGCATGTAGTTAGTAGGTAGACGTTGTAGCCAACACATTCACACAAGGTAGGTTCATAATTCACTGTCTCAACGCATGGAGCAGATCGACGTCTTAAGTTTTAACATACACAAGGACTCTTTGCATGAAGTAGCAATTTTTCAGGTAGAGTCCATCATTCTTGTTACATCGAGTTTCTGGAAACCTGCGACAGTGCTACGGCACTTTGAACTTTCAGAACGTAGTCATACCGCCCATCAGACATAGAATAGAGTGGATATGATGTGACAGTGTACGCATGTCTCTAAATGCTAGCATCGGTCATCTCAGAGGGAGGCAATATCTAGTTGTCATTGTTAGGATCCGGCAGGGGAGGGTTGCTTTGCACCTACAGATGTGATGTCCATTTCGCGATCTTCCTTGACTTCCGTTGTTGTTGACACATGCACTCCAGTACCCAAATGATGGACGATGGACCGCCCGTCAGCAACATCAATTCTGGCAAGGTCTGTACGGCGAAGGGGTCCGGGGCGCAGGAAGGTGTGGCCAGATGTGATCACTTGGCCGGAGGAGGCAATATAGTGGCGGGAGTTAAGGGTGACGAGAAGCCAATTGGAATATCTGCATCAATGTTAACGTCCATGATCTTCAGGCTAAAAAGCAAAAGGTATCACAAGCGTGCGATGCCAAGGAAGCTAATTGCCGCGAGTTGAGTAGTCTGCTCGGAGTAACCAAATGAACATGAACACATACAATATATAGTGGTAGTTTAGAAGCGGCATCTTTACCCATAGAATGAGTTGAATGACAGCCCATGTTGCGGTGATGAGCCCAGTCTCTATAGTGAACTTGACGAGTGCTACTATTATCTTGTTTGAGGTTTTGAAACCACTCTTGGAGGCGGATCTAAGTAGCTGACCAGCAGTCGACCTCAATGCTGATGAACAATGACACAGAGCCACGTACAATTGTAACCAAAGCTGTAGTAGCAAATATATCGCTCGTCGCAGAACATGCTATCCAGGCCTAGGGGGCGGTAAGCAACAACTTGAAAGTGGTAGGAACCGTTCACAGCTCACATCGACGTACTTGGACACCTTAATTGGCGAGTCAAAGTGCAGGCCTATCTGGCAGATCTAGGGTACTTTCGATTAGGACGATCATTCAGGACAGATCTATACTCCGCCGACGTACTCTGATGCCGTAGAAAAAGGAAAAGAAACATCCAGCTAGGGATGTCTGTGTAGACGAGATAGTCATGTCAATAATCTCAAATTGACAGAAGCACACGTACGCAGGATATGATAGCGGGCAGCCATATCACGGAGGTAAGCTTATGGATCCGCCACGAAAGGAGATTTTGAACGATAGACGCGACTAGTGAATTGAATTGAGCAACTAGAGAAGAGACAGAGAAAAGCCGCCCACGTATTCCGTTGATAAATGGAAAAGTTGCCATGACAGGATCAATTTCCCTAAAGCTCAATGGATTATCGAAGCCACTGCCGAACATAGACCAGGCAAGGACACCAGTGATGACCGTCGTGGCAGTTTCTAAAATAAAGACGAACCAAGCTGAACATTATCAGGACCTGCTACACAGACGTATGTAGGTAAGCACATACCAAGGACCTTCACTTGAAACGTGTCCTTCGGATAGTGGACATGATAGAAAACTAGTAGACGGTAAGACTAGAGGTGTGCTCCCAGCAGAGGTGACTCACAGATCTGAACGATAGAGACACCATAGAACATATAGCTGAGCATGAACGCTAGCACCTGCCCAAGGGTCTTTGACATGTGCGTTGGGCATGCAATAAGCACTTACCAGTGGCCCTGAGCTATACGGATCAGTTAGCTATATGCAATCGCGACCTACGGCAACATCATTACGCACATCGGGGAGAAATTCGTTATGGTACCTAGCTCAGTCGGAGGGGGAGCAGGATCGAACATATGTTGAGCTGGGGGTGACCTACAAGAGAAGCATGGTCAAAATGTTTAAATAGGTCGTCTGAAATCTTCTATGTGAAAGTTGATACACTGATTGGGTGTTGTTGAGGAGAATGCAGAACAGAATAAAGCTAGTCAACAACCTACCTCACACGAGTTTGAATGCCCTCTAGTCGCTACAAGCTAGGACAATCCTGCAGGGACTGACATCAACGACAAATAGACAACATACCTCGTAGACATGTCCCGTCTGTCATATCGCTGGTTGGATGCATGGGTGTTGTGGATAGTGAAAATGAGATTTTTGGATGAGGGCAATATCTCTCCGAGTCGGTCTGATAGCTCCAAAATGACAGCAGAATCAGATTCTGTTAACACGTCCATCATCTAACAGGTTCGACACTAAAATCTTCGATGAGGTAGAACTGTGTGAGAGAGAGACAGCGACAGAATTTCTGAATGCTCCTGCGACAACTCGTCAGAATCAGAACCGGTGCCTTGCTGATACGACAATATCGCGCTTGAACGTGGAGCCAGGCAGAAAGTGGGGTCCCACCATCACTGATGCCGAGATGTTCTGGTCGTAGGTGAAGCTTTCTATTCATAAGTATATTTTTATACAATAGCCACCCTAGCCCAAAGAAGTTAGACATACAAGTCCAGGGGTTTCGGACATACCAATCGATGCTGGATGTGACTTCGTCCGCTTTACGCTGTATGAGTTGATTAGTGCTTTGAGAGTCCCATTAGCAAGAGCCACGCTGTATCTGAGATTCTGCCGTGGATTTGAAATGAACATCGTTCACACGGACACCAGGAACGGGATGGCTTTCTGGGACAAGACGGCACTCGCTAGTTGTCTGGCGTATGTACATGTCGGGCTCTTCGTGGACAGCGAAACAAGGTAGACGCGAGTGAGTGGTGGATTGGCGGACTCAATGGTGGCTTGAGAAGATGAGCAGCCCGGCGGCTATTCAGAGGGGTATCCAACGAAGTGTACAATGGAAAGAAGTGCTTCATGCCCCACGAAAAAGTAGATAGTTCATAACTTACTACATGCACTATGTAAATACAATATACAGCGTCAGACATATATAGTGCTATTGTCGGTCCGCTCTGAGGGACCTATCTAATTTCCACCATCAGAACGGGAAAACAGTGAAGCTTTTCTCCACTCACAGATATAACATTCATTTGAAAATCATCTTTGATTTCCTTCGTCGTCATTACCCGAACCACTGGACCTAGATGGCGCATATCCATATCAGGCCAACTATCGTCCACAGGCCGAATCCTTGGGAGATCCGTCCAGAAGGTTGGCCGCGCCGGGGGCTGGGTACCAATAGTGATTACTTGTCCCGACGAGGCAATGTATAGGCGAGAATTAAGGGTAGCGAGTAGCCAGTTCGAGTATCTGCATCGAAATTCAATGAACACCTCAGATTGTTAGGACTAATCGAGTAGCTCCTACAATCGTGCAATACCGAAGTAACTAGTTGCCACGGCATCAGTATACCACACGAGAATCTCTGGCAAGACGACTACTCACAAGATGTAGTGAAAGTTCTGTCGTGGGATCTTCAACCACAGAACGAGTTGGACAACGGCCCATATTGCGGTGATGAGGCCAGTCTCCACAGTGAACTTGACAAGGTTTGATATTATTGCGTTTCGTGTCTTGAAGATGGTACTGGAGCTGGATCTGAGGAGCTGGAAGAGCATTTAGATCATCTGATATATACTTTCGGCGCGAATACATACGATCGTCACCATAGCTGTAGTCGCAAGTACATCGCTTACCGCAGAACAAGTTATCCAGATCTATGAGAAGGGGCGAAGTGAGCTACGCGTTTCACGAGTGTTTATGTCGCGCTTCTCACGTCCACATATGTAGCCACTACAAACGTGGACTCGAAGTGCAGTCCTAATTGTAGGATCTAAAAACGGATTGTCAATAACATTCCGACTAGATTGATGTTGATCCCACGAACTCTTGCACCGTAGAAGAAGGAAAAGCCACACCCGACTAGGGAAATCTGTGGGCAGGTAAGACCTCACAGACAACGGAGGAACTACACGTATTACGCACAACGGATATGATAGCGGGCAGCCATATTATCGACGTGAGTTTGTAAATCCGCCAAGACAGAAAGTTTTGAACAATCGATGCGACTAACAGGTCCTCAGAAGTGGCAAAATAGAGCGGTAAGCAAAGTATGCACCTATTCCGTTGATGAACGGCAGTGCCGCCATGGTAGGATCCACGTCCATCAAGCTCAAGGGATTCCCAAAGCCTTTGCCGAACATGGACCACCCGAGGATGCCAATGACAATCGTCGTGGCGGTTTCCAGTATGAATACAAGCCAGACTACAAAGGAAGCATCAGAAGGTCGCTCTGGGAGGATGCTTTTCTCTAAGATATGCACCCAGGATCTTTAATTGTAGTTTATCCTTCGGATAATGGACGTGGTAGAAAACTGAAGAAATTGGTTTGAAAGTGGCTTGTAGTGTTTAAGACGCGACTCACATATTTGAACCATGGAAACACCGTATAACATGTAACTGATCATGAACGCCAGCATCTGCCCAACGTTGGAGAATACGCCTAAATGTCGTGTGGTTTGAACTTACGAGCGGACCGGACCTATAGCACGAGGTTAGACTCATAGGATAATAATTTGTAGACCTTGACACATACAGGGGGGATAAGTCAAGTGTTGGCATGATAAGACACGCGAAGGGTGGCCCGGAAGGTCGCCTGGGCAGTAAGACCGACAGGGAGCGAATGAAGGACCACGACCGAAGGCTCTTGCGAATATATATGAGCCGGGAATAGAGTATTTCAGCGAGAGCGAATCGATTGGGGGGAACGCGAAACTGTCTGATACTGACAGCCGTAAGCCCGTGAGCAGTGCTGGTGATGGATTCATTTCGGACTGCACAGGTGGGGATTGGGGGGATATGGCACCACTGAAGCCTGGGGCGCGAATATACTATGGAAGTGAAGGTGTACAACAAGGATCAATCAATCCCACTGTTTGATGGTACACGGGATTGTCCTGATGGCGAGGTGAGTCCCAGCTGGCTCAACCTCGAGGGAGGTTTAAACTCTGCCGCTATCAACCGGCGACCGTCCTGATGGGGAACCTGTGTTGATATTGGATGTATTAACATTGCACGTATAGTGCAATCAACACCATCTGATTTGAAGTTGTAGCTCCAGCTTTCAGCGTTTCAAGCCTAACCAGCAGATTCGACTATCTCTCGAACACGCCGTTGCTTCCGACAGGGATAAATACGACTCTGCCTCCGCCCTATAGGCGACAACAAAAAGGAAGAGACAAAGAATTTAGCGCCAGGTACGCAAGAAGAACGCGAAAGATTAACGCACAACTTCCGTTTCACCACCGGGACAGAAATCCGTTAGTACATTGGCACTGACGCCGAAGACTGATTAAGAATGCGGGAAGCACTGAGGCTTATGGATTTGACGTGACAGAAGTGTATCATGGGTAGGTTTAAACATTGCGCCGTGAGATACGGCGCACCGATAGCATGTTTGAATGGACAGTTGAATCTATGTACTACCGTAAATGTCGTTAGTCAGATTGTGGTGGTTTGAAGCCGTATGATGCGAACTGGGATCAGACGTAAGAGCGCCACTAATTTGAAACACCGTTTCCTTCAAGTCGCCCGGCATCGGCGGCATCCTTTTGAGCAACGATACTTGGACGCATTGAGTTCTGGCATCGGAGAGAAGCGCACCCGTGCTGTAGCCCTGTTTAACGATTTCCTCAGTGACGCGGTCCAACCGTCAAGTTCAACCCTAGCTTCCGTACATGAAGTTCGGTGGGTAGGCCCGGCTTGACGATTTCGTCCTCGTCTAGACGAAGATGAAATCAGCCGCGTGCTAGTCGATGTGACATCGTGCGTTCTACTCGGGGGAGGGTGGACGGGACGGAACGAAAAGCCCGGAACGAAGTCGTGACGCTGCAGTCCCTAAGGGGCTAAGGGGGATTCAAACTGGGGGAAAGCAGCTGAAAGGATCTCACAGTACATGTCCAATCATACCCTTCTGAAACAATTATCTAACCCATATCTTTCCAAATCGTTGGGCACGCTCGACCAATCTCACGCTTTCAGAATGTCAGGATCAATCAAGGACACCTACGACAACCAAGGGTTTGTTGTTCTCGGAGGTCTTATCCCACCAGAACGGTTTGAAGAGCTCAAGGCTGCTTGTGATCGGGTTATATCCCGTACTCGCAATGGCGAATGGGCTCATCGACGAACGGTTGGGAAACAATTTCCACCGTACGGCGATGACGATTCGGACTCTTGGGGAGTGCAACATGTCATGCACCCCGACCTAGGCGAATCCGCATTCGCCAAGTGGTATTGCTCGGACGCACTCGTTGAGGTGGTGACACAATTGCTGGCTTGCGATGCCGGTGATCTGCAGATGGGTGAGCACTCGTCAACTCCTTGAAGAATGCACCATCTAATATTGAATTAGAGCTGTTTAATCTCTTGATAAACCCAATATCACATAGTTTTGCACTGCGATGGCATCGCGACGACGTGTCCGAGAAGGCTACCGAACAGGAAGAGCAGCAAGCCTTAGCTATCTGGCACCACGGAGTGAGCGAGGGTACTCCCGCATTCATTTATTCGCCGACAATCTGACAATCGAACTTAGGTTCAATGGAATACGTACGCGCTTGCGCTTTACTGAGTACTTTCCCAGTGATACTAATCATTCTGATCGTAGAGCGCTGTATGAAGATCGATGCCTGTACATCGTACCCGGTTCACACAAGCAGCCCAGGACTCCCGAGCAACGTTCTCTATCTTCTTCTCAAGTCCCCCCGGAAAACCCTCTCGACATGCCCGGAGCCATTCAGCTCACTCTCCATCGTATGTTCTTCGGCACTGATCAATAGGAATACCTCCCTGACGTTGGTTGCAGCTGGGGAGACTGTATTTTACAACTCGAATATCCTCCATTGTGCGACGTACGACTCGAAGACACCCAGAGCAACCCTTCACTCCTGTATGGGTGACTCCCGCGGGGGCTCTACACGAGCTCGCAACATTCTGCAGCACGGGTTAGAGTGGATGACCGGTACGAGCTTCTACGATACTCTGGACGCGAGGGGGAAAGCCATGTTATCAAGGCTACTTGATCTGCATAAGAGCTCTGGTGGACACGTAGGATACTCTCTCGATGGTTAATGACATAGCCCATCCCCCGGTTCATGAGGGAACCTTTCAGAATCATACGAGAGGCTTCCGTGTTGATAACAGCCATGAGGCGCAACGCGCCGCACGAACCGAATTCTGCTGGTCATACCGCCAGTGTTAGCCAACATTTAGGGCTTCTAGATGTTGATCGATAATGCGATTGCGAGACCATATAATATATAAGTTCACGAGGATAGTACATATACGTACCACCCCGACTCAATTCAACGCTTCCCTGGATGGAGTTAAGTACACCAACTTTGAACAATGTTTGCGAAGATCTAGGCGCATCACGGACGGCAGAACGAGGCGGAAGCGATGGCTTAGAGTTACTGCACACAGTCGAGATTGGTGGTAAGTTTACTGCTAATTTTCTACTTCTTGAAGCAGCAGCGGAGCCGATGATCAATGATTCCGATTTCATTAAATTTTTAAATAATACTACTCTAGTTGCCAACATCATGGGGCGGCAAGAATCACAACCAAATGGAATTCATCATTCCCGACAGCTTTCGGCTGTGCCACGAGCTGTATCGATGATTCAAGTACCTCCGAGTCGGAGGCCCGCAAAGTCTACTCAGTCAGTGCGCCGAACAACACCACTGGTAGCCAATTCCCAAAAAGCCACAAAGGGTCGCTCATCACTCCGAGCCAAGTCGCTGCCAGCGCCTCAGAAAGATACCCGCACGGGCCGGCTATCTGCAGCACCAGCGAAGCGGAAAGCAACCGCAGCCTCTACACTTCCTTCCGTCCGGGGTAAACCCACGGCGCAGAGGCCAGCTGCAGCACAACGGAAACCACCCCCTCCAGCTGCTACTATCGTCACGCGATCGCGTGCACGACGCGCCTCGGCGCCACCAGAGGTCGTCACACCTCAGAAGAGGAAGGTATTCGATGGGGTGGTGATAGATGTAAATGAAAGACAGATTAGTGTGCCGTCTGCGCGGGCCAAACGTCTGCGCATCCAGCCACCACCTACCGCGCCACGCCCGCCCCGGAAGAAAGTGTTCGACGGGGTTGAGATACCGTCTACTCGATGGATGACCACTTGGGTGGCGTCCGAAATTACCGTCCGACGTACACAATGCCCACCACGCCCATCACGCCCATCAAAAAAGAAGATATTCGACGGAGTGGAAGTCGACTGTCTTTGCAGATGCTACGCCGCCAGGGAACAATTTGGTACGTCATGGGGGAACTTGGGGGAGGACGTCTATTCAGGTAAGTCCAATTTCTACTTATCTATCTGACCTTTCATCTTTTGCTCAGCCTTGTCTGCAGATCACGTTAGCACACCTGGTGCAGAATTAGAAACGGATAGCCAGAGCGTCCATTCGGACGACTTGGTTTACATGGGTAGTGTGGACACAGCACAGCCTGCATAACCTGAAATTGTTGCAGATTACGGTATATTGTACATGATTGACATACATTGCTAGGAATATATTTGGAATATGCTTGGATTGTAAATAATTTAGTGCTATAAGTTGATATATAGATTGTGCGTGGGGAGAGCAGGGAAAGCGTGATGAGCTGAGAGAGCGACGAGACAAGCCGTTTGCAGATACAGCTGTTCACAAGTTGTCTAGAGTTCGCAGCGTCGAGGCTGCCTCGTGCATACTTGGGCGCCGAGATGGATCCTGATCCCAGCATCTGTTAAGAAGGCTCCACAGTCCGGGTTCAGCAGCAGGCTTGACGCTCGAAAATGTCGAGATGCCGAGAGATGGTGGCACCCCGCGGAGGATGTCGACCAAGACCGCGTGATCGTTTGATCTATGGCAGAACGGCAGCTTCCCGGCCATGACCTATAGTCCAACAGCATGGGGTCAGGTGGATCTCCAAGGATAGCTAGTCAAACATTTGTTTACCTCAAAGCAAACGGAAGCGAACGAGTACACATCACTCTGCGTAGTCACTACCGGGGGTCTCCCATCGTCCTCCACCAAAGTAAACACCAACTCGGGAGCCATCCATCGCGTCGATCCCGCGAAGAAAGACGTCCCTAGGTGTAGCGAGTCGCTCAGATCTTCAACGACCTTCGAGAGGCCGAAATCTGTGATCAAAGGCTGACCATCGTCCCCAATGAGAATATTTCCCTATTGATTCACGAAATTAGCAGTGTAAATTTGGTAGATAAGTTGGGAAACACCTACCCCTTTGAGGTCCCCGTGGATGACTGCCGGGCTGAAGCTGTGGAGATAGGCCACGCCTGAGGCTACCTGCGCTAGCTAGTGGTGCATTCTAGCGTAAACAGTGGGAGACGCAAGCCGATACTCACCAAGTTGAGACGATCGACGTTGGGGTTTCGCCGAATATAGTGCGCCATAGTCCCGTTCTCACACCAGGGAGACACCATTCCGACGGTGTTGGGGCTCTGAACGATCCCGAACAATGGGAGTATATTTGCATGATCGAGCCGGTACCACGCCACAACTTCGTCTTGCAAACGCTGTAACAAAGCAGGGGGCTTTAGATATCGAAAGAGACGGCATGGCCAGCACTGACCTTGAGTAGTTTCTCCCTAACGTTCTGGACCATTACTTGACGCAAGAACTTCAGTGCAACCTACCGGCGGAACAAAAGGTGAGAATAATTGAGCAATGGTGAAATAGGTGGGCACGTACAACTCGACGCTGCTCGGACGCAGTATCATCCCATGTACCCTTCCAGACATCTGAGAACGAGCCATGATATAGCGGCTCCCTGCCTGATTTGACCACCTCGTCTGTGAGGTCGGTTATGACCACCCTCCCCTTCACGAGCAGTGTCTTCTTCACTCCTTCGATGGTATGTTTCTGCCGGCATCGCTGCTTCAGACGGCTGTAATCCTGGTGCTCGGGAATCCAGCGAAACTCGTCGTACGACGAAATGGATTGCGTGACAGAAAGAAGGGTGCAGAAGTACAGCCGCTGTGGATAGGTTTGCAGGAGCATCGCATTGCGTAGATGGATGTCCGATGGGGTCTCGAGGCCGTAGTCGATGGCAACTTTGTTTGCCGTTGGGTTATCATCGAGATCATGGTCTGGGCCGGCGAGAATGTACACCGCCAAAGTAGGGAAGATCGAGAAGAACAGGTCGGTTGAGGCCCTGATGCGTTCGTTAGAAGCCGGTCTTCGAGATGCATGCAGGGTACTTACTCGTCGTCGACGAATCCCTCATGCAGTGTTCCATAACACTTGTCCGTCATCATGTATTCCTGCTTCTCGGAAGCCAGGCCAATGCATACTTCAGCCTCGCTGAACTTCCAGCAATAGTTCTGCATAGCTCTGTGGAAGTCGTCCCTCTCGTCATTGAAAACAGTCGGTCGCCTTCGTGCTTCAGTCTGTTCCGTACAAGCCGAAACGCCTGGGCAGGACTTGAAGAACTGTAGCATGCCCTCCAGGATGACTCGTTGGCGAACCTGCAAGAAGAACGGACGCGAGAAGATAGAGTTCCCCAAGGAATGAGACTTGGGTCGGCACATCGTCGTCGCAATCTCAGCGTACTTGGGGCTATTCCTGAATCGAAGGAACACTAAGTACGTCCTAATTTGATCGACATGATGCCTATCCAGCACAACTTGGGCTCTTCGAGGGGAATCTGAAGTAGGTGATGGGATACTGCGCATGAGCTCCAGCAGCGCTTGCTCCGCCAGCGACTCTAACCTCACGAAGGCTGATTCCACTTCAGCAAGCACTGTTGCACATTCGTTCGTCATTGAATCGTCCCGAAAGTCTTCAAAAGCGGACCTAGCACATGCCGGCATGGTGCGGGTCTCCGTGAGCTCGTTCTCGTATACATCGTAAGCGTGGATCCTTGGGTCGCGTAGAACATGGGAGACGTGGCATCTACGGTGAGTTGCTGTGATGAGCACACACGATCACGAAGGGGGAAGGAGGGGAAGCGCTCACATATCGGCCAGCCAGAACTTCCACAGAAATGTCGGAAAATAATGTGGAATTTCCAGGGCGTTCATCCTGTTGATGGCAGTTGAGATTAGCCGCCATTCGATGAAGAACGCGTTGAACCGACCGTGGCGTGAAAGATGCGTCGCTACGCGCGGTGCATTCCAACGAGAGAAGGATTCCTAGGGAGAGATGGTTGACGATAGAGAGTTCACTGCCAGACTAAATAGTCGACGTTTTCGGTAAAAAGGTCCGTGAAGTGATGTCAGTGGGGGAAGCTGTACGTTGGGAAAATCCCGGGCGGCAGCAAGGCACATCGCCTGGCAGCTGGTGGAGCATACTGATGGTCTGCGAGAACCCAGAACCAATATTCAACCACGAAGACTATGATGCACGATGCAACATCAATTGACCCACAATCGATGAGGCGGGTGACGTTTCGGGTCACTGGCACGCCCTACCGGCGCTTGATTTCCAGGCAAGCTCAGGAGGTTCTCAGAAGGCGATATCCTCTGAATTAATGAATTGGGAGGGGACATGAGGTATGTGAGTTGCCGTGTCTACGTGAGGGCTATATTACAATAAGTTAGAAATTAGTTACACACATATGATACTTGTCGCAGAGTTATCCAAGTCTCTGAGCCCCGTTCAATCGGACGACCGCGACGCGTCCGCGTGCCAGTCTCTCATTAGTGCAGCACGTTTTTCATCCCGGACAACAACACCACAGCTGAACGGATGTGCTGCCAGCTCCACCCCGGGCTAAACGGTGACGAGTGCGGACTCAATTGAACTGTTCTGAGAATACACTGTTTAGGTGGTACACACCTTTTGGTAGGCGTCAATGGCCATGCCACCCGTACCTGAGGCATCCTGTGAAAAGCTGAATGCCCAAAGGAGGTTCATGGCGTTGATGGCCTATCAGGATTGGTCTCGCATGAGTGTACCCTACAGATAATCAATCCATGACCTACAATCGTCTTTGAAGCCATTTCCGCGCCCGGACATATCCTCTGAAGTACAAGAATAAATCAGTGACGCCATGAGAGAATACTAAGCATGCACGGCTCACTCTGCCTGACCCAAAGGGAAGATTTTCACGGAACCCTTCTGTATCGACCTTGATATCAGTTCGAGTGCCGAATTCGGACTGCAGGAATCGCTCGGGCATGAATTCTTCCGGATCAGTAAAAAAGCCTGCAAAACATGTGGTGAGGTTCCACCAACTAGTGGTGTTCACTTACGCGGATCATGGTAAATACCCCCTGCGGAATGGTCTTCCGGGTGAGCGAAGGAGTTGCCAGGATTGAGCAAATTGGGCTTACACAGGTTGGTGAGGATTGTCGACCCAGCGGGAATGATGTAGCCCTTGTACTGCATGTATAATTTCATCGAAACGTGTCTCGGATAAAGAAGGATACTTTCTACAGACCTTTACGTCTTGCGCAGCAGAGTGAGGCAACCCAAGGGGTACAACGGGGCGGAATCGATGGACCTAAAACGAAAATTTAAGCATTAAGGACCGCGCAACGAATCAGGATACTCTACTAACCTCCTTGATGAATGCATTGACATAAGGTAGATTGGGGAAGTCTTCAAATGTGGGAAGCCGGTCGGTCCCTACAACCGCATCCAGTTCTTTCTGAGCTCTCTTTTGACATTCCGGGAAGTTGATGAGAGCCAAAACGAATGACTGCAGATACGAAGTCGATGTTTCAGCACCTGCGTCCATCAATACCTTCGCCATTGCTCTATTATACACAGCAAACGGAGCCCAGTCAGAGGTTGGGCGTTAGAAGAAGGGACGAAACTCACTTCGCTTCGTCCATGTTCATTTCCAGTTCGTCGAGGTTCAGCAGGATGTTCCCAAGGTATGAGCCAACGTCTGTTCCGGACGCTACTTTCTGTTCGACCTCGGTGAATAGTCCGGTGTATAGCCCGTCGCGCAGTGCCTTCGCCCGTGCACACAGCCCTTTCCAGGAAGCCCATCGAGCGGGGACATACTTCAGTGCAGGGAACAAGTCGATTGGCGGATGCGCTGTGGGATCCATGACTTCGTTTAGAAGCTTGACCCCTTTGAAGTATGTTTCGGCCTCTGTGCCTTTGTACTGAGGCAATCGCTTGCCATATACGAGGGTCGTCACGGTGGAAACCATGGTGCGCTTCAGGTGAGTAAAGAGATCCTGTTGCCAGATGTCTATCATTGGTTGATTGGCTAGGATGCTGTAATCGTACCTCTGGTTTGTCCAGAATGTCAACGAGGAACTGGGCAAATTCGGCTTGTTGAGTGGGCCAATGGGCCTTCAAGCCATTAGATGTCAGGAACGCGCGAGCAGCTTTCCGTCCCGACTTCCAGACATGCGTATCTGTATCGGGTGAGCAACGCAACGTGCGCACGAACGAAGTCTCCACCCACCCATATTCTGGTTCGGCATCGTCGGGCCATCCGCTCTTACCAACATATGGAATTCCGGGCGATTCCCAGTTAGAACGCCCTGCTTGTCGAGGATCTCCTTGACTGCGGCCGCGCTGTTTATTACTATGATTGTGTTGTTCAATATCTTGAGCTACGCAAGGTTGAAGTTAGTTAGTTTAGTGAATGATTAGCACAAAACAGTGGATCTTACTGAGAAGACATCGCCGTAAGTCTTTGCCCATTCGACAAATCTAGATAAATGATAAAATGCCGTCCAGTCTGAATGAAATACAAAGGGAGCCTACTTGAAGTATGGGAAGACTTTCGGGTACTGGGCAGCATTTCCGATAAAGAATTGCGTTGGAGGGCCAGGAGGTAGGTTCTTCTCCCGTCGGCCCAAACGCCACGGCTTCGTATGGAGTATGACAGCAGAGAGGACGAAAGAGGAGAGATAGTACCAGTTCACCATAATGAGAAGCAAGGGGAATTGATGGTCGGATGAGAAGATATGGGATGAACGGATGATAGGGAATGGCAAATAGCATGCACATATTAATACTTTGCAACGGATCCACATTGATACGTGGTAGTGCCTGCATGTCTACTTTGACGAGAGAAAGTCCGTTCGCAAAGATGCTAGAGGAGTCAATAGCAACGCAAACCGGTCTTCATCTCCTTGCGTCTGTTTGTTGGACAGCAAAGTAGCATCGAGACATGGGTACCGCCAGTGGGTCAATAGCCCGGGCCCAAAACTGCTCTGCAAAGGGAAAACCACGTCCCACCGCATATCTTCACATATCTTCAGATCCAGGTGTCATTAGTGCAAGGCCGCTTGCTGTTCAACGAAGCGTACGTCGGGAAATTTGTGGGGTTACGAACTGCTCACGCACCGTCCAGACTTCAGGATCTCGCTGATTCCCCTTCAGTGAGTCGGCATACCCACATCAGCATATTCAATACCAGTCCTGATGGTACGCGGTTCCTGTCGATACCCTCCTGAATGTTGACAAGCCCGTCGGTTCATTGCGAAGCATGTTCGGAGACCGAGATATCCAGAGACCCAATATCGCGTCCCACTGCACGCCACGCAGTAGGTGCGGTTGGAGCGCCTTGCACCTCAGAGGCTCGGTTAAAACTCGCTTCGGTGGACCAGCCCACACAACACCGAGTTTTATCTGCATGTCAACATGGCGGCCGTAGCAGTGCTTCACGTGGCAGTGCTTATAGGAGTCCCCTCTCCCCTGGATGCGTGCAAAGTTCGCGAACTTCCTCAACGGTGATCAGATATTTTGTGTATTGTGTAGACAGCAGACTAACCAGTGTGGCGTTTGAAGTACGTGGAAAAACATATCAATCCAAGATCTTGTTGAAGAGATACTTGAAGCGTTTTTGCTGAAATCCCTACTCATGCGACCCCCTTGATAAGAGAGTGTTAGTACCACGATGACGCCAAGAGTACGCGGTATCCTTGAATGCTGCTAGTGCTGCTTACTTGCAAGTGGGTGGGTCCATGGGATAGATATCACTAATTTGATCAAGGCTCCCGTCTGCCAGTACAGAAGCTCTCACGTAGCGATACCTCCTCTACACTCGAATCGAATGGATACAATCGCGAAGCTCAACGACACAGAGATCTCGCGTATCGTCGGCCCCAGTAAGGCATCCAAAAGACCTCGTAGACCACGCTAACTCAATGTTTCTGCCAGCACGCGCTGCTTTCCAGCCGTACTGGTCGATGTCGACGAGCACAGATGGGATAAAGAGCATCCCGACCAAGACTTTCAAGTATGGAGCAACTGAGAGACACCAGGTCTTCCCTCAGAATGAATGTCCATAGTCAAGCCCTGATGCTACCCCGAGTCTAGCTCGACGTATACTATCCTCCCCCGGCCAAAATAGCAACATATGAAGGGCATGAAGTGCGATATTGCCAAGTATATACGCTATATGCACATCCTGACATCACATCACAAATTTAGGGTGAATCCTGCCATCTTGCCGACCAAGGGAGCAAGGGAAGCCCCGTCCTATGCTTCGTATACAGTGGCGGATTCACGACTGGCGAGCGCATCCTCCCCAACACATTCGACATGGTGTACGCCAACCTCGGCGCGTACTTCGCGCGCAAAGGGTTCATCGTCGTTATTCCCGATTACAGACTAGTACCCAACGTGAAGTTCCCTGGGCCGCCCGAAGACATCCGCGACGCCATCGCGTGGGTCGTCGGGAATTTGAACCAGGCGAGCGAAGCGGGCCTCCCGCAAGCGGATACCGACGCGGTCTTCCTCATGGGCCATTCCGCCGGCGCGGCTCATGCGTCGACTATGGTGCTGTATCCAGATCTAGCGCCAGTGGAGCTGAAGCAGCGCATTAAGGGCGTCGTGTTGATATCTGGGCCGTATGATATATTGCGGAAGACGACGAGTAAATCCGTCGATCTGAAAGAAGTGTATTGGTCGGGAGAAGAAGACATGAAGAAGAACCAGCCCTTGTCGTTGATCCAGGCTATGTCAGCGTCAGAAGCGGCGGCGGTCCCTCGTGTACTGATGGTGGAAGGCGAGTGGGAGCCTGAGTGGGTTCAGGTTGTTGGAGAGGAGCTCTACGCGGAGGCCCTGAAAAAGGGTGTGCAAGTAGAGAAGCTCGTTGCGAAGGGGCACAATCACATTAGCCTTACCCTCGCTTTATCGACGGGGCAAGGTGAGGATTGGGCTGAGAGAGCGGCTGGATGGATGATGCAGAGCCTCGGGTTGGATACGAAGGCATGAACATAGCCTAGAGCTTCTATGGTTGATTTCGAAGGTTGGATGTACACTGCATTCACGTCTACACTCAGTTATTGTCGTCTCATTGCGCAACGTCGGTAGAATAAGATACTGTGCTCAAGCTCTGCAGTGTCAGTTTCCTGCCCCCGCGCCCATCGCCGGATCCCACTACCCCCGGTCTTCCAAAGTAGCCACGGTCCTCGTGAGACATATGAGCAGGCCTCCCTCGACAAATGATTCGGTTCACTAGAAGGCACCGAATTACCAAGCGAAACCCAAAAATCGACCATGTAGCACGGCTCCGGCCAGGAGATTTTGATGATATGTAATCGCCTTTATTGGAAACTGGCGCCTATTCTAGGTCCCTGACTTCGCATCTTAAAGCTTAAAGTCTTGAACCTTGAAGTACAGAGAAACTAGCACCTCGATGAATATCCCAAACACGCTGGCATTGAGAAACAGAACTTGATATGGGGAGCTCATAGTAGTATCAATCAACAACATGGAGCAATACGAGTGCTATCGGTAACCTAGCGGGAACACCAGTTACTAATGTCAAGCCATAACATATTGTCTCAATCGTACGAAATCCAAACTAAATTAACACCATTGGCAAGTTCTGGTCAACACAAGAGAAACAAAACACCAAGCAGGGACATCTAGTAGACAAGTGCCGCCACCGTGTCGCTTGATGCGGTTTAGACAGCGACGTTGGTGCAACCAACATTGACGAGGCCCTCTGTAAGCAAGTTTGTGAGTGCCATGTCCTGAATGACACATGTTTAGGGAGCGCTAGTGCTCACCGAACTGAGTATTGTCACAACAGACGGTCTGGCCTTGGCTAATAAAATATATTAGCACGTTGGTACTTCGGCTCACGACAACTGGGACTCACCACTTGGGGCCACCGAGGACGGGTAGTACCGGGCTGCAGTTCCCATATGCAATGAGCGTGCTTGTGTCACCGAAATCAACTTCACCAATCCCGGTCAGAGTGGTAGGGCCGCTGGCCTGCTGGGTGTGGTCGCAGCACTGGACGGGTCCAGTGTTGCACGGACTGGTGGTCGGAGTGGCGCCTGCGGCGACAATAACGACTGCAGCAGTGAAGAAGAGAGTGGCCTTGGAGAACATTGGAATGAACAAGTAGACTCGGTAGTTGTTGGGATGGTTTAGGACAGTTGGGTATTTTGAACTGAAGAATTCGTATGAGCCCATAGCCCTTTTATACCGTTCAGATGGAGGGTGCAGTATACAGTACTAGGCCTCGGAGTGTTGCTTGTATTGTTCAAATATTCTTTCTGACGTGAAGGCTCTTAGATGAAAGACGGGAGATGCTGAACTCGGGGTCCGTGTAGGATGGTTCAATGGGGGCGCAACCTTATCGTTGCACTGCATTAATCTTTCTGCAATTCAATAAATCGTCGAATTCAGGCATATTCTGATCATATGCAATAAGACGGGCCCACGTACTTCAGACTAAAGAGGGTTGGGAGAGCTACTACAACATCATCATACTCGCAGAAAACGAGCTTGGGTCCATCACTGAATGGGTTCCACCAAACCCTCGGCAGAAAAGCCAGATATGGTTGGAGCGAACATTACCATCCAGGCCGCAAGAAGGTATATCGACATCTGTCCAGGCTATTTACATAAATTGTAAACAGCCAGGAGTCGTTGTGATTGAAAGACGGTATCTCCTACCTGCATGCTTAGATTTCGAAACAGACAGTCAGGACCAAGGGAAACGAGTAATCCTGCGTCGTATATTTTGGAATGGGCCTTTCTTCAGGAGAATTTCCGCTGGGATCAAGGCGATGGGCAAACCCGTGTTGGGGTCTCTTCATGGGAACAACTACGTCTTCCAGCGACCCATCGCCCCATCATCCCATATGGTTTGAGTATGTAGTCTCGCTTTCATTGTAACGCCACTGTGTGTCGTATACCATTTGAACAGGCCAGCCTCGGCACATTACAGTCTTGATGTGTCATTCCGCTACTCTGATTTCAGGAACATGAAGGCCTGAAGGAGGCGAGTAAATATAAGAGGCTATGCAGACTACTGAACAAGCTGATGTCCTTACGTCTATGCAAAAGCCAGAAGCAAGGGCGTCGATTGGATTCAACCGAGAGGCGTTTGTATCGTTTGTGTAAAAAGCTTCCTACCTGCGGCTTTTGGGCCTTGGCGGGGCGAGGAATGGTCTGGAGTGGCCTGAGAGAACGGCTGAAGAGCCTCAGCATTAGGCGTCCGTGCACGAGATGCATACGTGTAATGCTCGGTGGTCGAATTTGTACCCATTTTTTGCCGGCTGACGACATCGACTTATTCGCATTGATGGTATGTCATAACGTGGATATCGCGGCCAACCGGTGCATCTTCTAGTACTTGCGGCTCAGCGTGCGCAGCAGGAGGGACATAATGGGGCTGCTTCATCCCCACCACGATAAGTAACTTCGTTCACAACCGTGCTGCTAAGTACGTTGTAATCGATGGGTAACCAAAGTAGATGTTGATGACCTGCGAGCAAAGAATGGTTACATTCAGGAATCTAGACGGCGCCCCTACGTCTTCGCGCAACAGACACGAGGAGCTGGGGCTGAATAAGGGGGCAATCAGAGGCTACGATATCGGGACGAAAAAGGGTGAAGAACGTCTCCTAGTCTGGGCTTGATGTTCCCTTCGAGCTACAAGATTTGTCGCGGGGTTACTGAGCCTTTTCTCCGGAAACCAACGTTGCTCTCTCTGTGTGTATTCGCTGTAGAAAACACCCCGTTCTTCCACGGTGAAGAGTGCATCAATCTGCGTGGGCGTAACTACATAGTATCACTATATTTTAGAGGATTAGCTGACAATTGTAGCTCGGAAATTATTCACATTACCGCACACGTCCTCCTAGCTAGTTGCATCGAGGAGAACACCATACCAAAGGCATTCTTATTGACCATAGTATACCGTCACGAAGCTGCAGAGCGTGAGAGCTTCGAGCAATTCTGCCAATCTAAAGGAAGCATATTGGTCGGGAGACGTGGACATGAAGAGGACTAAGCCCTTGGCATTACTTCAGGGTATGTCAACACCAGTTGAAGCTGCGACGATCGCTTATATACGGATGGCGGAAGGCCAGCGGCAGTCCTAGCAGATTCAGGTTTTACTAAGAGGAGAGTAGTTTGTTGGAGTGTAATGGACTCGGTTGCCGGTATTGTCTTTTAATATCTTCTGGATTCGATTATAGACCACTGGAAAGAAAATAAGTGATAACTCGGCTTCGTACATCAACTTGATGCGCGAAACAGAGGAGGAGCATAGGTAATCCAGCGAAGAACGAAGCAGCTGGTCGGATCACTGCTACTCGAGTATTTGCGAGAAACCGTCTTCAAACCAAACAAGTCGACGGTGTCCGGCACTGACAACGCCATCAACGCCATCGACGCATTCTTTCGAGTCCTCCTTAATGCCCGTTAGCCAACGCAGACTTGTCTCAGATACGCGTTATATATACTCACTTTAGTTCTTCGCTTCGTTTTCAATCTGATTCACTATGAGACAAAAGTGAGTGCACCTTCTGTTAAGTACAGTCGTTTACCTCGGTTGTTTGGCAATCTGGCCTGAGACAAACAAAGGCGCCCCTTCGCCCGTCGCTGGTCTGTGCTGGCCTACTTCTGTACCATCATCACCATGCCTCTGCGTCGCCCATCGCTCCGCAGTAAATCACGTTCTCCCGCGCCGCCACCTGAGCTCGAGCATTCCAGCCGACAAGGTCCGACCTTCTTGCCTCCTTCTCATTATGCTGCAGCTGCGGGACTTGCTTACCATGCATCGGAAACCGGTAATCACGCCTATGAGAGCAACAATATGCATCACGATGCCAGACACAGGTCGGCCTTGGATAACTCTGGACGCGACTATGGAAATTCTTCCGCGTCTCCAAATGGTCAAACTCAGAAGGGAATTCCGATGCTGGAGGCTCAACTTTTGCCGTCACTCAGGGATACTATCAGCAAAATGACTCGATCTCCGTCTCGAGGTAGCAGAGCGACTGAAACCTCGAACTTGACTCTATCTCAGCTTTATGTTCCCCGGTCTTCCGGACGGTCTGCGTCTGCCTTGGATTACTACTCCGATCCCCCTCAAAATGGCGGCAGTGATACTTCAACGCTCTCAACCCCCAGGGCATGTGGCACTCCCAATCAAGATAGCGAATACCAAACTGCTCGCACAGACACCCCAAGGTCGAGGCCGAAGTCGGTTCTCAAGAATGTTCTTCGCTCGCCCATGGTCAAATCAAGTCCGGTTAGAGGCAGGGACGCAGAACCTCCGGGTGCGAGCCACACCGTGCAGCAGCGACAGGCGACAGCCACTCCAACAGATAGGCATGACCAAAAACTCGTAAGCCGTCTGATTTTGAACATGCATTGGCCTAACTTGGTATTGTACGAAGTACCCCAACAACAACAAACAATTTACTACCAGGAGTCGCTCGTGCACGGATCCAGGTTCCCAGTTGCGGCCCCGGATACCAGTACCATTGTCTATGGGAACTCCTCAACTACCCGCGAAGACTGACCCTAAATCAGGAGTAGCCTCTTCGCTTCCTCGATTCCAAGGCCGCCGTAAGGGCAACGACAAACCTGAAAGCCATTCTGGTGGCCACCACTCTGAAAAACCTTCATATTTACCCTATAGGGATCCAGAAACAAGTACAGACGAGTCGGATCTTGAATATCGTTACGAAGCCGTTGGCAGAGAACGTAGACGTCTCGTCGTTGCAAATGCAGATGCCCACAGTATCTCCTCAAGCTCGGAGAGTGATGTCGATGGAAGAAGATCTCGTGTACCCGTGCCGACGGACAGGAACAAACCCTCTACCCCGAAGGCTACCCCGAAGGCTACCGGATACTCTCGTCCTACTCGCGCATCTCCTTCTCAAGGCACCCGGCCAGTGATAGGACTTGGACTGGATCTGTCTCACAACAGGCCCAATACAATTCCAGATAAACGGTCTAACTCTCGTTCTCGACTACGTGAAATTCAGGTCACCCAGAATACGCACTCTGTGGGCGACGTCGGGCATAACGAAAAAGGGCAACTCTGGCGCGGCGACCATACGACGGATGATGTGGACGATATACATGCGGTTCACGAAAGGCGTCGCGAGGCTCTCTTAGGCATTGTCAGCGGTCTGGCGCTTGGGTCTGATTCGAATGATACTTCTCTGGCTTCTCGTCAAGAGCTCGATGATCACCTCGAACGCGGCGTGGCCATAAGCGGGTCAGGTGATGTACATCGCGGAGAAGACGATTTTCGGGACATGGCATCCAAGAAGGGGACTCCTCGAGTGAATTACTCTAGGGACGATGTGACCAGCTCGTCAAGGACGATTCCTTCAAAGTCACCCAAAGGCGACAAGAGATCCTTGCTTGCACGACCACCTCCTGTGACACATGGGTCTAAGTCCCCTTCCAAATCCCAAGATGGATCGAGGTCCCCAGTCATCAAGACCGTCACGAGTCCTCCTGGAACTTTGAAGAAGAGGATGAGTGCCTTCTATGTCAATTCTTCTGACGACAACGACGAAATGGAGAGAGAACACGAGGGTTGGCAGCGGCTCATGAACCACAAGTCACCTCCGCAAGGAGAGAGAAAGCATTGCAGCAACGAAGATTACGACGGCTGTGCGACTCAACCATCAAGCATTTCTTCGGAAGAGGCGCGGCACGACACCGGGGAAGCTTCGTTGGCAACGCAAATGATGCAGTCTCAAAGTGAAGGTACAATGTCGCAGGCTGGTAGCGACGTCTCTGCCGTCGAACAACATATTACGTGGCAGGACGAAGGTTACGATGGGTTAAGCGTTGGGGCAGAAGCATTGTTCAGAAAGATCAGCGGTTCGGAAACATTGAAAAGGGCAAACGAGAGGAGGGAGGAAACTGAGAGATCTGAAAACACTTACAGCAGCCGTTCGAGCAGGTCTACAAACAAAAGCTCCAGTGCTTTAAAGTCTCCGCCTGTTGCCCCACGTTTGAACAACTTCCCAGCGACAGAAATGGCTTACAGCGCTAGTGATGCCTCTATCTACGACGACGAAGAGGACGCGGCTGATACCCAAGGTGCAGATTCTGGACATTCATCGCAACAACGCGGCTACGCTCACCCCCAACCTCCGAGTTGGCAAGCCGACGTGCCTGCAGAAATATATGAAGTACTTTTCCGACGACACGGAGAGTGTGAACTTCGTCGCCAGCAGCTCATATGGGAGATTTGCGAAAGCGAGAAGACCTACGTGGCACGCCTACAAATGATACTTGACTTATTCATACTCCCGCTTCGTGTGAAGGACAGCAAAGCATGGATATCGGGAGTCCCATTGGATTTGGCCAAGCTATTGGACTGGCTGGATGATATCGTAAAGCTTCATGTTCAACTTCTTGACGCAATACAACGCGCGCGTACGGCACAATACCCGGTGGTGGAGCGCATCGCGGAGGCTATAAGGCCATTCGTCCCGCGTTTGGAAGTCTATCAACCTTATCTCGTCAGGTTGGGCGACCTGACGGAGTTGGTCAGCCAGCAAGTCAAGGATGCTACCGACTTGGGCGAGTTCATCAAAATGCAGGAGACCTCGGCCGAGTGCGATGGCTGGACAATTGAAACGTTGTTGTCGGAGCCCGTAAACAGACTCGCTCAGTATCCAGAGTTATTTCAAGTGCGTTCTTTCGTTCTGCTTTCTTGTGCCGCCCGAAGTTTCGAGATTGATCCCATGCCGCCAGAGGCTTCAGGATGTTACACAGAAGGCCCATCCCGATTATTTGTCCGCCGTCATCCTCTGTCATTCAACCAATCTTATGATACGCATCATGACGGAGGTGAAAATACGAGAGGACGAGTACGAACTTGTTAAGGGATTGTCAACGCGAATAAGAGACTTGCCTGCGGATCTGGAGCTCCCCAAGCGAGATCGTCGACTGATAATGGAAGGGGCTCTTCGCCAGGTTCAGCCCGCAACTTGCCGCGAAATGGCCTCACCAAGTCAGATGTCCACGTCGCCATCTTTCGACCTCTCGAAACGAAGCGATATACTTGCCAACGCGGTCAGCGAGTGGGGCTCGGATAGGCGTAACAGGTCGGAATCCACAGCGTCGTCTTCGACGGGTGTATCCTTTAGATCATATAGTTCGACTTCATCTGCATTCCCGATTACTCCTGTGCTAGGACAGTTCCCCTCCGGCGCCGGTCTATCAATGCCTAATTCAAAACATCAACCAAAAAACAAGGCTACAGCTCTCCCAACGTCGAAATACAAGGAACCTTTTCAACCACCTCAAGCTCCGTCGGACCTCGTGCACATTTTCTTGTTTACAGACCTGGCCCTTTTTGTGCATCCAGAAGATGGCCCGGGGACATCATGGTCACTGATGAATGAATGCGGTGTTGTTCAGATTATAGACGTCGCTGAGGCAGAATGCCATGAGGCCAACGGTGAGCATAAACAACGCTGTTCTCATAATACCACTGCTGAGGTTCTACGGAAGGTAAAGCCATAAAAGTCGACTTTATCCCACTGAGGATGGACGACCGTGACGGATCCCCGCAAAGCTTCTGTTTCTGTATGCCGAACGAAGAATTCGATGCGACTGCGTGGGTGTCCGCCTTTCGCAAGTGCCAAAGTTTCACGCTTCGCTCACTTTCCATTCCATCCTGTTACGGCTCCTTGAGGCTACCTCAAAAGTTTGACGGTCCTCCTGCGGCTATAGAAAACACGATCCAGACAATTTTGGCTTCAGGGCTACCTATGCCCAAGAGTCCTTCGGTTCAGTTGACTTCTGGAGAACGAGGGAACGTAGTGTCTAGAGAGCGTGAGGAACGTGGATGGTGGTCTGTGAGGTTCAGACAGGTGCTTCGCGAGGTTCAGTACGAAGAAGACCCTTATTTCGTATCGCAGTTTTGATGCTGGATGTCATGGCACGTCCCTCAAACATAGGAAAACGGAAATCTGCCGTAGAAGAGCATGCAATCCGTGTCAGTTAGACAATTAAATGCGGTCATAAATAGATACTACGTATTATCCGATCGTGATAATCGTATAAGTAGTTTACCCGTCGTGCATCTTTCGATGATAGCAGAGATCAGCCCCGTCGCAATCGTCGGGCGCGCGGCGCTGAGGCCCGACGTGAAACCACGTGATGTACCATATCACTCCGCTTCTCTTCATGACTGCAATTTCGCAACTTGTTAGTCTTGCGTATCCGCTCCTGATCTACCCTACCAGTAGACTGGCATCCCCAGTTCCGATTCCTGAAAATGGGAAGTAACGGCGGCGGCGGCGTTGGAGGCTCAAATCAAAGCGAAACCTCCGATTCCAACCAGAATCCGAATTCTGATTCGCAAGGGTCGAGCGGCGGGACGTTTGGCTTGGATAGACTGCAAGCAGGCTTCACAGCGTCAAGGTCGAGCTTGGGCTCGCTGATTCGCCGACTGTCTTCTGGTGGGAGTTCGGGGCGTCGTGTGCCTGTAGTTGGTGAGGTTTCGCTACTCCCTGAGCAGTCAGGCGAGTTCCGCGGCGAATTCCATGGAGGAACGATTGCCGAAGGCCAGACAAGTGCACTTCTCGATGGCTACGACGACATGCCCAATGGCGAGATTGTCTCTCATCCTCCCCGCGACAGCGAAACTCATGCGCACGCTTCAATTGCCTCAGGTTACGCCAGAACGCCGCCATCGTATTCGCAATCTTCGCCGTTGCGCAGAGCCGGGTAAGTCTCAATCATTACGTTTACTGTTGGGTCATTGGGTGTTTCCTGGCTTCCTGGCTAGGTGACATGATCTCTGCCCACATTCATTTGCCCATCTGATGCGGGGTCTTTTGACTGTGAAGGTTCAAGATCCTTTTTGCCTATTACTTTTCCTATATTTAAATCCGTCACCTGGCTCACCTTCTGTTTGCTCTATATACCTACTTCTTACTTGCCTACGATGTTGCCGCCGCCGCACTTTGACATGACCACCGTGCCCAACGCTCTGCCCGCCAGCCTGCTTCAAACAAAATCATCGTCGAACCAACAGGGGACCTCAGATCATGACCAGGCTGCCCACATCCATTTCATCCCTCACTCCCAAAAATCCATCCGCCTTAACACGATGCAACTTTCGAACATGCTGCTTTCCCCGCCGCGGTATGGCTCTCTTCCGGCCGATCAACACCAACATGGCCACCCACAGGGGCGACGGCTGTCTTCTACCCAGCGCGGGCGAGGGAGAGAGCGAGACTCATTCATTTTCCCAACACACACGGTGTCCGAAGATTTACCGCCAGTGGAGACATCGGTGGTCAAAGATGACCCTGTCCATGCGAGTCGTGTACCTCAACATATTGCTTTCTCTGTCGACGGTCCTCACATAGACTTGTCATTGTCCACCGGATCTCTTTCAGCCTCGTCCCACGCCTCTAGTTCCGTAGACGCCTTAACAGCGTCGACGAACAGATTTCCGTCTACACTTTCATTCTTCGATTCGGATGACTCGGATTCTGGGCGAGAGTCGGACAATGACACCGAGGTTGGCGGCTACGACGCGACGCCACGGCCGCCCACGTCTTCTTTACCTTTAGTTTCTCCAGCCCCTCCACGTTCGCCTTCATCCAACTCCGGACCTTCTGGGTTGTCGCTTTTGCTTTCGCGAACGAGGGAGCCAGATCAACGTGCGCAGAGCGACTTAGATCACGATCGTGGCATTGGGTCGCATGGGGTACGAGAATCGCCAACGGATCTTGAAGGCAACGCGTCCGCGGTCACGTTGACAAAACCATCACTAACTTCTCCCAACCCCTCGCCTTCCCTATACACTTCACACGCGTATGAAGCAATGCACGTCAATTCGCCGTTGAATCCTAGGACACATGACGAACGTGCTCCTTTGCTTTCAAAGGCCAGCAATGGTGTGGTTCCCGCAGAACATTCGATATCAGCGTACACGGGGCGGTCTCCTCATGCGCAGTCGTCTCAGCCTCAGTCTCATTCACATTCACACTCTCATTCACACTCGCCTTTCAAAGGGCAAGGGACATCTGGCCTCCTATCTCCCCTGACAGGGGTTATATCAAGAACCGTGGCTGCTGGTTGGAGAGAGACCAACAATGTTGACAATTGGAGATCTGCGGTGAAGGCGCTGCCCGCGGTCCTACTAGGAAGTCTGCTCAATATTCTCGACGGGGTTAGCTGTGAGTAACTCCCTTTAGACCCACTTTTGGCACTCCTGTTCCTTTTCGTCCTTGGAGAATAAGCTCGGCCGTGTTGTATTTCGGGATCATATCTTCCTTCATGTTGGGCATTGCCGTTTCAACCCCTTCCAGAAGCTTGATCGTTCGGCACCATTCTTATTTTTGGGATCGAGCGGTCCTTTTGGAGCGTACACATTGCTGATGTCCGTTCATGTCCGTTTGTTTATAGATGGAATGATCATATTCCCTGCGTCTTCTGTGTTCGCTGAACACCAGGCGGGTCCAATGGGGGTCTCGATGTTCTTCGTATCGTGTGTGATAGCGCAGTTGGTGTATACGTTCGGAGGAAGCGGATTCGCCGGTGCGAATGGGAGTATGATGATTGAGGTCGTGGTGAGTGGACTGTTATAACCACAATTCTTTCTTTTTGGGATGAACCTTATTGATGGCATGTTCGTATGTGTGCTTCTCTTTGGTGCTGTAGCCGTTCTTCCATATTCTGGCGACTAGTATTGCTGAGGAAATAGGAGAAGAGTATCCGAGAGAGATCATTGCGACTACTTTGGTAGCTTATGCACTATCTTCCATCCTCACCGGTAAGGTTCCGTTTGTTGCGAACACTAGGTCACTGTTGTTTACCGCTAAACATGAAACCTAGGACTGGCCTTTTTCCTTCTCGGGGCGCTGAAGTTAGGCGTTGTTATTGGTTTCTTCCCCAGACATATACTCGTTGGGCAAGCTATTCATGTAACAATTCCAGATGGCGGCGAAGCTGACAACTACTAATAGCTGTATAGGAGGTGTAGGCGTCTTTTTGATACAGACTGGGTACGTTCGCTTCCCTCACGTTTAATGCTTTTGGGTTGAAATAATCGATACTCACAACTTATCGCCGGTTTTTCTGTAGCTTGACGGTCAGCACAAGGCTACCCGACGACGACTTCGCATTCAACCTGGCAACATTCAAGTTCTTCTTTCTCGATTCCCACAACCTGGTCCTATGGCTAGTGCCGTTGGCGCTTGCGATGCTGTTGAGACTCCTCACTTACAAGTACACTCATCAATTGCTCTTCCCAATGTGTACGTATTCATATTACTAGACCTGCTTGAGTAGCTCTAATGGTAAACCGCCTAATTCATCTAGATTTCATTACCATACCTATCTTATTCTATGTCGTTGTCGCCGCCGGCCAACTTGACCTAGGTGCGCTGCGGCGTGATGGCTGGCTATTCAACATTGCAACTGAGCACGTTGCATGGTACAAATTTTATACCTATCTGGGTATGTATCTTGGATCTTCTTCTTTGTGTCGACACTACTCACATTGTTTCTAGATTTCAACGCTGTTCGCTTTTCTCCTTTATGGAATACGTTGCCCACGCAATTCGCACTGTGCGTCTATTGTTTTACCCTTGATACTGCAATGTACGATGCTAATATAGCTTGTAATTGCAAGGCTCTTTTTCAATGTGCTTCACCCGCCGCTCAACGTACCCGCCCTATGTGAGTTCTAGGGGCCCATTCTTAAATAGTACCTATTGACATCTCCCTTACGCTAGCGGTGTCTCTAAATGAGGATATTGACACGAACAAGGAACTAGTTGGTCATGGATACTCGAACTTACTTGCTGGCCTGGCGGGTACAGTGTGAGTACCTCCCCTCCTCTCTTCTTGCCGAGTAGTGCACTGACGAGAACCTGCGGATAGACCGAATTACCTCGTCTATGTGAACACACTGCTGTAGGGTTCTTCTTCTCGAACCTCTTCGTGGAGCTGACGCTAGTGCCTAGCTTCTACCGTGTTGGCGGCAGTACACGGATAGCGGGGTTCTTGTTGGCCGTCGCCACTGCCGCCTTGCTCTTCATCGGCACTGGTCCGATTGCATTCATACGTAGGTTCATCCCAAGTGATCCAACGTTGTGTACTCAACGCTGTCTTTGTCATAGCGGTCATGGTTGTTGGGGCTCTAATTCTCGTTCTTGGTCTTGATCTTGTAAAGGAAGCTGTATGGGACGCCAGGCATCGTGCGAGCAGGTACTGTTCTGTTGATGATCCGCGCTTGTTCACTCCTGATCTCTTTTCTCCACAGGAACGAATATATCACTATCATTAGCATCATGGTCTGCATGACTGTCTGGGATTTCGTCATTGGAGTGTTATTCGGCATCATTATGAGTTGTGCGTTCCTTTGCGTTCTAGGTTTAGGTGCCAAGTGACTTACTCTTTATTTTCTGACAGGCTTCTTTTTTGTAGTCCAGAATTCGCAGGTTCCCAGCATACGCGCCGTGCATAATGGGGAGACGGCGATGTCTTCTGTTAGGCGGCCGAGTTCACAGCGGGATTACCTACGGGAAGTTTCGAAGCAGACCACAATCATGAACCTGCAAGGTCAGACGACCCCAATTCCTGTCCATTCACATCGTCTCATGACAAGTGAATTCAACCTAGGGTTCCTCTTCTTCGGCACAATCGTTTCAGTTGAGGAGTGTATTCGCGATCTAATTGAAGGCGCGTCGTGGAATCGGAACCCGGTTCGCTTCCTCGTGCTTGATCTATCCATGGCTGCGGGCATAGACATGTCGGCTGCCGAGGCGTTCGTTCGGGTACATCGGCTAGTTATGGCCAAACATGTCATCCTGGTGTTCTGTGGATTCGACAGTCGATCGGCTATAGGGCAAGCTTTGGAGACTGTGGAAGTCCTTGGTGCTAATGGGGTAGAACTATTCTCAACTTTGAACGACGCGTTGGAGTGTGAGCTTGCCTCTTCCTGCATTCCAAGGTGCTCAGAGCTGATATTTATCTTATATTTCTAAGGGACGGAAAATGCGTACCTCAGAGCTTGGTTCCGATCTCATAAAACGGAAATCTCTGCGTATGGTAATTACGGGTTATGTTCAGACGAGCGCTGTTTACTAACAACAGTATGTAGCTTTGCCTGGTAGACGTGAAGCAGATATCCAGTTCGCTGAGTCGTTGGTAAGCTCCCCGAGGATATCGCATCTTCACGATGCGGGCAACAGGACTATTGCACAAGCACAGGGTATGAACGCACGCAATTTGCCTTGCACACACATTACCTTATACATTGGCGCCCCAGGCTTCCACCATGATGTCAATGTCGAAGACCACTTGGAACCATTCAATACATTGGTGAAGGCTTTCTCGTCTTACGGCGAAATATCCCTAGAACAATTCCGGCCAATGCTGTCATCCCTGCAACGTATCTCGATACCTGATGGGCACGTTCTTTGGAAGCAAAACGACGTTGCCGACGGGCTATATATCGTTGAATCGGGTGTCCTGCGAGCGCGGTATGATTTCGCCGATTTCACACCAAATCTGGAGGAGTCGATGGTGCCTGGCACGCTCGCTGGGGAACTCACCGCTCTTTCCGATTCTCCTCGGAACGCAACGGTCGTCGCCGAACGACCCTCGGTCCTGTGGAAGCTGAGCATGCAAGACCTCCGTGCGCTGGAGAAGGAGCATCCCGCTTTGTTCTGGAAGTTCTGCCAGCTTGTGCTAAAAGGTGCGTCGCTGCTTCGTTGTTCGCTGCTTCGGAATATTGATAGGCTGTATACACAGTTGCAAAAGTGGATTATGATATTTTATTATCTTCATTAGCTACAAGGAGATGACGAGATGATTGATTACGACCCCTTCGAAAACGACGCATTTGTATCATACTTAGATGTATTCATTTACGGACGGACTTTCATACGTTGCATATTATTGTTATGGATGCTTCCATCAATTGTCATTATTTCAATGTAGAACGCAGTTAGTTTTAGTATACACGCAAACTGCTTCTCAAGTAAGAGGTCCCGGGTCGTTAAGTTTAAACGTTGAACTTCGTATATATCAACCAAAATCCCAAGCGAAGTCAAGAACAAGAAAGATACATATCCATAAATTTACAGAAAGCAAGCAAGCAGTCGAATCTCCCGGTGCACTCGTCTAATTAGTTCTCAAGGCCTATGCATGACCCGCTCCAAGGCTCCAACATCCTCCCTAGCTACATAAACATGCTCTCCATATCTTCCCTCACGACTAACACTAGCATCCTCTCCACTCTCTCCTCAGCGCCTCCGCCCACGCCATCACGACATACACGATCCCCGCGGGCAACACACACTTCACGCAGACCTCCGTCCAATCCCACCGCCTCCCGCCCCACTTCCCGCCCCGCCACCTTTTCCAGTACCCGCCCCGTCCGTTCGCGCGTGCGCCCCCGACGCCCACGCCGCTGCCCACGCCCACGCCGGAAGGGGAAGGGAAGCTCGAGAGGCTGGGGAATGAGTTTTGCAGCAGGGACGTCACGCTCCCGCGCGGCCGGTTGTGTGCGTGGTGCTGGTAGTGGTGCGCCTGCGATTGGGATTGGGATTGCGAGGCGGGGGATTTGGGGGATATTGAGTTTGGGTTTGAGTCGTGATTCGGGGTATGGGGGTTGGTGTGGCTGGTGTGTTGGGGGTCGCGCTCCCACCAGAGGTTGCTGGTCACCCAGATTTGCACACTGCGGCTCACGCACGTCGTGGTGCCTATAATGGCCCATACGATCACCGGGCGTCTCGCGGCGCCTTCGAACATTCCTGGTGACACGAAAATAAAACGAAGGGCAAGAAGAGGGAGAAGTCGTTAACTGACCTCCATCGAATATCCGAAGCGTCCAATTAGTAGCGGGCCAGCATATCGCTTGCAGACCCAGCAGTCGGACAAGCGTAGATAGTGGGGTGTAATATATCCTCCAGCGCGTTAGAAGACCAGTTGTCAGCGCGAGGCACTGGAAGCCCGTTAGAATGGACTGCAAAACTTGCGCATCAGCGTCTTGTCGTTGATTAATGACCACAATGCCTACCCACAGCGCGGCGACCGCATAGTCCACCTTCTCTGGCCTCCCCCGCGCGTACTCGCCCGTTCCATAGAATACGAAGTAGAGGTTGTACAGGGTGCCGATTATGGCGGGCACGACGGACAAGAGGCGCGAGAACTCGAAGAGGAGGGGGGTTAGCCGTTCTTGCAGAGAACTGGGGGGGATGAGCGGTTCGTGCGAGGGGATGATTCGGGCTGTCGGTAGCCGCTTGGGCTTTGCAGCGACGGCATGAGAAGGAAAGGAAAATGAACGAGACATTATGCACTCACCGGCTCGTCAGCTTCAGTCTCCGTTTCACCCGCACCCAGCATCCCTGGCGTGGTGGATATCAGCTTTCCGCCTTCTCTATCTCTATCTCTGCCCTTCCCATACACGCCGACCCTTGCTCTTATTGCGCCGTGCGGACTGGGAGATAGGGAATGTGGCGCATGCCAGATAACGCCGTCGAACTCCCCCTCGTGCTGTCCGTCCTCATACTCGTCGCTATCTGATTTCATAGATTCGGACGACGGCGTAGATGGACACGATAGCGGGTAGAGGGGATACGCGTGCGGCGAATGCAAGACTGGGGACGAGTTGACCTTCCTAGTTGTCGCGGTGCGCAAGGGGGGTGCCGCTGGGAGGTCTGCCGGTGTGAAAAGGAACTTGGAGGGGTGAACGTAGGCGGGATACTGCGTCGACGACGATCTGGGGCGCGTTCGTGGAGTCCCCCCGCTCACCGTGCTGGCTTTCGCGATCTCTGACGCACTGTCGAACGAACGGGTGAGTTTGTGGCGGCGGCGTTGGGCAGCATCGCAGGACATGGGCATGGGCACAATACGAATTTACCAGGGCTCACCATCGTACCTTTGTGCTTTATAGTAGAAACCCTAAAACCAAACCCGACAACTTGAATGGATTCCGGTGTGAATTGCAAATGTGGCTGGAGATAAGGGCCCCCCGAATGGAGGACGTCCGTTCCGACTTGGAATTGGGGCCAGTCAGGAGCTCAGGGAATGCCTTGCGGGTGTCGCGTACGGGCTATGAAATTCGTGCGGACAGAACGAAAACAAACGACACGACTGCCATTGGTGCGGCTGAGGCGCTAATTACATCAAGCCAAGGCTTATTTTACTAGTACTGACAACATGATAACAATTACAGCCGAGTTCACTGATAAATGAAGTTGTATCTTGAGGAGGAAGGCGTTTCATTACGGTACTTCGTAAGAGAGAATAGAATGAAAACGCACCGAGAAAGCAGGTGAGGAATAGCGCTGAGCTGCGGGCCGTATCGCGCGGCGTTGTCGTACAGCTCGAACAGCGGGATCGCGAGAAGCTTCATGTTTTTCGGGACAGCAAGTACCTCTGGAAACCACTCGTTAGGGAAGACGAATAAACGGTGAGAACGAAAGAACGCACTTCGCTCAGGCATCTGCACGAGGAACATCTTCTTGCATTCTTTCGGCTTCGTTATATGGGCTGGAATGAAGGGGTACTGTTTCCGTGCACCGTGCTCATCGTCACCATTACCGTGGCAAGGTCCAACTTGAAGTGAGGACACACCATGAACGTCTCGAAATTCGGCCTCCACCACTGCGCCAAACAATCTCCAATCTCCCATTCGTTATCCACCCCGTGCGTAGAGTTGAACTGCGCAGAGCCAGTGGGAGGCGCGAGGCGCGCGTCGAGCTGCCGCTTAAGACCGTCGATCTCATCTTCACCTGGTTTGAGATAGTCCCCAGGGCTGAATAGGCATGATGCCAAGTCAGTGAGATGAGATGATGATTGGAAGGAATGGCATGGGGAACACGCAATGCAGGCTCATCAACTACGTGAATGCAACAGTGCATATAGCAGCTCGTCCATACAGAGTAGAACCATACCACATACGAGGTTCCGCCCTCGTCCAGGAGTCGAGCAAAGCACAGAGGGTGACTCACAGTTTGAAAAACGCGTTCGCAATTTGTAGCATCAGAATGTGCGGGTGCCCGTGATCGTGCACGACAAGGATGCCCTCGACAGTCCTGCGCATGCCGAAATCCTCATAGTTGTTCTGCAAGCGCTGCAGACGCGCTGCGACGCTGGGGTCCTCTTCAGGTTGTGCCTCTTTCGTGCTGCGAGATAAAGAAACGAATGATGGGGCATGTGGGATCGGGTTATGAAGTATGCGAGTATGGACGTTGAGCGCGACTGGCAACGCGAGTACAGCTTCAGTCTCACCTAAAGGTAAAGTTGGATAACGGGTATCTAAGGCGAATGCGTATAAGTTAGCGGGCGGAGCATTGCAGTGAAAGCCGAACGTACAGGGCGATGGTGTTCGACATCGTTGATGGCGCTGAGCAAGTGGTCCTAGACAGCGTGCAAGGGGTCGAGGTTTGTTTGGCTTCGACGTTCCTGCCAAATACCCGCCGTGCCCACCTCAAGTTCAACTTGCCGCCTCACTTTATTTCTTGTTTATTTCTCCGGTGAGCTCCAGGATTACCTTCCTGTATCTTGATATCTTGATGTTACGCTCATTCTCCATGCAGCAAGGAAGCCGATTTGTCGCTCGTTTTACTCGTATAGGTTGAAACTGGACTCAGAAGATATACAACTCAAAGTCTGGCGTTGGTCCGGGTGGCAGGCACTTTGAGGAACACAGTCGAACGAGCGCGACTAGCGAGATTGGACGCGGCTGCGACGTGCTCGCCGAGATTCATATTGGTCTACCCCCCGCTACGCTGACCATCGTCGAGCGCTGCGACGGAGAAATAAGGCGACCACACTGCAGTCACTGGCATAGCTAGTTGTTGTACTCTGCGCGGCAGACTACCCCAACCCCTCTTGGAGTCCGCCGAATGTATGTCTTCGTGAAGCAAACAGTGAGGCTAGAACTTCCGATCGGGACATCGGCCACTGTTATCGTCCCTTGTCGCACCAGTCGAACTCATATATGTACCGTCGCGCTGCAGTTACTCCAGCTCGACACTGATCGTCAATCCCTATCATTACCCATGTGGTCAACGGGTATCTAAGGACACATTTGACACTAGGGGAGTCGGGAGCATTCTAAGTGAGGAGAACGTACAGTGCGAGCTTGGTCGACTTGATCTGCGGCGCTCAAGTTGTCCAAGACACCGTCGAGCAAGGGGCGCAGCATCCCAGGTAAGAGAGCTCACCGGCGCCTTTGTTTGCCTCAGACCACGTTGCCACTAATAAAGATGTCGCACCAAAGGTTTTCCCGAGATGCGCTATATTTTTGCAATATACACCAACTCTACCTACAAAGTCATCTCTGCTCACAAGCTACCCTGACCCCTCTCGGAGATGATCAACGATCACTGGAGTGAGGCATATACACACCACCACCAGCATGAAGCACCACAACGGCCAATGCACACGAGTTAGGGCTGCGCACGACCGATCTATCTCGTCCCTACTCTCTCCATCGACCATAAAATCGCCCTCGGTCCCAAAGCGTACGAGCTCGTCCATCTCGGCGTTGTGGTAGGGTGGCGGTTGAATATACTTGTAGGTCGAAACCAAATGGGTTATGAATTCCCGGAGTCCAGGATCCGGGTGGGTGATATACACGACTGTCGCTGGGGCCTCGCCCTCGTTACTTGGAACATTGGCCTGAACTTGGGGCGGATTCTGGACGAACTCGATTCTGATATCTCGGTCGATGGGGCTGTTTTCTCTACGACGAAGGACGCATCAGTAACCTGAGGATAGCGAAACCAAGATCGTGTACGTACTGCTCGTCGACTTCAACTTCCTGCGCGAACTCGTCGTCGAAGGTGGGAAGAGGGAGATACTTGAAGTGAGACATTGTGTACTTGGTGGGTTATAGGTAGCGAGTATTTGACGAAGGAAGCACGCTCATATATATGTTGAAGATCCATTTGCTTTGATGTCAAAGGGAGTGGCACATACTCCTGGCCAAAGGACCGATTGAACAATGGGGGTGGCTGCAAGCACCTTTGTCTGCAACGCCCACAATTGCCGCCCCGCCATCGCCACCAGGAGACATTCGTCCCATACTCCCGAATCGAAACGCAAAGACCATCCCGAGCGCCGTTCTTCAACTCACTCGCTCGTCCCTTCTCACCTAGAGCCTTGATATGGTGTCGAAGTAGACAGGACGCGATTCGGACGCTGCCCCTTTGTTCGCACTTGTAAACTTACAACACAAGGGATCGACGGTTGGTAAGTCAGCTCACATCATTCTAATATTCGCGAGATACATGCCTCGTTCGGGTCGCCGACAAGACCCGTCATTTCTGCGGACGTCCACCTGCATATTCCTTTAGATAGTCGTCAGGCCCACACTTCACCCAGGGCCTTCAACGGCTAGGATCTATTTTCGTTTGGCGCTCCCGCAGAAGTTCTCCTAAACAGTTCCATCCGCCACGCCAAAATTCAATAGAATCTCTCCCGTTTATCCCCCACCATCACCATCCAAGCCGTGATCCCAAACTTCGATGCAGGGGCTCGGATGTCATGGGCAACGCAACTTGCTCAAATGGAATTCTGCACGGACAGTATGTTGCTACGCCTGCGTATTGCTTCGAACTCGACGGAGAAGACGGGCCCGTTTAAGTTGTTAGCCTTCTCGGCTTCATTCTAACATGTTCTCCGAGGCCATTCTCTTCTTCACCACAGACTAAATCCTCTCCTTTATTGGGAATCTTAGTGGTGTTGGGTTTCCTTAATCTCAGAACCATCACGGGCCTCGTTGCCCACGGCAACTGCAGCCCTATCCTCCCCATTATCGGTGACACGAAGCGGTGAGTACTTCTACCGTTGATCATGAGTTGAAATACATAAGATGCTTACTTTGTTCTGTCAGTAACAGTCAGGCTGTCTGTTATACTGGAAACACGTTCAGTGATCACTCATTAAGCAGGCGATGCATTCAGGACATGACGCTCACGCATCTACTTACTTACAGACGGCATCATCAACATTGGCTGCACCCCCATCACCATCAATCTTTGAATACCTATCTACCGTTTCGGGCGACACGCCTGTCCAGCACATGGGTCTGCCCTTTGGTTTTTCTTTTGTTTCCCGTGATCCACAACTCGCTCATCTGGTTGATTCGCTGTGACGCGAACTTCTGGTCCAGCCTAGTATTATCGTAGCCTTGTCTTTACTTTTCTCCAGGACGCACCGCTTTTGTCCGTGATTGCTTTGTACGGACCGATTGACAATGTATTCTGAGTATCGGTTTGTTTCACGGTTGATGTTGGCTACTCCATATTAAGGGTCTTCACTCGATAGCAAACTACAGGACGGAAATATTCTTGGTGGGTATGGGCAATGGCAGTATACTTCTCTATTGGTAGCGAACATATCGGACAGCCAATCTATGTCCCACGATCATTGGAATATTGATGCACTGAGGGCGTAGTGATCAGACCTGCTCCTGGCCACCTTGTATCATGGCCGCGTCAAATCCTAAGCTTCTCATCATCAACCCAAACTCTTCAGATGTGACTACTGCATCTACCATATCTTGCGCGTTGCTCACATATCAGTTGGAATTCTAGGTTATCACACAGGCACTTGTCTCTAACCTAACGCCCCTATGCCCACCCGGAATTGAATTAGAATTCAGAACTGGACCTCCGGACGCACCTCCTAGTATTAACGACCCACCCACCTCAATCCTCTCCGCCGCTGCGACATTCAAAGCTATGGAGCCGATAGATCAGCAGCCATATGCCGGTTTCCTCGTATGCTGCTTCTCCGACCACCCACTCGTCCACTGTCTTCGGCATGCAGCACCCGATAAGCCTTGCATCGGTATATTTGATGTGAGTCTAAATATGAGACCCCTTGTTCCAAGTTACACCGTCGCAATCATAACCCCTTCCATCTCTGATGACTCTCTTGATCATCTCTACCCCGGTCGGATGGTTTCATACAGGCATCAATCGTCCACGCTCTCCTTTCAGGATCTAAATTCGGTATTCTGACCACTGGAGCGGCTATGGTACCCGCTATCGATGCTGGGGTTGCAACGTTCCTCGGAGGTATAAGCGGACGATACGTTGGGTGTGTCGCCAGTGGGCTCGGAGTCGTGGAACTTCAGACAAGTTCGGATCGTGGTGCGGTCGAAGGGCGTATCAAGAATGCTGCCGCTAAAGTCAGCGCACTAGGTGCCGATGTCATTATTTTGGGCTGTGCAGGTCAGTGCTCATGGCTATGCTCTGATACCACAAGAGGCCTCGAAGGCTGACGGTGCTTATTGAACGCTGATTGGAAGGTATGAGTGGGATGGAAGATTTGGTCAAGGCCGGAGTTACAGAGGCTGGCGGACGGCCGGTAACCGTGATAGACGGCGCAAAAGCAGGTGTGCAAGTTCTGGCCGGACTTGTCAGAAGCCTGTAACGAAAGAAACATGGTACTGCGCACAAACGAATCGTGTTTGTTCGCCTATTGGGCCTGTGCTCGCTAGGAGGTATGCGGCGTCCTTGTCAGTAAGGCCTGCGCTCGGGTTTGCCGGCGAGAAGATCACTACGCCGAGAACAATGGACACCGCCTCAGTCTATTATTGGTACGTGCTGTGCATTAGGTGGGCATCTTGCACTGGAGTCCGTGCAGAGCATTACTCGGAGAAACGATTCAGAGCATTTCCAATGATTGAATCCTAATAAACCTAGATCGTTTTAGCAGTGACCATATAGTTATTCATCGAGGAGCAAACTCCTTTGGAAATCGGAAGGCCATTCTTTGATCCCGATGGTATCACCAGCCAGTCATGGGTGCATTTTGCGGCGCAGTTCAGTTCTGCAGCTTAGTCACGCACCTGACTATCTTTGGCGATAGCTGGGAAGTTTGCGAGGAAGTGGCAACGACTAACAAAGAAACGTACTAAGCAGTAAATGTCACTGTGACGGCCCGTGACGCGACCAGCGCCCAATTTGGAATGGCATTTGCCACGCGCCTCACTTCCTCCGTTGCATTGCCTGCCAAATCAAAGCGCAGCCTTACTTCTCACCACATCCACCTGATGCCTGCGTAACCTCCGTTTCACCTTTTACTTCAAACCACTACATCGCGAGCCGCCCTAATCCCGCCCTCGATAGTCTACTCATTCCATGGCATCGGGATACGCTCCATACGACAGCCCGCCACGACACCGACATTCTCTCTCAGATGCCACCGACACTACCCTGCATCAGTACCCCCCTCCGGCGTTCGACACTCTCAGTTCAGCAGCAGCGTCAACAGTGACAATAACTCCCAAAGATGGAGGCCGTGACCTAAATCGCACGCCAAGTCCGACGCCGAGCGAAGCCAGGGAGCTCAAAACAGGCGCCATTGACTGGAAATCACTGACGAAGTGGAGGTTCTGGATACGAAGGGAGTGGGCTTGTGAGTTTCCCTATGTGCTCACCGTGGTACTAGTTACTAACTCGGCGCATATCAGGGTATTATGTTGCGATCATCATCATTGTCGTAATTACGGCGCTCGTCTCCATCTACCACAAGGAAATTGTGCATGCGTTACGGCCAGCGGCGGACTGGCTTCACAAGTGAGTAGTATTTCCCCTGCTTTGCACCTCATCTCCAGCGTCGACGGTATCAGTCTTGCTGTCACGATGTTCTGAACAGTTAGCACATCTTTAGCACATCGTTCGCGCTGCGCAGCTAAATTGGACTACTACTAACTAAATCTAACTTTCTAGAGTACCTTGCGGCTGGCTCGTCCCTATCGGCATCCTTTTCATCATCTCCTTCCCTCCAGTAAGCTTACAAGGTTCTGGGCATCAGTCCTCCACGCTAACTAACTCCACTTAGCTTTTTGGCCATGAGATCGTCGCAATCCTTTGTGGATTAGTCTGGGGTCTATGGATCGGCTTCGGCATCGTTGCTGCTGGAACCTTTATTGGTGAAGTAGGCAACTTCTACGCCTTCAAATATTGCTGCCGTTCCCGCGGCGAAAAGCTTGAGCGAACGCAGATTAGCTATGCATGTCTAGCGAAGGTCGTTAGAGATGGTGGATTCAAGATTGCATTAGTAGCAAGATTAAGCGCCATCCCGGGACACTGTAAGTCTCAATATGCTTTGCAAAGTATTAGGTCGTTTCTAATCGAGTTGAAAATAGTCACCACCGCTGTATTCTCCACTTGCGGCATGGGAATTTTTACATTCTCTCTGGCCGCGATACTATCACTACCAAAGCAGTTTGTCACCGTTTATCTCGGTGTCATTCTCGAGCAATCTGAATCAGGTACGTTCTCTTTACCTTCAAGGTTACCATCTATTGACGGGGTTTATTTCGATCAGGTGAATCAACGAGCACCAGCAAACTGATCTCCAATATTGTGCTGGCGATCACCATCTTGATCACCATCGCCGCGATGTGGTACATCCTTCGGCAGATGAACAAAGTCAAGCCGGAAATCATTTACGCAAGGCGCAAGGCAAGGCAAGCGAAACTTGCCAGAGCTCATCTGTCGGACACGGCATCTGAGGCGACACTCTCTGGGTCCGATTCTGAACTCCCATTGAACTCGAAACCGACCTTGTTCGCTCCGCAACCCCAGCGAATGTCACCTTACACCTCTCAGTTCGACGCTCGTCCACGAGACGAAGAATCTGGGGAACACTATCCTCGCTCGCAAGCTCACTGGAACAGAAGAGAAGGCGGCAGAGACGTGCTCAGCATCGTCAGAGAGGACAGTGGCGAAGAGGCTGGTTGGGATATGGGCATAAACAATGCACACGCGCCTGTGTACGCCAAACTTCCTCCAGGAGTGCCAGACGAGCCAGAGTCACTTTCCAATAACCCCTACCTGGCCAGGGCGCCGCCGACAGATCCCCACCAGACTCACCAAAGGCACGAGTCGGGCATGTCCCATGTCATCACCTTCGACCCAGACGCTGTTACAGTCTCTTCTGCCCCCCACACTCCCGATATCACATTACCCACACCGCCATACTCCCAGCAAACATTCACTCCCTTGGCGTACCCGACTGATGCACATAACGATAGAATATCACCATTCCGCGACCCAATACCCCCTCCTCCAAAATCACCGCACTCAAATGTGCTGACAAGTCGCTCGACGCCTAATTTAATCACAATGCCAGATACGCACCAAGAGTCTATGTTCCCGCAGAGCCAGAGTACGGGAAACACGCCGGAGCTAGCGTACCACGTTCCGAGCGCCGCGACTCGCGGAGGCAACCCATACTCCAGGTCAGCTCAGGAGCAGCCCCCTCGATACGATCTCCAAAGTAGCGGGCATAATCTGGAGTCTACCGATGCTACTTTCCACACTGCGTGGGGCAGCAGCCACTCTAGAGATGGGTCGGGCTTGCTATAGCTTTAGGACGAAGGTCTATTTACACTTGCTGTATCGAACTCTACATTGTGTATCTCCTTACTTCATGGGACGATTGGATATTCTGTATGACTGTACCATACTCACATTACTCGACACTTTGCATTATGTTGCCGCTCCTTTTTAATCCTTGACCGGGTGTCGCTCACCTGATACGTTGTGGTCCCTCCGTTTTGTCTATACGGACCGCCCGGTCGTTGAGGTCGATGCGAGCGTCTGTAAGAAAGGGTCGGCCCCTTGCTCTCCTGTGAATCACGTGAACGACCAGGCTACTCCGCCTCAGTGCACAAACAGTGCGTCACGGCCAGTACTTGTTCCATCCCTCCATCATGGCGCCCACTGACAAGAAACCGACTGAAGCACCCATAAATTGCAAGATACTCCTCATAGGAAACTCTTCAGTCGGCAAGAGCAGCCTGCTTCTACGCTTCTCTGACGAGCAGTGGCTTCCCGAGGATGAGTCTAGTGCCACAATCGGTGTAGACTTTCGTGTGAGCCGAGCATTGACTTCTTCTGCTGGTATGTCTTGAGCTAACTTGGATGGTTAAAGGTTCACAAAATGGACATCAAAGGGAAGAAGGTGAAGCTCAGTATATGGGTAGGCTTTCTTCCGATATATGTCTCCCAATTTCCATACCTTATCCGCAATATAGGACACCGCTGGGCAAGAACGGTTCCGCACTATAACGTCTTCGTACTACAGGGGAGCGCAGGGTGTCATCCTCGGTAGGTTGCATCTGATGCAGCGGCGATAACTAAGCTGATATACGGTTATGGCAAGTCTACGACGTCTCAAGTCGAGAATCATTTGATGCATTACCACGGTGGTACTCTGAGCTCGAAACATATGTTTCTGATTCGGTCGTAAAGATTCTCGTCGGAAACAAAGTGGACAAGGTGATTTATTCTTGAGCTGGTGATTTACCTTGAATTGAATTGATACTGTTTGCTATGTTTAGGAATTCTCCCGACAGGTGTCTACATCGGAGGCGAAAGCTTTCGCTGATCGGATGAACTCTTTATTCATCGAAGCTTCAGCGAAGACTGCAGTAGGTGTGAAAGAGACCTTCACCGAAGTCGTTGAGAAGATTCTCGACACGCCGGAGCTCTGGTCACCCGAAACGAACAAGCCCTCACGCGAAGCTAACGGCAAGTCGATGCCCGGGGGTAATCTTCAATTGAGTCACGAAGATACCAGCGAGGGGGGAGGATGCGCTTGCTGAGTACTGGCGCTAGAGCTTCTGTATGTTATATGATTGACCACGGGAAAGATACCTTAATGCTACTCAGACACACGATCGGTAATGTATTTAGACATGCTGTTAATTGGACCCCTTCCGCTTCACCAGATCCAAAGTCTTACCCGTAACGCAAAGCTTGGTTTGCCGACGCAGCACCCACGAAGATTTCATATGTACTAGCAAGCATTTTTCTTCCTATGCTCATAACTTGAATGTTTATGATAGTTCTTGACTCATAGACTCATAGACTCATTTTTTTTTTGGTCTCTGTTTAACGTCCATCGGAGGTACTCCATGCGGACGGCTCTGTGCTACTTGTATCTAGATCTACCGTTGTGTACTATGGAAGTAAATAAAAGGGCCCCCATGCCCACCTTGACCCCTAGCTCGTCATGCACAGCAGACGGACGGTCCTAGACCTCGTCCCCCTGCTGCCCAGCGACGGAGACCGCTGTTTTTCGGACGCTAGTGTGTTTGTGGGTAGCCGTTCGGTATTGGTTGGACGTCTTCTTGGCCTATAGCCTCCCATAGACTCATATAGCGCGCTCACTCTCAGGCCTTCGCTTCGCCAAAATCGTAACTAGGCTTAGACGTTCAAGATTATTGATTCGCGGAAACATCAGTTCGTTCAAATAATCCTACATACAAGTTCATAAATCGCATGCTTTTCTACGCTCTCCTTGCACTGGGTTATGGTATCAAACACTACTCGAATCCAGTATTGTGTGATTATACTTCTGGAGAGAAACACCTCAATCTCAGACTAATCGGAATTTTGCATGCAAGACACATACATTGGGGGCGATGTGGCTCAAGTCAAGGTCTTCCATCACTATTTCCGTTGTCGTCGTGACGTGGACCTGGGCACCGAATCGATGTATAGTAGCGTGACCATCTTGTGTTCTGGGCGCCGGCAGGTCCGACCAAAGGGAGCTCTGCGCACGGGAGTCCGCTTGTCCGGAAGAAGCGAGGTAGAGTCGCGAGTTGAGGGTCGCGAAGAGCCAATTGGAGTATCTGGAGGATGCCCGACGACCGACAACTGTAGTTCATGTCCTGACCTTCAGTAGACCAGGAGGAAGACTCACAGACGCGGGAGACTAAAATAGCTGTGCCGCATATGTGGCCGTGAGCACCGCAATCCGAGCGTACAACCCAGGATGGGACGTACAAAATGTAGTGGAAACTTGTTTGCGGCATTGTCGCCCATAGACTAACGTGGATAATCGCCCAGACGGTAGTGACGAGGCCGGTCTCAACTGTGAATTTCAGCAAATTCGACACCATTGTCCTGGTACTCCTGAACAGAGACTTTGAATAGGATTTGGCAAGCTGTAGATAGCATAGGTCAATAGCGCATTAAGACTTAGAGAAGGCGATCGGTCACAATTGTCACTATCGCCCCAGTTCCAAGGACGTCGCATACTGCTGCGCAGGATATCCAGACCTTATGCGGAATGTGTGCGTATATGAAGTACTGGACATTCAGAGCAGGACCTACGTCGAGGTATTCGCCCACAGCCTGCGGAGAACTGTAGTGCAACCCTAGTTTGATAACCTTGAACTTCCTGGTTAAGCCTGTTAGCCCTATACAGAACATTGTCACGCACTCTAATGCCAAACAGGAAGGAAAAGGCGCATCCCACCATGGAAAGCTAAGGAAAAGCATAATGATCAACTCAGGGAACTGGAAGAAGCAGTCCACATACAACAAATATGACAGCAGGCAACCATATACTGTTGGTAAGTTTATAAATTCGCCATGAAAGGAAGTTCTGAACAATAGCCGTGACTGTTGATTGTGATGATGGATAAGTGGGCATGAGCATACGGTCATTTGTCTGGGGAGGACACCTACTGATTCCACTGATGAACGGGAACAGTGCCCATCCGGAGGGCAAGTGGTTCAGGCTTGCTAGGTCACCAAATCCCTTGCCGAAGGTCATCCAAGCGATGGTTCCAACTACTGCGGTCGTGGCTGTCTCCAGTCCAAACACAAGCCAGACTAGCGGTTATTAGCGTGAGGTATAGACGTGTATAGACGTTTGAAAATTAACGCGAAAACCTGTCGTACCTAGCATCTTGAGTGACAGCCTATCGCTTGGGTATTGTATAAGGTAAATAACTAGAAACAAGTGTCGAGGTAATCATCAGTTCGCAGGTTATCAATATATTTTATTGATGGAAAAATACACACGGAACTGCACAACAGAAACGCCGTATAGCAGATAATTAATCATGTAGGCGAGGACCTAGCCGGGTATCGCTGTATCAGTACAGTCCACACGCTATCTTGGACGCGCATACGAGCGGAGCTGCACTACAAGAGCGTTAGCAAGGCCACATCATCCGCGCCGGGAGGATACATACACAGTTATGGGGTCCATGACTGTTGACATGCCGTAGTCTGAGTGACGGTTTCTTGGCTCGGGGATGAACAGTCAGCGTTTGAACCCCAACCATTCGGAGCCCTTTTAAGCAATATGTACGCCTGCTGGGACTGAGCGGCAGCAAAACTCAGCGTCGGCGAACAGTCAGGATCACAGCATTCCTCAGCCGTAGCATTGTCGTACTTGGATGGGCTTTCGGTGGACCGTGATCCCAACGAACGAAGGACGGGTTGATGCCAATGATGAATAGGCTGAGCGCTCCCCGTATGCTGTATATATGATGGCTACCAGGCGCTAGACATTCTCGTGTGTTCCTCTGTACTCAGGTTTGAAAGTACATCTGCGAATGTCTTGCAGGGCCATCAAGGCTCAGGCCGACGGGGTTTGATGAATACGGTACTTGCTAGGGAGCCGAAGCGGAAGAGGTCTTGATGATACAAATTTCTATTCATGCAGACGTATCTGTATTCTTTGGGATTATCTGTCTGTGACTTGAGTATCAATACAACAACATGATTGTAGCCCGGTTCGTCCCACCTTTACCTCATACTTCGTACTCGTTCGACGTCCACATACTATGTAATTACTTGGGATGCACACCCCAGCCCTGCATAATAAACAGAATCCTAGCATCGTCGAGCCTCCCGTCAGCGCGCCCAACTTCCACACCAAACGTAAGAAGCAACAGGATTTTGGACTCACCAGCGCAACCTGTCTGGCCTCAAAAGATGGAACCCCAGCAACCACATAGCTACAAAAACAAACGATACAGGTTCAGCGAGCGTACCATGTATTAGATGAAGGGGAGGGCGGTGGAGAGGCTGGAGAGGACGAAACGTACTCAATTCGGCGTAGGTAAAGAACCCAAAGGCACCGCCAGAAGCGCCGCGTTTGATGAAACGCACGACATCCACCCAGAGCTTCATGTCCTTGGGGGTGGGCCGGGCTCCCTCGTCCATGAGAAGGACTAGCAATATGCGCGTGTCTAGAAGTTTCCTGGATTATGACACTGATGACAGAAGTAGCAGGGAAGAAACATGCATATTCCGATATGGCTGTTCCCATTGGAGCGGAGAATGCAGGTCGTCGTTAGTGCTGCGGCATCAACCATCGAAGTATACGTGCTTACAAGTGGCCCCTACAGCACAGTCCCGTCAGTTATGTGTTAACGGTACGAGGAAGTAGCTTACACGGTCCCAATAGCGCTCTGGTACGCCGAATTCGTCATCAATATCGACCAATCCTCAGTCGAGAAGTTCTGGAGGTACAGATCCGGGCGCTATCACAGACGGCCATCAGCATCAGCATCCATCCAAACTACCAAGCGGACGCTTGGGTAATAGGATGCCTTACTTGGTAACCGTCCGGGAACAGCCCGTCATCCAAGAAGCTGATATCTGGCTTCTCGAAACCCGTAGCTAAGACGATTATGTCTGCGTCGAGGTGCTGCACCAGTAGCAAAGTATGAGTGTATCAGTATACGCGGCCAAATCACACGCGGTGTGAGGGTAAGCTTACGATCTCTCTGCCACGATCCCCAGGTTTCGTGCCCCGTTTACGCTCGTTCACCACAACAGCATTTTTTGTACACCGAACTGGATCGCCCCGAACGTAGACACACCTCCCCGTGCGTACATGCTCCAGGAACTCGTCGTTGACCACCTGCACATAGCGTACAACGAGTAAATGGACAACATCATCAATAATCACGATAGACGAGGCGATAATAGTGGTTGCGTACCGGTGTCCCCTCAAATATCCCTTTGTTAGCAGGGACGAGGTCTTTAACTCCGGTGTAGTGCCAGTGGGTCAGGAAGAACTCCCAGAGGAAACTAGCGCACCCATCGTCAGCTTGTGTGCGACGAATTGATCGAAGACAGCTTACCTGAGCGGCATCTGCCTCCCGAATGGCTGGCACGCCAACACCGTATCAACCACAATATTCCTACAGACGACAGGGCGGGTTATCAGCCTTCCATAAGATGAATGAAATACTGGAAAGCATGACCTACCGAGGGATGATCCACTTATCCGACCGAGCGACCATCCACACATTGCCCCCCTCGGTGCGTTCCAACACAGTTTCGACGGCTTCGACACCGCTTGCGCCGCTTCCAATCACTACGACGTTCTTGCCCTCCAGCTTCCACCCAGGGATTGTGTCCAGCTGCGACGAATGTATGATCGTCTGAGCGAACGTCTCCTTACGCTGATCCGTGTGCTTTATATGCTTTGGTCCGTTAGTGCAGCCATTGGTCTTGGCACTATCATTCTTTTCGTCACGTTGGCCAGTGGGTCCCTCCGAGGGGTGCTCGTACTTCACAGCGGCAGCGTACGAGAAAGGCCCAGCGGCGCATTCTTCGTCGTCCTCGGACTTTCCATCATCTTGATGTGGGGCTTCGTATTCATTCTTGACGGCAGTAGCGTACGAGAATGGGCCAGCGGCACATTCGTCCTCGTGCTCCTCGTTCTCGTCCTTCTCTGCCTCTTTGCCTACGTCCTCAGGCATACCCTCGATCTTCACCCACTTCGGCTTGCCACAGGTCCCGACAGTGACGATGACAGCGTTGAACACGCCGTCTTCACCGTCGTTGATGATCCACTCTGGCTGTAAGGAGGTCTTCTCGTCATCGGGGACCCGACGAACGGACTTGACTTCCATCTAATGTGATAATGATCACAATAATGAGTGTTGAGTTAACTTTGCAGTAGAGGCGCTTCGAGGCATTTGCTTACATTGAACTTAGTACGACTTTCCAAACCGTACTCTTTCCACACTCGAGTAATTTCTGTCGTATAACGCGTGGGTCTTCAGATTCTCAAAGTCGGAATCTAAGAAATGAGAACTCACCTCCGACAATATCCTTCTGCTGAGGGAACGCCTTCCTCCACAATACCGCAGGGTGAAAGCGATAGAGCATCGAATTCAGCTGCAGGCCTGACGTGCTGTTCACATGCGCCCAAATCCCGCCCAGTTTGTCTCGGGAGTTCTCTTCGTAGATGACGACTTCGAAATTATGCGCGACGCAATGGCTGAACGATCCAGATTCCAGATGCAGATACACAAACCAAATCAGACAGAAAGCGATAGAAGTGTAGTTGATACTTACGCAGCTGATGAGACCCCTGTGAGCCCAGCACCTATCACGGCAATGCGACCATACGGCTTAGCAAGTGCCTTGCGGCATTTCGACGAGGGCTACAAAGATGATAGCACGCGTTGAGTTCAACGCGTTCAAATGTGAATTCCTTCAAGTTTCCTTCGGAAACTCATCTCGCACATCCCGCTACTCCCGTCTCCCACCTCCCCTTCCGTGATATCGGAGTCATCCCAACTTCGTCAAAGGGCATTCCCAAGAACGACGAGCAGCAAAACATCCACATACCGGCTTGAACAGGATGATAATCACCGCCTGGATCGCGATATACACGATATTCAACGCCAACTCGAACGTCCTCAGCGGGCTGAGGGCCTTGACAATCCGGCCTTCCCTAATCAGGCGTACGGAATCGCGGAGGTACTCGGCGACGTCCTGCGCGATCGTATCAGCGCATGCTGAGACTGGCAGTGTCATTTGGGTGTCGTGGGGGAGAGAAAAGATTCTCGAGCGCGTTTATCATTTGAATGCTCTTTATAGATTTCGAGAAGCCGGTTGATAGTCTATAAATATGTGGTAGTGGAGCGGGAGGTCTATCATCCATGACGTCGCGCCTCAGCTGCCTTGGTAAAAGGCGCGATCACGTGAGAGTCCAGATACTTCAGGGGCGTCCTTTTCGCTGTCTAGGAGTCTTCCACGATCTAATGACCAACGGTCTTCTCCTGCACCTTGTAACACATGATAGTGCTATACCCTTGCAGTCATATATTTCTGGAATATAAGTAGGTCAATATTGAACTCGTCCTACCATTGTGGAAGTTTCGTTGGACGATGTACACTTTATCTTATTTCTTATAATGTAATCATTTGACTTGCTTTTGCGACGTGACGGTGATAATGACTGCTATTCAGAGTTTTCCAACTAGTCCAGCATGTCTTACGGGATATAATACTGCCGGCAGAGCACGAAGACACCTTGGGCACCCATGAATCATATATCATATCAACTCTATAGCATTACAACAAGAAATTATACCCAACTCAATCTAGTCAGAAGGTGGCCTCATAGTAGTCCTAAGCCGTCGACTGAGTAAACCCTCAACCGATTAACAAATCAAACCGATTAACAAATCAACCAATCAATCAATCGACCAGCGTCATAAGCAAAACGCCCCCTAGCAGGCTCGACAGCGCGACGGCCTGGCGGCGCACGCCGCCAACGCCCATATGCATGTGGGGGTCGTTAACGAAGTCCGCGGCGAGCATCTCGACGCACGCGGCGTAGATGAGCATGCCGGCGGATATGGCGGACATGAGGCCTTGCGTGAGGCGGAGGTGTGCTGCAAATTACAATGAAATGCATGGAAGTATAGAAGGTAAGCGAGTGGTAAGTGATAGGCAGGGATGTGGGTGAAAGGATAACTCACCACCTTGTCCCCCACCCAACGACAGCAGCCCGATCAGTATGCCAGCGGGCGTGGTGACAGCGAAGAGCGCTGAGAGGGCTGGGGCAAGCAGCGAGCGCGAGCTCTTATCCGTTGGCGGGGGCAGACTTGCTATCCGAATGCCGAGGGAGAGCCCCTCGAACAGCTGGTGGAAGAATATCGCGGTGACCAGCGATGCTGTAAATATCACCGTCCACATCAAGCACACGGTGACGGATAACAGGTTATTCAAATTGCAAGTGGCAAGATAACGAGAATACGCACTAAAATCTGCTTTGGGTGTTATCGACAGTGTTAGCCCGATGACGAGCGAGTGGATCATGATCCCGAGTTGTAGGACCTGCGCATCGAGGTGGCAGTTATCAGCGCCACGCTGTCGGGTACATCATGACACTCACCAAGATCCCCACAACCTGTCTCCGGCGGCCCACAGCAGGCCGCGGCTGTTGACCATCACTGCCAAGAGGGCCTCCCTCCCCCTCCTCTTCGTCCAGGAACTCGAGGTCGTGGTGGTGGTGCGCATGTCCACTATCCTCACTGTGGGCATTTGCATGAGCGCTCCCGTGGCTATGCCTGCGCTCAGACCCCCGCCCCCGCTCGATATCTAAGTCGTGGTGATGGTGGTGCGCGAACTGACGGGGCGCGAATATGCCTACGATGGACGCCCTCTTCTTGCTCTTCACCTTCACTTTGACTTTGGCGGTCCCCTCTGATCTCTCCCCCTCCTCACCAGCGCCTCCACGTCCACACTTCCGCCCGCTCGACTGGGACCCACGGCGCGCCGTCCGCTCTCTCCGTAAACTCCCACAGAACTCGTCGTGTGTGCAGCAGCACCGGTGATGGTCTCTATCGCCCAGTATACTAATATACCTGGGGTTCGTCGAGTGCACTAATGGCAGGTACGGATTTGGTGACGAGGGCTCGTGGAGGGAGGATGAGCGGTAGCGCGTGATAGGGATACCCGTACGCGCAGTGGCTGGGGACGAGGGGGAAGTTGAACGAGGTGATGCGGGGATAGAAGGAATTGGAGCGATAGCAGGGGTAGCAAGGAGGAGAGGTGTCCGCTCGGACACGGCGTCGTTGTCTTGGATGACAACGGCTAGTGGTGGGAGGGGAAGAGAAGTTGGAGGGGAAGGGGACACCGCTCGCGACGGAGATTCTGCTGGCGAAGAGGGCACAGAAGGATTCGCGTTTAGCCGATCGACGTATGAAGTGGATATATCTGTCGCCGCGTGTCGGATAAGATCGTATACACCAATTGGTCCACTCACATTCGACGAGGAATATAGTTAGCAGTGAGCCGAGTCTGCAACCGCAATTTGCGTCAGAGTTCGAAGCAGACGAGTGAGAAGTGAGGATAACGCTGACATTATTAAGCCCGTCCAGCGCGCAACGTCCGTCCCCTTTCTGACCTCAGGATCCTGGAGCGACGTGTAGGCGTCTTGCAGCAAGTGGCAGAACGCTGTAGCTAGGATGACGCCCGTGCCAAAGTGCTTGCCGATGAAGAAGACGACGTGGGGTATGCGCAAGAACCGAGCCTTGCGCGATACGCCTGGGAATGAGACGGCTGGAAGAGTGGTCAGCGTACAGAGCAATGGAAACCGCAAGGTCCGCGCACCGGTTAGAGAGACGGCCAGAATGAGGACCGTAGCTCCTACTCGCTTTGCAAGCATGTCGTCTGGGTCAACCAGGAAGAAGGGCATCCAGGAAGAGCCATTATTTATGGTCGCATAGAAGAAGTACATCGGTGGATGGTTCAACGGGGTGGAATCATGGGGAAGCAGTTGTGAAGCTTTGAACTTAGAGGAGGCGATTCAGTGCCCGCTCGGATTTGACTGCGAGGGTACTCGATGCTTCGTGGTAAACAATCTACAACTTTGAAGGGTCGACTATGATACGACCTGGTTGTGGACTTGCCAGCTTATCGAAGGGGCTTCGCAGAATAAGAACCGAGACACACGATGCATTACAAGAGCGGCAGGCGACTGAGGCAATACAAGTACTAGATACGACAAATCAAAGAGTAAGCGCAAATCACAAGTCCAAAACATGAACACGATATAGCACAACGAAAGCAACATCAAGGTCAAAATCGAAAAAAAAAAACGAAAAACGAAACGACGAGACAATGTGAAGGCGGAGTTGAAAGCGAAGGATGGAGTATGATGGAATATGGAGTACAGATGATAAGATAAAATATGGGAAGCTCCTGCAGAGAGTGAATTAGCTTTCATTCGAAGAGGGGAGATTCAGGGGAGGCACACTTTTTTTGCAAACTCAATCGATTAAATAAGGACGATGACTATAATCATCACTTGCGCGAGGTGCGCTTCGTAGCACGGGGCTTCTTGGCCGTCGTACGCTTTGCTTTCTTCTTTGGCGACGCCTCTGCAGCGTCACCATCCTCATCCTCGTCTGTGTCTGCGTCCTCTTGGGCTCTGCGCTTCGTGCCTCTCCCGGCAGGCTCAGCGGGGAGCCTGGAAGAAGATGCAACAGGCCTAGGTTCCTCGGCGGCATTTGCGCGGGATGCGATATTGCGGGTGGAGCGACGGAGGGGGACGCCAACAGCGGTGCGGATGGTCATAGAGCCAGTGGGCTGAAGGGCTGAAGACCGAGCCTGGACGGGCACCTGCGGGGCAACGGGCGGTGGTGGTGGGGGGAGAGGAGGAGAAGGGGGAGGAGGAGAAGGAGGAGGAGGAGGAGGAGGGGATGGAGGAGGGGATGGAGGAGGTGTACCCCATGAGCCCTGCCAATAGACTTTAGGGTGAGATTTTTCATTGAAGGCGGCAGCCCGCCTGAGACCACGCCCGATGGGAGGTATCAAGGGAACACGAGGGGCATGTGCTTGGGGTGCGTCAGATGCACCTCGTCGGGTAGATCGGTGGCCGGAGCCCTCGGCGGCTGCGTGAGTGACCTTCGAGCGAGGAGGACGAGCCCGTGCGGCCCTCGCAACGGAGGGGCCCGCCCTGTCTTCGTCGTCGTGTTCTTCTACGTTCATAGCTCTGGCTTTGCCCTTGCCTGTCTCTGTCTCAGAACCCGCCGCGAAGTAGTCTTCATCTGGGGTATCAAATGCGCTCAGTGCTTGCGCCACTGTCTCCGCGTCGTCGTCTTCGTTCAAGTCCCCCGCATCGGCAGGGGGCGCATCCGTTCCTTGGGCGGGGGCCTTGGCTTTCCCCTTCCAATCGTGACTCCTGGAGCCGCCCGCAGACGCACCAGTCCCGTGGTGTTGCGAGCGAAAGGCTGCTTGCTTGCGCGGGGTGGGGAAGAATGTGGTGGGAAAGGCTCGGGGGCGCCCGTTGGCATCGGCGTAGGTGTCGAAGGCAGAGCGCGAGGCACCGCCGCGCTTGGGAGAAGACGGAGCACTCTTTGAAATTGGTTGGCCAGTGACCGGGGCATTGTGGCTGTCGTTGTCGTCGGCCAGCGAAGTGGCTGAATAAAGTACAACTTGCAGATTTCTGATGATTCAGAACGCGTTAGCAAACACGCCGTTGGATAGAGACACTAGCGAGTACTTACGCAGCAGACGAGTTGAGATTCTGGTGGATTAGGTCGCTAAATCGCATTCAGCCACCAGCCTCGCCACAATCAGGGGAGTGAACTCACCGAGCATCTTCGATGGTTTCGAGAGATGTAGGCAGGTGAGCGGCGACATCGCTGGTGAAGCTGATCAAGCGGGGATCGGCTTCGCCACCGAACTTGGCCTTGAGAGTAGTAGAGTACTGAACGAGGCTGTCGAAAGCAGAAAAGATCTTTGCCTGCAACGCAGACAGTGCTGAAGAAGGCTCCGCTGCATCATTAGCTGACGAAGAGGAGCCAGAAGGTTGGTTGGTAGCAGAGTCCATAGCTCAGTGAGATGCGGATGGCACGGCTTAGTGGCGATGGAGGAGCTACTGTGTTATGATGGTGGGTGGAAGAAGTCAAGAGCAAGAGGCGTCGGAGTAAGTTTGGGAGCTGTTGTTTGGAAATTGGAAGTAGACCATTGTTCCATTCTTATAGGAATCCGTCCCCGTGATTTGCCCACCAGTCCGCCGACAACGTGTCGACGACCCGCCCAGAGTGCTGTGCCGACTGCCTGCTTTCGGATTAACCTGGTAGCTTTGGCGGACCCTGCTCGTGCTTTGGCCGGGTGGTACTGATGCGCCTCACTAGTAGCCATCTGTGCGGCGTGAGGCTACATCATTGACCGCGAGCTCTACCCCGGCAGACTTCTCCCAACTTTCGAGCGCGTTGACGACGTGCCCGACGACAACAATAGTTGACTGGTGAGGCGCCGGACAGGGACAATAGGTGGAGTGATGCGTATAATTGCCTTTTTAGTACGTACACACAATAGGCCGACGTTGTTGATCCAGATGGATCTGGTTGGCCACTCACGACCCTGAGATTGACAAATGCTGTTGTCTACGAAACTGGACACATGGCGAATTCGAATTTGAGTGGCTATCGCCTGCGGCATCCGGTGCTTTGTTCAGTACCACCGGGGCATATAGAGCGAGGTGATGCGCCGCCAGATGGCATGCACCACGGGAGTGGCCTCCACTCATTGCCTAGAGTCAAAGAAACGGCGGACAAAAACTGAGACATCGTCAAAGCAGATCCCATAGCCAGCGCACCTTGGATTGCCTGGCTCTCACAGGTCTAGCGCGCCTTATGCCAAGCACCAGTGATGGCGGCGCTGCAGCTGTGACCAGCGAGACGCTCTCAACGGTGATCGGAGTGGGCGGGAGAAGGCGGGCGGGCGCCGCGAAGTGCAGTATGTCACATGATCAGCGACCAAGCAAGCCCACGTGCCACGCGTTTCAGTTTCACCGCCTCAATTTGCGCACTCGCGACTCCTACCTCTCTATAACTCTACCCTAACGCCCAACTCAGCCCGAACTCTCGCGCACACAGCCCAAATATGGGAGAAGAAGGCGAAGACGTCAAGCCGAAGCTGAATATCCAAGTCGTACATGGCGGCGTCCGTCAGTGCCCCACGCCACGCTCACCACCCGAGATAGGGTCAACTTGAACTGATATCATGTTTTGGAGCAGAAATCACGATCAAGGTGAAGGCGAATACGCCTTTCAAGAAGATCTTCGAGGCGGCTGAGGTGTGTCGGCGATCCCTACACGACCATCAACGCGTTGACTGGGCTTTGTCTAGAAACGATTTAGCAAAGACCCCGGTGGGTGGAGTACCCACTTGCACGGCCCGGGATGCTGACGCCGGACGCCTCTAGGGACGTTCAAATTCACGTACGATGGACAGCGCATCCAAGCAGATGAAACGCCTGCGTCGGTGAGTCTATGGTGTGTCATTCACCCGTCGTTGGATTCTGAGAGATCCGCAGCTGGGGATGGAGGACGGCGATCAGATTGACGCGAACCTCGAACAAGTAAGTCCCCCCTCTGCCGTTCGTGCGCGCGTTTACACCAGATCTAGCTCGGGGGATCATTGGATGCAAGCTCATGAACCACATAGTTCCTATCCCTTTCAATCCCCCGCCCGGTTCCGCACATTCTTGTATATTAGACATATCGTCTTAAACTGGGCATTGATATATTATTACGCTGTCATAACAAACTCTTCTGAAACGCGCCGCGGAATGTGAACCGTCGTCAGCTCCGAAGTTCACGCATGTTGTCCGTATCACACCAACGGCACTAAATCTATCATATACAAAAATAACGCAACACAGAGGATCTAGGCAAGGACCAGCTCTACTAGACCAGTCTCCCCGGCATCCCACAGTTTGGCGAATTTCAAACCTGATTGCACACTAAGAAAGACGATGAGCACGCCGACACATACTGTGCACGTTACGAAACTTACCCCAAGGAGATGAACTCGTCCACCGTTCGTTCCTTGCTGTTCAAGAAACTCATCATGTTGATATCCTGCTGGTACGGCCGGATTCGCCCCATGCCGTAGTTCGGGAGGAGTGGCTCAGGTGCCTGATAGAAGCAATGTTGACATCACCGATGATAACTTAAGAAGCGTATGGACACAGGAAGCGTACCTGGTCGACATGTGGATTCTCGGAGGCGAGAACTCTAGCGACATTCTGCAAAACGAACTCATCTACACCGGGTACGACCGATTGTTGTCAGTCAAACGGGGCATCCCGCAGATAGCCTGAGACCGACGTACGGATTAAGACCCGACTCGTCGGTTTCATGGCTTGGCGGACATTTGACAGGATCTTTACGCATTCAGCATCAGGCCAGTCGTGCCTATGGCGGTCGCTCGTTAATGGCGACTTTCACATAGAGTAAGCAACTCACAAAATATGACGGATCTACATGAAATGGCTTAGTATTGATCCGTGTAAGGAATGAAGGGCGTGCACGCACGTAGTAGAAGTCGCAACCGGCGACTGGAACCTCAGTGAAGAAGTCTAAAGGTGCAAACGCCACTCGGTTGCTCTGCACGGCGGAAGGATCCTCTTGTGCCCAGAACTAACGGGGTCGTCGTCAGCCAGACCGTACGGGCAAAGGTGAAGTAGAGATCTCACTTCCTTAGCTTGATCGACGACGTGCGGCATATCTTGTATAACCAACCTGAGTTGCGGGAATGTTTGGATAAGATCCATGGTAACATGGCCAGTGCTACCACCGACGTCACAGATGACTGTGCCGTTAGGGAAACCGCCCCAGGGATAAACTGAGGACCAAGTTAATATCAACAGAGGCTTTACTGAGGAAGGAAGTACCTTTGCGAAGCATGCGCTTGCCGTTGACTTCACCTAAACCTTTCATTGCTCCCGCAAAGCGCTGCCAACAACCTGAGCGTTAATGTCGCAAGCCGCTGAGATTTTAGGACTTACGTCTGCTCTCTTTTGACCTTCGGGCTAAGGTGGGAGAGCCGCCTGGTGAGATAGCAGACGCTAGGAAAAACGAGATGGCTCACGCTGGCGTAATGGTCGAAGACGGTACATCCCTGCATGCGATAGAATGGAGATGCCTCAACGGCGTATGAGGGTCCCGACACGGGGTCGGTGAGGGCTTCGTTAAGGTAGGCAGTGGACTTCATCCCTTCATCCGTTCTACGATGATATTTCGGTCAGTAAGGAAGCGAACAGGAATGTCCACCACCTACAAATGACCAACGTAGCTCCATATCGGATCCTTAGCCAGCAGCTTGATACTGAGACGGTTGTTTGCAAACACATTGGGTTGTACTGTCCGAACGTATGTGAGAGAATAGACCGGCAATGGTGCGATAGAACATGGTACCTTCTCGGAAACAATGTCTTGTCGCCAATAAGCGAAGAATTCGGCATAGTTTCCCGGAGTCCAATCCAGATTGCCTTGCGAGGTCGTCGACATGTAGGCCTTCCGGCTTGTCAAGGAGGAGATCCGCTATTTTTGCTTGGGTGACTACTTGCAAACAAGCAGGTTCTTTAAACTAGCGACCGCTCGTCATTTAATCATTCCGGTAATACGCGACGATGGACATACCCCGTAGGATCTCTGCAAGCCTTGCTCAGTAGGTCCGACCGAGGATAAGTCAACAACGTACGTTGAACATGACATGGCCTGGACTTGCAACGGAGGTGGCAAGTTGACCACAGGCAGCCTCGATGATCCTGACAGCTTTTACTAGTTCTTCACTCTGTTCTTCTGGGGTATCAAATGGGCCGGGCTCCGTCGAGTCCAAGGATGGCGCAGGTTTGCCTACAGCCTCATACTCGCTGAGAACAGTGGTGACAGCGGACGATATGAGCTGTACGAGGGTAGTAAGATGCGCAGCATCACCCTTGCGTGTTTGTAGAGTTGGCATGGTCGAATGTGGAGGGATCACGTAGCCCCCATTCGCTTCCGCGATGGCTATATATTAGGATATCCATCTGCGGATGAAGGCCATTGACAGGTTGTTTCCAATGGATGTATCACCGCAGGCGATATGAAGGAACCCACTCCCGCGCCATACGGGGTGAATTATGGAGGCAGATTCAAGATAAACGTAGCCACGGGGTGCAATTTGATTAGCAGCAGTGATCTCCGAGACTAGCGACACCTCATCCACAAGAAACACCGTTATCTGGATCGAACCCGGGTACTTCCAAGCCTCCTACAGTGCGGCGGTGCGTGCGCTTCTGAAAGGGGGTGCTCGGTAGAATGGCGCTTCCGAAGCCATTAATTCATTAAGCAAGTTAATGGCATATCGTAGCGCGTCTTGAGGATGTTGTTCAAAGTTAGCTTTCGGGAGAAGGGGGATAGGAGAGGATAGGAGAGGATAGGAGGAAATAGGAGGGATGAGGTCACCACTGTCCACACTGCGACCACGCAACTTTCACTTCGTCCCGCTACTTCCCGCACAACGACCACGATGCAAAATCCCGAGCAGGAGATCCGCGACGTCGTCAAGAACCTGACCACCGCCCCGTCGCCCGACGTCCAGAAGGCCACGGCGCACCGCTACCTCACCCACGACGCAGGGTTCCGCCACCCAGTGTGCGCCGTGAAACCGCAGCCAGGGTCGAGGGACACGGTCCTCGGTGTATATCAGTGAGCACGCTCAGGACGACGGTGGCATGATAACAGGGTAATAGGGCGCAATCTGTGCAGGTGGTACCGCGTCATGTCGCCGAAGCTGGAGCTCGACGTGAAGTCAGTCAGTAAGTGATTCGAGCGCACGCGTTGAGCGTTGTCTCGCTCAATGATTCGACGCGGTATAGCATATAACCAAGAAGAGTCGATGATAGTGCTGGACATCGTGCAGACATTCCATATATTTATTTCGCCTTTCAAGCCTGCGCCGTCGCGGTGAGCAGCCCTTGTGCCTATACCATGGTCAGTGCCGCTCTGACCGAACGGACGGTGCGCAGATTGATGGTTCGGTTGACGTTGCGAGAGGAGAACGGGCTGCATTATATAGCGATGCAGGAGGACTTCTACCACCCGACTGTGAGTGCTTCCACCACGACTCGTACTTAACGACGGGCGACGGAGGCGGTTGGTCGCAGGACTTGATGGCACTCCTCGTACCCCCACTAGTACCAGTGGTGTACCTCATCCTTTTGATCACCGGGATTGCGTGCAACGCGTACGCTCGGCTGGCACAGACCTTAGGGTACTGGGAACCCACGGAGACGTCTGCAGGTGCAGGGCGGGGCGACGGGGCTGAGAGCGATGCTGGGTTGAAGTGGGAATGATCACGAGTTACTGGATAACTCACCCCGCTTGCTTGTCTGTCTGTCGTTGCCTGAGTGTGTGTGGATGTAGGGCCTCGCGGCCTGCGGCTCGAGGTTCGGACAAAGAACGTGTACGACTTAGCTGGCCATACAATTTATGTAATGCAGCAACGCTATGTTACTTTTTGAGACACGAGCGAAGGGAAATTCCATTTGTACAGACATATATCCTACAAGGCCTTTTTCTCCCGGGCGGCCTGGAACGTCTCCATCGCCTTCAAACGCTCCGTCAGCGTAGGATGCGAGTGGTGGTATGCCGAGTATCTACATCCAACAAAGATAAAGTTAGCTCTCGGCGCAACAGCACGCATAATGCCACGACGAGACTCAAGTAGTACTCACAACCAATCCACCCATACGGTGGACAGATTCTTGACGTGCAGGGTGACGAGCGCGCGTCCGAGACGGTCGCCCATGTCCTGCATGCTGGGATCCTGCAGCTGGTCCTGCAGCTCGCAGGCGAACCGGTCGGCCTGCCACTCGAAGTGTCTACTCACGGCATTGAGGCAGATGCTCACGACCGCCTCCACGGGCGTGAGGATCATCTAAACGTGAAATAGTTTCAGCATATCGTATTTCGTAACTGCCGCGAGGTGAGAGGGCGAAACGCACCTGGAACAACAAGAATGCGACGATGGTGGGGGGCTGCGCGGCGACGGCCTTGGGGAAGTCAAAGGCACGGAGCACGGGGGGCGCGTGCATGAAGGCGGGGAAGGTGGCCAACACGGCGAAGGTGTGGAGTTGCGAGATGGCGAGCATCTTCGTGGGGTGGAGGAAGTACCAGTGGCCCAGTTCGTGCGCCAAGACGGCTTCGACTTCCTCGGGCTTGCTCTGCTGGATGAGCGTGTCGAAGATGACGATGTGCTTGCTCTGTGGGATTTATTTAGCACGCGTATACACAAGGAGGGAGGGAGGGGATAGTTACCCAAGGCAAGCCGAAGAAGTAGGCGTTGCTGTGGGAGCTGCGCTTCGAGCCGTCGATTTCGTAGAGGTGCTTGAGAGGGAACTTGAGTTTGCCGGCGAGCGCCTCGATCCTGGTCCTGAGATCGCCCTCAGCGAGAGGCGACAGCTTGTTGAACAGAGGCTGGATGACAGTTGGGTACAATATGACCATGATCATCTGGAAGGAAATCCTATAGAAAGGGATATATCAGCAGGTAGCAAGGAGGCAGACCGATAAGTGCGAAAGCGCACATGAGGCCCATCAACCAAGGCACGAAGCGATCTCCAGCCCATTCGAAGATGTAGAGAAACAAAGCAAGGAATGGTGCGCCCAGGACGATACCGATGGCCCAGCCCTTGAGTAGGTCGGTAACGAACACGGCTGGCGTGGTCTTGTTGAAGCCATGCTTTTCCTCGAGCACAAAGGTGCTGTACACCGATAGGGGGAGCGAGGGGATGGACGAGATGAAGAACAGCAAGAACGCGAAGATGAGAGACTGGGTGATCTATCGTGCCGTTCCCGTATCAGTCAACATATTCATACGAGCCACTCGGCGCTAGGCGTACCTCGTAATCCGGGCCATAGCCAAACCACGAAGTCACTTTTCCAGCAGCGGTCCACGACCAGGCGTAGAACCCAAGCTGGAGAAGCGCGGAATCGATGCACTGTTTGTACAGCCCCGAGAAGAGCGAGAACTTCGCTTTATCTTTTCCGTAGTTCTGCGATTTGAGGAATTCGTCCTTCGAAAAGAAGGACGCTAACGCGGCCGGAGGTTCTGTCTTGGAGTATAATGGGTACTGGCGCAGTCTGTATCAAAATCAGCAAAATAGTCATATGCAGTTCAGGTGACGGTTCGGGCAAACGATGAACGTACATGAGATATGACTCAAACAACGCGACGGTCCACGAGAAAGCCTGAACGTATAATTTCCAAGGGATTGCGTCGGTAGCGACAAAGGCCAAGTTGCGCTGCAGCGCCCCGAGTTGCGAGTGGAGAAAGTCCATGATGGTAGCGGTTAAAGACGCGACGCTCAGTGACACGTTGTGGTCGACGCACGGAGGACGTGGCGAAGCACCGCCACCGATTAGGCGCTTGAACCCCAAAATGGACCGGCGCTTGATACTTCTGTCCTTGGTCTTTTGCACAACACCTCACCGTCAGAGTGACCACAGGCGTCAGGGATATGACATCTTGTCTCGATTAGATAGTTCGAGTAAGGACAGAAATTTTCCCCATCAAGGCCCCTCGACTAATACAAATGTCTCGCATTGTAGGTGATCTATGATATACTGTAATACTTGTACTTGTACAAAATGCCGAGCGCTGCCGTACATCAAAGGAGATATCATAAATAGGTGCGTCCAGAAAAAAAATACATATAAAGCCTCCAAGCAAGTCAATCAACGAACAGACATTTTCCGCGCTGGCCATTGTTGAACTGGGCTGGGGCCGTGTCTTCCAGACAGTAGGAAATATCGATCTAATACACAGCGAGTCAGCGCTCACTCCCCCTGTATACTCCATGGTAATCGCTCACCTTGCACTTCGGCGCATAGAAGTTCCCTGCTGGTAGGTCGTCCCAATCATGTTCAGTATCCCATACCCACGCGTTTGTGTTCTTCCGCTGCCCTCCTCCCGCCCGATTGTGAAACCTTAGTAAGTACATCTTCAACGTCTCACCCCCACCGGGCGCCACCAAACTTGCCGACTCCATCTCTCTGTAGAGCACATAAAGCCAATATCTACACCCCAGTCGACCCTTGTTACATGGGGTGAACGTATAATACTGCAAGCCCCTTATGCGGATGAAGTTCAGGACGTGGAGCGGCGTGAGTCCCTTGACGATGGCCATATCCTCGAAGACGCAGCCAACGTGTTCCGCCGTGTTTCTGTCCTTGCTGCTGAGACGGACGAGGCCATGCAGGTTCTCGAGGGAGTTCGGTGAGCCGCTGGGATCCGTGCATTGCTCCGCGATGATGTCGACCATCACGGCGTGGTCCTCTCTTCCAGCGAGTATCAGCCACAATGAGAAGTGGTTTGACGGGTGGGGCGGGGCAGCGGGATTCTTCTTCGTTCCTTTTACTGTCCGCAGATGGAATCTCTCGTCGCATATTCCTTGTGCCCAGAGGTGTGTGTAGAGTGCTATCGAGCGTATTTCCGCATGGATGTCCTCTTCATCAAGCTTCTCGATGCAGATGAACGGCGTGTGTGTTAACCTGAGGGGAGGAAGCATCGCTGGATCGTGAATAGTCGTAAATAGCGATGGGCTGTATGAGTATGATGGATAACATTTTGAGGGTCTGAAAAATATAAGGGAACCAGTGGCACCGCCCCAGTTTCTGATAGCTCAGTTGCAGCGTGTAAATCGTAATCTCCTTTGTGCGCCCTGCTTTGTTCTTTGTTCGCGGAGGAGAAGTTAGGCGTGGCGACCAGCGAGTCACCTCGGCCAAAGAGCACGGTAAATTGACACGACGGTTGGGCTATTCATATGTTGGCCTTGCTTGTTTTCTAGTCCCTTTCCGATGTCCCCGAATTCATGGCAATATTGAGTGGGAGCTGTGGAAGTACTTCCAACTACGCCGCTACTAAACTATTCGGCTCCGCTACAATTTTAGCGCTCAAATCAGCCTGTCCGACGATATCAGTGTGTTTCCTCACGATGTCCTCCAGAAAACGCAAATTTCGTAGCAAGAAGGCCAGGGGTGACAGAACTGTACATGGCAGCCAGGATACTGTCCATGAGCCGGACCCTGCGTTGTTCATACAAGCGTATGAGGCAGACCTGATACATGGTTCCCAGGCCAGGATCGCAGCGGCCGCCCTGGAAGTGACTGATGCTGGTGCTGGGAGCGGGCTTATTCGGTGGGGCGAAGATGCAGCCAAGCGCAAGCCCTGCGGGACAACGGGAAGCCTCAACATCTCTGATGACGCCTACTTTCAGAGCGGAAGCACGGATACGCTTCCGAGTGTATGGGTTGATAGGTAGGTGGATTCTATCGACATCCCTCACCAGTAGACACCAGTCGGCGGAAGAGTCGTGGGCTCATATGATTTGCGGGGAGGGACCTGGGTTCGTCAGTCGCACTGGGTACCACTAACATCAGCCAAGGTCATACTTTCTCCATATCTCGTCTATGCTACGCTGCACAAGCCAATTGCTGATGCCGATCCGTTTAGATACGATGCACGTCTCTTACTAGAGTCTCTGCCAACACAGAGCGGTGCAGTGTCCGAGGCGCGCGCTGTTTCGCCCTCTGGCTGGTCTGATTTACCCTCGGACACTGAGGACACATTTTTCCTGGACCCGGACGAGATTGAATCGTACAATAGGGATAAGAGACGCCGTATCTTGGACCGAGATAGGGAGGCTCGTCTACGGGCTCTACAAGAACTAGAAATTGCCAACGGCGTCGAAGAAGATCCATGGGGAGGGAGCGACGAGGAGGTCAGTCAGGTGGCCTTTGTGCGCTGCTGATTTAGACTGTAGCCTCAGTACCGAAGTACTGACCAAGTCTACGTTGTAGCCGGACGATGATCAGAAGGACTTAATGCGCCGCACCGCAAAACACATTGTAACGTCTCCGAACGCGGCGCAACTTGAAATGCGGATCCTCGCCAACCACGGGGGCGACAGGCGCTTTGCGTTCCTACGCGGACGGTGGAAGCTCGCTTGGCAGGCCATCAAAGGGCGCGCCAATATGGAGAAATCGCGAGATGACGGTGAGAAGGAGGCCAGACCAGCAGGTCAGAAGCCCGGTGGGCTTGGTGGGCTGACCAACTACGGTGATAGCGAGGAGGATGAGGGAAGTGGGGCTGAGCAGGCAGATGAAGCTGGGCCCGGCGATGTCCAGAATGACGAGGAAGCTTTGAAGGAGATAAGGAGGCAAAAGGCGGGGGAATGGGCTCAGAAAAGACGCGAATCACAATCAACTTGAGGGGGAGGGGGAAGATGGGACCCATCGTAACACCGCCTTTGCATATGTATTGCAATGTTATATCGAATCAAGCAGCACTATACATGTTGTGATTGCCGAGAGCATGGAGTGCAGAAACAGTCGTGAGCACCAGATACTGAATACTGAACGAACGAATACAAACGCATCATGTCGAGTCATCGACGCTCTGAGACGACCCATATTTATACTTCCTAGCGTCGCGCCGTCCTTCCTCAACATCAACGCTCAGCAGCAACGGCACCGCAAGCCAGATCATGACGACCAGAAAGAAGAACGCGTATCGGATGTTGCCTGTCGCATCGGATATGACCCCGACAACCAGCGGTCCTACAAACGAACTCGACTGCGTCTCTCAGCGCACGGTTCAAGACCTCCAGCAATGACCTACTTTGTCCGTGATCGAGTACAGCCCGTACCACCGCGCTTCTTCGCCCGCAGGCAGCAACTCCGCGTACAACGCCCGCGCGTACCCCTGGAATGCCCCGTACACGAACCCTGTTGTCGTGCGCGCGAATGTCAGCCCAGCCAGTCGTCGCAGTCGCCGCTTACCGAAATACACCGCAAGCGCGAACATCTCGCCCACCGTCGTCAGCCCCCCGAACCGCACTCTCTCGCCGTCGAACACACCCAGGAAGCCCAGGCACCCGTACGCCGGGACAGCCGACACCAGCAGCACCAATGCGACCAGGATCTGCTTGTTCGACCACCCGTATCTGCGCTGCAGCATCGGCCACACCACCGACCCGCCGATCCCGCACGCAGGCGTAAGCGCACCCACGACGATCAGCGCGCTGGGCTGCATGTGCAGACTCGTCTTTCCGAACAGGATCGCCGTCGACGTGATCGTCGTGAACCCGTCCGACAGGAGAAACCACGCGCCCAGATACTTGAATGTATTTTTCAGTCGTTGTATTTCGCGCGGGTGCAGCATGCCGCCGAGCCGTTTCCATGATGCAGCGATCTCAGAGCGTGCACTCCATGGCTGCTCGACGCCGGTAGCACCAGGCAGCCAGAGCGCAGCTGGAATCGAAAACAATGCCCACCAGATCCCGCTGAGACCGATAGACAGCCGAAGAGAGAACGTCGACCCGCGGAGCTTGGTGACAGGGAAGAGTGCAACGACGAGCAGTGTGATCCCTGCAGCGTAGCCCAGAGCTATTCCGAAGGAAGATATACGCGCTGTTGCTCGCGAAAGCTCCTCGTCGTACGTACGGCTTCTGTTCGGTTGGTCGTCAGATGGTAGCAAGGGGGCTTCGTCATCATTGTCGTGTAGCTTTGCTTGAACTTCAGGCGATTCCCTGGCAAGGGTAGGCAGGTACGCGTTCATAGCAACTACCGAGGCGCCAAAGCCGACATTGGCCAGCATAGCAAGGGGTGCCGCCAGCAGCCACAGGGAAGAAGACGAAGGGAGAAGGAGGAACAGGATAGCAGACGTCGCGCCAATGAAAGCGAACGAGAGAAGCAGCCGTTTGCGATGAGGGGCTACGAAAGAGTTCAGCTCGGATTCTACTCCTCCTATACGACTCACGATGATCAGCAATGCCGCCCATGGAGATTACTGTCAACGCCTGCAGCGCGACCGAGATTGAGTTCACATACAGGCTTCGGGGCAAAGGAATCAGTTATTGACGTTATTCGGAGCCTCGGTCACTCACCTAAAGCTCGCAGTATCGACCCACATCCAGCCTATTCGCACAACGCATCTTGTCGATTCCAAACACTGTTCCGTCATGTCAGGTAGCTGGTATCCGTTGTCGCGCGCAAATTGCTCGAGGCAAATTGGTAGGAAAAGGGTAAGGGAAACTATGACAAAAACTTCACTAAATGATCCACCATGAGCAACGGTTAAGAGAGGACACTGCGAGGCGCTGCGTACCTCGCAAACGCGTAGCTGAGCCATCCCCAAAGCTGTTTCTGGTATCCACGGTGTTCGATAATCATCAGAGGGTCTTCGTGTAGAACGAACGAGTTAGCGTTGGTTCTCAGTCGTACCAGTATATGGTTCGAAGCTCAATATATTATAAGAAATATGTATACCTGTAGAACGAACGAGTTAGCGTTGGTTCCACAATGATACATGTGAGTATTCATTAGATTATCACCGGGCGTAGCATGATATTACATACCTCAGTCGTACCAGTATAACAAGCTAAGGAGCGGGTGTACCAAACACCCCGTGCACTGACTGATACTTTCACGCCGGAATCGCTGAAAGTGATGAACAGGTAAATGGATTAGGCCCTGTTCGGGATCCCCAGGAAGATCGCAACTAGTAGTTGTTGCCCGCGAGAATGTAGTTGGGATAATAAGAACCGATTTATGGCTAAACTAGTTGGGGGAAGGTGTTCGGCGCTAACTACGTGTGAACCAACTAAGTAACATGTCACGCGTGACTCTGCCAGCTTCTCGTCTTCCTCATTTCATGCCATATCAGCTTGCACCAGTCTTTAGTCCCCTGTTACAACTCAATGTATCGGGCGGGACATTAAAGTTTATACGACACAAGGTTTCTGACGCCAGCACAAGGACCCGGAACACTCTACCAGTAGCTATGTTGATATACGTAAAGGATTTAATTGCAACAGTTCAGAATATGTGCGCGTAGACAAGAACCAACGAAGAACCGCTGGCATTTGTCGCATTTTTCCACCAGGCCATCCCATGCCCAAGATGTCAACCCCGCCACCTGCATTAGTTGATTGAGGCTGTCCCGTTCATCGTTGGTGATGGTATCTTCCTCCTCACGGAGACGGGATGGTCCTGCAACAGCCTGGAGGCTAGTACTAAGTTCTTGACTTTGGAACTTCCGTGGAATTGGTGAGAATGGTGGACTATAGTCAGTAGTATTGTTGTCCTTGGCATCTGAGGAATAGAACTTGTGACGGTTGATTGGGGGTAGAACAAGTGGACCAATGAGCTTCAGTTTTCCTGAAAAACAATCATGAAATGTGACAAAACATAGCATAAATAGAATGTGCACCTGTAAGGGCAACCTCAAGATGGCCGACAGCGCAGGCCTAGCAGAGGGAGAATCCAAAGATATGAATAGGACTAACTACAATAGATGAGAGAGCTGCTCACCTAGCAGAGGGAGAATCCAAAGAGAACAGGATAAGGATTCTCCATGCTAGGAAGCGAAGTATATACTGTAGTAGCGTGAGAGGAATGCAGGATAACTGTACAGTACACCAGCCACAAGTCCGAACAAATATCACAAGGTACAAGGAAACATGTGATAATGAAGTGGAGGGTAAATGCACAGGAGTCGTGCCAGCGACTTGGGGAAGTAAGGGCGAAGACTAATGAAGTGGGGAAAGAGGATAGAGGTAACCCGGACGAGCCCCAAAGTGTATAGACGAGTCTGAGCGAGTCTGAGCGAGTCCGAAGTGTCTGAAGTGTGGGAAGACTCCAGAGTCACCGGACATGGCTTGGATGGGTAAGGGGTGGGCGGAAAGGAAGTGGAAAGGAAAGGGAACAAAGGGGAACAAAGGGGAACAAAGGGAATGTAGGTAAGAGTCCATGGGATGAAGGAAAGGAGAGAAAATAGGAGTGTCCCCTTACAGCACCAATACATCTAACCGCATGCTGACCAAGTTCCTTCTGATGGGGATACCAGGGTTGGAAACCATGAGGCGTTCTGGCGAGTTCGGGGCTGCTAAGCTGCTTTCCATTAGAACTGATATAACCCTCGAAGTGGACAATACTGTCAAAAGACATATTGCCACTATTTTTAAGTGCCAATGCCAATGCTTTGACATTATATGGGCCGGGGTATGGGCTCCCTGGAGTTTTGAATGAATCGAACCAAAAGTAAGGACCCAACTTGAACAAACATAGACAAGAAAATTTAACATACCAGCAGTTGAGATAACCTCGTATTTTGACAACAAAGATGCACTCTTACGCTTCTGTGATATGTTCACTGAGGTACATTAGTTCAAGGGACCATATTTGTGCTGCAAGACTGACTGAAGAAGCTACATCTGTAAGGGGACACCTCTATTTTCTCCTATTCCCCTGTCCCTCTCCCTTCCTCCTTGTTCCTTTCTCCCTTCCTTCATCCCACGGACTCTTACCTACATCCCTTTTGTTCCCTTTTGTTCCCCTTTGCTTCCACTCCCTTTGCATCCGAGTCACGTCCGGTGACTCTGAAGTCTTCCCACACTTTGGACACTTTGGACTCGCTCGGACTCATCTATACACTTCAGGGCTTGTCCGGGTTACCTCTGTCCTCTTTCCCTGCTTCATTACTCTTTGCCCTTACTTCCCCAGGTCGCTGGCACGGCTCCTGTACATTCCCCTTCCACTTCATTATCACATGCCCCCAGTACCTTGTGATACTTGCTCGGACTTGTGGCTGGTGTACTGTACAGTTACCCTTCATTCCTCCCATGCTACTACAGTATATACTTTGCTTCCTAGCATGGAGAATCCTTATCCTGTTCTCTTTGGATTCTCCCTCTGCTAGGTGAGCAGCACTCTCATGTATTGTAGTTAGTCTTATTCATTATCTTTGGATTCTCCCTCTGCTAGGCCTGCGCTGTCGGCCATCTTGAGGTTGCCCTTACAGCAAGGTTGATGTCCGATGAGTCCAGCCAGACCTTGTCACCTGGTTGGTACTCCGGAGCAGGAGTCCAGCGCTGATCGTAGTAATGCTTCATGTCGTCCTGAGCCTTGACCAATGCAGACTGAGCTTCATCAACTGCGGACTTCATCCAGTCTACAAACTCATTTGCGTACTCCATCCAAGACGGTGGCTGATGAGGTTCAAACCTGAGACGAGGATGACAGCTAGTATCTAGGAGGAAGGGCAGCTGCTGGGTGGATGCATGGACCCGGTTGTTGTATGCGAACTTCACCATAGGTAGGAGTCGAGCCCAGTCATCCTGACGCTCTCCAACAAAGATCCGGAGGTAGGACTCGAGTTCCTGGTTAGTCCGCTCCATCTGTCCGTCGGCTCGGGGGTGGTACGCAGTGAAGGCAGCCAGCTTGATTCCGAGCATCCAGTAGACTTCCTGGGTGAACTCTGCAACAAATTGCAGACCCCGGTTGGACACGACGGACTGAGGGAGTCTGTGCAGCTTCCAGACATTCTGCAGGTACAAGTTGGCAGATCCGAGGGCAGACACTGTGGTGTGAGTTGGAGTGAAGTGGGTGTGTTTGCTTACGGAGTCGACCACATTCATGACAGCGTCAAACCCATCGGACTCCGGAAGCTCAACAATGAAGTTGACGCTCAGATGATCTCAGCATTCATCCGGAATGGGAAGCGGATGGAGTTCACCCATGGGCAGATGCCTCTGGGCCTTCATCCAGAGACAGAGGTCGCAATGGCGGGTGTAGGATTCAGCATACCGGGACATGTTGGGCCACCAGTAACTGCGCGAAACGAGCTCTAGGGTCCTCCATCTGCCGGCTGTGACCTTGGTGTCATGGTGCTGGGCTACAATAGTCCGACACAAGTCTGGTGAGTCCAGAACGTAGATCTTACCCCGGAACATCAGGAGTCCGTCTGATTGAGACCACTCTGCACTCCAGACTGTCTTGCGACTGCCCTGGGTCTTCTTCAGTTCCTCTGCTGCCTTTGCCACTGCATCTTTGAACTTCGCATCTCGCACTCCAGTCCGGATAGCTGTGAGGATATCCTTCTCCTTCCCTTCAAGAGTGGCACCCATGGCACGGACAGCAAAGTAGGATGGCTTGAGCATCACCACATCCTTGTTGTCGTCCTTACCATCCGAGTGATCCGAGTGTTGCAAGAGAGCATCCGGTTTACCCATAGTCTGACCCGGACGATGCTGGAGAGTGAAGTCAAAGCGGGAGAGGTATAGGGACCAGCGGGCTTGACGACGGTTGAGCTTCTGGGCCTTGATGAAGTACTGTAGTAGTGAATGTACATGTAGACTAGTAGTGTAGTCTAGTAAAATGCGAGGGTCCGCCTCTGGCAGGACAAGTCCGTGCAACACCCGCGTGAGTAAAGTGTGATAAGGATGAGTCCGAGAGTGAAAACGAACAACTGAGATGCTTCGGATGCTTCGGATGGCTTCGGATGGCTTCGGATGGCTTCGGACGCGCTCGGACGCGGACAGACAACTTGGCTTCGGATAGTACAACGAGGACGGCAGGAGAATGACAAGGACGGCAGGAGAAAGCAACTTCGGATCGGACTCGGGCTCGGACTCGGACAGCGGCAGACTCTGACAACGGATGAGAAGAAAGGTTCGGACGGCTTAGAATCTGACTCGATGCGGGGAGGAAACAAATCTGATTCTTCTAACTACGAGTACAGGAGGCTTTTGTAGCTAAGAAAAATGTCAGATGAAGGAAAAGTCCGAGACGAAAAGGCACCAGGAACGAATAATGGTGCTAGTATAGTCCAAGTATTAGAGTCCGAGAACAAAAGATATACGAAAGATTGATCCGAGCTGTCTGATCCGTTATCACGTGTGTCCGGTCCCGGTTCGTGACGTCCGAGTCATGTGCGTGTGAGTCCGAAGAGTTGGAGAGGGGTCGACAGGGGATAGGGGAAGTCGGACTGCACGGAACGAAAGGGTTCAACCCTTACAGTACTCCAGGTTCTTGTGGTCTGTTCAGATCCCGAACGGAGTCTCCGCGCCTTCAAGGTAGTGCCACCATTCTTTGAGTGCCCGGATGATTGAAACCATCTCCTTGTCGTGTATTTCGTAGTTCCGCTCCACAGCCTGTAGACTTTTAGAGTAGAATGCGACAGGATGCCATTTACCATCACCCGGATCCAGCTGCGACAAGACCGCACCTGTAGCATAGTCCGACAAGTCCACTTCAACCCAATATGGCCGGTCCTCCTTTGGAAAGACCAGAACAGGTTCCAAAGTGATCAGCTCCTTGATCCGAAGAAATGCAGATTGAGCAGTGTTGTTCCACTGCCATTCCTTTGCACAAGTGAGGTGTTATAGACCAGTTCTCACACCCCCTTAGGGGTCCCCCTACACCCCTTTTGGATACTCGGACCTTCGGAGTCCCTCAGGCTCTGCCCTCGCGGCCTATGCATGGTGCACAGCACTTGGATTCACCTGTTACATGTTTCACCTACATGTGTACTTACAAACTAGCCTCACTACATACATGTGTTAGTCAGTATTTATAGTAACACTAGTAGACATGTATTCTTCACTCTGAATCTTAGTTCCTATTCCGTCATCTTGTCTTCTAAGTCTTCACTGCGGGCTCCTCCGTGGAGCCCGCCTCTCACCTTGCTCTCTCCGAAATCGGAACACTGCAGGGCTAGGAGGGCGCAGCATCAAAGCTGAAGCCAAGTCCCATGTGCTCTGCTTGTCCGCTTGTCCGCGCTCCCATGCCCCTTACGGACAAGTCAGGAGGCCCCTTGACACAGTCCTTAACATGAGGTTGAAGAGAGGCCGATTCTTGACCATCATGTTGTTGAGCTTCCGGTAGTCCTGGACCAAGCAGAGAGATCTGTCCTTCTTCTTGACAAAGAACACTGGGGCAGCCATAGGGGACTTGCTGGAGCGGATCTGACCAGTCCGGAGATTTTCTTCCAGAAACTCGTCCAGCTGTTTCTGCTCCGCAGGGGATAGCGGGTAACACTTGGTAGAGGTTGGTTCCACTCCGTCCAGTAGCTCAATGGCATGGTCCCACGGACGTGGCATGGGCAGCTCATCAAAGGACTCCTTTGCAAAGACGTCCTCAAATTCCTGAAGGAAGTCCGGGACTGCACTGTTCTGAGGGTCATGGGGTTTGTTACGCTGGAAAGCCAATGCGAGGTGCTGGGAGACTGTCTCTGAGGCCGGGATGTGTTCTTCCCAAAGACTCCAAAGGTACTCTGGAGTGGGAGGGGGAATGGCCACGAAGATACAGTCACCCTTCTCAAGTCCGGAGTCATCCGGAGTTGTAGCCCCATCATCCTCATCATCGTCCTTGCAGTCCTGAAGCTGTGGGAGATCATCCGAGTACAGTTTCACAACCCTTGGCATCGGACCCATACGACACTCCCAGAGTCGCACAGACTCCTTGCGTTAGGTTAGCTTGTCATGGTGGAACTCCTTCCAACAGGTATCGCATCCAGACTGTAAGGGCAACCTCAAGATGGCCGACAGTGCAGGCCTAGCAGAGGGAGAATCCAAAGAGAACAGGATAAGGATTCTCCATGCTAGGAAGCGAAGTATATACTGTAGTAGCGTGAGAGGAATGCAGGATAACTGTACAGTACACCAGCCACAAGTCCGAACAAATATCACAAGGTACAAGGAAACATGTGATAATGAAGTGGAGGGTAAATGCACAGGAGTCGTGCCAGCGACTTGGGGAAGTAAGGGCGAAGAGTAATGAAGTGGGGGAAAAGGATAGGGGTAACCCGGACGAGCCCCGAAGAGTATAGATGAGTCCGAGACGAGTCCGAGCGAGTCCGAAGTGTCCGAGACGAGTCCGAGCGAGTCCGAAGTGTCCGAAGTGCGGGAAGACTCCGGAGTCACCGGACGCGGCTCGGATGCGAAAGGAGTGGGTGGAAAGGAAGTGGAAAGGAAAGGGAGCGAAAAGGAACGAAGGGGAATGAAGGGAGTGTAGGTAAGAGTCCATGGAATGAAGGAAAGGAGAGAAAATAGGAGTGTCCCCTTACACAGACGGACAACGGCTCATGGTCACCTCCTTCATCTGCCAGTCGATCTCAGGGTTGTGCTTCCGAAGCCAGGTGTATCCAAGGATGATGTCCTGTCGTCTGATGTTAGTGACTGCGGAAATCATCTGTTCTGTCCAGCCAGTACCACCCAAAGCCCAACCTCCAAACCAGTGCATCACATACAACAACAGTTCCTCACATGACAAGTTTAGAACACAAGAACATGGATTGGGTTGGCATGCTACAACAAACAGGGACAAAATGGACAATGAAGAAGAAATCTGCAAACCTGAACCCTGAGCAAAGGCAAGGAATTGTAGAGATATTTTGAAGATGTTGCCAACTACAGATGCAAGGTGAAACCCCTGGACACCCACACACAGACACCCCATGCATATACACAAATGCAAATACAAACACAAAAACATACATTCAAACCTACAGATGCAGATCCACGGCAATTGAGTAAACAGCAAATGAGAAACAAGAAACCCCACAATGGCCTTGGCTTACTACCTTCTCCTAGCCCCTCTCCCCTATCCGCACTTGTATGTATAATGTGGCTTACCATATATAAACTGCGATCCTGCACATATGTACTTACTTCCTGCTTGTCTTCTTACCTATACATTCACCTCCTCAATCCCACCGCTTTGGTCCATTCACCCTGTCCTCTGAGTATCTTCCCTTTGGGGTTGTTCCAGGGGACTGACTTCATGTCAAGCTCCAGCTTTTGGTGGCATGGTATGGTACCACCTGCACACATTGTGCCCTGTTACCATATTATCATGCCACTACTGTCCTATGTATCCTCACTGATATACACTGAGGACTGTATCCCTCAACCCTGGCTGTGGTTTCACAGCACCCACTGGGTGGTGAAACCCTGTGTCATGAGTGAGGTAGTGGTATGCTGTGGCCTTCTGGACATTGGGCAACAGGGCAGTGGTCAGGTTCTTGATGATGTTGCGGATCTCCTGCTTGGGATTTTGCATTGTGGCCATTGTGCAGGAAGTAGCGGGATGAAGTGAAAGTTGTGTGGTCACAGTGCTCATCCCTCCTATTGCCTCCTATTGCCTCCTATCCCCCTGATACTCCTAATCATTAAGGATCACATCCTCGGATTAAGAGTACCTTGCTTACTCACTCACTGGGGATTTGTAAGGACTTAAGAGACATCCAATTGATGCTGCTTAGATTACACCTCCGGAACTACAAGTAAACAACCATCACTCAAGTCAAAAAAGTATCCAGTACAACACTCGTGGACAGGGGCTGAGAACTCCAGCTTAGGGAAAACCCAATATTGGGAGATCTCGATTTTCACGTAGACGACAGCGGGGAAGGCGCAGCTACACCAACAAATAGTTTGCGCAGTGCGTAGTTAGAAGCGTGAAAGAAGAGAGCAGATCAATAACACAGTTGTGCAATCTAGCATCGATATCGTCGCGCAGTCTCTTATACTTTATTCATAGATGGTCTTTCCGAAGGCCGACAACATTTGAGAGTCTTCTTCAGGACGGTATGACCCACACGCTGCATCCTCAGTTGGCTAGTATGACTGCGGCGGAGAATTCAGCAACGGATTCGTCATCTCTTAGGCAGACCATTGTCCCAGATGTGGCTATTCTGGAATTGCCGATGACACACGACTCAGTTCGTACGCTGGCCTACGAAGGATAATACCAGTATAACGCACTAGCTGCGGGTTCATTGAACTGGCTGGGGGCTCTGAAGTCCAAGGGGCTATCAGAATACATCAGGGTGCATGAGGGCAACGCACTAGTATTCCTTTGTACGGGGTGTATGGCAGAAACGTAGCACAGTACATGTCGTATGTTCAGTGCTGCAGACATAGGGTCTAGAGGCGGAGGATATTAGTGCCGCACGATGTGAAGAAACGAGTAAGTGAGCGGTGTGCACCTTCATTCAAGGTTATGATTTACAAGTGCCTTTCCCGCTGCGCAATAACGGAGAAGCGTGCAATCGAAGAATCTGGAAGGGCACCGATGCTTCTATGTAAGTCATGATGCATGAATATATGGATATCCAACATCCAAACCTGTTTATTGGTTACGCTGTCCGCATGTTTAAATAATTCTGCCGCGCAAGAAGATTTACTTAGTTCACAGAATTGACTCGCAAAGACTTCGAAAGACTGAAGTGCACGTACGGTTTATCTTAACCACATTTCTAGAACCGCTTTCAAGTTCCTTGCTAACTTCCCTCAGACCGGTCCAACATCACCTGTTGGCACATTCCTCTATGTTGAAACGGGCCGCTGAGCCTACCAAGTTCTGGACGAAGCGTTGAAGAAGAGATGGTCAGGAGGGTAATCTGGATGGAGATAACTAGCGCCTTTGCGACGAACACGGTCGGCTTCCAAGCATCACTTTCTTTGCCTGAACGGTCGTACAATCAAACAATGCGGCATACATGCTGCATGTTCGAACCAATCACTACCCATACGCAGCAGCCAGGAGGTTGGCAACGAGGGCGCAGTCAGCCTCGTGCAGCACGCATATAACCTAGCAGTGAACGGATTAGCACATGCATCAGCGATTAACTCAAGGTGAGTCGCGAACGGTGGTGTTCTAGAGTCTGGAATAGGAATACGCACCGTACTGTTGCCGAAATCGAAGACAAACCCCGGAAGCGCCTTGAGAATTGAGGTCAGACACAATGGGATAAATAGAGACGGTACCTGCGTCCGCATCATTGTGGCTCCCACAGGCTTTTACAGAACAACCAACTTCGATACAACTATGAGTTCACGAGGCCAGGACCGCGGTGGTGGCAGGGGAGGCGGAAGGGGCGGCGGAAGAGGAAGAGGTGGGGGTAGAGGTGGCTCGCCGATGTCTGGTAGCGACAGGGACCCTGGATCACCCGCAGGAAGGGGATCGCCTGGGTTCCGGGGAGGTGGAGGTGGAGGTGGATTTCGCGGAAGTCCAGGCGGCGGCGGATTTCGAGGAGGACCAGGTGGCGGTGGTGGATCAAGAGGCGGGTTCGGCGGCGGCCCTGTAATCTTCAACGCCAACGTCCCCGCTCGCACGGACCCCAAACTCAGCGCACTCGAGGACAAACTCGTGGCCTCGTTCTCGTCGTTGAACTTGAGTGCGAAGGACTTCAAGCGTCCGCTCCGGCCAGGGTACGGCAAGGCGGGGAAACCCATCACCCTTCGCGCGAATTTCTTCGCCGTTAAGCTACCTAAAGGACCCATATACGACTACCAAGTCGACATCACCCCCAAGACGGATATCAACCGTCTGAAGGAGCGCATATTCCAGCTGATAGAGGCCAGCCCGCAATGCCAACCATTCATTAACCACATCGCGCACGATCGCAGTGCTCGACTCGTTGCGGCCACAGAGCTTCCTCAACCTCTCGAGATGCGGATTCCGTTCTTGGAGGCTGGGCAGACGGTCCCAGGCCCCAAAGCGACAACATATAAAGTAGTCATCAAGCACACTCAAACGCTCGACCCGAGTATGCTAGCCAAGTTCGTTATCTCTGTGTTCTAATCTCATCTAGTCTAATGTATCTTTCAGACACTTTCAGGGTGCGGCGGACGCCCGAAATTACGATCCCCTTCCCCTTGTCGCAGCGCTCAACCTCGTTGTCCAGCGCCACGCATCTCAGAACGCCATTCGTGTTGGGCGCAACCGCCACTTCTTCCCACCCACTGGGCCAGGGGAAAGCTTTGGGCTTGGCCCAGGCGTCGATGCATGGAGGGGTTTCTTCACCTCCGTCCGACCCACTGTCAGTGGGCTCATGATCAATGTGTAAGCGTGCATTCCCCCTGAGTCGTATCTGTGTTTCTGGCAGCTTGCTCATTTTATGAATGACATGTAGAAATGTCTGCATGACAGCATTCTATACGCCCGGAAACATGGCGCAGAAGCTGCTCAACTTCAGAGGACGCGGTGGTGGCTTGCCCACACTGCCGAGGGCCTTCGCGAAGGGGATCAAAGTCTCCACTTCCCATCTTGGGTACAAGCAACGGAAACCACTGAAGGCGATAGGCACCAAGTCTGCCCGTGAAGAAATGTTCGATTGCGATGAATTGGGCGGGCGAGTCTCAGTCGAACAATACTTTAAGCGAAGTACGTACTACTTTCCTTCCTTCCAACGTCGAATTGACTTATCCCCTCTTAGAGTACAATATCACTCTTCAGCATCCGGACGACCTTCCATGCATCAACATCGGTGCCAAGCGGCCGAACTTCGTACCAGCAGAACTCTGTATCATTGCGCCCGATGTCCCCTACCTCCAGAAGCTAAATGACAACGAAACACGCGAGATGATCCGCGTCGCGTGCAACCCTCCAGCTGTGAACGCCGAGGCCATCATCCAGAACGGCTTCCCGAAGCTCGGACTGACACCCGCCACTTACCCCCCACACATGAATGGCTTCGGCCTCGAGATTTCCAACGAAATGACGGCGATCGACGCGCGCGAGCTGCTCCCGCCGAACCTCTCGTACAAAGTGGGCAGGACGCAGGCGCGGGAGGGCAGCTGGAATATCTTGGATGTGCAGTTCCATAAGCCTGCGAGGGTGGATAGTTGGTGGGTTTTGGTGGTGAGGGATGGGCGGTCGCCGTTTTCAGGGCCGACGGACCCGGCGCTGCAGGGGCTGGTGCAGGGGTTTTCGAAGAAGCTGGCGAAGAGCGGGATGGCCGTGCCTTCGCAGCTTCCGAACCTCCTGGTCACCGACCAGCTCCCATCAGTGGTAAACGACCCTTCGCGAACACACGCGATCGATCTTATCCGCCAGCGTATCAAACAGGAACTCGCCAAATTTAAGAAACCCAGCTTCATCCTCGTTCTGCTGTCGAGCCGCGATAACTTTATCTACCCGGGTATCAAGCGATTGGGCGACGTGGAGTTTGGCATCCACACGCTGCATATGCAGACGGGCAAGGCCTTGCCACCGGACCCCAAGAAGCAGGATCAATATTTCTCAAACGTCGCGTTGAAAGTGAACACGAAGCTCGGAGGGCACAATCACCTTTTGGATGGCAATGCGATGCAGTGGTTGACGAAGACGAAGACGATGCTAGTTGGTATCGACGTGACCCATCCTGGACCCGGAAGCATTGAAGGAACACCTTCAATTGCTGCGGTCGTCGCCAGCGTCGACTCCTCATTCGTCCAATTCCCCGCGAGTCTGCGCATCCAACAAAGCAAGAAAGAGGTAAGTATATTAACCATACGTCATCCTTACCGATAATATTGATGAGGTGTTCTACAGATGCTCGATGAACTTCGTGATATGCTGGTGGAGCGGCTCTTAGTATACGAGGCCAAGAACAAGTCACTGCCCGACCGTATATTGGTGTTCCGTGACGGTGTCTCAGAGGTTTGTTATTCCCCTATATCTTAATTCTTTGCCCTTGCTGATACTTATCCTTACCCTCATCGTAGGGTCAATACGATACTGTCCTTGAAGAAGAACTCTCGCAGATATTCGAGACATTCCGGAAGATGAATACTTCCGGCCGGGCAAAGGAATACAAACCCAAGCTTTCTATCATCATCTGTGGAAAGCGTCACCACGCCCGGTTCTACCCCACAGACTCAGCGAATGCCGTCAAGAATGGGAACACTAAGCCTGGCACTGTCGTCGACAGGGGCATCACATCGATGTAAGCATTCGTTTATATCACCCCCCATGGTTCCCGAGCTCAACCTTCCTAGCTTCGACTTCGATTTCTACCTCCAGGCCCACAACGGTCTGCAAGGCCAGGTCCGACCTACGCACTACGTGGTGATTTACGACGAGAACAACTTCGGTGCAGACGAAATACAACAAGGGGCACACAACTTCAGCTACCTGTACGCCCGTGCGACGAAGGCGGTCAGCCTGATCCCTCCCGCGTATTACGCCGACTTGGCCTGCGAAAGGGGGAGGTGCTACATCAACGATTTCCTTTCGGACGACAAGACATCTGCGAGCGGCAAGAGGGCGGATAAAGACGCTGAACGTGCAAGGGTGTTCAACGAAGCAAGGTTAAAATGGGGAGAAGGGGTACGTTAAGCTCTTCTTTCGCCTCCGCATTGCCGCTACGTATGTCAACGACTGACATTTGGTTCCCAGGTGCACCCATCGCTCCGGGACAGTATGTTTTATATTTGAAGGATCTATTGACAGTGCGCATCAATTTTGAATCTATGACCTTGTAATGCTATGACTTGTGGAATGACAATTGTGCAATTATGGCTTGCGAGGAAGACGCGACAACACGGAACAAGTATGCACCTCTGTTCAAATTCGCAATTTCCGTGTCCAGCGATTCATGGCCAGCACATTGGAGGCGAATACTGGGCTCTGTTATTCCATGTCCAGATGGGAATTCGACCGTCGACGCACATACGTTTTTCATCGAAGCCTTCCACAAGCGTCAGCTGGTCACCTAGAATAATCGCTCACAAACCAGCCCCCCAACTTGCGAGTAGAACACGGGAGGAGAGCGAACAGAAAGCGAACAAGCGAAGGAAGTTACAGCGGCGTAAGTGTGAACCGATTAACGTTCATCAGAGGAATGGGCTCGGACGTTCTATAATACCGAAACACCGGCCTCAGGTCCATATAAATGTCTCGTCGTTCGTCCTATAAGCACCAAGTCGCAACACTAGCTTCACTGAACCATGTCAAGCAATACCAACGAAGAGCAATCTCAGACCGACGTTCGATGGTAGCCGGGATGCCCAGATATAGCATCCATCTAGAGCCTCCCATTGGAACGTCCTTTTGGAGCGTGTAAGATGTTCCCCTCATGTCGTTTGCGATTCTGCGTGTCCTTACTGACCTATTTCTCAGTCAAGATGCCTCACTCTTCTCTAGCCAGCGGATCTACAACTCAAATCGTTCGCATTACATCACCTTGGACTGGGCGTGCCGCCAGTGCGAACCAGACTCCCGACTCGAGCAATTTTGTGAACGGAGGGGGGATGTTCTATGTTTTATTCAAACACAGAGGCCAAGTCAATTCGACACTCTATCCAGGCTACGAGAACTTTAAACTTCGGATTGGATCAGGCCCTGCAACACCAACTACCCACACGCCCAACCATAGCACGAAGAACGGAGATGAATGGACTGGTACGTGTTGGGGTTCTTTGGTACAATGGTGAAATGTTGAATCCGAGAAATTTACAAGCTACCATTGACTACGAGCAGTCAATGCAAATGTTCAAGAATAACGGAAATGAGACGTTCACCCACGGTTGCAAAGTACAACGACACATTCCAATTGTATGAGATCAACCAATATGACGGGATCGTGGATGGGAAAACAGAAGCCGTTTTCAAATCAGACGAAGGGGCCAAGGTAGGCATTGGCTCTATCTAGCTTGTCGATGCTACTGAAGATCCCAAAGTGGCACAGCCCACGAGAAATCCGGGGCCTGTCGGTGTTTAGGCAAAACCAACCCAACCAGTGGCCTCTAGACTTCAGTGAGTCTGCTCATCGGCTGATTTAGCTTGGTACTCACTGGATAATGCACGTATACAGAATTTGAGGCTTTGGGAGTGAGTGTTGAGCTTCGGTTGCATCTGCCGCCGTACATCAGATGCTGATATAATTCTCAGATATTCGACTCCTACACCAGCACAATAACTAGGCATGTGACCCTCAGGCGTAACTTTTAACTCCAAATGCTGTCTCTCTACTCATGTGTGCTATCTGCGGAAAGCTAACATGTAAATGTCCGCTGAAACAATGATCTATCTCAACAAGTCTCCTTGTCCTCTAGGCTCCTGTATTCTCTCCTGTCCCCTTTGTCACGTTACTACCATCTTTGGAATCATTCGATTGGTTCTCTTGCTTGTCTCTTGCGCACCTCGTCAACCAGCAAGCCTGTTGAAATGGTGGAACATATGGGTCGTCTCGGGTGATTTTTCCCATGCTTTTTCTTGGTGAAGCACGAAGTATTGCATATAGCTCAGATTTGACTAGACTCACGCGGTGAGCTCTCTTTGAAAGGTGGTGTTAATGTGAATACATCGAATTCAGACCATCAACAATCTCTGCACACGTCGAACTCGAAAACTGCGTAGAACGCTTAATATCCCTCCTCATAAACCCAGCTCTCATCGTAGTCTTCTTCGCCGGAGCTCGCCGTTTCATCGCGACGACGGGAGTACCATGGTCTTGGGTACCACGGGCGCACTGGTGGAATGTACCCCCACGGACGATTGTATGGCTCAGGCCAGTGATGGAACTCGCTAGATTGGGTCTCTGTATGCTGCGAAACCTGAGTTGAAGTGGGAGCGAGGTTTTTGGTTTTCACAGCGTCTTGGGACTGCGTGGACTTGGAGCTGTCTAATGGACGCAGAGAATGCTGAGGCACAGCCGTAGGGAAGGACACCTGAGTAGAGCGCGACGAAGAGGACTCTGCTTCAGTGGGAGATGGTATTGGCCTCCCAGTGTCGGTGGGGGTCGTCGGCCCGGAAGTGGTAGGCTTCTCCCCCTGCGTTGAGGGCGTTGTAAAAGGTACATGCGGCCTCAGCGGGTATCCAAAGGGAGCCGGCAGCATGTAGTACGGGCGCAGCGGGGGCCATCTCTTTGCCAGCCTCTCCCCACTGTCGTCCCATTCCGCATATCTACTATATCCATCGGTGAGTAAACCTTCAAGCGCTTCGTTAATGGATGCCCTCACCTGACAGGTGTGGCAGCGACGTAAACTGCGTTGGCTGTAACCAGAGCCAAGATGATCGCCGACAATTTAACCATTACGATGAGGTGAAGAGTCTGAAGGATGATCAATGATTCTGGTAGACGATTGTGACTTCAGCGACCAGCGCCGGGAGTATGTAAGAAACTGAGCACTGCTGGAGTTTTACGAACTTGAGAGGATTCCTTATGTACGTTCTACGTTTTCTGGTGGTTTGCTCCGCTCTGACAGTGATCTAGCACGCCCACCAACCCCTCGTCGATGGTGCACACATACTGCGACATAAGCATCGACCGCGTTTTGACATGCGATGGTGAGTGTGGGCGTTAGCGCGAGCGAGTGCATCCATGCGATCGGGCCCGAAACGACGAGAGCGCCTACTCAGACCCGCGTCGGTATTCAACCAGCTCCACTGATCTCGAAATCTTCCTCAAAAACTTCGTGGAGACTGGGCATCTGCCTTGCGTTTCATGATCAACGCTTTTTGCTGGAGGCGCCTATCAACATCAGTAAGCATCTACGATGCGGACGCCATTTGGCCCGATGGTAGATACTAGTTATCATTGAGTTTTTTATTCGTCCTCCCCCTCAAAATACCAAAGTCAGACGGAAGAACGATCGCGTTTTACGACTTCCGAGGCTTCTCAAGACCGGCATGCCGAGTTCTTCGGTACCGCAGCGCAGTTGGATAAAAGCCGATGTGACGTTTCGATCGTGTTTAGTAGTCACACATTTGGCCTGGTAAAAGTCAACTGCCTTGAGGCTATACCCCACGACTAATTCATGGACGGGGGTTGCTACGATGCCGACTGCAACCCGAAGTGAATCCCGTTGTCTTCGTCGGGCCGCATCAGCACATCGTTTGCTCTTGAAGATGAAACACCTTCAATAGTCGTCTGCGAAGATCATCGGTGAAAACAATGCCGACTTCCTGCGTCGAGTAGAGAATACCCTTGACTGGTCTTCTTATTGTCGCGTGGAGTGCATCTGCATTCTCCGAGGACAAGCATCGCCTCAAGGAACTCTGCAACATCGATATGTTTTATGAGCGGCTTGCGCCGTTTATGATGGAGGATATTCGTAGGTCCGTCCTAGTCTCATGCAATTCGGCACTGATATTTGCTGTAGCGCTATTAGCTCTTCCGATCATCTACAATGGGTTGCGCCGGCTGGGTCGAGTCCAGTTGAAGGAACAGCCCTTCTATTTCAGCCAATTCAATCGCCAGCAGTCCCGCCATCACGAAATGTTTGGTTAATTCAGTCTTCACAAGAAGGCGCGGCAAGTGGAGTATGCCGATTATGGGGGAGACATCATGTTTGGATTTCGGAAGCGCAGACGATATGGGCGGGTGTACGGTGTATATAAGTAGAAGAGGTTTCAGATAAGCTAGTACTCGAAACCCGCCTCTTGCAAATGATGCCTTGTCTCATTCCCATCGTCCTCCCTGGTGTCGCCGGTATAGTATGTCACTTGTTTGAACATCTCGCACACCATGTACTCATGTTTTTCGCAGGCCACACATTTGCTCTTCTCCGTCTATGAACCTCGTCAGCCGCTGGTCCCAACTGCTCTGTCATTATTGGAGCCCCCCGTTTTCATGTATCTCGCCTGCAGGTGCTTCTCTGTCGACACCCCTTGGTACTTTGTCCCCCTGGCCTACCTCTCGTTCTTCGTCGCGATGAGCGCATCAGTTGTCCTGTACCGACTATCTCCAGCCCACCCGTTAGCGGAGTTCCCGGGTCCGAGAATAGCGAAGATAAGCAAATTATGGGCTGCTTATCTCACCTGGACTGGACGACAACATTTGTACAACAAGAAGTTGCACGACCAATACGGACCATTCGTACGAACAGGTACGTATATCGGTTTCCCCGACCGCTGGCACGCACTCAATGATCTCTAGGCCCCAACGAGTTATCTATCGCAGATGCAGACGCAGTCGTGCCCGTACTGGGCTCTCAAGGCCTGCCTAAAGGCAAATGTAAGTCCCCACAATCTATTCTACGTCACTCCTAAATGACATCTATCTTTAGACTATGATGCTCGTCAAGATCCCACCGCGCCTCGCAACCTCATCATTCTGAGAGGTGAAGAGCACACTGCCAGGCGACGATTGTGGAACAGAGGCATGAGCGGCGACTCACTACGAGAATACGAAGGTCTCATCTCGGAAAGAGCCCACGAACTAGTAGAAAGACTTGCGGGTTTGGAAGGGCCCGTCGACTTTTCTAAATGGCTCAGCTTTTTCTCGTAAGCCTCTCCCGCTGTTGTATATTCAAAATCTGAACGGTTCTCGCGTAGATTCGATTTCATGGGTGATATGGCGTGAGTATATCTCAATTCATTTTGCGATGCGATGAATTGACCAAGGTTTCAGTTTTGGTAGTGGCTTTGGCATGATCCAAGATGGCAAGGACAGCAAAGGACTCTGGAAAGCACTAGAAGATTTCATGCAGTAAGGAGCTTTCCGCGTCGTCGCTTCTCCTGTATTCAAGACTTGTCTTCACAGCGCTGCAGCGGTTGTATCCCACGTGCCATGGGCTTCGTGTTTTATTCAGAAGATCCCTTACGTTGCTCGCGGTCTCACAAAGCTACGGAAGATCGGAGTCAGCTGTGCTACCAACCGGATTAAGTCAGGTTCAAAGATCAAAGATTTATGGTATCACTTGGTGAGTTTCGAACACTCTAGAGTGGACAATAGACTTACATCCCGCGTAGACAGATGAAGCCGGGCGAGAGAGACAAGAACCCAACCTCGCTAACGTTGTAGCGGATGGTACGGTGGCCATTGTGGCTGGTGCCGACACAGTGGCTACGGCTGTCATTTGCCTGTTCTACTACCTTCTGTCCAATCGACCGATGCTTGAGCGTCTGCGCCGTGAGGTAGATTCAGTGTACCCTCAAGGCGAGAACGCAATGGACACTTCCAAGCACGCCGATATGCCTTACCTATCTGCTTGCATGTGAGCCCAAGTTTTTGGTCTTGCCATTGGGTCATCCTTACGCTATGTTTAGCTCAGAAACCTTAAGGGTATTACCCCCAGTGCCAACCAATGGTTCCCGTCGTGTTCCCGCCGGAAGTGGGGGAAGGGTCATTGCTGGCCGGTCAGTACATATCCCCAGTCAGACGGACTCTACTGATCAAGCCTTTTCCTCCCCTTAGCGTCGTGCCGGAAAATACAGAAGTCTACGTCCCGGCATTCTCCCTCCATCGCAGCTCGCGCTACTTCTCCCCTTGCCCTGACATCTTCTGGCCCGATCGGTGGCTATCCAAAGAACACACCGAATCATTCAACCCCAACGCCTATATCCCCTTTTCGTATGGGCCAGCCAACTGCGTCGGGCGGAACCTCGCGAAGCGGGAGATCATGATGCTGAGTAGTCTCCTCATACAGACGTTTGATATGAAGTTCGAGGAAGGGTTTGATCCGTCGACGTGGGAAGAGAAGTTGCACGACCATTTGGTGTTAACGAGAGCGTCGCTGCCTGTTGTTCTTACTCCTAGATATGTATAATACCGATACCCTGATTAATACCGATACCCCTTGTAAACGCCTATTTCAAGGTCTGCAGAATACATAATACATACATACATCATAATCTTTCAGCAGTAGCTCGGGAAGAGTGCGCTACAGTCTCCGAATCCCATTCCCGTCTATCTTCAATTGTATATGTCCCATTACTTCTTCGGCGCCCATCTTCTTGTAGAACGCCACCGCAGGCGTGTTCCACTAGGCAACGATGTAGTCAGGTCCTTCGGCTCAAGTAGGGGATTTGATTCCTACCTGCTTTGCCACCCAAGTGATCATCCCGCAATTCTAGCAGAAAATTTGTGTTCATCAACATTTTGACAAGTTGTCTGAAGGCCAACCATTTCTCTCGCGATTTTCCCTAGCTCGCCAAAAACAGCCTTCCCTATCCCCTGCCCTCTGTACCCTTCCCTAATGAATAGATCAAGGAGCTTTGTGAAATTCCTCAGCATCCCTAGCTCAGGCTCGCATCATATTGCGGTGGTATACGTACCGCGAGGCCGGGTTTCCCGGTCCATGTAGAGAAGGTGAAGTAGTAAGCCATATATCCAATCATGGTACCTTCGTCGCCCGGCTTATCGGAGACAACCAAAAGTACATGGCCTATTGGATGACTTGCAAATAGATTTTGTCGCAGCTATTTGCTCATCCAGTCAGTTGCTAGAGTCCAATGGGATTCCGCTTTCGGAAGGTCACTTGCCAATTCTGGTGTCGCTTCCAAGAACGGTAGATCCCTTTCAAATGTTGCCTGTATGTAGGTCCTGACTGAACAACCCGTCTAGTCTTCGGACAGGCACATACAAGTTCTCGAACCAAAATGAGCAACGTGTCCTATTGGTGCGTGAGACCAGGCATTAGCGCGACGAAATACCGGTAGACGTGGTCTGCACGTACAACGTCTTCCACTGTAGCTGGCCGTATATGGAATGATGGGGCAGACATCGTCGGTCTCGTTACGGCGGTGGAGGTGGATGCTTCTACTATTTCTACTTATAATCATAAATTTCTTACTCTTATCAGGACGATCGTTGGGGATGAGTCACCGGCAATGGCTTCGGCTCCAACCTCGGATGTACCCTTATGTACCCTGTGGAGAAGATGAGTCTAAGTAATGAGAAATTAGAATATGCCAACATTGCAGGTTTCCCCGCCCCGGAGAAGGTAGGGCCATCTATCTGTGAGATGCTACCTGGCATCGTTGCCTCTAGATCGCCGTGAGTGACTCAACCCCCAAAGTTTGACCGGTACTTCTGAAGGGCTTTGTTAGCTTCTTCTGACCAAGAGCCTCCCATAACAGCTGAAGTCGGATGATGTTCAAGGTCTCAGACGAGACTTGTACTGGGGAGCTCAGCTGACAACTGTCGCGGCTACACTAATTTCCCAATTTGGGGGTTCGGGCCCCAGCCAATCCAAGTGAAATCCTAAAACATCCTCCATGGAGAGCCTACGGGAAGCTTAAGAGCATGTTTTGCGTCCAACATGAAGTACGGGAGACGGTTGTGCACTAATGTAGCCCCTGTTCGAGCTGTTGTTTGGTCAGGAGGCATATAGGAGATTTGGATTTCGTCGCCAAGCATATTCCTTTTTCCTTCTCTTGTCATCTAATTGTTCAAAAATCTATCTACAGTCATAGCCGCTTTCAATTTCATACTAGATGTCACAAGAGCACCGCAGCACTTTTAGTCTGCGGCGAGGCTTGCAGACTATCTGGGTGAGTGGTTGGAACAATATTGTCTCATCTATGGACAAAGTCGACGGTATACCGGGCCAGTGTTCTGACAATAGAACAAGGCACCGAAGAATATACCTTCACTGTCTCTCGATCGTTATATGCGATCGCATCTTGTTCAGTGAAACGATCGTCCCCGAGGACAAAGCAGGGTATGCTTGCACTTCAAACCCCCGTGCTCCGTCTCCCTCTATCCCCCATCGCATAAAAGAGGCCCAAACTCCACGACAAACCCCAGGTCACCTATCATCTAAGTAACCTACCACACTCGTACTTCTTCGAGAATCATCCTCACTTCACAAATGGACGCTTTCACCGCTACCAAATTCGAGGACATCACCGTCGCCGTCCCCCCCGTTAACGAGGAGGGATCCGGCAGTGGCGGAGGCGCGTACTGCGTCGTCGCTTGAGGGGTTAGACTCTACGAGGTATGTCGCACCACCACCGCCTGGTAGTTGGGTAATAGCTGACTGTGGATTTGCAGAGACACCTCTACCCACCGTATCTCAATTACTAAGTTATGGCTTGCAAGATAGAGAGTTATGTATAACAACTGTAAATTGAACTGAAGTCGAGTGGTTGACGCCGTTAAAACCTTGAAGTGAGCGTGAGTTTTAAGATAGCTTTATCAGTCAAGTACCCAAGGAGATGGCTTATGAATGGTAGGAACTCTAGTAAAGAGCGACGTTAGGTCACCCCGTCTTCGTCTTCTCGTCCCATCTAACGTATAAAACCATCAGTTTAGCCTTCAAAGACATGGTCGGGCTACTCACAAATCCATGAACAGCTTCCATAGCACCGAAAACATAAGCCCCTGTAGCCCATTTGTCAGTATCCTCGTCTTCAACCCGCGTCCAAACAAGCCCTTAATCCCATCGCTCGCGATCACCGCCTTCGCCGCATCCAGATACCCGATCCGCGCCTCGTTCACCTGCCTGTACGTCTTGACCACCCGCAGCGAATTCGAGATCGTGTCGGACGTCACGGACGCGCAGAACCCGATGAATGCCTGCCGCAGAAGCGTCTTGATCACCGTGTCGTACTCAGCGAGGTGCGAGTTCAGATAGTTGTACGTCCCGAACCACTACGAAGCAAACGCTAAACGGTGAGGTGGCGGTACTCTAAGGGGGGAAGACGAACTGGATAATACCCAACGAACGTGGCTGCGGCCGTTGCGAACGCGCCGTACCACATGGTCCCGATTCCGTATGTTTTGATCTACCCAAGTCAGGACGTTGTGTGGTATTTCAATACGCCACGCACTCTGTTCCTGAGTATCTGCATCCCCGGTCTGCCTTGCGTCTGCAGGGTCGTCTTGATCGTGTCGATGGGAGTCAGAATCATCCTGAACGCAGCAGCAGCAATGGACGCGAATCCCGTCTTGACCAGCGACGGCAGGTTCTTCATGTACGAGTTGGAGTTCAAGAGCGCGAGAATCCCGGCGTTTGCGGCCGTGTCCCCGAATCGGGCGACGGGTCCTTGGATGAGTGCGGCGCTGAGGCCCTGGTAGTACCGTGTCCAGCCGCCATCATGGTAAAGTGTGTTGATAGCTGCGGTCGTGGTTGTTCCGTAGCGGTATTGGTAATTCATCACCGTGCGTAGAGGCTGGAGGCGGTGAGACGGGCGGCGGTTCAGCGATGCTTATCATTACTCACCATGAGCGTCAATACTTGTAGAACCATAGCTAACGTACACGTCAGCGCAGATCTCCCGAATGTAGAAGGAAGCTACGCACCAGCAGCACCACTTAGACCGCCCCCGAGTGCCTTCTTCAAAGCCTTCTTCAAGTCGAACTACGTAGTCTATGTCGATTCATATTCGGCAAGAGGACTATTGAGAACTCACATCGCTATCGCCCCCATCAATGAATCCCTTGATAAATAGGACCAAGAGTGCAACACCTGCGAGACTGAGAACCAAGTAGAAGAGCAGTTCCGTCACGCTGCGTGCACGTTTGGCTGGAGGTGATTCAACAGGTGTTTCTGGGTCCGTCAACGTTTCCCCCGACGTGGAGGCCTTGTGCTGGGCACTGAGGAGCGCCGTTCGCTCGTCTTCTGGGTCCGACATGGTGGTTTGAGATTGAGCTTATTCATGCTTCGCGAATTCATGAGAACGACATCCTTATCTTATCATGTCGAGATTGATTAGATCTACGATAGGGGTTCGGGGTTGGATTCTACTAGTTTAATCGTTTCTGTGACCCTCCTACCCCGTTGTCCTTTACATCCGAACCCTAGTACGTGTCAAATATCCATGTTGGAGCCCCTCGATAACGACATCGTCCGCGAGTATATCAAAATGACCTCCCGTTAAGTAGGTGATCTCAGCTTGAGGGAAACAACGCCGAATCCGAACGTACCACATGTCGCAGTGCTCTGGGAGGACGGAACCTACGATCCCGTATGATCCAAGATATACGCTAATCGGCGCCCTGACCTTCTGTAGCCACGCCTCGAGAACGGCTAGCCCGGATTGCTTGTCATCGGTGCTCAAGAATAGCAAGAAATCGAAGACTTGGTTCAAAAACTGCTCGACCGCAGTATAGTAAGACCTGATGAACGGACTAATGGGGCGTCCATGAAGCGCATCAACTACACCATTGGCCACCTCCACACGCTTTGGAAGGTTTCCGCCCCCATCACGACGCGTCAAGGCCACGAGGTTGGAGAAGCTGGCGTCGATGAACTCTTTTCTGGCATTTGTATGGTGTAACGGCGTTCGCTCTACGTCAATGCCGAGGGTGGGCGCAAGGAACGTGGTGGGAAAGTGGTCAATCAACGCGAGTTGGGACACTACGTCCCCGTTTTGTTCGAAGAGCGGACGATCATCATTGTCGCCCGCCGTCAAGAGGCGGATTCTCGACAATCTTAATGATACGTCAGAAAATCTGGTTCTGAGATAGACAATGAAGGCCCAGCGAGAGCGAACGCAGTGATGCTTGTGGCTGAAAAAGCGCACAGGCGATACGGCCCACTCGGTTGCTCTTCCTAATGTAGTGGTTCAGAGGGGAAACTACGAGAAGATGGTAAACGGGGGCTGACCTTGATGCGATGGTAGTAAAAGCTCACTTGGCCCACCAATGTGACCATTGGCGTCTCAGGCGTAACCTGTATAGCCCATAGCGCAGATCTGAACTTGTTCTTCAAAGGCCCAAACGCGTGAATGGTACCGCCCCCACCTTCGCGTATGATATGTATGAGAACTAGAAAACACCGAAGGCTGGAGCAATATACATACCGTGTAGAACGATCAGTGGAAGCTCGCCAGAGCCGTCGCGTAGTTTGACAATAGTTTGGCTACTCTTCGCAGCGGATGCGTCTGAGGAAGTCATGACCCCAGTGGTTCAGCCTCGAGATGCATACGATGAAGGCCATTGAAGGGGCAGTACTCAATTATTTATAGAGATGAATATCTCTGCTGTCAGCACGCTGTTGGCTTTGCGATTGACTTAAGCCATCGTAGTTCATCAGTGTCAGTATTGAGATGGAACCGACGACACTATCTATTGTTGACCTGAGAAGACAGATTGATTACGCCGCGCAGCGAGGGAGGTGCCGGATAAGACCAACATATAGAAGCGTGCACTAGTTCGGCAGGCGGAATCTCTTAGTAACTTCCCAATGATAATTCGGCACGTAATGGGCCGTCGGGGAACGAGCGAAGGACAAGCTAACCACGACCGATCCTTATGCTGCGCTCATTCCGTGATATGCGAAGCGGGCACATCAAATTACGGTCGGTAGTGCGAAATCTAGTCATAAAGGACTAGAAGGACGTAACGGAGCCAGCGCACATTCTGATGTGCCATCTCTAATCGATAACTTATATATTAATAACCAGGCTTCGCTCCATGAGGGGTAGACATACGTGATGAAAGTGGGCGCGCCAACAACAATTATGATGGTCCCTCGTGTTTATGAGTGACAAAGCATTAAAGGGTTGTTTCACACATAAACAAGAACTCAGCGTCAAGATACGGGACGTGTGTAGCATCAGTAGCAGCTCCACCCAACCATACGACTACAATTTGGCTGACTTCGAAGCGAGATTGTGAGCGAGATTTCGAAGTTCCCGGCGTAGAAGCTTCCCACTGGGAGTCTTGGGAATGCTCTGGACGACGGTGACATGGTGGAGGTGCTTGAATGGAGCTTTGTTTTCCGCGACGTGCTAGATAGTGGGATTTTTCGTTTCAGAAGTCAGAACTCCATAGGCATCAGTATGCATCAAATACACCCACCTTTGTGACTGCTTCTGTCAGATGTTCAGCGCCGGCGGCTGCTCCCGCTGCCGTTGGAACCACAAACGCCATGGGGACTTCGCCGCTGTACGAATGGGGGACACCAACAACGCACACGTCCGCGACATATGGGTGATCCAAGAGACAGCCTTCGAGCTCGGCCGGGGCAACCTGGAACCCCCGAACCTAAGAAATAAAAATAATCGCGGAAGCGTAAGCCATCAGCCAGATGTCAGACAAACGGCGTTCTTGAGAACCTTGATTATTTCCTAAAGGCAGGCGAGCGTGTGAGCGAGGACGACATAGATGGGGGCGAAGAACCAACCTTCAAGCGGTCGACAACTATTATTTCGTCGTTCTCGTCGATTTTGACGAGATCGCCTGTGCGTATCCACCTGCCCGCCGTCAGGTTGCTATGCCCCAAATTCAATGTGTGCGACCTACCCGTCAACAAACGATTCCCGAGTGCTGTCATGAGTTAGCCGAACGAAGCGACGGAAGCAAGGGAACACGCGTACGCTACGTCATTGTCTAGGTAGCCCGTCGCAGACGCGGGTGTCTTGATGAGGAGCTCTCCCTCTTCATTGTAGCCGGCGAAGGTATTGTCGGCCTTCACCACCATCGCTTCTACGCCGGCCACCAGAACTCCACCAAAGCGCCCACACTTCTGCTTCACTGGACACATAGAAACCACACCGGTGGCCTCAGTAGACCCTATCAATTCAAATTAAGCAAGGTACGGCGTGGTTGAGCATGCAGAAAATCGAACCATAAGCCTGTCCGATGTAGATTTGGGGCATGAGTTGCAGAAGCTGGTCGTACAATTCCTCTGACATATGAATCAACAGAGTAACGAGTAAGACGCCCCAAAAGCTCGCACCAGATAGAGGAGCGGCAGCACACAGGACCACTCTGACTGACGAGAGGTCGAAGTTTTTGACGATTGGATCCTACGTGGTAAGCCTGAATCAGCCCACGTACACATCCTCGCTGAAACCCCAAACCTTGCAAAGGAGAACAACTTGAGGCGGCACAACCATCAATGAGGTGATCTTGTGGCGGACGATACTTTTCAGCATTCCCAAAAAGTCAAACTTGGGGACTACAACCACGGAGATCTAGCAAGGATGAGAGTCGAGCTCGAGCATTGAAGGATGGGGTACGTACAGCTGCGAACATGTTGAAGTGCGTCTTGGGAAAGGTAAGCATCGGTCCAAGTTTTCATTTGGTTGAACATACGATAAGGACGAGGCCGTAGATATCTGAAATATCGTTTAGTTATGGGAGTCCCTGCCGTGAAAATAGAGAACACACGATAGAAAGGAAGCACAGCTAGACAGGCATCCCCAGGACGATATCTGAGTTTCTCCCAATCATCGTATGGATCCGACACCCTATTGAACGCGGCCACTTGTAGAACGTTTGCGATGAATGCGTAGTGGGAAATTTGCACGAGCTAGCTCTCAAAATGAGCTAAAGTTTGAAAGCAAAGGGGACGACGCGTACCTTTGGTGGTCCCGTTGTGCCGCTGGAGGAACTGTAGAAAGCGATTCTAGTCTTTCCCTCACCTGTCTTCAGTTTTACCTCAGTAAGACGCGCCCCAGACTGAAGGCCTTCGTGTATCAAGCTGTCGAGAGAGCCGAACCCGTCAGGAATGGAGGGGTCCTCTGCATCTTGATCTGACATCACAATGATGCGCCCAGAGGGTAACCCTGCAGCCTGCGAAGCGGCAACCGCAGTCTTCAAGAAGTCGATATGGACGATCATAAGCGATGCACGAGATAATTTGATATGTTGAGCCAACTCTGAGACAGTCAAGGCTGGGTTGCACGGACTGTTCCAACGTTAGTGGCTAGTCTAGGCCAGCTCCTGTACGGACTTACGCAACGACCCCGAGAAGTCGATGGACGGCCCACATACATACGGGGTAGTCTCAAGGTTGATGCATTAGACAGGCTCAAAAGCATTGCTAACAACTTACCAATGTGGTTGCTGCTGAAGAAGAGGACTAGTCACATCGCGTGAGCGGCAATTCGATATCTCACCGCAAAGCTTCTCACCGGAGTTTCCTTCGACTACACATCCCGTCCGTCAGCTCTCCCGACAAGCAGCAGTGGAAGAGAATCGCTCACCAATTGAATACCTGCGCTGCAAGCTGATGGCGAGACCCGTCGTACGCGTTTGGATCTGCTCATGGTTAGCTAGCTTTGCAGCGCGCTGCGCCGCACTTACCTCTTCCAAGTCCATACGCTTGCCGCTCTTGTCAGCGACTAACCAGGGGACACCATTGGGTCGGTGGGGCCTAATGGGGTGATGGTAGTCGAGAATGAATTGCGGTATGGTCAGGTCGTCTGGGATGTGAGGAGCCTGTCCTGAACTCTTCGGGGTGCGAAACACGGACATCGTAGGAGGAAGACAAGATTTCTTTTCACGGCAGCCACATCATTGACGTTAATGAACGCTCACAGCGTGGAAGTATTTGGGGATATGTAACGAGCGAACCAACAAATGTGAGAGTTTAGTGGGAGTAATATGGATCCGTGGGATGCGCCGGCAGGACGTTCACTTGGAAGTGCTAGATTATGGCCCATGGGTCGCCATTTTTAGAGAAACCTTCAGTATTTGAACAAACAAGTCCTAGATATCCTAATACTCGCCAAATACACAAAGAGACTCGATGGAAGCCAGAAACTTACCAAGTAACCAAAAGGACGGGAGAGGTCGTTGTTTGGCCCAAGTTTGGATATTTTTAGAGGGTGTTATGCTCGCAAACAGAAATTGCCACAAGTGCCACGACTTGCTATCCAGGCTCAAGTTCGTTCACCTGGCCCAGCGATGACAGCGGGACAGTTCAACTACACACCTGAAAGTGGAAAGCAGAATCAGACCCAGTCAGAGTGGCTCTCAATGGTCCTACGGCCACATTAGGAGATGCATTTTGAGATTGCGACCGAGTCGGAAAGTTCGAAACTTCTTATTTCTAACTTTCCATCACGCTTGCTGATTGCTAGTACCCGATGTATAGGAAATTGATCATTGACTCCAGCGTTTGTCGGACTTCACAGCAATAATGTCGGACCGTGCTGGAGACCTTCAAGAGCAGAGCTTATCTTGTCCCAACCAAGTAAAATGCCCAAACGAGGTTCTGTTATAAGTGCACAGCCCAGGTCCCCAGATTTGTTCAAACTTGTGGCAGAATGATCTCTGCTTCAAGTCTTGCCGCCATTTGTATTCTTGCCTCAGTGCTTGCCATCCGTGTACTGCACCGGCGCTCGAGCCAGTCATCTAACCTCCCTCCTCTGGTCGCCATACCGGTTAGTATCTCTTCGACCTCTGATATTTTAATAGACCCTAATGGATCGTCCCAGGACGAACAACTCTTCGGCAATCCACGGCATGCGTACGAGACTGCACTCAAGCAGTACGGGAAGATAATCGGTGTCCCTCGGAAGAACAGAGTCAGTTACACTACCAGCGTCGCGCGTATGGCCTCTATTGTGGCTAACCGGTTGTATGTCTAGCTGGAATACATCGTGGACCAAAGCTTTGTCGCGGAAGTCCTAACAAATGATAAGGTGTACAGCTTCGAGCATGGCACACTATCTGTGAGCATAAGTCGATCTCCTCAAGAACTCCACCATGCAGCCATTTAACGACCATCAACGTGATGTAGATGTTGAATCTTCATGTCCTACTCGCCCTTCCTCGCAGTTTCATGCACGAAATCGACAGGGTGGTGCAAGATCACATCGTTTCAGATCTGGATGACAGTGTTGACCGAAGTAAGTTACATCGACAACAAAACTGCAATGTACTGTCTTAACTCTAACTTTCAGTCGCTCCCGTCTTTGATAAGCTCGCGAAGAAACTGGCTGCTCCAGTATCATCTGAATGTCAGCCTATTGCCGTCGAAATCGATTCAGAGGTTCATCGGATGATGGCAGAAGCAATGCTAACATTGATTCTTGGAAGGGTATGTACATCTCGTCCTCCGCGTGTATTGCGCGCCGATTTGAACGACTGTGTTGACAGCATTACGCGTCGGCGGCTCACATTGCGTCTACCGAGCGCATTGCCGTCGCTATTGCGACGTTGACGGGAATTTTTGAGAACATGAGCTGGTGGTCGCGTACATTCCCCACAGTAGGGCGTACTTGGAACTGGTTCGAACGCTTATTCGCATATCGGGGTTTGCAGACTGATGGCTTCTCCCGTAGGCTCAAGGTCATGTTCATCGCGATACCATATCACTTCGTCTTAGGCATAGGCTGGCAGGCTTTCAGCGAGCTGTCTGCAATCACTGACGTTGCAAGGAGCGATATCCGCAAGGTACAACGCACCTCGTTAATGCCACAACAGCGCTGATTTCATCGTATTATCCGGTTGTTCAAGGAGCCGGTCATTATGAGCTTCGCTCGCAAGTTTATCGATAAGAAGACCCACCGCATAAGCCTCATTGATCGAATATGGATTTTGTCCGTAATCCTTGGGTGTGTAATTCCCGCCATCATTGTCGGAAGCAATCAACTCACATATCTATTCGCATATCTCCAAGCTTAATATTTGCCTCCGTTCATCAAACGTGTGTCTTCCCTCGATTTTAAGCGGTTCGTATTTACTGATTAATCCTCCTATGGGTGCTTATAGTGCTGTTGTCATCATGTGGGTAGTATGCGAGTTAGCAAAGCGTCCAGAATACATCCAGGAATTCCGCACGGACACTTTCACTGAGACTAGCGAAGACGGCGCTCAGCGTTTGACCTACGCATCCCTTCAAAACGCTGAAAGACTCGATTCATTCATCCGAGAGGTCATGCGCACTAAGGGTGACACCCTCAGCACCGTCAGGCAAACCGTGTCCGACACGGCGCTGGCTGGCTACGTGATTCCGAAAGGTATGATTCACCGTATCATACCGTGCGGTAAACTGACAACCGCATTCAACGCGGGAACAGGCTCATTTGTGATTCCCTTAGCTACATTGGCTAACGAGGATGAAAACCACTATGGCGAGAATGCGAAGGTGTTCGTTGGGGACCGATGGGTTGGCACGGGCAAGCCAGCCACCATGGTCAGCCCAAACTACTTCCCATTTGGATTAGGGCGGTGGGCATGCCCTGGGCGGGGACTCGCCGTTGCTGGTAAGCATATGTATCCAATTTGAAGCGAGTCGTTCTCCACACTCATGTCGACACCAGAGATCAAGTTGTTCATACTATCACTGATTGCACATGCAAACCTCTCCCTGGAGAACGGGGAATATAGAGTCGTTGACCCACTTAATGTCACGTCAGTGGCGCCCAAAGGAAGAATATTCCTCCATCCTTTATTTTCGTGAGAGCCACATTGGTGTCTATTGTCTACTACATATGTACATTCTCCCGATCTTCCATTTTACATCTTCGCCCGCCTCAAATACTCGCGCTGTAGGCCCTCGATAACGGTATCGTTCGCAAGGATATCGTAGTGGCCCGCCGTCACATATTTGATCTCGGCGTGTGGAAAGGATTTACGAATGCGCAAGTCGTACCACATCTGGCGATGTTCCGGGAGAACAGAACCAACCATCCCATAAGTTCCCAGGTAGACGGTCAATGGGGCCTTGACCTTTTGCAGCCAAGTCTCCAGAGCCGTCAGTGCGGAGTGGGAGTGGCCGGCGTCCCCGGCCAAGAACAGTAAGGTGTCAAAGATCTGGTTCAGGAAGCGTATCAAAGTAGCGTGATTGGTCTCCATGAATGGTGTGACGGCTCGTCCCTGATACGCGTCGAGTAAATCGTTGGCAAGCTTTATGCGCTTAGGTACGTTCCCTCCTCCATCGCGACGTGTCATGGCCAGCAGGTTGAATACGCTGGCATCAATAAATTCCTTTCTGGCACATGGATCGTGCAACGATCTTTGGGATACGTCCACACCAAGCGTCGGTGCAAGAAAAGTTGTGGGGAAGTGGTCCAGTAATGCAAGCTGAGAGACGACGTCTTGGTTTCGTTCAAACAGCCCGGCGAGAGCGAACGCTATTATGCTTGACGCTGAGAAGGCACAGATGCGGTAAGGGCCTGTCGGCTGCTTTTCCTGCTCAAAGTCAGAGACGGCCGAGTGTGGGATCGCGATAACGAACACAAACCTTGATGCTATTGAAATAGTAAGTAGCTTGGTTTGTCAAGGAGCTCAGCGGTGTGTCAGGTGTGACTTGGATTGCCCACAAGGCAGATCTGAATTTTTCCTTCAATGGGCCGAAAGCGTGGATAGAACCAAGTCCGCCTTAGATTTATAAATAAACGTGAATTAGCAGGTGGGAGACTTGGAGCACATACCATGAATAATGATGAGAGGCGGTTCACCAGAGCCTTCACATAACTCGACAACTGTCTGTCCGGGGTTCGTATCTGCTTTCAATGTGTCTGAGGAGCCCATTCATCGACAATCAGTAGTTGAAGATCCTTAGAAATTGATGCTGCTTACATTGATTTATGCTCTTTCCCAAGTTACGATCAAACTTCTGCGGCGAAGACGCACCTTTCAACAGTGCGCTTGGATTCTCGGAGATCAGAAGTTAGGAGGTTCAGGCTGAGGATGCCGTTTGTGGTGGAGGCTGTGGGAAAATAATTTCCGGTGACGCCGCGGCCATGTCTAGAGATACCTCCCACTTCAACCGAGCCGGAACTATCTCCTATACGCTGACGCTATTTCTAGCCATCATCAACAGCTTCTCTCTATCACTGACATATAACTTTCTGATATGATCAGCTGCAGGCATTGCGCCATTTAGTATCCAATGTCTTAGTCTGCGAAGTTCCACCCCTTGGAGTAAATGGCAAATTCTCCTCGCGACAGACGACAAAAACAGGTTGGGCTCCATCGTGAACACTCTTTAACTGCCGACGTCTTTAAGTCGAGGGTGACTCTGAATTGTTGAGGTTTCCGATCTTGACCTCTGACTAACTGGCTGCGCATCCAATTTCAAGATGGGCGCGATTTCTCTGGAACTGGCAAATGTAAGATAGCGGTTCTATTCGGAGAGTACCAATGGCTCACATCTCGGCCACAGTTCTTGGCGTTGGTGCTGGAAACCCTGCTCTATGGTGCGAAAACGAAGTCCAGTCGTGTCGTACATGTCAGAATCTAACGAGAAATCGACACAGGATCGTTCACCGTCCTCTTCTTCGCGGCGATCTATGTAATTATGTACAAGCGGACGGTTGTCAACATCACTCTCCTTTCAACTGTAACAGCAATCTGGATTCTATCAACTGTTGTACGTATTCCGTATAATTCATCACCGCGACGTCGTGAATGATCGAATCCGGTAGCATCTTATTCTCGATATCCTCCGCGCCACAGAAGCGTTTGTGCAGCAGAAGGACGGGGGCCCTCTCTTGTATTATCTGAATCTATCGAACCCCCTGCAAGCCGCAAAGACAGCCGTCTATGTCACACTAACTCTCGTTGGAGACGGATTCGTCGTAGGCCACTCTTTTGCATTCCTGTCACCCAACCTAAACAGGATTTACTAGATTTTTCGGTGCTTCATCGTGTGGGGCCGCACTTGGTGGATTATACCCTTCCCCCTCATGCTCCTGCTCGGTACCGCAAGTAAGTTTAGTGTCCTCAGTGTCATAAATACCGTGCTTATGAATATAGTCGCTGGATTCGGCGCTACGTACGAGTTCTCACATGCAGCGCCAGGATCGGAAGTGTTTCTGCCTGCGATTGTGCCCTGGATAACAAGCTTCATCGCCCTGACCTTGTCCACAAATGTGGTTTGCACGAGTGAGTATCATACGTGACTGCGTATGGTTTCGATCCACCTACCCTGAGGTTGACGCCCACTTTTCATAGCTCTCATTGTTTACCGCCTTTTAAGTGTTCACAGGGCCGTGAAGGACTTCGCGCAAAGCGGAGTAGCCAAATCTGTCTTGATCATGGTTATCGAATCTGCTGCAGTATACTCGGCATCAGTCATTTCATTGATGATCACGTACAGCTTAGAGTCCAACGCACAATACACCGTATTGGATCTAGTGAGTCCCTTCAAGCTTCACGCGCAACAGAGATAATGATTAAGATTTCCTACCTATTATTGCTTCTCCAGACCGCGCCCCTCATCGGTATAACATTCAGCGTGATCATCCTGCGCGTCAGTCTCGGAATCAGTTCGCGAGAGCTCACACAGGTGTCGCAGCCGAACAGCAGCGGTCGCTCAACTGGTGGTGGCACCTTCCCCTTGGCGCGCCGTGCCGTAGCTGTGAATGTCAGTGTTGAGGTCGACAGTGACGACCTTGCTGGCGACGACATGAGCATGGCAAAGCGCGATGGAACATATGTGTAATGCTCATACTTATACCATATGGCTTTAGACCCAGCAGTCTGAGCACCACTCGCTTCAATATTATATGAAAAGGCCACAAGTGTATTCACAACCTCTGTGCAGCCGACGGGGGAACTATTGTACATAGCTACTTTACATAGTATATAGAATGTCACATTAAGGACGGAATGGAAAATATACCAATTTGGAAATCGTAAGACATACACTTTGCTTTGGGGTTTCGGCATGTTCGTGTCATCTCCGTCAACCTTGACGCTGACATTCACCGCGACGCCACCGCGGGCCAAGGCCAGGGTATTGCTACCGCTTGAGCGATCAGTTGAGTAAGGCTGCGATATATCTGAACGTTATACCGATGAGGGGTCCGGTCTGTGAAAAGGTATTCAGCTCCTCGTGGCAAGAAAACAGAGCTTGAGAACCACTGACCATGTCCAACACCGTGTACTGAGCATTGGACCCCACACTGTACATGGTCATCAATGATATGACCGATGCAGAGTACACGGCGGCAGATTCGACAATAATGATTGCGAAGTCCTTCACCGCGCTGTGTATCCGTAGTATGCCGTACAGAATCAGACCTGAGACCCGATGGTTAACTGAAATTGATAAATGTGATACCAGAACTATGGGCGTCGCTTACTTGTGCAAACGACATTGGTGGACAACGTCAAGACTATGAAGCTTGCCACCCAGGGACGATGGTAGGAAGAAATACTTCTGCTCCCGGCGCTGCATGTGAGAACTCGTAAGTTGCACCAAATCCAGTAACTGCCAGTGTATCCACAAGTAAGCATTTGCACTCCTGACTCCTGACTACACTCACCCCCTGTTCCAATCAGCAACATACTAGTAGGCGGTTTCTTTAAATAACTGTAGGGCCCGAATATGAGGAATAGCCGCACATTTGCCAATTCTAAAGATATCCCGGCGCCCATCTGAAGGTTGCATCTATCGGTTGCTTTGATTCCTTCTTGCTCTTATAGTGGGAAACGGCTAAGGGCGCCTCAGATAATAGGAATGCTATGCAGAAGCATGATTGGCTTCTATCCCACTGTCCTATGGAACATTCTTAAATTATTCTTAGAACGCATCATGTCATGAGGCCTTACAGACTTACAGTACCCCTCAGGCGGAGGTATTCTGGACTCGGTGGATACTAAAATGCGTGCCAGCCGGATACCCTCTCACTCTATTAGTCTCACCCTGGAAGGTTCCTTGTATTGCCATGATGTTCATTGTTGTGAATGGGTGCTGACCCTATAAGGTGCGCTTTTCCTTGACGAATCGCAAGGCTAGTCATTACTAGTTTGATATCTGTTTGATCTCTTTAGCAATCATATCCTGCCACGAGTGCCAGTGTGTTCGCAGGTAACATTCCCACACCCGGTACCAATGTCGCACGACGTCGCTCGCTATGAACTACTCTTCTGTGCTTCGCAGTCAACAATCCTAGTGGAGCCGATGCTGATGCCAGTGAATTCGTATCTCATGATGAGCCACTAAGCGCTGCTCCGGGTCTCACAAACACAGGAGCGACCCACGAGCGACCCACACTCGTTACATTGGCGTGTGGTTATCGGCCATCATGTCCTCGTGATGGCCTTCATGAGCGGAATGTGTCTAACAATAGGCACTGCTTCTTCATCATGATAGAATGGAAGCACAGTGCCCACAATGCCTAACAGAGTCACGTCTCCGGCTATCCAGCTCTTCATGACTGTCAGCCTTTCAACCATCGACCGTCATGTCATCGTCCCCGTCCCCCACACCTAAGGATGAGCAGAAGGCAGAAACACTGACCGTCCCCGTCGACACAGCACCGATACTCAAATATGACGAAGGGAGTCGAGCTTGGGGCACTGGTTAGTAGCACTCCGTTTGTATGAGTTTGACAAAGCTAAATCCTACAGTCATTGGCTCATGGATGGTCCAATTCTGTGTCATCGGGCTACCGCTATCGTTTGGTGTCATGGAGAGCTTCTACGCGCGGGACTATCTCGTGAATTTTACCCCGTCTACTATCAACTGGATTGGTAACAACTTGATCCATTTGCGGAGTGTAGATTCGACGCTGATCCTACGGCTAGGTTCTGTTCAGTTTTGCTTCATGTACTTATTGGGACTGACTGTCGCTGGCTTGTAAGTCAAGCTCACTTGATATCCGTGAGGAGGAGACTTAGACGATGTTGATTGTTACAGCTTTGACGCCGGTTACTTTCATGTCATCTCCATCGCAGGAAGTACTCTATTCGTATTCAGGTAGATTCCCTCAGCTCTTACGTAGGCACAGCAGCACTGACCCAATCGTTTCAATAGCATGTTCATGCTATCCCTCGCCAAAAGAGGGAAATACTACCAAATCTTTCTATCTCAAGGGCTTGGGATGAGCATTGCAACAGGTGTCATGTACACTCCGACATCTTCTGTCGTCGCGCACCACTTCAAACGCAGGCGAGGGCTGGCCATGGTCAGTTTCTTGGCATCGTTCAGTATCGATAACCCTTAGTAATGCTTATTACTAGGGTATCATCACCACCGGCAGCGCTGTGGGAGGGTTCTTCTTCTCTATCATACTCGGGCAATTCCTGGACGGCCCAATCGGTTTCGCTTGGGGTATCCGTATCTGTGCATTCATAAGCCTGGCATTTCTCATCGTGGCGAACGGACTTATGCGTACCAACTACCCGCCACGCGCACCCTCCACTCTCCCCGCCAAGACGAACAAACCCCTCAGCTCCCTCATCCGCTCCCCAGCGTACGTCTTCATGATCGCATTCGGTCTGGTCATCTCGCTCGCCCTTTATAACCCCATGTTCTCGGTGCAGCTATTTGCCGGCGAGCAGGATAATATATCGGAGAATCTGACTAAGTATTTGCTGGCAATCATCAACTTAACAAGCACGCTCGGCCGGACGATACCTAATTTCTTCGCCGATCGATATGGCGTGTTCCCGGTGTACATCCCGTGTGTGGCTGCAGCAGGTACGGCATGTTCCATGACGCCTTTCTGGTCGTTGCTGAGTCTTCAAACCTTAGGCATTCTTGCTTTAGTCATGCAGGTTTGCACGACAGCTGCCTCAATCACTGTGTTTTGTGTCCTGTAGGTGACTTAATTTTTCCCCGTTCACACATAAGTTGTCTGAATAAGAGCTAGATACGGCTTCTTCTCCGGAACTGCTGTCTCCTTGTTCTTCCCCGCAGTACTCTCTTTGGATCCAGACATGACTCGCTCAGGGTAGGTACCCTCGTTCCCGTTTCTATCCACTCCCAATCTTATTACTTGTGCTCTCGATGTTTGTTTATAGGCTTCGATTGGCGATGGCTTCAGTCCCCGTCGGCATTGCTTCCCTTGTAGGCACACCTATAGCGGCGGCAATCGTCGGCAATGATCATCAGTGGTGGAAAGGAAGTGTATTCACCGGGGTAGGCAACACTGAATTCCTACCCGTCCAACGTACTGACTCCACCTTTCGTCCGGACTTTTCAGGTGCTGGAGTTAGCTGCATCCGGGCTGCTGCTCGCTGTATACCTCACCAAAGACCGGGATGTTTCCCCTTGACATTGGAACTCATCGATTTATGTACGTAGTAGAGAGGGAACGCAGTTACAATTGCGCTTCCCAGGCCTGTCGGAAGTTCGACAAACTGTATATGCCTCTGATCCATCTGCTCATAGAACATATCTTGAGATCTTCCCTCCTTGAACGACATGTACTGTCCACGCGGAGCCAACGCGGAGTTCTCGACGAAGTCAGTGGCGTGCCTTCGAGCGCTCGTTTGATTCACAGTGACACAGTAAAAAGGTATTGACCTCCTGCTCGAGTCGCTCAGTGAATCCACAACCAACCCGTCAGATTGATAGTATTATGTAAATGAATAGTATAAGTAGGAAAACATTGTGGGCAAATATATACATCCATTGGTATCGACGGGCGTGATAGCTAGGTTTGGGGTATACACATCAAACAAGAAGGTATTCAAAACTCTCGAGTTGTTGAGGCGGCTGTAGCCTAAGGCGAGGCTACTCTCTCATCCATTCAACGTTATTCCTCCGTTCCTCAACAATCGCCTCGATCCATCGATCCAAGACTGCTTCGAGCATATTCTCCCAGCCTTCTTCCTTGCGTGCGATGAGCTTAGGGTCGAAAGTTAGCGGGGCAACGGGAGGGTGACTTGGTGTCGACGAGGTTGAAGAGGGTTTCGGGATGGCTGGGAGGGGTTTGTGAGCGTTGGAATGACGGGAGTGGGCTGGTGGGATATGTATTGGGAGTAGGTATCGTAGTTTTAAAGCCCTATCAAAAACATTGGTAAGTGAACAATATAGGAAAAGGAGGAAGAGTTTACCCAGCCCACAAAATCAGATTATCCGTGCGTCTGAATGTCCACCCTTTCTTCATACCTTCACCCCCTTCGCCGCCGCCACCACCACCACCACCACTTCCCCCTTCGCCAGCCCGCTCGAGTTCCAAGATATCGTGTATGGCGTTATGGTCGATATACCCCCATGGCTGCCTTGATTTACGAACACGTGTGTTATATGCGATGCAGAGGAGTTGGCCGGATGAGAGGACGTTGAGCAGGTCTGCCCTGGATAGAGAAGCTGAACCTAACGCGTAATGCAATGTCGAAGGCAGGGAGGATAATAGCATAGCACGGGCGCGCCCTGAACAATCATTCAAAGCATGTAAGCATCAGGACAAATTTCCATCGTTCAAACAACCCGAAGTAACGGTAGAAAGGTTAAACGGCTAACGATGATGTTATGAGAAACCCAGTAGTAGATCCGACTCACCTAAGTTATCGCCCACGAATTCTTTGCGTCGGGCCCAAGATGGGAGATCTTCGTCTTCTAATTCCTCAGGGGCAAACGCCTCTGGATCGTCTGGTTCAGGTGACTCTGCGATCTGACCCAGATGCTGTGGTTGTGGTGTCCCTTCATTAGCATCGCCCTCGCTCGCTTCTTCTCCTTCCTCTGTCAGGGACAACCCTCCCAAGGCATCGACCATTCCCGTGGACACTCTCCTCCTCCCACCGCCTATGTCATCCGATGACAACAAGCTCCTAGTCATCCCTCCCCTCCCACCGCTATCCCCATCACCGGCACTGACTCTTCTCCGCCCTTTCGACCGAGACCTAATCTTCTTCGCCGCCCTTCGCTCCCAACCACGTTCATTGCTCCCCTCTTTCTCGCCTTCAAACAAAACATTATCAACAACATCCACATACGCCCTGACAGCCGTCCTTTCCTTCTCCAGTTCGCCCATCGTGATGTCTGGTTTGTACAACCAACCTCCGCCAAGAACGAGACGCTCATCCCATCGTTCCTTTTTCTCGGCTACGTCTTCTTCTGGGAATAATGAAAGATCTTCTTCATCCTCCCATACGGGCACTGATTCATATCGTCCTTGAACTTGGACCAGGGAGAAGGTCACTGAGGTGTCGCCAACATGAGGATGTCCGTCATCGTCATCGGTGGCCAATGCTACAGGACTAGCCACTCGTGATGGGGCAGGATCAGTCCCAAGGCTGCCTCCACCGCCATCACTTTGCGCGTCGTACGCCTCGTCGCTAAGTGGCACCCTAGCCCGCTCTTCCAGCTCCCGCAACACGCTAAGCACCTCCAACGCCGAGCGCCTAATCAGCGTGAGCGGATCAGGCTGTGAGGAGGATGCCGCAGGTCTGTTCGGTGTCGGTCTGATTCTCCCAGGACCTAACGTTCGCGCACGGAATTGAGCTCGTATAGTACCCGCAGATTCATCGGGAAGAGATAGAACGTAGTTGCGTGACGATCGAATTGTTTGCGTTGTGATTTGAAGTAGATTAAGGACGTCTACTTCGGCGGAAGATTCGGCGGCTGTAAGATTGGGGGACGAGGATGGAGGTCCGATCGACCATGCTTCGACAACTGCTTGGAGATCGCGGATTACGCCGGGCAGCAAAGACTCCGGGTCTATCTCTGCTGGCTTCTGTGAGGGTGGGAACGTTAACCGCGGCACATTAGGGATAGCGGGGGACGGTGGCAATTGCATTGGAGGAGCGTCAGTGTCCACCACACTGATGTTCGCTAAGCCACCGATCGCTGGCACCAACCCAGCCCTAGGCTTGTCTAAATTGCTGAGTATTTGAATTTATAGTAAAGCCAGAATCTGCGCAGCGTAGAATCGCTCACCTCTGTTTGGCAGCAATGCCGGTCTTCGTGAAGTAGTGCTGCAGGTGCTCGATGCTGCCCAACGCCATAACACTCTCGCGCTTCGCAGCGCTCCTGCTAAATGGTTTCTGCGGCTTATTCGAGGCGTTCATGTTTGGGTAGAATGCGGTCTGCCGACGAGCTTTCTTCACTGATTGGTCTACTGGGAGGGACATGCCACCTCCAGTAGAATCAGGCGTCAAGAGCGCGGGCGTCGTCGATGTAGACGAGTCAGACGCCATGGTTCAGAGCAGCTATCTCGCCTGCGCTAGCGGCCGTGTATTCTGGGCTTGAATGGTGAATCGACGAGGAAGACGCGAAATGAGAGCAATGCCACTGTCGTGATCACAAATGGTGCCGTTATAATGAATTAGGGAGAGTGCAAGCGCACGTCTCACGATCACAAATTATTTCACACGGTCAACAGTTTGTGATCTCAGTGACTCGCTCCACCTTCACTTTCACCAAAATATGTCAACAGCAGCATTACCACCATTAGATCCCGTATTTCGACGAGCTGCGAAGAGAACGAGGGATATATTTGCGTCTTGTCCGGATGAGGGCTTGGGAGACGAAGAGAAGAGGTGAGTTTTGTCTATAGCTCCAAACTTTCGAACTTTGCAGGCCATGGCTCACAATGAGTAGCGCGCGAATGCGACTCGCAGTGAAAATCAACGATGAATACAGGGACTACAAACAGCTACCAGGACCTTTGCTTGCGAAGCAGGGTCTGGTTGGACCCTCTGCACCAAAACAGCCTTCGCAGAAAATGATTACTGCCGGACGTGCGTTCTCGCGTTCTACATCAACCGAATGACCTCGAACTTACCCCATAAAAGCCGGAGCTACAGACACATCACGCCTTATTGCGCAAATCGACAACACGCCGACACCACAGCCATCCACTTTCACCTCTTCATCCCAACTTTCGCAAGCCCTGACATTGCACAAGACGACACGTACCATAAAACCAACATATCATCCGCCGTGGAAGCTCACACGTGTGATTTCTGGGCATCTGGGATGGGTGCGGAGTGTTGCTGTGGAGCCAGGCAATCAGTGGTTTGCTACTGGGGCAGGGGACCGAGTGATCAAAGTGTGGGACTTGGCCTCGGGAGAGTTGAAGCTTTCTTTGACGGGTCACATTTCTACCGTAAGGGGACTTGCGGTATCATCGCGTCACCCCTATCTGTTCAGCTGCGGAGAGGACAAGGTGAGCCTTTTCGTCGTTCGCTCCAGCATAACTCATGTATCTCCGTAGATGGTCAAATGCTGGGATTTGGAAGCTAACAAAGTCATACGACACTATCACGGTCATCTATCTGGCGTTTATTCCCTGTCACTTCACCCTACCCTGGATGTGTTGGTTACTGCTGGTAGAGATGCCTCTGCGCGTGTATGGGACATGCGGACAAAGGCACAAATACACGTTCTTGCTGGTCACACCGCGACAGTCGCCGACGTCAAATGCCAAGAATCCGACCCTCAGGTGATCACTGGGAGTATGGACTCGACAATACGGTGAGGCCCTCCTTCTGCAGAGATACCAAACGCCAAGTAACTGATGCGGCTGAATACAGGTTGTGGGATCTTGCAGCAGGAAAGACAATGGTGACCCTCACACATCACAAGAAATCTCTTCGTGCCCTTGCGATCCATCCAACGGAATATTCGTTCGCCTCTGGCTCCGCCGGTGGAAACAATATAAAGAAGTGGAAGTGTCCGGAGGGCACCTTCGTCTTCAATTTCGGTGGACATAATGCGATTATCAACACGCTTTCGGTCAACGCCGAAGGTGTCTTCTTTTCTGGAGGTAGGAGACCCTTTCCTGCCGTTATCATTTTATCGTTATCGAGGAGAGCTTCATTGACCAATACTCCCCCTTCCGTCTTCTAGGGGATAACGGGACCCTTTCTCTGTGGGACTACGATACAGGGATTGCTTTCCAAAATATGGAAGATGTTCCCCAACCTGGCTCTCTCGAAGCTGAAGCCGGCGTATTTTGCTCGACGTTTGATGTGACTGGTACCCGTTTAATCACAGGAGGCGCCGATAAGACGATTAAGGTACCTCATTTCCTTGATTTTCAATCTTGATGCTAACCCTTCACGTTGCGCATAGGTTTACTCGGAGCAATCTTAGTAAAAGAGGATAGCTCAACGTTCAGGTCCGATATATATTCGAAGCTGTTGTTGTTTTACATGTGCTCGCTGTATCATATCGTATCCTTGCCCGATACGATCTCAGACATCCGCTTACAGTTATATGGCATGGGCTACCCTTCCCCCACAGATTGTGCTTAATTTTCGATCTCGCATAACCATGTACAGTATGACAAGGGTTGCGGATCATCCGACTCGGCACAAGGAACGTTCTCAGAGGTGCAGGTAGGTCAACACGATGCTCAACATTCGAATTCCTAGCCAGTTTTTGTTGGTAATGAAAACAGATTACAGGTGAGAGATGTGATACATGCCGCATGCGGTAACAATGTCGTGCAGACGAAGTACAGGATGAGATTGAGATAAATTACAATGTTAGGCCGTGAGATGAAAGGTCCAATCGTTGGTAAGCTAGTTGAGTCTGGATGGAAAGCATGGGTGATGAGAGCAAGCGAGCGGCCGGAGAACTGTAAAACAAGCATCTGGAATTTGGATTTGAAATGGGAAGTGTGCAGTCCACGAATGAAACCAAAGCACCCAAAAAGCGGAAAGCAGAAGGCGAAACAGGTAAACCGAAAGCCGTTGGAAAACATGCATGCGATGATTTTTTACATAACGTTATAGCGTGAGGTTTCAGCCAGCCCAGCCAGTGAGAGACGAGCTGGTGTTGACCACCGGCTGAATGTAGTCAGTGTTTTCTCTCGTATACTGTTGGGAGTAGGTTGGCTGGTAGAAGCCAGCATGATCGTAGTAGGACATGGGTGGGGTCGTCTGCGGCGACGGCGACGAGATGATTTGCCGTTGGTCTGCCTCGTAGGGTTGGTAGTCGCGTACTAGCGGCTCTGTTTGTTGCTGTATCGAACCTCGGGTCGCCATGGAGCTGTTGAAGAGAGCCGTCGTGGTTGGAGGGGGATCCGGCTGGTTTTGCTCAAAGATGAAGAAGGGCCTATCCCCATCCTCAGGCGACAGCGGAGGGAGAGTGTCAAAGTTCAGATCCAGCGAAGAAGCAGGAAGAGTCATAGCCGACTTCGAAAAGGATTTAGAGCGTGGCACTCGCTCAGCAACCGAAGCGTGTGAAGGAGGCGCCTTTCCAGAGAGTGGTACTGTGGTACGGCGTGAGGCTGGTGCCGGCATACCCATATTTTGGGGAGAGCTGGGAAGGTGCTGTTGTTCTTCGGAGAGTGTGGGGGGTCTAGCCGGATCGTAAGGATTCAGGCTAGGGGTGGAAGGACTCGTCGTGTAATTGTATTGCAATGTGGTGTGGTAGTACGGTTGATCTGTTACCATAGCGCCATTGTGGTTGGCTGGCAGTACCGCACGAGGAGCTTGGCGAGGTTTAGTTGAGTAAGCGGCGGCCTCAGAGAATGCATGCTGCTGTTGATGCTGGAGCCACGGTGGCTCAGGAATTACCCCGCCGTCTCCGGGCATCATCAGCCCAGGACTCGTTGTCTGGATGATGGGTTGAACCTGATACACGTCGTCGATCGTTGCAGAAGGTGAAACAGGCGATGGCACGGTTGACGAGAAGTAGCTCGTGGCTGACGACATCTCGCTAAGCGAAGATAACGATCCAGGTGAGGGAAGCGCGTCACCCTCGGGCGAGGACAAGCGCGAACCTCGTCGAGACCAACGGCCTCGCAAGCGAGGATGTTGATCGGTAGGACTGCCCTGGTTCAGGCGCATGAGGCGATCGACCCTGGAATGAGATGGTGCCCGGCCGTCTCGCGGTTGAGGCGAGGTGGCGGCTTGGGTGGGTACATCGATTATTGCAGGAGGAATGGATGCTAGCTTCAGTGGCAAGGGCACTGGGTGCTGCGCTGGCGGGCGCTCGTCTCGGAAAAATGGCTGCCTAGCTGGTTTGGTACCGTATACCTTTTTCTTCGTCAATCCGTGTACTTGCTGGAGTTGGGAGACCAGGCTAGTGGAAGGCGAAGCCTCGACTTTTACCGTCGCTAGCGGTGCAAGCTGCTCTTGGTGGTGCATTGAGTTGGCGGCGTTGGGAATATCTGGGGGGGAGCGAGGAAGAGGTGGCTGTGTATATAATCAGTCACAAATGTTGCTTGCTATAGACGGAGTTGTTACGTACAGGACTATAGGGAGCGGAGACTATTAGTTGATTTTCGGGTGGAATTTCCGATTTTTATCAGCTGGAGATGGGTGTGTGTAGAGCGGGCGCCAACGAACCTAGGTGAGAATAGCCTTGATGGCCAGGCCTTGAAGACAGCCGGGTTATATAGCTCTCTTGGTCCGTAGGAAACCAAGGTGCGACTTCCACGTTCTTCTGTAAGCGTATCTATTCGAGGATCGGGTGGGTGTCAGATACCTTAGATGGTTAAAACGATGGCCCTACCGTTTCATCAAACATGGACGTTAATGAGCTCATGTTTTGACTCGATGCGAGGACAATGTGACACAGGATATCAGCCTATAGACAATAAGATCAATCCTCGGAGCTCCTAGTGGGCATATGTTTGATATATACCTGGCTCATCTTCTCGGCGAGGAGATGCCATACTGAGCCTCCCTCGGGAGGCAGACCTAATTCCAGGCCGGTTGGGTCTTCTGATGGAGCTGTCGCAGCTACGATGACGAGATGGAGCGCGGCTGCCTGCCCTTGGAACTTGGTGGATGCGAGAAGCTGTAACAAACGAACCTTGTCTGATCGATGTCACGGAAGGGTAGTACCTCGGAGACGTACATCAATGCCTGTACTAATTCGTGCAGGCGTGAGGCGGTTGCTTGGATCATAATTGAAACGAATGTCGCGTAACCCATTATGCAACCCATTCGACTGATGATGAACTGCAGAATACAAGCTCGGATCGTCAGTCGGGGGCAAACTGGGTAATACGAACATTGTAGTCTACGAGGGGGATCATTATTGATTTTTGAGAGTGATTCCCTGCTAAGTACATACTGGCACAGGGGGGTATGGCCTTTCAAGCGTCTCCACTAAGGGTTGGAGGTAATGATCACGTAGATCCGACCAAAGGCTGGCCATTGTCCGAGAGTTCTCGATCAGGAGGAGAGTCGCCACGGCTTGATTGGGCATGGGCGGCCTGAATATACCGGCGGACATACCTACGTCTTGAATCACGGAAGAATATCGAAGTCAATTAACGGATGAATTCGAGGCGCGTCGAGTCGAGAGCGCGCTGTCCCCCTGAGTCAAGAAGGTCGCCTTGGAGAAGAAGAGGTGCGGTGAAAGAGGCGATTGGACGGCAGGAGTTGAGAGATGGTGGATCACAATGGGAGGCAGTCGGACTTTATACTGCAGCACTACTTGGCCAACACGAGACTGAAATTTCTGCGGCTGATTAACGATGGCGAGATGAGTTGACCGGTACCCCTTCTGGCCTCAAATAGCAGAAGGTAATGGTCGCCGTTCACGTTCAGTGCTTGGTGGGCCTTTCCGTGCAGGTCCAGCTACTGTGACGGGGACCTTGGAGGAAATCAGCGAATCTGCAGGTGAGCAGCAGCAGAGCAAAGCACCCAAGGGCCTTACCGTGTCGATGTGCCAGTGTGAGAAGGACGGTGACACTGGGAGTATGAAACTGACATTGAACTAGCAACATGGGCCGTATTACCTTACGCCAAAATACGACACAACACTCTATACGGCACCTGGGGCACGTGGCGTGGAAAACACGTCGCTGAGCTTGAATCCATTTCCCCTGTCACCTCTTCTCTTCTTCTACCGTCATCTCCTTCTCCCCGTTGCCGCTCAAGGACCGTGCTGCTGCTGCTGGAGGGGACGGCGGGCGGCGGCGGCGGCGAGAACCCAACGTCGAGCCCATCCCGCTGTACTTCTAGCTATCTGTACGTCTTCCGTTGGTACCACCTTGCCAAGAACCTGACGTCCTGAGAACGTTACTTCACTGCAGGTGGCAAATATGGCCCGAAACCCGAGGTTCGCGTTCCTGCTCTCGGATTCCTGGATTCGATACACTTTAGCTACGTGCGCCAGATGTGGCTCCTCCTTGGATCATCTCGGAGCATCCGAGTCACTATATCTTCACACACCCTTGCAACTCGCTTTTCCTCTGTGGCCACTGAGGATTAAGTTACCATGCAGAATTCTGATTCCTGCTCCGAGTGACTTATAAGGTATAGAGTTTGGGCTGTATTCGGCTTGCCCCGGGCTATCTTGATGTTACATCATCCGTATATCGTCAGTCTCTGCCAATCATCATCCCCATACCTATCAATTCGCTTCGCGCACACCTGCACACTAACCTGATGAGAGCACGCCGCAGCTATTGTACCCGCCCACCCCACAGCATCGACGTGGCCCCTAGCGACCACCCAGTCCATCGAGAGCATTTCCCTTCAAAACCGTAACAGGAATAGCTTGCTCGAGCACAGCACGGGAACGAGAGCAAGGCTCTTCCTGAAATACCTTATCGATTTCGGGTGGAAGTAAGACGACCGCTCAGAACCCGATCAGACGACGCCAACGCCGTGGAACTCGTGATCGGGCACTCCCTTCAGCATGCCATTGTCGGGTGCATTCCCGAACGATCCGAACCTCTTGATGACACCCCATGCACCACGCTTCGTCCCCTCAAGTACCTGGTTGAACACATCACCCGGGTTTCCTGGTCCATGGGCTCAGCTCCATCCGATTGGCGAAGCCTCATTCAAGCTTTAGCGTTATTCAAGCTTACTTTTGCGTATGTATATACGTCAGGCGTCGGGCTCGCTGTTCAACTGGGGTTGACATATCGTGGTGACTTTTCAACAGTTACCCTGCCCAGGTTGCCCGCGCGGCGATTCAATCTCGTAACTCTATCGCTCTCCAAAGAAAGCAGAAGCAAATATGCCTGTAGGTCATCAGCCATCACGCTCAAGATAGCACGGGAACATGTCTATTTCCGCCTTGCAGAAGAGAAAAGTAATCGAAATGCGGAGAAGTACACCCTGCACGGTCTTTTTGTATCGTCCACCATGCACCACTGGCAATCGTCGGCCGCATTGCTCAATCCTTCAATCCATGGAAAATTCTGTTTGTCCAACGCAATACTGCCTCTCTGAAGGCAAGCTCTTCTGATAACCAAGGCATGTGATCCCCGTTGTCCAGCTCTTCGACGTGCAGATTCTTCCACCCATCAACTGCTTTCAGGGTCTCAGCCCCATACACCACCTGATCCTTCTTCGGAAGTACCGCCAACATAGGCAGCCCTCCGCTCCGCCCGGCCTCTAGCAACCCTTCTTCGCTCTGAACACGAGTGAGCAGGCGAAGGGTGACCGCACGAGGTTGGACCATATAATTTCCGAAGCACGCTTGCCGCAAATTATGCGACATCGATGAGGATAGGCGGTCTATGAACGATATCGCAGCGTTTTGGAAGGCGTCGACGTCAGTCGTTTGCATCAAGGCCGGAAGGCATCCCAAGATGTCGGGAGTGCCGACTTTCGCCATCACGGGGCCCATGTAAGGCAACGCTGCGACGTAAATGATCCCGGCTAGATAAGATGGTGGGTGGAAGCTTAGGATATCGGTTATGTTCGTGGCTGATTATAGCACGCCAGGAAATAGCACCAAGCGCAATCCAAAGCATGTCACGCAACCGATAACCGAATTGAATGCAGTCAATGACATGAAACGTTCCTAGATGCTAATCGATTAAACGCACCTCCAAGACTCCTGGAATACCATCCCATCACAATACAACACAATGAATGGGGATCAAGATTTCATTTCGGTTACGATGAGAAAGGGTAGATGGAATTGGAGGATACGCCGACAACTCACCATCCCACGACAATGGGCTTTTGGATCTTGAAAGCCTGCAGGACTGCGTCAAAGTCGTCGCACAGGCGTCTGGACTCCCATGAAGCCTCGTCAATAGGTTTTCCGCTTCTCCCATGCCCGCGCATGTCGTATCGTACCTGTGGACAGTGGCACGGTGAACAGTGAATAATCGAATGACTATCGACCTGCTTGAACTCGATCACGCAGCGTGCGCATGCGCATGCGAGTGCTCGGCAAGTGCAGGCACGCGGGGAGATAGTGAGGGAGAAGACAGGGAGAAGGAAGGGAGAAGCAGAAGCAGAGGGAGAAGAAGCTGTGGGAGACACGCACTAGGTATACTTGGGACGACCATTTGGGATCGTCGAAGATGGCATCGAAAACCAAAGAACTCATGGAGAACCCGTGCATGAAAACGAGTGCGGGCTGTGATGGGTCGCCGATGGCATTTGCATAGATCTCAGTCCCGTCAGCCGATACGACTATCTTGCTTTCCGAACCAGCCGACATCGCAATCGTCATCTTCCCGTGCTCGTGTTCGTTTTCGTATGAATCCAATCGCAATCGATAAAGTGACACTGAGGCGGACGCGATTTCTTACCCCTTGGACTTTGGGTTTGGGACGTTCGGACGTTGGGTGTTTGAACTCTGAAGGTTGGGGGAGGACGCGATATCGATGTCGGTTTTCGCCATTCGCTTAGACTTTTATTGTCAATTGATTGAGCTAGTCCTAGGCAGCGGTGGCGTAAGCACGCCGCACGCACCCAATTGACCTACTGCACCCTGCTCCTCTCGTCTTGCTTCCAACCGACCACGAGGGACCGCTGCCGTGATGCCAACGTACAGGCTACAGCAAAGGTCGCCGCCGTCCCTTCTTGACTCCCGCATGGTATGTCCCCAGTCATAATACCATCGACAATCAATTAAACGTCTGACCGATCTTCTGCCACTAATCTATGAAAGTCAACATCGACCCAAATTACGCGGAGTCCATCAGCTTTTCCTTAAGATATTTCTTCAGGCGGAACCAAGGGGGATCAAATGGTTTGTTTGTTTACGTGAGGTATGGCGTAAGCTTGACGAAGGCTTCTTTACACTAAGTTTGATACCAAGACGATATAGAACGCAACATGATACGGAAAGTGTACGAGTAGAAGGGGGTTTAGACTTGGAGGGACCTGGGTGGTACTTGCAGGGCTGAACCTGGCTGTAAATATGCGCCCACCACAGGTGACATGGACAGGTGACATTTCGTCTATCATCAACTTGACATTCGCTCAATATGATCTCCAGGCGCCATCAAAGTTCTGATTGCAGGGTGCCCGGGAGGGGCAGGCATATAGGGGTTAGGAGCATACCGTATCCTGTAAGCCGCGTTCTCGCCTAGATTCGCTTTGTTCTGCGTACTCCAAAATGGCAGTGCTGCTAACTCTTGGGCTCTTCTCGTTGATGGCATCTGGCAGAGATTTCTCGATTTCCTAAGTCAATGCACTCTCGTTGCGCGATACAGCTGTCTCATGACTCTGCTCGTCGATAACCGCGAAGTCCTCAACACCGTCTGAACATCTAGCACGAAGGTATCTTGCTCCGAACTGTAGAGTCCGGTGATCTGATCCGCAGCTGTGTCTGTGGCCGGTCCACTGGAGACTGGAGACTGGAGACTGGGTGATGTCGAAGCCATCCTACGTAATAGAAGTTAGTTCAGTCTGCACGATTTCGACTAGAGAAGGAGCTGTTGCCAATTGGTGGGTTTGTCGGGACTTCTCATCATGATCCCACTCATTGATTTACTACCTCCCCCGTCTGTATTTGTATCAAAGGCACGCAAATCAAGCCATGTATGTATATCCCTTCACACTCGTCCAAAGACACAGAAACCCGTCCCACGGAAGTGGGATCCCGGCTTTCTTGCGATGCGATATTCCCATCGGAGTCACTGCGAGCGTTCGAGACTCGCAGCCTTGGCCCTCGGACGTGTTTTCTTGGACCAGCGTGCCTCGTCAGTGAACTTGCTGCCAAATAGGTACGCACAGCGCGCCGTTTGTGCATATGCATAGATGATTTGACGAGCCTTCGACTTACGATCTGGCGACGGTGCGTCGATGGTCTCTCCCTTTCGTTGTACATTCGGCGCACTTAAATGCAATGTTCATGTGACTTCCGCGAACCCAGTCTAGCTTGCTCGACAGCGTGCTTCCGAGGTATGCGGCGTCAGCATGACATCGGAGGTCGGTAAATCCTCAACTGATGTACGAAATGGAAGTAACCAAAGTGTTTCAATGTCACTGTGGGGCCAGAATATTGATCGCATCATATACTATGCACTGCTTTATATTGAGCCACTGGCTTTTTTTTTACTTCGTATATTAGCCTCCTTCGCGGCCTGTCCGCATGCATCAGCATAGTTGCGCGTATCTAAGTATCCCACTGAATAAACTACATTGTACGTCCCCTTCGACTGCCGTGACGTCGCTTAGCGACATCTGTGGCGGTTGCACCATCGTGCTGAGGTGTCGAAAGGCCACCGTGCTGTAAAGTAAGTGGGGGTTGGATTAAGATGATTTATTGTACGTCTGTTCCCAATCCCTCCTCCCTCCCCTCTTCTTCTCTGTCCCACCGGAATCGCCTTGTCCTCTGCGCACATTCCGCGATCGCTCAAAATTATCTGGGTTTGCCAACATCCTCGCCGCCAAGTTGATTTCCCTGCTCACCTTTAGCCGGAGCTGGGCTCTAGCTGCTTGGTATGCTGTGCACCTCGTAAGAAAGTAATCCACAGTCTCATCGTGCTGCCCGTACCTATCGCACACGGCTGTCTGCTTGAGCCACTGGCTGCGCCAGCGAACGTCCGAAGAACGTCGTGAGCGAGTCTGTAGGAGAACTGAAGAAGGATTTACGCGTACAATGAATCACTTCGGATTAACCAGAAATCTTGCCCAGGAATGCGTTGCTAAGGTCTACGAAATGGTGTTTGACAGGGGTTACAGGGGGCATGGAGGGGCTAGGAACGCGCTAAACTTAGCCGCCGTCGGCGTCGGTATCCAAAAGTAGGTTCTCCACGTGACTTTGGTTCGAATTGCTTCCCGTCCCTCGCTTCTTGAACCGTTCATCCCAGGTCCAAGCTTCCATCCCTCCCCTTCAATCCGCCTTATCCCCAAACCACCACCATCGCGACCGCCACCACATCTACTACAGTGTACGCTTCTCCGAATCTCCGTTGGCGACAAGATTGCACTCACACATAACTTCGCCTCCAGCACGACTGCTCACGTTCTCTGATCCTGCTCTCAACGACAAACCTGTAAAAAAGCCACTGAAACAGGTTCACATCACTACCACCGACAAGCTTCTATCGCGTCCATGGCGCAACCTACGCAGGAATTGCCACCGTGGTTTACCGCGTCTGTGGACACGCTGCTCGGCGCGGATGGTGTGCCATTTACGACCTCAACAACACTTCTATTTCTGCCATTAACTTATTACGGACCAAGCGTAAGTATCTTGTTTCATCCTTAGGCAAGGGCTGCGAGATATCCCTTACGACCAGCCGGGCATTCCTCGAAGTGGCCAGTAGGTGGCAATGTGCCGCAGCCCGGTGCCTTGAGGGGTTGGGATGGCTGTCAATAGGATGATCGATTGGATAACCGCTAATTAAATGTTGTGATTAGATTCCCCTTGGTCCCGACTGGACATACGGAGGCTTAACGTCTCCCGCATCCACCTCCTCTACCCCTATCTCCACTGCGACACCCACTATCACAGCGACACCCACACCTACAGCGACACCCTCCGAATCCATAACATCTTTTCCATCTTCATCATCTACTTCCAATGTTATCACTCTTTCAACGGCATCTACATCTGATGTAGCACCCACGCCAACGATGGCCTCTGCCTCACGAGGCACCCCAAGCTTGATCGGCATCATTGTCGGCTCTGTCTTCGGGGGGATTTTCCTTCTTTTCGTCCTAGCACTCTACATCTGCCTCTCACGTCGGAAACACAGAACATCGCAACCACGGTTCAGTTTCGTGGATCCGTCCGACGATGAGTTCTACGTCGTCGGTAGCAACGATCTCCCCCCGCGCAGACCAGGAAGCGGATCCCCCAGAGAGAGTGGCGATGAGATAGATCCGTTCCTAACACAACAGCGCTCACAACCACAGATAGAGCAGACTGGCCCTACCGTTGCTCTTGTAACACCTAGACGGCGACAACCTGCTGTGGCACCGCCCTCCGGCAATCTCCCTCAGAACCGACCAGTATCTGGCGCACAAACCATGAGCTCCGTAGGCAGTGGCACATCCGGCTCGAATTCTGGATATGGGACTTTGGTTGACGTTCCGACGCTTGCGATGGCTGCCGGGCTTGCTGGTGGCGCTTATGCTCAGGATAATGACGACTCAGCGGCTGAATATTATCAACGTCGGGGCCCCATATTGACCCCTGGAGAATTGTCGCGGTTGGACGAGGAAACGAGCGAGGCGCGTCATGAAGAGGCGAGGGGATATTCACCGTTGATTCCGCCTCCGCCTTTGAATCCTGATCAATTTGGCGTTCGTGGCGCATCCGCTACTTCGCTGCCTCGCCCGGGTACTCCGGCCTTCCTCTCAGGTACGTTTCCATTTATTCGTCGCGACACAGGAATTTACACATGGGCACACAGACGTTCCTCCTCAGACTTCGCAAGGCTCTTTAGACACTAAACGGTCTTCATATCCCGTTGACGCCGATGAAGCCAACACGGCCACCGTCTTGACAGCTCGCCGCGTTAGAGTAGAAGACCTCGGTCCACGCTCACCACTGTCAGAGAAATCAGCATCGCCCCAGTCACCCTCGGTGCCTCTGCTTGCTGACAACGAAGCACCTCGACGACGGGGCAGCGGTGCCTGGTTAGCGGGGCTTGGATTGGGCAGTTTGGCGGGGAGTCTTGGGCGGCTGAGTTGGTTCAAAGGAGACTCTTCTGCCCGTTCGTCAGCGCAATATGCTGGTCCTTCGACACGTCGGCCGTCAGAATACGTTCCCAGGGCGTTGAGCGATGATGAGTACGAAGCGGGGCATGCTGAGCTGCTCGATCCCGAGAAGAACAACGAGGATGCAGGCCTCTTGCACCCTACAGCCCGGATGGCGGAGGTTGGGAGGGGCGTAGAGGGCGACAGGCCTATATCCAGCGTCAGCGCGAAGAGTGCGGCGTCAGGGACCACCGTCTATCACGACGCCCAGTCAAGCTTGGGGAACTCCAGCAGAGGCGTACCATCGCCTGCACCGCCCTCGCGGCCAACGCCTTCCCCTCCTGCCGTCCCCGTGCCCCGTTCGCGCACTCCACATAGCCAAGGGCAACGCAACTCGGGCTACTACGCACGCGATTCTGGGTATGGATACGGTCAACCCGAGTCCGCTTCACAAGACCCACCGTCATATAATGACTCGAACAGTATAAATCCATCACCTAGAGCTTCGTACCCAGGGGCTACGGCGATAGCACTGGACGCACCCCTCCTTGCACCTCCTCCTTTGCATACATCGCCGTACGATGACCCTATCTCTCCTGGTATAGACATCTTAGACCTCCCAGCACCATCGCCGCTACTCCCTCATCATCGTATAGCCACCGTTGGACCAATCACCCTCCGTGCATCCGACTCCGCTGGTGTACTCTCATCGACAACCTCGGACGGCGACGGTGATCGAAGCGTGCGAATTAAGGAGGGGTTGCTCATGCCCCCGGGTCTCTGGCAAGATACGTCCACCATCACATCGGGCAGCGGCCGCGATACTGAAGGCGAGGCCACGAGCACGGGCACGCGCGGGGGCATGGACACGCCATCGTTTGGATCGCTTGCTTTGCAGATGCAGGCGCACCATCATCAGCGGTTGGCCAGTGCCGCAGCAGGTGCGGGCGGTAATGGCGGGGGAGGCGGAGGAGGGGATGAGGAGGGGATTTCAATTGATGTGTTGGAGGAGCTACCGCCAAGTGCTGGTGAAGGATGGAGATCCCTCGCTCAAGCACACGGAGCCTCCGCCGCCGCCGGTCGATTCTACTCCGACTTCGAACGTAGACGGACGTTTGGAATGGTGAGCGCCCTCCACGAATTAAATGTGTTCCTGTCCATTCGTCCCATTAACTAACCGTCGTTTTCTTTCGTAGCCTCCGCACGCACATATAATACACCCTCAATCACTCACCATCTCCGAACAAGGCTCCCTGCACTCAATGCGCTCGCACCTCTCGCCTCAAAACTCCATCGCCGGGTCGGGCCGCTCCTCAGGCTCCGCACCCGCCTCCGCCTCCTCCGCCTCGCATTCCAACAACTCGCACCTGCACCTGCACTCCCCGCGCCAAACGCGCGGCCAGCGCCTCTTCGGCTCCACCAACTCGAACTCCTCGCACTCGCATTCCTCCTCGTCGCGGTACATGCACGATCAGAACGACGGGTCGATGCTCTCTACCCAGGGAAGCTTCGTCAGAAGCCGACCTGGCACAGGAGGAGGAAGTGTGTTGATCTCGCCGGCGCTGTCGGCGTTTGGGCATGGGACGCTGTCGGATGAGCATTACTCGCCGCCGCTTTCACCACTTTCGCCCCACTCGCCAATGTCACCGGCGTCGCCGACGCTGTCGCCTCTTTTGTCAAGTTCGCCGGGGCTTGCGATGCCGCAGCAGGCGTATCATCAGCGGAGACCTAGTACCGCTCCAGCAGGCATTGGTGGAGTTGGGGTTGGTGTAGGGACTGGCCTGACGGTTGAAAATGCACAGCGACAGAGGAACGGTGATAGACCTGCGAGTCCTCCCTCTTCAATCGGGATCGGGAGTGTACCATGGGCGGGTGGGTTAGATCATGATTGGACTCCGGCTGCTTGATCGTTCCATTATCCCCCTATCCCTCTAAATCTCTAGGGGCCTACTCTTGGTGCTTTCTTGCATCTTTGCTCTCATTCCCGTGCCCACAGCCCTTTTGACCTCCTGTGCCTTACCGTGCGTCTTGGTATCTTTGCATCCTTTTGGTATATTTATCCTATTATCTGTTCATCGAGTTGTCTACACATTGTCCATTGCCTTCTCGTCTTCATTCGCCGCTTACGTTTACATACGAACGATTATCGATTATTCACGCACGATACATACTCACAAGTCTATCTTCATGACATCCCCCACGTCCTCCTCTCCGCTCTCCTCACTCCGCCACCGTAACGACGACCCCATCTCTATGTCGCACGCACTACACGTCCGTCTTAGCACCGCATCCCCACTGCCAGCACACACCGCATTCGACCTACATTCCATATTTACAATGTATTCACATTTGTTTGTTGCTTTGGTACATACAGTTCTGGCGTTCGTTGAGCTTAAGACTCTGGACTGTCCCTGGTATCCTGGTACATACGTAGTACGGCCAGCAATGCAGTAGTTGTTGAATGATCTCTTCTGAAACCTGCACGCACCGTTCATAGCGCAGAGTTCCCTGCCCACTCGAGTCGCATGCAATATTGTCACCACACTGCACGTCCTCTAACATTCAGAAATGGAAGCAGATCCGCATGCGAACGAATAATCTCATGATGAATGTGATGCCCTCAGGGCGTAGTGGGAGGGGTATTTGAGCATTACAAGCGTGAGCGTTGATTATGATACAAGATTAGTGGTAAGTCTACTAGCGTCTCGTTTCAATCGTTAAGCGTGAAAGATGGAAATGTGAAGTGCGAATAGTGGTAAAGAGGAACGTGAAAAGACTCGCGAAGTGGGATGAAAACAAAAAGATGGGGGGATTAAATATTAAATATTTAGATTCCTCCTGTCCGCCTCGAGGAGCGACTTCCGAAGCCCCTCGAGCGGCCTGTCCGGCGTCCGCTGCGGCGCGAGCCGAAGCATCTACAGCAGATGATGTCCATGATAACGTCGAAGATTGTGACGATGATCTGCGGGGGCGTGAGAAGAGGGAGAGGGAGGAAAACAGAGAAATGCGCACGGTAGTTATGACGCTGACTATGGTCATGATAACATTGGCAATGGCACCGATAATGGCGTTAATGCCGCGTCCGATGGCTGAGAATATTGAACCCTACAGAGAGAATGTTGAGTTAGCAGAAAGACGGGAACCAATTGGGAAAAGCGTACCATAATGATGATAAGTGTGAGTTTTTAGAGAAGATGACTTGTGAAAATGGATTTTGTATCGGTGGTTGATACTGGTGAGATACTGGCGATGGGTTAGTAAGAGCGCGGGTTTATATAGAGGTTGGGAGAGCCGCAGTGCGTCACTTTGAAGGAGTTCGAAGACCCGTAGTGACGCGGTGGCGCCCCACGCGTCATATTATCATGCGCGGCGAGGAGATTGTGACGTAGCAGAGCCTCGGTACCTGGGCCGGAAGCTGAAGGTCCTCCAGCGCCTCGGCACTTGCAGACTAGGTACGTCAAATGCTTTCTCACGGAACCTTCATCTCATGCTAACTCAGTGATTTGCTGACTTAGCAGGCGTCTATGTACATCCACATAGTTATCAAGGCAGTTGACGGAACGGCTCCAGCTTTATGAAGGGGGGACATGTACTTGCATTGCCTGTGATCGCCTCCGACAAATGACCTCCGGGACCATAGTTCAAACTTCAACGAGGTATTGCGCCGCTTACATAGTGACTCCGTAGCGACCTCCTTGGTTTATGATTAATTGCCCGCGGCTACTGATGGGTCGCTGGGACACAGCTATCATACAATATATTGGCGGTAATGAGAGAAACATAATCAAACAAGCTATGTACATGGGGGTAATATATAGATGGAACGAGATAACTGAACGAATCCTAAAAACTATCACGAGCTAATAGGCTGACCACTCGAGTGAGTTAAGTGTGAGAATCGTATCGACATAGACAGCTCACCATGACACAATGTTAGACATTACTTCCGCTTCGTAGAACGAATTTTCTTTGCCGCCGGAATCTTCTCGGCGACGGTGCTCTCTGCAGGAGCAGCTTTCTTGGTGATAGTAGCTCTCCGTGCCTTCTTCGTTGCGACGGCCGTCGATTTAACAGACGCGTCAACTTGGACATCTTCCTCGGCATTCTCCTCGGCCTTGCGCTTTCTGGTATTCTTGACCGCTGGGATTTTCTTCGTGTCAACGGTCGTCTTCGCGTCAACGGTCTTCTTGGCCTCTGCGATCTTCTTGGTCTCTACAGGTTTCTTGTTTTCTGCGGATTTCTTCGTTCCTTTGGAAGAAGACGACCCGGCTGCTGGACGGGGGTCCTCCGCCTTTGTGGCGGCCTTCGCAGAACCAAGTCGCGACGAGCGACGAACAGGTACGGCGGTGGCGGGAGCCACTTTAGTGCGGGCAATCCGCGCCACGCGTGGGGCTTCTTTGGCGGGGGGCTCGACCTCTCGTCGCTGGGCGGGTTTCACCTGTTTGACGACCTTCTTGGGGGGTGGCTTCGCCGCAGCTTCACCGGTGGTATCTACTACGTCCGCGTTCTCCAACACGATCGGCCACTCCTTCAGTTGATACGTGAATATCAACCCCCTCGCCGCATCTTCATAGCTCTCGGCTAATTCGTAGCCTTCGTTGATAGGTAACACGTCCTCAATGGAGAGAGGTCCTTCGGGTGCACCTTCGCGTGGAGGGAACCTGGGGTGGAACTGCTCATCGAGAGAGTACTTGAACTTGAGACCGCCTGTGGGTGCTACAGTACTTTCGTCCGACGCACGGGGCGCAGGAAGGACGTCAGGCGCATCAGCGGTCGCCGGCGCGGTGGAAGGTTTGATGATCACAATAGTGACCGGAAGGGTGTCGCGAGACTCCGTCGGTTCCTCACTGTCCTCAGGCATTTCGCGCTGCTTGCCCTTCCCCTTCTTGGCAGTAAGTTGTCGCTTCTCGCGCTGAATTTGATCTTGTTCGATGAGGAATTGCCTCAAGTTCGCGTCGACGACCCAAGTGAATGGAGGGATAGGCAACCTGCCATCAGCCAGCGGCTCGGCCTTGAAGGTGAGGTGAAGAGGGCGCTCGTCGTATTCTTCGACGTCAAGGTCGACGGTGAGAGTCAAGGTACAGACCTCGCCTTCTTCGAGCGGAGGCGACGGCGTGTCTGTGACAAGTTGCGGGACAACGAACGCAGATTCAGTTTTGTCGGTGTCGACGGTGATGGCAGCTTCTGCAGGGCCCTTCGAGTCGATATACTGGACAACGACAGGCATATCCTTGACCGCATCACTACTATAGGAATGTTATACAATAGGTCGAACAAATGAGATTGAGGATACTCACTCAGAGACGGGGATGAGGTTTTGGTGGATGCGCAGGCTAATTCATCTTTAGCCACGAAATCCACCACGCCAATGAATGTAACCCACCGTGCGTATTCCAGTGCTCCAACCGACTTTGGTAAATGAGCACCAATGTCGTCGACGAAGCTGAGGACGCGAGGATCTGCCTCGTCGCCGTATGAAGCCTTCAGAGTCTTCGAGGTCTCCGCAATGGTACTTAGTGCCAGGAAGATCTTCGCTTGCAATTCATCAGCGGATGCTAGAGCTGTCTCGCCTGGGGCGGAGGATGAGGAAGCTTGTGTATTGCCCATGGTTAGATGAGATGCTAATAGCGCGTCCGAGAGTGGGTGAGGGCGAGTGATAAGTTGGGAGTCAAGAGTGTGGCTGAGAGTCTGAGTTTGTATTGTTGTGTTGTGCCCCGCTGATCCATTGTTCCAAGTCGTAGAAACCTGTTATGGCAATTGCCATTGGCGTAGTGGCGGCGACCCTGTTCAACAACAACGCGTCAACAATAGATCCAAATTAATTTGCTGACCCTCATCCATACGTTCTTTGCCAGAGCTCGAGCAGACCTTGCTTCGGCCCGGGTGTTGCTTCGGTGGGCAGCACCTAGGCCTTCTATGAGTCCTGTCCAAAGCTTCATCTTGCTCACCTTTGCTTTCTTACCCAAGCAAGCGCCGCTTTCGCACTCGCCACGGCAAGCATGGATTTTGGGTCAGTGTCCAGACTATTGACGAAGTACGTCGCTCATTGCTTTTCAGGAGTCTTGGCACCATTCGTCAGGTTGTCGGAATCCACTCTGAGCTCTGCTCCGTAGCAGCGCAGGAACGACGTCTGGTCCCTCGCTCCGTTTTATGGCACGCACAAACTAAACACACGCTTGCCGCGCATCTAGTGAATGAGAATTACGGAAACAGAAAAACTGAGACACTCAAGTCACTCCAAAATGGAAATGGTACGTACATTGGCCTCAGAAGTCATCATATCATGAAATCCGTTAGAGGGCGACTCGGATAATTAGTGGCGCCGCCAATGCCCTCACGTAAGATGCTCATGGTGCAGGCGGCGGGAGAAGGTAGTGGGAGGAGTGGGCGCATCTCTCACATGACCCATTATCCGACATCGGGCTGCCAAATTTGACTATCTCCGCCTCCTTGTCCCGATATGCACCTTTCCAGCGCGCGAAAAACGTTCGCAATCAGTGTCGCGCGGTATTTTGGTACACAGCGCGCAGAGCTTGGGAATCGGTTCTCTCATCCACCATGTCCAACACCCCCATCCTTGTTAACTGTCTGGTTTCTGGTGATGCACTGTAGTAGTGAATATACGTGTAGACTACAGTAATACTGTATCCCTTAGTATACTAATATACTCTTAAATCAGTACATATGTGTTGCACTCATGCCTGCTAATGAAAGACCTTTCCAGTATACTAGATGTTGCTATCATCAGTGACTGTAGTTCACTAAATAGCTGCTGTATCAGGGGTATGTGTGCATAATGCGAGTTGATGTTATTCTGATAATGTCAACCACCTAGACTAGGTAATGCTAGGCTCTTAGTGACAGTTACTCTGTTGTAGAATCTTCCTGGTAGCTGCAGGATGATGGTAGTAGATTTTCGCTTTTATAAGGGCGTGTGTGTAGGAATCCCACAGTCACGTCTACTGCCGAGGTTGTTAGAGTCCGACTTCCATCTCGCCCAGCAGTTCAGTGGCCATTTCTGCACTTCGTGCACAAGTTTATTCATGGCGTCTAATGGCAAGGACAAGCACTACTGGACGCAGCTCAGGTCTGCTCTTACCGCAGGGCAATGGAATACCCAGCATCCTTCAAGGACGCCGAATGGCATTGCCCTCACCTGGAAGGAACTCTTTCGAAAATTCAACAAACATTGCCGTGGTTTCGAGGACGTGTGCGAGGTCGCATCCAAGACGCGCTTGCTAGGTCTCTTCCTCGTTGCCAACTCCAAAGACGAAGATCAAGACGATCCCCTCTCTCCCGGACGAGAGCTGCTGATTGGCGACGAATGCATCTTGTCAGAGGAACGGGTCGCCGAGGGTCAGGAGGCATTCGATGAATTGAAGAAGTTAGAGGCTTCCAATTTTGACGTGAGTCGCGCACCACTTTTGAGCAGCACGACGCTCATACTTTACAGACCCTGAACTTCGCCTTGGCCTACTATGCCTACGCCTTGGGACGGCCGGAGGAGTGCATTTCGCAGCTGAGCAAGGTCCCAGACGTTTCGCATGTCCAGAACCACATTCCTTCTATCCCAGCGTCGCTTCGCTCGAACTCACTCTCACTGCAAGTCCCATCTACGGTGGGCACATCCCTGTCTTCTGGGAGCGGGAGCGTCATGTCTGCGGCATCGACGGTCTCTATCGATGAAATCAAGGACGGCAGGGCTTGGGCGATGACCGAAACCATCCGCAGCATCTGTCTCCAAGGTCCGTGACGCACTTAGTTCATCCATGGGACCGATCAGTAGACAGGACTGCTAGGGATGTCATACGAAAAGGTCTCTGACTCGTCAAGCATGGTCCCCCTCAAGTCGTACGGCGGCGCGCTCCCTCTGCTGAGTCTGTTTGAATCCGAACTGGCCGCGCTCGCGTCGATGGCGCCCCTCACAACGACGGCTACTGGCAAACTGGACTTTAAGCATTTCTCGCATTTCCGTGAGTTATGGCGGTGGATAGAGAGGCTGCTCTGGCGGGCTATTGCGCTATGTGCTACGAGCAGCAACTTGCAGATGTTGGACTCGACGCGTGTGGACTCGATATGGGTGTGGCTGAAGCATTATATGGCCTGCAGCACGTACTGGCCTCCCTCGTTCCGCACGCAGCACCGAAGTGTCATACTGTCTCTCCATCTTCGCTCGCTGGTGATTCTGTATACGTCACCGTCTCAAATAGCCTCATCAGCGGATAGTTACAAGTCACCTCAATGGCTACAGGTCGCTCGTTCCGTCGTGGCAGAGTGTCAATCGGTGCTCAGCGTCTGTACCCAATTCCCCCGCGCAGGCGAGAGGAATGCGAAAGTCGAAGACTTTGTTGATCTCTGTGTCGCAGTTTGGGAAGCGAGTGGTGCTATGGGAGAGCATAGCGGTTGGGTCATTGATGTAAGTTTGGAAATCGTCTCAGGTGACTACTGAACATGCTCAGCTGGAGTGCAGGTCCTCTGGTGGGCTACACGGCTGACTTTCAACTCCCCGCGGATATTTCGGCATATGACACGATTATTCTACGTCTCAGGTGATACATCGCTTGCTAAACGGACGTTGAAGCTGTATATACAAGTTGTCGGTAAAGCGTATCAAACACTAACCTCGGACGGGGGCAACCCTGACAGTGTGCCAGACGAGATGCCGAAGGAGGTGTTGAGTGGTGAGCCAGAAGTAGATACGGATAGGAATTGGGTGGAGACTCTGTGCCAGGGGGCGCGGATGTTGTGCAAGTCGGCTGCATCGGTGAAGGAGGGGTTCATGGACGATCTTAATGATGCTGGTGAAACTATCGAGAAAGCGAAGACGAGATTGAATAAATCCGAGGCGGATCTAGTGGCCGCCGTGCAGTTGGCGGAGGGCATATGGCGGGGCGTCCTTGCATTGAAGTGTAGGTCAGTCAAGTCTTGGTGAACCCCCACTCAGCAATAGTTTATATAGCGAACGACCCCTACGCACGCCCGGGAAACCTTGCCCTGTGCCACGAATGTCTGCTTGAGTCTCTGGCTACGCGCCCTACGCCCTCCGCTGCATATCACCTCGCGCTTTCCTTTGCGCGGCCCGGACCCACACAGGACATCGAGCAGGCTATAACCCACGTTGCTCAAGCGATGGAGGGGGACCCTAAGGAAGTGCGGTATTGGCATCTCATGGGTCTTCTGCTGTCTGGCGCAGAGAAATGGCAGGCGGCTCTAGAGATCTTAGACAGCGGCGCGGATATCGGAGAAGCGGCGCACGGTGACGATGCTGGTGACGACGACGAGGTGACAGAGACAGTGAATGCAGACGTGGACACCCTGACACCGAATCCCTTGCGCACGCCCAATGGATTTGGTGGCGCCAGCATGCACAGCGTTGTGGACACCAAGCGCAATGGACCTCAATCCACCCGCTCGCCGTCTCTCCATCCTTCGTACTTCTCGGGTAGCGGCAGCGATGGGGTGGATTTGGACATTCCGTCATTGTCGCTCCTACCGAACAGCACCGGAACCATCCCCCCGTCTTCCTCCTTACTTGGGCCGATGCCCGACCACCCGAAACCATCCACGCAAGAACAATTCGAGTTTTCTCTACAGCTGCGGATGTCTCAAGTTGCGATGATTGAGTACGTCGAAGGGGCGGAAGCTGCGGACCCGAAGTGGATGGATGTATTCGCGTGGGTAGCTGAGAAGCGGGGCATCGTCGCCCAACAACGTGAGTTGAGTATAGCCGAGGTCTCGTTAAGGTACTCATTGCTTGTTTGTTGTGCACACAGCGAGGACATCTCTGGATGGCGGCCGACCGCCCCAGCCGCTTCTTAGTTCTCAAGCGCGACCGAACAACGAAGGCAACGGCGAAAACAATGGTGGAAACATCTCTCTTACGTCTGTTCCCCCGCCAATCCCAATCAACATACTACCAGCAACACCCGACGCCCACTACGACCGGTTCATCTCGGATAACCGAACGTCTTCAGACACGGAGATGCCTGATACCGTAGAAGCGGGCGACGAAGAAGGGTCGCATCCACACCATCACCACCACCATCTTCCGTCCCTCCACGTGTCCAAACGCTCGCAGTCTAGCGAACGAGACAGCTCAAAGGCCTCGAAGAGGGTCCAGAAGTTCGTGAAAAGCGGCGTGCACAAGGGCCAGGCGACGATCACGACCATATCGAAAAAGATTGGCAATGGTGTCGTTAGGAATGGTCCGCTGCGCAGATCTACATCTACACCAGGTTGGTCTTTTCGCGCTCTCCGTTGCTGTCGATCGCTGACGAGATTCTGGCCACCGTGTTTGGTTGGTGTTTCAGACTTCCATGCGGCGCTGAGACCGTCGTCATACCAAGCGTCCTCCATCCATTCGCGCAAACGTCTCAGCTCGATTATCCACTCACATGACTCGCATTCATTCACTGAATCTCCTCCGCCGCCTCCGCCGCCTCCTTTGCCCAGCAACTCCGAACAAACAAGAAAGCTGAATAGCAGGACGAAAAAGGACAACAGGCTCCTGAGCGATCTGTGGCTTATGTCCGCGGCAACCTTCCGTCGCCTAGGCAAGATTGAGCAAGCCAAAGGCTCGATACAAGAAGCGGAAGTCCGGGACGAAGATAATCCTAATGTTTGGGTTCAGGTGAGTCGCTGTCTTCAAGCTCTTGTGTGCAGAGGGGGGTGTATGTCGTGGATCGCGTCTTGCTTACGTTTCGGTTTATAGTTGGGGTTGTATTATACTGCATTGGGGCATACCCGACATGCTATTGACGCATTCCACAAAGCCATGTTCATTGATCCGGATGATATCTCAGCATCCGTCCATCTATGTCGACTCTACCTGGGAGCCCCAGATATGGCCTCTGTCTCGCACTTCAAACGACGGCCACCTTTGCCAGACCATGTCGATCTCGCCGCTGGGATTCTGTCTGATCTGACGAAGGGTGCCGGGTGGGACGTGCCAGAGGCATGGTACTATTTGGCGAAGGCGTATGGGTTGCAGGGTCGGAAAGAGGGCGAGAGGGAGAGTTTGGAGAGGGCACTCAGGTTGGCGGAAGGTCGCGCTATTAGGGACGTTGGATCAGCTTTGGGGTGGTGTCTGTAGGGCCGAGGTTGAGTATATCTCTCATATACCCTGCTGTCGGTTTGCCGTGAATATGCAAGAAAGACAGATTATCTTGGATCATCACTGGCAATTGCGCCCAAAGTTCCTAATAGTTGCCATTGATACGCTGCAGAACTCTCGAAGGAGAAGGATAGGGTAGGGCAGGGGCGTCACTGCCCCGGTGTAGGGCACTCTAGGCACGTCGCGTAAGAGCACGCTAGACTCACCCCGTAAATGTCTTGGGTGCGTCCGTCATCGTAGTTGGTGTTGCGTCTGTGTTAACCCATTATGTTGAAGCGCGATAAGGGTACGTGAGGCTTTCTATCCCGTAAACATTTAGATCTTAACGCTAGTCCTCCAGTGTGCTCAGGCTGGTATCTGTAGGTCCGTTGACCCCAGTGGGGACGATGCGGTTGTCCGCGATAACGCACCCACTACAATCCTCTTGGGCGTAACATCCTCTATAGAGTAGGTGCTCTCAAGGCCACAAGCTCAGTATCAGCCGGCAAATACTTCCGCTACAGATGAGGCATAACCAACGGATGCCGTCAGCGAAAAGATCACCCCGTCTAACTGGTTGAAACATTGCCAGAAGAACGGCTGGCTCTGCGGACACAGATACAGGCCATCTAGCCATCGGTGTGGCGGCATAGATAATAGGTACGTTGCGAGGGATGTCTCCTCGAACATCATTCTTCAATGGTCAAGGCAGCACGCCAAAGGCGCAAATTGATCTAAGTAGCCTTTGGTTTGGTGCACAACCTCAACTAGCATAGCAGTATGGAGTTGCTGAAACGCTGAGACTCGAACGCCGTCAAAAGTACTAACCTTTCTGTTGCAAGGTGCCTTATATGTTTGTGAGCGAGCCTACAAACTTCGCCGAATTCCCTTCCCCGAACGGAGTCATCAACCCTCGCATCTGCATCGGCCATATATTAGATCTCGTCGACGCCTCCGACTTTGTGGGCGATTTGAGGACTCGTTACTCATTAATGACCCATTGGTTTCGGGGTATTTTCATGTAAACTAGGACTTATATACAGTCATACACTACCTTCGAGGTGACTTCGTTCGTATTCCTCAAAAGTCAAGCGAATCTGCACCCACCGGTATGGCAAGCCCCCAGCCAGAACTTCGTCTTGATAATACACTTGGTGCTCTATTCCTTGGAAACATCGGTGCCGCCATGTAAGTGAAGGGAGCGATACTACAAACGAGCCGACTCTGATGCCCAACCTTTTTATAGCTTCTATGGTATTACCAGCGTACAAACATACATATATTTCAAAAATTGTTCCCGTGATAGCCTGTCTCTCAGAAACTCCGTGGGTAATACATATACATCTTTCGGTAGGCAGCCGCTGATACCTATACCCCCCAGATCTGGTTCTTGTGGTGCGTTAGTCGTTTCCGATGACAGCTCAGCTAGTGAGTCCAACTTGCTCTCCAGGGTGCTAGATACTGTCCACCTCGCCTTCATTACACATGCCTTGTACCTTTACTGTGTATCCAACTTTGCAAATCCGGCATTTCTGCAGGGTTCCATATGGTAAGTCCTCTAAGTCATATTATAAAACAAAGTTTATTTATAAGATTATTGCATAGGAGCACTTCAGTGGGTCATACCAAATGGACTGTGCTTCTGGACTCAATATCTGATCGTTGTTGTCATACAGGGACAGGCATATATCACGGCATGTTCATCTTAGTCTTGGGGTGATAGGTATCTTACATCAAGAAATAGTGTATTAGCGAATTCATAGTACGAACGTGAGTCGTCATTCTATATTTTGTTGTCTGGAAGCTGATTACTAGTATGGGCAGAATCTTCACCTATCGTGTATGGAGCTGTATGTTCTGTACTACTCCTCTTTGAGACCGAAGCTCTAAATCTCCAGCAGTGAGTTGCAGGAATGGCGCTCTTGTGACAGTCATAGTAAGCGGATCCATGCTCATAGCTCATAACATGGTCAACCTGTCTGGACTCCTACCCCTGTAGACTCTCCTATCCCTGATTCATCTCAGTGAGTTTCACGGGATTATCTCTTCATTGCGTTCTACTGACTCGCAAATCCAGTATGTGGTATCAGTAAGTGCTTTCAAAATCTGTGCATATATTAGCTAACATGGAATAGTTGCCGCGATCGAAATGCAAGCATATGTCTAAGCTTTGGCACCTCATTTATTGATGTTCCTTTAGACATATACTTGGTTCCTTAGTTCTGCCCAAGAGGGTGAAAGTGAGTTCTTCGTACTTTTGTCTTTGGTGAGGATTTACTCTTTGGATTGTCAGATACTACTGGATCTCGCCCTCTTATCCGGAGTGGTTGACGATGCCATCATCGCTGGCTCAATTGTGTTGTCTTTATTTAAGGCAAGGACTGGCTTCCGAAAGTAAGTTAGTTTGCAATGCATTCAAATGCAGAATTGTATCGACACAACTTGACTTGCTACAAAGAACTGATGGAGTCGTTGCGACCTTAATGTTATATGCCATTAGTACTTGTCAGTTACCCACATCATGCCACGCCTCCACGGCTGCTAACATTATGTGTATTTAGGTTTTCTTACTTGGTTGGCCTATCCTTTGCCACGTATTCTGCCGCTCTGACATCTAGTGTCTCCCACATAGTGTGTGGGGGTTCATTTGTTGCATTACTGTGAGTGATCCGTCTTCCTCATGCTGCAACAAGAGGCGTGCTCACAGAGAATGTAGCATATAATTTGGCCCGATAATGCCATCTGGCTTGGGCTGTTTTTCTTAATATCTGAACGTACGTGGATTTTGAAGTTTGCACAATGCGCAAAGTCCTCGACGTCTCCGTTGTTAGTGTCCCTTAATGCCCTCTTGGCTACTTTAAATGCGCGACCAGAGTTGCGGGATAGATCGTACGGCGTGACATCTGTAGAGCTGAGCAGTGGCGCGAGGACGAGGGGCCAGAGATCATCGAGTCCTGCCTTTAATCCTTCGAAATCTTCGGTGGGCTGACTAGGTTGACTACACCCTTCGTTTGACGCTCAAAAGTCTATTCTACAGAAAATGGTCATTGACGTGGAACGTCATATTGAAATTAGTTAGAAAGGAAGGCGTGTCGATGATAGTCTGTCGGTATATATGTTGACCTTTGATATGAATCCAAGTACGTATCACTGCGTCCTGTGTCCTGGCGGCTCCGGGATCGTGATGAAGTTATTTTTACTGCCGCGTCTTCCTTTTTGTCTCTCATGTTTCATGTTGCCTCCCCCCTCCATGGAGCCAGTATTCTAGGAGTGGTGGAGTCCCGATGCGAAATTTCAAGTACCTTGTTGTTGGTGGCTAGATTGAGCCCGATACCAAGATTCCTGCCAACGGTGAGCGACCCCACACGCTGTTGTAGCGAAGCTGAGAGTGCCGCAACTGGTACGCGTGTCGGCTGCTGCATTACATTACCTACCGTGGGTCCCACAAGCTCCAATCTCTACGTCCAGCAGCTCTCCTCAGCTATCCCGACTCGAACACCGCAGGAATATCATTTCAACCCGAAGCGACACCGCAGGGGCGCCGATGACTTGCAATGAAGGGGAGCCCACGGTAAAGTGGTCAATGCTATCAGGTTTGCAAAGAGAAACGACGTGACGGGAAGGGAGTCTATGTACAGCCGCAATACTGCGACTTTCTTGCTACGTGGGAGAACGAGACCTGAATGACATCGACGTACCTTCAAGAGCAGCTTCGCAACACACCAGCCGCATCCTAGTTTCGTTTACACGATAGTTTGTAACATACAATGAAGTGTTACTACACTGCCGCTGAATGCTACCGTTTCCTGGACGCTGCCACCGTAAGAAGAGGGGGTCGGGGTGCTGGAGGTAGGGTGATAGAGCATGAGGTTCTTATTGACTTTTTCGTGCAAGTTGTGGTGCTCATTGCTGTGTGATGTTTTCGCCTCCGGCGCAGGAGCATACTCAGTAGAAGCGGGGGATAGAAGTCGCTGATAGCCAAATTTGGCAGCCCGACGGGCGGACGTTGGGTCATGTGATCAGTCCGCCGACTCCTCCCGCCATCTTCTCCCGCTACCTGCGCCGTGAGCATCCTACGTTGGGCATTGCGGCGCTACTGTTTCCCTGAGTCACCCTCAAATGGATCTCAATGATATGATGACTTCCGAGGCCGATGTACGTGTGAATTGAAGTAATAGCGGTGTCTCAGTTTTGTTATTCCCTGATTCATTGCAATTCATTAGGTGTGCTTCGCTCAGAGTGAATTTGGCTTGTCTGCCCGTGAACTGCACGGGTAACCAGACTTTGCTCCTGCCGCTGTCAGAGAATCATTCCGACTGGATCCCCGCAACCTGACGAACGGTACCGAGACTTCTACAAGGCGATGAGAGACATATATCTTCAGAAGTCCGGACACTGACCCGAGATCCGTGTTTCTCGTGGCGAGTACGAAAGCGACGCTTGCTCGGGTAAGAAAGCAAAGGTGAGCAAGATGAAGCTTTGGACAGGACTCATAGAAGGCCTAGGTGCTGCCCACCGAAGCAACACCCGGGCCGAAGCAAGGTCTGCTCGAGCTCTGGCAAAGAACGTATGGATGAGGGTCAACAAATTAATTTGGATCTATTGTTGACGCGTTGTTGTTGAACAGGGTCGCCGCCACTACGCCAATGGCAATTGCCATAACAGGTTTCTACGACTTGGAACAATGGATCAGCGGGGCACAACACAACAATACAAACTCAGACTCTCAGCCACACTCTTGACTCCCAACTTATCACTCGCCCTCACCCACTCTCGGACGCGCTATTAGCATCTCATCTAACCATGGGCAATACACAAGCTTCCTCATCCTCCGCCCCAGGCGAGACAGCTCTAGCATCCGCTGATGAATTGCAAGCGAAGATCTTCCTAGCACTAAGTACCATTGCGGAGACCTCGAAGACTCTGAAGGCTTCATACGGCGACGAGGCAGATCCTCGCGTCCTCAGCTTCGTCGACGACATTGGTGCTCATTTACCAAAGTCGGTTGGAGCACTGGAATACGCACGGTGGGTTACATTCATTGGCGTGGTGGATTTCGTGGCTAAAGATGAATTAGCCTGCGCATCCACCAAAACCTCATCCCCGTCTCTGAGTGAGTATCCTCAATCTCATTTGTTCGACCTATTGTATAACATTCCCATAGTAGCGATGCGGTCAAGGATATGCCTGTCGTTGTCCAGTATATCGACTCGAAGGGCCCTGCAGAAGCTGCCATCACCGTCGACACCGACAAAACTGAATCTGCGTTCGTTGTCCCGCAACTTGCCACAGACACGCCGTCGCCTCCGCTCGAAGAAGGCGAGGTCTGTACCTTGACTCTCACCGTCGACCTTGACGTCGAAGAATACGACGAGCGCCCTCTTCACCTCACCTTCAAGGCCGATCCGCTGGCTGATGGCAGGTTGCCTATCCCTCCATTCACTTGGGTCGTCGACGCGAACTTGAGGCAATTCCTCATCGAACAAGATCAAATTCAGCGCGAGAAGCGACAACTTACTGCCAAGAAGGGGAAGGGTAAGCAGCGCGATATGCCTGAGGAGCCGACGGACTCTCGCGACACCCTTCCGGTCACCATTGTGATCATCAAACCTTCCACCGTGCCAGCGACCACTGATGCGCCTGGCATCCTTCCTGCGCCCCGCGCGTCGAATGAAAGTATAGCACCACCCACAGGCGGGCTCAAGTTCAAGTACTCTCTCAATGAACAGTTCCACCCCAGGTTCCCTCCACGCGAAGGTGCACGCGAAGGACCTCTCTCCATTGAGGACGTGTTACCTATCAACGAAGGCTACGAATTAGTCGAGAGCTATGAAGATGCGGCGAGGGGGTTGGTATTCACGTATCAACTGAAGGATTGGCCGATCGTATTGGAGAACGCAGCTGCCAGCAGTGAAGCGGCGGGGAAGTCACGCCTCAAGAAGGTCCCTAAGGAGGTGAAGGCCGCCCAGCGAGACGTCGAGCAGCCCGCCAAAGAGCAGCCTGCCAAAGCCGCCTTACGCACCCCACGGACTGCACGTGCTAAAGTCGGGCCTGCTATTGCCGTACCTATTCGTCGCTCGTCGCGACTTGGTTCTGCCAAGTCCTCAACAAAGACAGAAGACCATCATCCGGCAGTCGTATCGTCGTCTTCGAAAGGAACGAAGGAAGCCACAGCAACTAAGAAGCCTGCAGGCACGAAGAAGGCCGCAAACACGAAAAAGACTGAAGACACGAAGAAGGCCATGGACACGAAGAAGATCGCAGAGGTTAGGAATACCAGAAAGCGCAAGGCCGAGGAGAATGTCGAGGAGGATGTCCAAGTTGATGCATCCATTAAAGCGACGGCCGTCCCGACGAAGAAAGCACGACGAGCTCCTACCACCAAGAAAGCTGCTTCTGCAGAGAGCGCTGACGCCGAGAAGATTCCGGCGGCAAAGAAAGTTCGTTCTACGAGGCAGAAGTAATGTATAATATCTCGTCACAGTGCGCTCTATATGTCAACAGCTTCTGACAGTTAACTTACCCGCTATCGTCAGAACGTTAGTCTCTTACGTTCAGTCTGATCAACTTGTTTGCCTGTATCGTGTGCATAGTTCGTAATGATTTCTCCTCATGATTCTGTTGTCCCCTTTGACTTCGTATATACATAAATTCTTTGATTATGTTCAAACCGCTCAAATCCACCAAGTGCATTGTATGATACTTGCATCTTTGTCTTGCGACTCAGCAAGGACATTTGGTATGGTGCTGCTCATAGTAAATTCATTTCCACTGTGTAACTACTAGTCACTATTTGAGGATATTATTACTTCATTAGAAGTTGAGATTGATGGTCTTCTCCTCTGTTATGGTGCGGATGGTGGAGTCAAATTCCTGCGGGAGAGTTAGATCAACTACGGTGTAGGATGGGAGAGGGTGCGCAACTCACAGCAATCGCTTTAAAGGCTATTGCAAGAACAGGTTAGTGGAAGTCGAAGGTGACTAATGGCGAACATACTAAATTTGAAAGGCCACTGAGAAGGCTCAGTCTGTCTGAACACCGACAAGCCATGGATTTCCTTAGGAGTGTTATACCACTTCAACAAGTGTCAGCGAGAGTTGGGCGAACTACTAGGAAAATGTAACCGCACCGCAGAGCCAGGATCTGGTTGGAATACAGCCTCGGCTGTGTTGTCCATGACTCCGCCAGACTGATCCATTTTCAACAACTGGTACGTTTCGTTGTACTTTGCGTTATGGGTAAATGTACCGTTTCCGGTGTTGTTGAACATTTGCATAGCCTGTTCGTAGTCGATGGTAGCTAAAAATAGGCTCAGATGTTCGTGTAAGAGACACTCAGCGATCCTCTCTCACCGGTCCAGTGGTCACCACTCTTGGCGCTGTGGTCAGGCAAGTGGGTGATGGGCGACCCAGACGATGCGGAGATTTGAAGTTTGAAAGTCTGCTTGCCGTGGTACAGTGTCGAGTCAACCTGTCCACTGTGTTTCATGACAATGTAGAAGGCCCCGCCCGATCCACCAAAATTAACGGTGTCGGGTTTTTGGTTGGTCGTGAAGATATAGCACTGGCATGACCAGCTAACGAGGAGGTACTGAGCCCCAAGGTTCCCGAGAGTTTTATATTCAAAAATTGGGAGATCTTGGCTGATGAGCAGGAAATGAAAAGGAGACGTGTAAGACGATAGAGGCGACTTACACGCTCCAAAACGACGTCCCGATGGGCGGTTCCAGTTGTAGCAAGTATCGAGGCTCTCCGGCCTCTTTCTTCTCTTCTTGGGCGCTGGCAGACATGACTAGCATAAGTAGGTTGATGGGGGAGAGGATTGAGTGGGTAAGTGATCCTCATGTCTGTGATAGACGGCAAATTTTATAGCAGAGCACATAGGGAGATCCCGCTGCCGTCGTATGCAAGACGCTCCAGCAGAAGATTCTGGACGGCCATAAATTAACAAACTTTGGCGTGGCTGATGCAGGATGTTCACGAATACCGGAGACGACTCGGAAGCTTTAATTCACCGACTACTAACGCATGAGCCTTGTGGTTGACAGAGTATCTCGCGTCCGAAGTAGGGTACCTACACATCAGTTCCAAACAGTTGTCGGACCGACATGAAGGAACAGCACTGACGGCCCCTAACTCCCACGGCCTTCTTCTGATTTCACATACTTCCACCCACAACTACTATGGAGTTTTGCATAAAATACTACTCGTATATGCGAACCTTCTGCTAGAAAATTTCTGAGATGTTTGGAGTCCTTAGGTTCATTCATCGCCTAATCTAAGCCTAGGAGTTAAAAGGGTGTATGAGTCACGTGAAAAGGATTTACTTTCGGTGCTGGCGACGCGGAGACTAATAATGCTTCGTGCAAGTCGTTTTCGATGGACACGTCCTTTCGCGAGAAGATATGCGACCATCAACTCGTATGATGGTGAGTGCCCGCAAAATCTCAGTTACACGGCCATCCTAAAAGCTCGGAAGTGTGTGTTATCGGCGGGGGTCACGCAGGATGCGAGGCAGCAGCGGGTGCTGCTCGTACCGGTGCTAGGACCCTTTTACTCACCCAGAAACTTGACACAGTAGGAGAACTCTCGTGCAATCCATCAATTGGGGGAGTAGGAAAAGGGACGTTAGTCCGCGAAGTCGATGCATTAGACGGCGTAATGGGCAAGGTTGCTGGTGAGTGCTTGTGTTAGGGCTTGTTCGATTCTCTCTCTGAAAGGTGCCATTGAAGATCGAGCGGGGATTCAGTTCCACATCTTGAACCGCTCAAAAGGTGCGGCCGTATGGGTGCGTCTACTTCTTCTCCGCATAGATATTTGCTTGAACAAGCGACCAGGGCCCGAGAGCACAAATAGACCGTAAAATATACAAACGGACTATGCAAGATATACTATTTAATTACCCTAATCTTGACGTACGCGCAGGTAGCGTATTTGATCTACTACTCGACGATGCCGATGCGAGGGTGGCTGGGGTGAAATTGGGTACCATTGGTGCCGTGCTTCTCTTTCGCAGGGCATACTGACTTCTCTCCCACAGACTCGGGAGAGAACGTCCACTGTTCTCAAGTAATCATTTGCACGGGAACATTCCTTGGTGGAGAGATACATATCGGACAAAAGCGCTTCCCAGCTGGGAGAATCAACGAAGCACCTTCCATAGGACTTTCGGCGTCTCTGAAGCAAGCAGGTTTCCAACTAGGGCGTCTGCAGACTGGCACCCCCGCTCGACTCGACGGCAATACAATTGATTTTAGTGGGATGACGAGGCAGGAGGGCGACGTCACCCCTTCGCCGTTCAGCTTCTTGAATTCTTCTGTCCCTAACGCTGTACGTGGTCATCCATCGCGGCAAGGATTCATCTCATGAAGCCTTACTTCAAGGCAAACCAAGTTGTGTGCTACCAGACAGCGACGAACGACAAGACGCATCAGATGGTGAAGGACAACTTACACCTTTGTGTCCATATCCAAGAAACTAAGAAAGGCGTGTCAAGGGGTTCTTAATCTTTATGTAGAACCTAACACCCAACCAGGTCCTCGATATTGCCCTTCATTAGAGGCCAAAATCCTCAGATTCGGCAACAAAGCAAAGCACAATGTATGGCTGGAACCTGAAGGGTACGATTCAGGTAAGTGACATGCACAGTCTCAGTCTATTTCGTCTGAACATCGTGTAAAAGATGTGATCTATCCGAACGGAATATCGTGTAGTCTACCAGAAGAATTGCAAGAACCTATGATGCGAACTATCCCTGGTTTAGAGAATGTCAAAATGGTTAGACCAGCATACGGCGTAGAGTACGATCACATCGACCCCAGGGAACTATTTCGTCAGTGTGTACTGAACTTTCCTGCCGTTGATATACTCATCTGGTATCCTAGCCACTTTGGAAACGAAGAAGATCAAAGTGTGTCCGCCTTGCTACGATTTTAATAACTGATCTTAATTGCTTTTTGGCATGAACAGGGGCTGTTCCTTGCGGGACAGATCAACGGTGAGTGATAAGGACCTTAGTCCATAGCCCAACTTATTGATCCTCTTTTCTCGTAAACAAGGTACTACTGGATACGAGGAAGCCGCCGCCCAAGGAACCATCGCTGGTATTAACGCTGGTCTTGCTGCGAAAGGTCGTCCAGCGTTTGTGGTTACTCGTGCTGATGGGTTCATTGGGGTGATGATCGATGATCTCATAGTCAAAGGCGCGGAGGAACCATGTACGTTCTCCTATATTTTTCTCGTCGCCCGAATTACCTCTCAATGAAGACTTGGTCACAGATCGTATGTTTACTTCAAGATCGGAATATCGGATGACCATACGAAGCGATAATGCGGATATGAGGCTTACGGAGAAAGGCGAGTTCTTTATCTTCCGGCTTCTCAGCTCTCGTACCGTGTTGACGAGTTTATCTGACGTTCAATCCGTAGGTTATGAGGTCGGCGCCGTCTCTGAATATCGGTGGCAGGCCTTCCAGAAAACTAGGCACACAATGCAAGATCTGCTCAAGCTTCTCCATTCAACATCGTTAAGTCCTCAAGTACGTACATGTTTTGCATTCCGATCGCAATTTATCTACCTATATAAAAAGTTAATGATAATTGCGACATTAGGGCTGGGGCGCTCACGGATTTACTGTACAGCGCGACGGAGTATGGAGAAGGTACGTTGCATTTCAAAACTCCCGCCACGCTCACTAGGATACCGTTTTGTCTGATGGTTGGGACTCCACGTAGCGCCTTCGACATGCTCCGATATCCCAAGGTCGACGCTATCGACCTGAAATGTGTGATACCTGAGTTAAGTACAGTAGACCCCTCCATTTTGACGAGGCTGGAGATCGACGGTGCGTTGTCCCGGAAATTCGATCTATCGTCGAGATGCCCCCGGCGCGCATGAAATAGTTTAATGTTGCTCTACCCTTCACAGGTCGTTACAGTGCGCATGTGTTTCGTCAAGAAGCAGACGTGAAGATCTTCATGGAGGACGAATCGTTGATTCTTGACCCCCAAATGGACTACAACCAAGTAACTGGGTTGAGCTCCGAAGTTCGGGAGAAGTTGTTCAAGGTGAAGCCTACGACGATTGTGAGTTTTGCCTTGTTAGCGTCATCGTCAAAGATATTGAATGTGTTGCACCTTGCAGGGCGCTGCGAAACGGATGGAAGGGATGACACCGACCTCGATAGTGTATCTCTTGCGGCACGCGAAACGGACTTTCAGGCGTATTGGCATGGTAGATCCTGTGTTGAATGGCATTTAAGGCCTGAAGCTTGAAGCTTGACGTCCCAAAAGCCTGTACGTCCGGGATTGCAATTTGGGACAGTCTGACAACGGAGGATCAACGTTCAACCCCGTAGTGGCGCTTTCGGTAACGTCGAAGAAAGCAGAGACGTTTATTATATTCGTCACTTTCCACCAGTGAACTGCCTGTCTGGCGGTTGTCAAGTACTTCAACCGTTCGGAACGTCGAGATATACGACGGGCGCGTCTAATTTCACGCAACTGCAGCTTTCTGGTGTCCATTTACTACTGGTACCCCAACCCACCTCTCCGCTTAATTGAACTGATCACATAAATGTAGCGGTTGGAACAATACACTCCATGTAAATGGTATGTGATGTGGGCTCTTGCAAATATTACCTTGCAAGTAGCCTGGCAAGCACAGTCGTAAGATAATCGTTACTGAGTTGAAAGTTGCCCACGTGATGCAACCCATTGTGGCTAAATCTGGCTAAATGAGGCGAAGTTCGAGCGCCCATACTCCTCCACCAACCACCATGGTCGTACCGGAACTGCCAGTAGAGATCGTGTCTCAGATACTCAAGCAACTGAGAGACGACCAGTACACACTTAGAAAGTGCTCCCGTGTATCCCGCAGCTTCCGCGCCCTCTGCCTTCCCTTCCTCTTCCACCATCTCTGCATCCCGAACGCAGACGCATACCGACATGCGTTCCGATTACTGGTACTCGAATCACCTCACATCGGCCGGTACGTTAAGCAAATAGCATTAGACTCTCGTGGCCTTCAAACCATGGTACTTGGCACCGAAAACATCCGCTGGTTGGACGCAGATAAATTCTTGATGTTCCTCAACGCGCTGCCAGCATTGGAGGTCCTTCGATGCGACATGGACTTCTACACGGGAATCCTCGCATCTGTGCTTCCAAACTCGTCGATTACCACCCTCCACCTCTCGGATATTCGTCGTAACAGCTCTCTCGACTTTGTCAACCTCCTCATGGAAATCCTCAAAGCAGGCTCACAGACAATCCGGTCCCTGACACTCCAATCTATTTACGTTCCCGACGAAATCTACTACTACGCCAGCATGGCGAGGATGTTGACAGCTCCTGGAGTCCTTCGCGCTCTGGAAGATATGACGCTCATCCAATGCACAAATCTCCCTTTCTTTCACTATAACATCCAAATGCCGAACATCAAGACCTTGGAATTGATAGACACGGAATGGACATTTCAAGATTGTATGTCTGATTCATTTAGTACGCTCGTACTTGATAATCTGCTCCGTGCGTTGCTTTAATACTTCCACGCGTGTGTCATCAAACGAGATTTACTTTGCAGATGAACGAGAATCACAATGGAAGCGTGATACGGACTTCGGGGTGGACACTGTAACACTCTTGTGTTCTTTGCAGGCATCACCTACATACGCTCGAAGCATGATAGGCATGAGTATGCTTCCGAGGGCGTGTACTCCATTCAGGATCAAGAGGCTTGAAGTCGTTCTTCTCGCTACACAAGGCGAACGGCTACATGTCGACTTTTCAAAACATTTTGAGCTCGGCTTTCAAGACAATCTTATCTATCTCCACGAAAACGGATTGCTGGAGAAATTTATGATCACTGTTGAAAGCTACCAAGGTGTTCGGAAGCCTCACCTTGAAGTCTTCTTTTTCAAACTCAAGGCGCTTGGAATACTCGATGTCCAAGGAGGATCGCTTCCACGGTCATGCTCTCGTCCAGGCCGGTATGTATGTCCGCCAGAGTCCACGTACTATGGTACTGGTGCGCCTAGCAAGTGGACATGGGATCCTGGATTCTGAAATATTCAAGGGATCTTTTCTTCAGGCTTCTACTATATACACGTGATGAAGTTTTGATACAATTTTTGTTTTTATTGTGCTAGCTTAGTTTTTACAATGTATCACTATAGTTATGACTCATACTTGATGTACTAGTTTATTTCATTGTATAAATTGTGTTAGCTCAAGGGAGTATCTTCACAAGGAATAAAATAGCCCCTGACATGTACAATTAGGGGATTAGGAAAACAGAGCGCAATCAATAGGCACCGCCCCTGATCGTACTTGGTACCCATGGCAAGCTAAGATCATATAAGTGTCAACGTATCGAATCGTACTTTGGTTTGGCAAACTACGAACAATGGATTATAGTCCTTGATCAAGAGTGTACCTGGTGTGCTTCAATTCTCACCAAGTCAAAGTGATAGCTCGCAACTGAAGGTTCAACGAGGCGTGTGGGCAAGCATGGAACAGCTCCCCATGGAGCTAGCACAGCAACATCGGACCCCCCAGGACAGGTTTCCGAACCTACTTTGACATCTCAACATTGGATGATGCCAACGAGTATACCTCTATCTACCAGATTCCAACACATTGGTACATCGTCGGGATGTCACCACACCCATGTAATGTTTAGCGGAAGCATCCAAATAGACTGATGTAGATAGGCGCCTCCAATAGGACTCATCAAGATTAACTATATCTTCAATCATTATGCGTAGGGATATGTACAGATAAATACAGCAAGAAACAATATAATACACTTATGCATCTTTGTTGTCAGATTTCCCTATATCGCCGCCGCGAGGTCGAATTATTTCACGCAGTGAGGGTGAGGATATTCTGAGAATATGTAATGATACAGGCAACCAATCCTGGTTGTGGCGGGAGTACATATGTCGCTTCATAGTTGTCGACTTCTGCTCGTTCTTCTTCAAAGAATGATACTTTTTCGCCGGGATAATCTAAGTAAAACACGTCTGTAGATGGTTAGCATACGTGCATCCCAAAAGTTAAAGGGGATTGGGGTCGAGGAGACTCACTCTCGTGTGTCTTGTCACTTTCCAAAACACGTATAGAATAGGGAGAACACTGATCATGGTATATGAAAAGAAGAAAGTGGCAACGTCCCATCTTCCTGGAAGGAATACTTCATAGCCACTTATAAGGGCTACAGTGAGTGTCCCGATGAATGCGTACCATCTGCAGCAGAGCGGGACCATTCAAAACAAGGAGTAGAAATCATTATGGATCAGACTGACGCGCAAAAAGGTTGCCAAAATGATCGTTTTGGTAAGGATTCACGAGGAATATTTTGCTCTTTCAGTGCCTGCAGTGACAAAAATATCTCAGATATTGAGGCGGTTAAGAAAGAAAGACATACCTGATGAAAGTGAATGTACATGTAAGAAATAATCATGTAATTCAGCAGCTGCGATGCTGTACCAAGTTGATGAACCTAATTATCATCGGTCAACCTCAACAACGAATAGTGAAGGAAGATCCACAAACCACTGCAGAACCTTCACAGTCCCATTCAAAACTTGGAGGAATGAAAGCAATGCAATTCCAATTGTTACCATCACAGCATACACCGGTACCCCACTCTTAGTACACCTTGTCAATACCCTTGGCATCTTCCCCTCTAGCGCTAGCCCAAATAGAGTTCTACTAGCACAATAGACACATGTGTTCCCGGCCGAGAACACCGAGAGCAAGATCATGGCATTCACGAGATGTGGTAGGACAGGGATCTGCAATCTCTCCATTGCAATAACATAGGGGCTTGATCCAGCCCCTGGCCTCGCGTCAGATATCACTAATTTGAGATTGGAATTGTTGTACAGTATGACGATGCCAACACAGAGGGAGCCGACCACGAAGAATGTCGCTAGGCGATAAATGACAGAGTTAAACACCTTAGGAAGAACACATCGGGGGTTCACTGCTTTGCCGGCGGTCATTGAGATGTAGTCTGGGCTGACCATGGTGAACGCAGCTTGGATGAGGCAAGTGAGGAACCCGAGGAACCGGCCGAGGGATCCTGTCTCAATATACTCGGCGAAGGGGGCACCAGGGACCTTGGAAGCTAACAGAAAGACAAAGATAGACTCAATAAACTGTGAGTGTGAATTAAGAGGCACATACAGTCCCAGTTACAGAAACCATATACGTCGTGGAGCGGATTACCGCCAACCATGGTAATGAAAGTGAAGAAGATTAGACTGGCGGCTAAGATAACTTTGCCCAATGAAAGCCAGAATTCGGATTCTAATATTGTCGTGAGCAGCGAAGAGATGATAGGGCGGACCAGCCACGCACCTCCATACCACTTTACGGCAAAGAAGTTGATGGCGCTGTTGGTAAATGTATCAGAAGCCGACACTTAGACATAGGAGGGACGACGTACACATAAAGGACAAGAACGAAGGCAATGGTAGCTTCTACTGGAATCTTGTCTGTCCAGAAGTGTAGCACTAAATTAAAGGCTGTCACCTCAAATGGGATCAAAATCGCTTCGTATACAAAGAAATTGATGCCAGAAGGGCAGGGTCGACGAATCTATCTGCGTATCAAGCCTGAGTAATCAATGAGTACATGGTTTATTCCTGAATAGGGATTCTCACAAAGGGGGAGGATATAGGGATCCATGTCACCATTTCAGCTGTCGTTTCAGATGGTTAGATGCCAGAGTGACAGGATGATTGAAACAAGATGGGGGACAGGGAATGGTAGACGTACACAGGCAATTATTGATGGCCATCACAATCGTGCAGTAGTAGGTAAAGGCAAGGAACAAACTTCCAGGACCTCCCTTGGTTAGAGCAGAACCGATCTGCACGGATAATGCTGTACTGATAGCACCTGGAGAGCGCTGAGCAATGTGAACAGCAGAGGTACATATCGACCACTCATCCGATCACGAAGTCATACTGGCCGTCGACTCCTCCACCGTAGCCGCTGGATTCATTCTGTCCCAGGTTGGCGCCAACAACAAACACTATCCATCCCGTTTCGGGTCCATCACTTGGAACGACCATGAATCCCGCTACTCCCAATCCAAAATCGAGCTTTACGGACTCTTCCAGGCACTTCAGGCCACGAAGCTTTGGCTTATTGGAGCTCGCAATCTCACTGTTGAAGTCGACGCGAAATATATCAAGGGTATGATCAACAATCCGGACATCGTTCCGAACGCTGCGATGAACCGCTGGATCGCCGCCATCCTCACCTTTTCCTTCAAGCTCAAACACGTTCCTGCACGGGATCACACTCCGGCCGATGGCCTCTCATGACAAAGAAGAGCTGAAGAAGACCCGCTCCTTGTAGAAGATGTTGAGGGTTGGATAGACGAAGTGTGTGGTTTTACTTTACAGGTTCACTCGGACAGCAACACCTCTGTCTCTCGGGTTGCACAGAACCGTTTCCGGCATCATCTCGGGTCCCTTGTCCGTACCTTCATCTATGATGAAGATTCTGCTGGATTCAACGACTCCAACGACTCCGAAGACATTCCCCGGACTCCGAAGGCCGCAGGTAAGGACACCCGGATGCTGGAGATAGAAACCTTCCTCCGAACTAGCAAGGCTCCCGTCGGACTCACTGAACCCGCCATGCGCAACTTCGTCCGACAAGCACTCAACTTCTTCTACCGTGACGGCAAGCTCTGGCACAAGGATAACCACGGGAAGCATAAGGTCTACATCCATCCGGGTCGCCGTCTCTATCTGATCCAGGCTGCTCACGACTCTCTTGGACATAAGGGTATCTTCGTTATCCGGACTCGCCTCCTTGAGCGATTCTGGTGGCCCTTCCTTGACCAGGACGTCCGCTGGTTTGTCAAGACTTGTCATCAGTGCCAGATCCACTCCAACTTCAAACTGCACATTCCGCCATCTCCGACAATTCCCCTTTCCCTTTTCCGCCGCATCCACATTGACTGCATGGTGATGCCCTCCATCAACAAATTCAACAAGATCGTCCATGCTTGGTGCGCTCTTACATCTTATCCGGAGTGGTGCACACTTCGCCGGGAGACAGTGGAGACACTTGGCATGTTTATTTTCCAGGAGATTCTATGCCGCTGGGGCGCCATCGAAGAACTTGTGACAGATAACGGTACCCCGTTTGTGAAGGCAGTCGAATATCTCGCAGAGAAGTACGGCATCTGACACATCCAAATCTCTCTGTACAACTCCCAAGCCAACAGACTCGTCGAGTGGAGACACCGGGACATTCAGGGTTCACTCCTGAAGACGGCGGATGGCAACAAGAAGAAATAGGTTGAAGTCGCACCATCCATCTTCTGGGCCGAACGTGTCACCATCTCAAAGACCTCCGGAACGCCTCCTTACTACATGGTACATGGCATCGAACCTCTCTTTCCGTTCAATCTCCACAAAGCTACCTATCTCGCCCCTCCTCCCGATACCACTCTCACCACTGAACAACTCATCTCCATGCGCGCCCGACAACTTCAGAAGCGTCTGGATGATATCGAACGTATGTGCGAGAAGGTTATTCAGAGTCGGATTGCCTCCCTTGAGGAATTCGAATGTCAATTTGCCCGGACGATCAAGGACTTCAACTTTCTTCCCGGACAGCTCGTTCTCGTTTGTGATAAGAAGATAGAAGGAGATCACTCACTCAAGCATTTGCCTCACTACATGGGACCTATGGTTGTCATCCAACGCACTCATGGTGGATCCTACGTCCTGGCCAAACTTGATGGCACCGTTTCTGTAAGGGCAACCTCAAGATGGCCGCACAGCGCGAGCCTAGCAGAGGGAGAATCCAAAGTAATGAATAAGACTAACTACAATACATGAGAGAACTGCTCACCTAGCAGAGGGAGAATCCAAAGAGAACAGGATAAGGATTCTCCATGCTAGAAAGCGAAGTATATACTGTAGTAGCGTGAGAGGAATGAAGGGTAACTGTACAGTACATCAGCCACAGGTATGAACGAATATCACAAGGTACAAGGGGGCATGTGATAATGAAGTGGAAGGGGAATGTACAGGAGTCGTGCCGGCGACCTGGGGAAGTGGGAACAAGGAATAACGAAGTGGGAGAGGAGGATGGAGGTAGCCCGGACAAGCCCTGAAGTGTATCTACGGGTCCGAGCGAGTCCGAAGCGTCTGAAGTGTCCGAGGCGAGTCCGAAGTGCGGGAAGACTTCGGAGTCACCGGACGTAGCTCGGATGCGAAAGAAGGAAGTGGAAGGGAAGCGGAAAGGTGAGGGGGCGAGAGGGAAGGAAAGGGAATAAAAGGAATGTAAGTAATGGTCCGTGGGATGAAGGAAGGGAGAAAGGAACGAGGAGGAAGGGAGCGGGACAGGGGAATAGGAGAAAATAGGAGTGTCCCCTTACAGTTTCTAGTCTACATTATGCTGCATTCCGCGTCATTCCGTACTACGCCCGACACTGCCATCTCCTTCCCGTTCCCCAATCTGCTGAACCCGGTGACTCTGACGACTCTGAAGAACTTCCGGAACCTCAGCCCGCTGCGAACTTTGCCGGACTACAAAATACGACGAACGACCCAGTTTTGACACCTTCGCAGCAGCCTAACTGTCTAGTACTCTGAAATTTTTTCCACCTAGACCAGGGTTCGCCCTGCGTTGTATCTCGGACTTCGGTCCTTTTCTGTCTCTCACCTCTCTCATTGATTTCTCTCCGGTCCGATGCTTATATTTTCTTGAATTAGTCTTGTACGTGTCCTCCGACGACCCCGGTGATCCTTTCTCCTTCCGAAGCCTTTGGACTTGCCGGTTTTACGCTCCATCTCTTTCTTTCACTTACGCTCATTCACGGATTCTTCTCTTTTTGTTTCCAAGAAACGCAGTTGAAATTCTACATATATCTATCAAAATTGTCTACGGGCCAAGCACCCTCTTTTCTCGTCCGTCCTACTTCTTGTTGTACTCCGTGTCCTCCTCCATTCTCCTGTCCGCCTCTCGTTCCTCTTCTTCCACCACTTCCGCCCATTGAGCATCTTCAAGCTCCCTCCGCATGATCAGCGCCGCCAGGCTCCGTGTTGCCACCGCCCAGGTACTCTCCGCCTCCTCCATGGCCTGTTTGAGGGTGGCAATCCGTGCATCCATCGACGACATAACTTGCACCAGAGTCCGGAGCTCGTGATCCGTGCATCCCTCCATGAGGACTGGCATCAACGTGCTTCCGGATGCTGCTCGCGTTGTGCAGCTGCTCTCGCTGACTTCGACCCTCCGACGGTTGCGATTCCGAACCACCGCTCCTGGGCGCGCCTTTCCCTTGTTCCCCGCAGTCTTTCTGCCCATCGTCTCGCCTTCCGCCGCTTTCATCTGCTTGGCGCGGGTCTTCGCATGCGAACATTTGACCTTTGACCCAGTGCATGTCTCGCATGCGTGGCACCCGGTGCCAACACAGGTGAAGTAGCCCTGCTGGCACCGGAAACACCGCCTCTCTGCCAAGAACTTGACATGCGGATGGGAACAGGACTTCTTCAAAGCTCCGTATCCGCAGCCCCAATCGACATTGTTCGGACTTGAGCTGGCATCTGTGAATCCCATTAGTCCGTGTTGTATCATTTGACTGGTTGTCTTACCTGCCGGATTGTACTCCCCGTACTCCATTATGTCAAGGGGTGCGGAGGGTGGTGTTGTCTTGTTGTCCGCGTTGTCCGTATTAATGGCGCGTTTCCGAAGTCGCTTGGCCTGAGGAGTTGTCTCGGGCTCGCCGGGGTCGCTCTCAACAACCTTCCGTTTACCTGCTTGGATGGCGCTGGTGTAAGGGGACACTCCTATTTTCTCCTATTCCCCTGTCCCTGTCCCTCTCCCTTCCTCCTTCATTTCCTTTCTCCCTTCCTTCATCCCATGGACTATTATCTACATTCCCTTCATTCCCTTTCCTTCCCTCTCGCCCCCTTACCTTTCCGCTTCCCTTCCGTTCACTCCCTTCGCATCTGAGCCCCGTCTGGTGACTCCGAAGTCTTCCCGCGCTTCGGACTCGCCTCGGACTCGCTCGGACTCGTAGATACACTTCGGGGCTCGTCCGGGCTACCTCTATCCTCCTTTCCCACTTCATTACTCCTTGTCCCCACTTCCCCAGGTCGCTGGCACGACTCCTGTACATTCCCCTTCCACTTCATTATCACATGCCCCCTCGTACCTTGTGATATTCGTTCGTACCTGTGGCTGGTGTACTGTACAGTTACCCTTCATTCCTCCCACGCTACTACAGTATATACTTCGCTTTCTAGCATGGAGAATCCTTATCCTGTTCTCTTTGGATTCTCCCTCTGCTAGGTGAGCAGTTCTCTCATGTATTGCAGTTAGTCTTATTCATCTCTTTGGATTCTCCCTCTGCTAGGCTTGCACTGTGCGGCTATCTTGAGGTTGCCCTTACAGCAGAACAGGATCTCCCATCCTGGCACCAGAGCCCTACGGAAAACGTCCTGCGCCACTCCGGACTCGTTCTCGACGTCTCTCCGGTTTTGCGGACATTCCGGACGCTCTCCTGCTACTCCCACCCACCTCTGAGGACCCAAGGAACTCCATCCCTCGCTCCCCTGACGACTCCGAAATGCCGGGCGCCTCCAGCCAGATCCCGCCATCCGAGCCAGTCGCTTCAGGACCGGACTCCGAGACTTTGCAGACCTTGTGGGGTCAGACGTACGAACACCAAACCCAAATCAGCTCCATCCAGGATACACTCGCCCGAATTGAAGGACTCCTCTTAACACCCCATCCGACTACTCCGAAAACAACTCCGGACTCCGAGCTGAGGGGCACCGAAGCCTCCCAGCACACCCCGAGTCGATCCGAAAACACCCCGTGTTCCCGCTTGAAGCCCGCCTCTCCCCCGATCTTCGACGGAAACCGCAAGGATGGTCGCGCGTTCTACAACGCATGCTCCATCTACTTCCAGCTCTGTCCGGACCACTTTCCGACCGAGCAGGCCAAAATCCTCTGGTGTCTCTCCTTTTTCCA